GGGTGTAGTCGCTCCGCAGCCGAGTTGAGAGACTTTTTTTACGACGCATGAAAGACCAAGCCATGGCGCTTCAACAAGACATGAACAGTCACTCAGACGTTGGCCAACCACCTTAAAAGACAAATCATCAGCGGAATCAGGTACGGGATGCGATCTCATGACGAGGAAGCAAATTCCCAGTCAAAACAAAGTTCAGTCTATTGATGTTTGGCGTGCAAAGGGAGGCAGCTCATCAAGTGCGTGCGCACGCACGACACTCGAGTCTGGATGCCTGTGGTATCTACTACTAAACCGCTCCTCAACGAGATCACGCCACATGAGAATCGAGAACCTTGAACTGCTTCTTTATATCATACAATGTAGAAACATAGCCCTACCAACTAGCCTGGGCTCGGGTCTTCCGGAAGAATGCGGCAAAGTCCCATTACCTCGCTCCTGGTCAGATAGCGACGTGCAACTGCGGCAAAGGGAAGAGGGGCAAAACAATAAACAAAAGATGCTGGCTTCTGCATAGAGCCGTGAGGATGGATGAAGATTCATCAATCAGAAGCAAGGCTAAAACCCTCGTGATTGCCACCTGAAGCTCAAGAGATAAGACCATTCCATACAACAAGCCGTTTTCCTTCCCGCGTCGGCATTGTAGGGCAGATGGAGATTACGCTTCGCTGGATCCAAATGCTGTCATGCAGCATGCTGCCAGGTGTGTTCTCATGGATTTCTATGCCCTTGTGAAGGAGTGGACGATTCCCCCAATTGTTGAAACAATAGCCGCTGACGCGGAGTCAATGGCTTGCTTTTCATTAATGAAGAGTGGCAAGCATGTGTTCCGGTTTTTCCGATTTTCTTTCCCCAATTGAAGCGGTCTGCGGCCTGTTATCCGCAGAAAAGACACAATTCCGCCAGGCCAACAGGTGGCCAGGTAGTAACTTATGGACGAAGGCCGAAGAAGTCGTGGTCCAGCGGGTCAGGGGGTAAATGTGCCTTACCGGGGCTAAGCTTTGTGTCAAGTAACGGGTAAAGTGTGCCCAGCCGGTCGCGAGCGTGAGATGAGATGGGATGGTTGGCTGGCGTAGTGGAGCTTGGTTGGTCCTAGGCTCCTAGCCTCTCTCGGCCGGGCTAGGATGGGAGCGGCCAGGGCATGTGTTCGTAGTCGGGGGAAGCCGAGGTGCCGATGACTCGTCCGTGCCGATGGCCCGGTATCCCTGAACCGCCCCCGTCGCAGATATATCAGTAAAATGGCCGTCCCTTCCGCTTTAGGTGCAAAACCTCGCGCCATCAATATTTCCAGCCGTTTCTCGAATCAATTGTACGGCCGAGATATTCGCGATGCATCGAATGGTGTTCGGGTCCAGTGTATGGATTTTCGTAATTTTTGATGCGGATTAGCAGCACACGATGAGAAGCCGTTGTCATTGGAAGATTGTGATCGTGCACTATATTCGCGCTAGCCCGAAAGGCGGGTTCAATAATTGTAAGAAAACATGCTTAAACGAAGCGTAAAAATGAAGTCCAAGCGTTACCTAGCCTTCGGCGGCTAGTAAACGTGAGTCTTGCCATACTGGTTGATGTAAGCCTTCTCACTGGCGTGAACCAAAATAGGACCGCCCAAAAGCTCCTTGGTCTCAAAGCCAGTAGGCCACTCATCTTCCATCTCCTCTCTCTTCTTCCCCTTGGGTTTGCGGTCTCTCACACGCAGCTTCTCAAAAAACACATAGGCCGCGTAAAAGACGGTGCTGGTGTTGCCGGCTACGGGGCCCTTCTTGTTCATGAAATTGGTGAGCAGGTTGGGCGCAATCTTGTGATCCGACCCGGCGCGGTACGCGGCTTTGACAATGGCGCGCAAGAAGGCGGCCTTGGTGACGCCTTCCTTCTTGAGGATGGCGCGGATCTTGGTGCGAACGGTGTCACAGGTGTCAAAGACGGGGACATTCATGTCGTCGTCGCCATGGAGTTCGATTCCGGAGAGGTCCGGGAGGGGGTCGTTCTTCTTCTCAGCAGCCTTCTTTTTGGTCGCCTGCTTCTTGGGGGCCGGCGCGGCGGCGGCATCATCGTCACCACCATCGGCGGCGGCGTCCGACTTGCGCTTGCGGGACTTGGACGCCGGCTTCTCGGCGGGCTGGACGTGTCACGATGTTAGCGTGGGGCGCGACGTCACGGCGTTCAATTCTGAGGCAAGAGTAGACGAGACAAAAGAGACAGTATTCGAATCGTGACGGAAGCCAATTCTGAGATGGCTCAATGAGGCGCAGATTGTTCTGAGATTGTAAATATGGTTCTTGCGCTGCTGCGTACCTCGGCGGCTTTGTTGTGGCCCACGACGCGGTTCGCGTCGGTCTCGCCCAACGGGACGGACGCGGCAGCGGCAGCGGCAGCTTTTTTGGGCGGCATGTTTTAGGACGTTGCGGAAAGTGAATAGCGGGTACGGCTCCGGCGAAGTAGGCGAAAGTCGTCTCCGCGTCGGATAATGTCTGTGTGAGAGTAATAATCTCGGCGTCTTTCACCGCGTGTCTGAAGGAAGTGGTTCAATGCCTTGAGCGAGCTTCTCCCAGGTCCCAAAAAAGCTGCCTACGTAAGAGACACGTCGGGTGGGCCGGATTCGGTAAGTGGCCGACAGGGGCCCCCAAAAGTCGCGGTAGGTGGGAGGGGACGGGAAGGGCAAGAACATTGATAGAAGCATAACGTCATCAGATAAACAGACACGGGACAAGACATGGGACGAATATATTGACCCATAGACACTTTAGACAGATGCAGTGAGACAGGGAGGCAGCTCCTTTTCCGATCCAATATCCGTTCTATTGAAAATAAAAAAAAATAAAAAAGTACTCCGTAGACACCGGAAAAATTGGGAACGGGCAAGAGCAGAGTGGCAGGAAGCACGGGCCGGGTTAAGCGAGGGGCTCGAGAGGCAGAAGCTTGCGATGCCGTGCAGGCAGCCTTGGAAGGTACAATCAAAAGAAATTGGACGGAGGAGAGAAGGAAGGAAGGAAGGGACATTTTTGGCCCACGGCTGCCAAGAATTGATGATGGGTGGATCGATCGAGAGGGCCAAGAAGATCCATCTCACTTACCCCTGTACAGATACAGATACGTACCCTCGAGAACGTGGAGAGGAAGGAGGTGGAAGTGGAGGTTGCAGTTTCAGGCCGCGCGAATTTGGGTTTCCAACGAGGCCATGGATGATGACCGTTGACCGTTGACCGTTGAGTTGGACAATTCGACCATTCGACCCGGGACTAGCACGATCATTCGCTCCATGATAAGGTAGGTACGAACTACCTCAGTGTCTTTCTTAGAAGGGACGCGGGTAAGACGAGCCCTGGTTGAACCGTCCGATGTTGGAACTGGCGTCCAGCAGCAAGGGACCCTGCCTTCCCAGTTCCCACGCAGCTGCCCTTGGAACCACTGCGGACATGATGACTGAAAAGGGGAGGAACCCTGCAGCACCATTGGCTATTCGTTCCATTTGAGATGGTAAGTCCCAGCGCTTCCCAATGAGTCCGCCAACGAGTCCGAGGAAAGTCGAGGGAAAAGAGGGGTGCTGGTCAAGGCACAGAGTTGCGGCTGCACGGCGATCACCCAAGAAAGTGAAATCCTCTGCCTGCCAGCTGTACCCCTGACCAGACTGCATTCAACATTGGCATTGAGTGATGTGCCAGCATTAGGTTGCCCCTTGGTGACACCGCACAGGACACTGCACAGCACACACCTGGAGTCCTTGACCCCGTCGAGCACGGATCGGGATCTTTTCACAAAGTCGCAAATAGATTGCTGTCCCGAAGCCCAACGACATGCGCTCCCCTAGACTCTCCTTTGTCACGCAGGGCCGCGGAGTCGGCGCGGAGACCATAGCCAACATCTCACCAGCCTTCATTTCGTTCCCACCGCTCGCGCAAGCGCCCGCCGGCAGTTCCACTGGCCCTGTGAAGCAGATACCGAGGCAATGGCTACGGGGCGGTGACTGGCCTGTTGCTCGTTGTTGATACGAAGCATGCATCCGGGTCCCTATCGAGGTTGACCAGCTCCCGAATCGAGCTCGTCGTTGGCGAGGCTCTACGACCAGATGCGCTGCTTCGAGAACAGTCACCAGGGGCCGGCCATGAGCATGTTTGGTCGTCCAAGGTGGGAGACCAGACGTTCGAGATGAATACCAAGCATCGCCAAGCCTGCCATGCTTCCTTGTTGCAAACAGCTGGATCATGGATGGTGGATCGTCCATCATCAAGGCGTCAAGCCCTGAGAGTCGCATCATAAGTCATCAGTGATCACAGACATGCCAACCCGTTTCCTCCACCGCTATCCACTCCGGGTTGCTTCTTTACAGTACCCGCCTCGACTCGTCATCCCTCCCGGGCTTCAATCTCCCAAGTCTCCAGTCAATCGGGTTTCGGCTCACACTCACACACGGGAACTCGTCCAGGACTGGCCTGCATGTGCCCGCCCAGTCAGCCAGGCGGTGGGCCTGGGTCACTCGCTGCTGCCAGCCAAGCATTGCCCTGCCGCCAGCATCAGCGAGAAGCAAACTCGGCCAGCCAGCACTGACCACCCACCACCTCCTTATTCGTACGCTCAGACGAACTGCCATTCCTTCACCTAAAAGTTCATTTCTCGCCTCGCTGCCACTTGTGCTTAAGCCTAACTGCAAGTCTCGCTTGGCGTTTGCTGTCTGACCCAATATGATATGGGCGCAAGTGCGCTTCGGCTCATCTCCTCCAAACTAGCCCACGATTATGCTTCCGTCAGTCGCTGGCCCCCAAGTTTAACCTGGAGTGGAGCGTTGACAGATCTTCGTGGCAGATGGTACTATGATTTTCCTCATCGCCCATATACCATCTCATAACCAACAGGTCTTACCGCTCTCAAGCGAGCTGCGAAATGCCTGCCGTTACTGCGCCCTATCGCCTTTCATCTCATTGCCGCGCCGCCAACCTGCACTAGATACCTAGATGGTCTTGCTCCAACCCTGCACTGCGGGATGCAACCAGTCACCACCTTCATTTATGCTGAAACGGCTTGTTCTCGCCATGGCTGCTCGGCATGGCCACCACCCCCGCTTGTTTCCCGCCTTTCCACCTATGGGCGCATTTTCAGCCGCGATGGCCTCGCTTCGGCTTCTGCTTGCGGTTCTAGAGCCCGGCTCAACAGCGGGGGGATAGACGCGGTTCCACGGCCCCCTTCTTTTTTGATGCAGGGTGGGCGCCTCCTGCTTCAACGTCGACCCCCGCTCTGCGATTCCACCTCATCACAACCTGTTCGCAATCAACTTGTGCCTGGCCAACGCAGCCTGGACACCGCCTGGCCATGGATTTGCACAGGGACTCGTTGAACATGGCCCCTGGCTCTGCTCCGTGAGGCACGGAAACGGGGCCGCAGTCGTCCTAGCATACCAACATGGGATGAGAATCGGTGCTGTCTCCTGACGAGCATGGTCGAAATTGCTTGAACCCACGCAACGCAGGTGTACGCCACGATTCAATGGCCCACGACCATGAGCGCTAATCCAGTCCATCTCGAGATATAAGGTCCTCTCCTCTTCGTCCACATCAAACCTTCTTACTCTCTTTTCTCCCCATCCAACAGGCTCACTTCCACAGCTTTCCATTCCCACACTCTTTTCCGCTTTTCAGCACATTTCTTTCATTTGACACTTCATTGATTGAAGTTCACTCTCTTTACGACTTGAAGTCTATCCACTCTTTCCACGAACCGAAACCAAAATCCAACAACAACAAACTCCCACTTTTGTGAAATCTGCAAAAATGCCTTCCTTCAAGAACTCCGCCGTCCTTTCCGCCATTGCTGGCGCTGCCTCCGTCATGGCCCACGGTCACGTCAACTACTTCACCGACGGCTCTGAGCAGTTCGCTGGTTACGACGTCACCTCGCTCCCTTACATGAGCAACCCCCCCGACGTGTAAGCGAGGCCGCACCTTGGCTCGTCCATGACATTTGATACTGACAACATTGTAGCTACGGCTGGAAGAACACCGCCACTGACAACGGCTTCGTCGACCCCACCACCTACACCGGTCCCGATATCATCTGCCACAAGAACTCCGCGAACGCCAAGCTCACCGCCAAGGTCGCCGCTGGTGACAAGCTCCAGATCTTCTGGAACACCTGGCCCGAGTCTCACAAGGGTCCCGTCATCGACTACCTCGCCTCCTGCGGCACTGACTGCTCTACCGTCGACAAGACCACCCTCGAGTTCTTCAAGATCGCCGAGGCCGGTCTCATTGACGCCACCGCCAACAAGTGGGCTTCCGATGAGCTTATCGCTGCCAACAACTCCTGGGCTGTCACCATCCCCACTTCCCTGAAGCCCGGCAACTACGTTCTCCGCCACGAGATCATTGCCCTCCACTCCGCTGGTCAGCAGAACGGTGCTCAGAACTACCCCCAGTGCCTCAACATCGAGGTCACCGGTTCCGGCTCCGATCTTCCCGCTGGCACCAAGGGTGAGGCCCTCTACACGCCCACCGACCCCGGTATCCTCATCTCCATCTACAACAGCTTGAAGTCCTACTCCATCCCCGGCCCTGCCCTCCCCTCCGTGTTCGGTGGCTCTGGCTCTGGCTCTGGCTCTTCCGGCTCTGGATCCTCTGCCGCTCCCGCCCCTTCCTCTCCTGCGGCTGCCTCTCCCGCCCCTGCTGCCCCTTCTGCTCCCGCTGCCAGCACCACTGCTGCCGCTGACGCTGCCCCCACCCCCTCCCCTACCTACAGCTCCGTCCCCGCTCAGCAGCCTACTCCCACTGGCAAGGCTTCCTGCGCGGAGAAGCGCAAGCGCAGCCTGGCCCGCCGCATGGCCCGCCAGCATGCCCGTGACGTCGTTCGCCGCGTTTAAATCGAGCGTCTCAATCGAGGGCGAAGGGGAGTCACTTCGAGTGAACCTGGAGCCGTTTTGGTAACGGGATAGCTCAACCACCAGGCTCATGAAGACATGATTGCTTTGTTGGACTTTTTCAAATGTATATATAACAACACTTGTTGGTTTCGTGTACAACACCGACGTGGACTTTGGACAAAGACCTCACCTTACTACCTAGCTACGTACGGCCGTGCCGGAGTATACTAGACGAATGGAAAGGGCGGACTAGGATGGTCCTGCTTATACACTTCACATGATTTCCCATGGCTTCGTGAACACCCCTCCATCATTGCATTGTGGTGAATATGCTTGACTGCTAGTGTTTCGCTGTGCTAACCTTCTCATCCCAGTTGTCGATGGAGGATTACTCGCTCTAATGGTGTTAGTAATCAGCCCGGCTTAATTGTGGGGCTATCCGATGCCCTCGGCACGTCAGTTCCTGTTCCACTGTTATGTCGAGTCTGGCGCTAGAGGGGGAACAATCTGTTGGAAACGACGATTATTTGTGGTGATCCATGTCTCTCGTCTGAACTTTGTTTTGCATCGAGGCCGCCCCCCCCCCCCCCCCCCCCCCCCCCCCCCCCCCCCCCCCCCCCCCCCCCCCCCCCCCCCCCCCCCCCCCCCGCCCCCCCCCCCCGGCGGGGGGGGGGGCGGGGGCGGCAGGACTGCGCGCCGAGTGTGGGTGCCCGGCGGCGCGTCCCCCCCCCGCCCCCCCCCCTCGGCTGGAGCGCGCTGTGCGGTCAGTCCGCGTCGGTATATCCGAAGACCTGATTCGGGAGCTGTGGGAATGCTTTTTCGAGGTCTTCTAGGAGGGAAACATTTCGTCGCATGATTGCGCGGTCTTTGCACTTCATGAAAGCTTTCGCCAATTTGCCTTTTCCTATAAAGGGTACTCTATGTCACTTTCACATGCACAGATATGTATTTTCTTATCTGCCCGCCTCCCCTCCCCAAGCGATAGTTAGGTCTCGAGTCTCGTTTAACGTCTGAGTCTAATTCGTTTCCTTTTCTACAGCAAAGCGAGTGAAGTATTATCACAAAATCTGCCCAGTATCAGAAAAGCTTTGTCTGTGCTGTCCACCACGTGCTTTCTCACGCGGCCCTCACTCGCACTCAGCATCTGGACTGAACCTTTTTCCTCGGTCACTTTGGGTTACAATGAGCCGCTTTCTATCCACTTCAGATGCCGATTCGTGTGCTGTACCTCGTGATAAATACTGACCGTATGTTTCTTTTTGTCAGAGGGAATAGGTGCTAGAAAAGATGACAAAAGTTTCAGCTTCCACAAGGTGATTTACTCATGTTTTCATTGGCAAATGGGCTGAAGCGTCAATGATGGAAGCGCAGTTTGCTCAGCTGGTAGGAACTGAACAGGTGAATAAACAGGCAGATTTCGGTCTCGATACGTTGAGCCCATGAATCGGCATCGTAAGATCTCGACGTACGTTCTGTCGCTGCTGAATGGATTGAGTGGCATTGGCTTTTGCTGCTGGTACGTCTACAGCCTTTGAAATTTTCAGGGTTGAAAGGGAGTCGTGGGTCAAGGTTACTAACACAGTCTTGCAGGTCTCGTTATTGGAAGTCTGACTATCGCGCGCTTTGGTCGTCGCATGACGAAAATCGTAATGAGTGTTTACGCCCTGATTAGTTACCACGGTTGTGGTTCCATCTACAATGGAGGAACATATTTTCGTGGGGAGAAATCCTCAACTGTACGGAAAGATCTACTCAAACGTACAGAGCTGTCTTTGACGGTTGTTGGAATGTCGACGTCGGCTTCGAATTGGCTGTTGCTTCCGTGTATTAGTCAGAGATCGTCCCAACAACTCCCGTTCGAGGAATGGTTGTCGAAACATAGCGACCCTCCAATGGCGTACGCACAATCCTATACAAGAAAGGTACGTAGCTTGGCAGTCTGGACATAAACTTCATCTGCTGCGGAAACGCAAGCTTCCAAGATAGCCGTTCTACGTCATTCCCTCGATCGTGTTATCATTAATTTGGTCCATCCCGGAGCCGGAGGTAGGCATGAGCAAAATTTATCGTCGTTCAACATTTATGTACCAACTCTGAAAACCAAGTCCTAATTCCCCAGCTGGCTCCTCCTCTGAGACCGCGTCAACGAAGCCAAATAAGCACACCATCACCTCTGCGCAGGCACCATATCCGAAGAAGAAATTGACCACGACTTCTCCAAAAATCCAATAATCCCTACTCAAAGAGCCCGAGCAAGGCCGAACAGAGGAGCTCTTCCAGGGCGTGAACCTCAAAGCGCACCGCCATCGCCGTCGGTGTGTCCCTTCTTCCAGCAGGCGACGGGCCCGGCCTTTGTGTCCCACTACGGCGCCGTCTGCGTCAAGGCGCTCGGCACGCGGAACCCGTTCGTTGTCGCCGTGGGGTTCGTACGCGGCGCTGATCAGGGAGCTGATCATGACATGTCTGGTCCTGACGGCATCGGGATTGGGCGATGGTATGAGAGCTTGTCTTCCTCCGAGTAATCATGGTCCCTATGAAGGTCACCACGAGACTTCCGTTATTATAAGCAAAATGGTTCGGATTCGGGCTCGAATCGGGGCCCCCCCAGACCTACGTGGTCGTCACAAAAGTGCCCAGCCCCGCGGCCTCCGCGACAGGCCCTAGCGTGTTTTAATCCTCGTTAACCCTCTTTATGAACGTTTTGGTCAAATTTTCACCCTTCTCCATCTCCTCAACGGCGCCATTCGAAGCGCTGCCGCAGACCAGAATCGGTTTCAGCTTTTGGCCAGCATCATCGTCTGCTCGGCGCTGTTTTCCGTCTTCTTCTGCGGCGTGCCAGAGTGCGATAGGGCGGAGCCTGGCGGTAGATTGATCACGTTTCATAAAGCCGTGCAGTTGAGGCGCTTTGAACAGCATACGATATAGGGGGTTACTTGTCAACGCGGCCAATGTCATTGATGAGGAGAACGGTGGTTGTTGGCCAGCACACTCCGTAGGTCAAGTAGGGCCCGTGAACTTGGTGGGGAGGGAGGCCCAGAACAGTTACGATGGAAGAGGCCCACTGGCCAGTTTTGTGTGTATAAGGTATGAGAAAAATAGAAACAAAAGCGTCTGTCCCGAGATCACTTCGCTTCGTTTTGCGTTGTAAACCCTGCGCGGGTATTTAGCGAGGCGTGTACGATTGATTGATGTTTATTCAGTTCCACGTGTAACCCCGCGGCATCCCTTCCCTGGTCAAAAAGTATCTGATCGCGTGTTGTTCATCCTCTCAATGACACATATACTTCCCCACATAACTTTCCGTGAAACCTTGCGTCGTGGTTCATCACAAAATCCTACCCAATCGCTTCTAGTACCCAATCTCTTCTAAGCCTTCTGACTCGTCGTGATTTTAAGCTCCCGAGGGCGAGATTATACCCGCAGTGGGACGCCTTGGCATGCTTGGCATCATTGCCCGATTCGGGTCATCCCGTAACTTTCTCCAAAGGCCTCGCTATCGGTTCTAACAAGGAGGATGCCAGGCCAGCTCATCTACAGACGATTACCCGATCTGGTCTCTGCGAGCTTGACGGCCGCGGAGCTTGCAGATGTGGTGAGGTCTCGGTCCCAACTGAGCCGAGCAGGCATTACTTGCCCAGGTCTCTCGATCGTAATTCTGTCGCCACCTTTTTATAACAGGGTCGCATAATTGTGGTGACCGAAATATCGACTTGGCTTGTTTGACGTTTCCTTTGCTTCTGATCGAAGACGAGAATGACTTGTGGCCGGGTACTCGACCTGCTCTTGGCAATCACGTGCTCCGGATTTCAGTCGTCCAGGTTCTAGCCATTGTACTGCTATGCCCAATTCTCCGGACTGATACCAATGTTGCCCACACTCCAGCGGTCCAAGTCCATATGGCCGTCCTCGTCCCGCTCCTTCTCATCAATTGGCCGCGCGAATTCGGTCAAGAACCGCAACATCCACCGGTCCATACGATAGCTGGTATTCATGCTCTTGCGACACAACTCGTGGAATGTCTTCAGTCGGGCGAAGCAAACCTCCAGTGCTGGCCAGTACGCTCGCAAAGCGACCAGGGTATTGAAATGACGCTCGAGTGTAGCGCGGGCGTTTGCAATCTCAGCCTCATCCGTCTCGAAGAGTAGGGTATGAATGAAGATGGATGAGGTGATGACAATGATGTGTCCGAGCATGTTGAACTTGGCATCACACCCTGGTGTTGTGTTTGCAAGATCGATGATGCGTGACATGGAAATGGCATTTTCCTTGCATTTGCGCGCAAACATCTGAGCGGTTGGTGAAGTAGGGAAGCGCTGAACCTCGTCGAGGTACTGGTAGTAAAGTAGCTGGCTATAGTGATAGTGGCCAGTGTGCACAGCGATAAAGATCCGACCCAGGCCCTGTGAGGCGAAAGCGTGGAGGTTGCTCGGGGTATCGCGGAGGTTATGGGGCAAAGCGACCTCCCATGCCTCGAGCTCCTGTGATAATTGAGACACGGTCTCATCGATGTTGGTCACATCAACATCAGATGTGAGACTCTTGATGGCGTCATTCACCCTCATCAGAATACTATTCAGCTTAATCATCTGAGCGATGAGTGAATCTTCACGATTCGGTGCGAGTATAAAGTCAAAGTGGTTGTTGTTTGCCCGGGTCATGTTGAGAAAAGTTGACTCGTTCATGGGTAACGGGACATCCATCCTGCGGTTCATGAGGCGCGGAAGATTAACTCCAGTGGACGACCATACATCGATCATGCAGAGCGACCAATATACTATGAGAGTCAGTGATTGGTAAACGTCATCAAATTTGAGGTGGGTTTTCTACCTCTGATGTGGATCTCCCTCTGAAGCGGGTCTGGGGTCGGCAGGTTAGGTAGATCAAGATAGTTGGCTATTCTGCACGCCGCTGAGTAGAAGATGGTTTCTGCACCTGCTTCGCCCTCTACGATAGAGTACGCGCCAAGAAGCACGCATGCTTGTGCGGTAGTGAGTGAGACGTCGCGCAAGTTGAGCAGTAGATTGCCCTCATTTGCAAAGAGCTCCCCTCTCGAGATTGGCGGTATCCCATTGAAGATGGGATTGGAAGAGAATCGTGCTGATAGCGCCATCATTGCGTAGACGAGCACTAAAGGGGCGGTCCCCTCGTGAAGATCCAGCATGAAGCTGGGCCTGTGAAAGAGGGAGTGCAGCTGATCGTGTATATACTTGAAGTACAACTCTACGAGCTCGAAACATAGTGGCTTATCGGCAACAGCAGCGGAAGGAGTTATGCCCGGCGGACTAGCGAGCATGATTTCGGTGACAATGGGCGTCTTTGGTGTTGTGATGGATATTGGACTGATGGGAGCTGCCTTGGGCTGGATGATGGTCCCGGCCCGCGAACAGGCAATGTTCTGAGCCGCACAGTAAGTGCACTGGCCGCCGCCGACGGGGACCTCGCATTTTCGCCGTCGCGCGCTGTCATGTCGTCGGTGAGCGATGCGCCCAAAAGCCAACGGGCTGGTCCGGAGAGAGTTCAAAGGGGAGAGAATCCGCAGATATGACTTACCGACACGCCGAGCACGCTGTTGAGTATCTCATTGTTGGCCTGGGGTGTCGTCGCTGTCGTCTCAGTCTGGAAAATCGCTGGTGTAATTGTTGGACCACAGTCGATATTTGACGTCTTGTGCCCTGGCGTCAAGCTGTCCCATCCGGTGATGTTGTCGTCTCGCCTGGTCTGACAGGAACTCGCGCGAAAGGAGCTGTCGATGTTCGGAATGAGGCGATCAAATCAAAAAAAGGCAAGTCACCTGTCACCTGTTTCCATCCAAGTGCCTCCTTCCCCCGAGCCACAGATGCAGCTAATGGCCAGGAAGGCGCATCTTCCCCGCTTTCCCACAACGATTCCCCGGGCCCTCAGTGGTTCGGCTGTGATCACTGCCCCGTATATATATGGGTCTTCTCCGCATTATCGACCTGGCCGTTCGTCTGGGCCCCCAGAATTGTCGATCTAACCGACATGGGTTAGCTTGCAAGTGGGTCGCTCGTGGGAGTGCGGAGCGACGAGCCGACGATTTTCTGGCCGCCTTTTGAGGTCTTCCCGTTTTGTTGCTACTCTTCAATTTCCCCATTCTCTCCTGATCCTGAATGGGCAACTTTATGGTTCAATACAACTCTCTCCAGACCTCCAATACCGCGCCCACATAGATCTCCGGCTCGAGGACCCGTGGTTTGTTGGTTCATGTGAATGGATCCCGTTTCGGTGAATGCTACGCTTCCAAACTTGGTTGTATTTCTCGTCCAATCAACCCCGCCCGCAACCTCAGTCCAATATGGCATAGTTGATATGAGGGGTCCTTGTTCTAAGACTGCCTTCCTCTCGGTCCTAGCAAGTTGATCAGAGCCCTCCAATCATCCTGGGCTCCGAAATGTCCGCCGATCGTTCCTGTTTGCCAGCACTCTATCGGCGAATTGACTGCAGTAGCCGGCTGAACCTCGACCAGAAGAGGGTCCGATTCAGGTAAAGTGCTTCGATAATTGGCCCCGTGGAAAACAAGCATTGGATGGCCTGCCTCCGTCGTCTCCGAAGGGCCGACTTCCTCTTCCCCAGACGGGAGCTCCCGCAGCCTACCCGTCGGCCACGCGGAGAAGTCCTCAGAATGCCGCGGCATTCGCCTGAGGCTTTTCTGAACACGACGGGTGTTCAGGAAACTCGGCCGACTGATGCACCCATAATCTGTCCTCTTTGTCTGCATGTAGCCACGGGGTTCGGATTGATATTCCCTGAATTGGGCTCACGTGTGAACGTGTTCATGGACCAGAATTGGGGTAGTACTGCATTACTGCCTCTTGGACTCGAACCTACTATTTCGCCATTTTATCGACATTGGTGGAGATAGGCAGTCCCAGCATAGATTATTTATATGCCACCAAGTCGTCCGCTCATATATCATCCAATCGTCAGTCTCTTAAGTCAATATATGAAGTGATCGGAAGAAGCCGATGGTAGAGAACCTTTCTGCACCTGTCAGTCATTCGATTTGAAGACACATGATAGAAAGCTCAACTGACCTTATGATAGAAGTTAGGACCTTGGCATGCTGTTGTTTTCCGTTCCTCGCGATGGCTATTGTCCCAAGAATATAATGGTGCGTTGCCATGTGTATGTCAAATTCGTCACGACGACCAATAAGCTCTCTAGATGAAAGAAAGTGGCGAGGTAATGTTGCGAACAAGAGTTGGCGCAAGTGTTTCCGTGCCTCTCCGTTGAGACATGTCGCCGAATCCAGTGCGGCGCTTCGGATTTGACCCGCCCCTCGTTTGATGGGCATAGTTTCTTTCTTCCCGGCCTCTGTGACCTGTCCACGTCCCATTCCGAAATGGCGCCACATTACGACCCAGGCATTCCGTCGTTGCGCCGTCTCTTTCAAACTGCTCCAAGTCTCCCCTGGTTCATATAGGTTGATTTTGCATCCTCTTGTTGGCTGTCGTAATTGGCAAAAGCACGTCGTCCCTGAGAAATATGAGTGTCGAGTAGATGCGTCGGTAGCTTGATTTGAAAACCTAAGGCCGAATATCGTTTCTGAGAGCGGGCGACTCCGGAGGACGAAGGATATGCCTTTCTGACGGAGTCAATGAAGATGACTTTTGACGAAATAAGCCTGATGCCATTCACAGTAAAGGACAGCCAACAGGGAAAAAAATCTCGTCCAAAGTATTCAAAGAAAGGGAAGTGGCCCCCAGAGCAGTGTTATGTAAACCATTTTCAATCCCGAATTCCGCCAGAAAGGAGTGGGTGAATAAACAATATCCGCCAGTCCCGTCCAAGCAAACCCGCTAGTGGTGGGAAACCGTTGCACGGGACGGCGTAGGGAATGCGGGGAGATCTGCGGGAGTGACACGGCTCTTTCCAGTTGGTCGGTCTTTTCGCTGCATCCACATCATACAGATGCAGGGATGAAGACGTGCCATGATGGTAACGCCTGGGTGAACCGAGGACTACATTCCCTTCTGGTTATTCAACTTTTCTATCAGTCAATCACCTCCCTCAAGTTCCCACCAGATGCTCTATTTGGGTGCCATGTCATGATAGCTCATTCCATACAATTCATCTTTGGTATCAAAGTCTGAAACGTCACCTCAATCAATCTTGCTTTCTCCTTTTTCCAAGGCTCAGAAGGGAGTTTCTTTAGTGAGAGCGCTCGTCCCTTCAAAGACGGAGAGCTAAAGCATGGATCGGTTCCCCTTGGGCCAACAGTTAGTAACCTGCTACAGGTCTTGGGAAATTCTGGGGAATTGCTTCCAACATATTTCATTATATTTGACATGTGTCCCTTCTATTAGCCATTGAGCCGCATCGTGCTGCAAATGAAGAGAGAAAGGCCAGTTCACTAATCAATCATTGGTGGGAAATGGTTTGCATGGCATAGGACACTACGGCTAATAGTAAGACATTAACCGTTCTAGTGTTAACTCAAAGCCAGTAAGCAATCCAAAGCCTTGTAAACGTCATGAAGTCTAATCTCTTGACATGGAAACAGGCACCACATACACTGCCGTTCGCCAAGTTGAGTCTATATACACAGTGTACAAGCATGATCTTGCAACACGGTCGCTCTTGCGGGTACGCTTGGTTTCCCTTCACAACATTGGGAACCGTAGTAAGCTTCCCAGCGCTCACCTATCATCGCCAGTAGGAATGATATCGTGATGAGTTTCGAATTTTAATGAAGTTCCGGGGGTTGGGTGAATACCCGACAGGCACGGAAATTGCTCCTATCGCGTCTTCAATCATTTCCCCACCAACATGCGACTTTCATTGATGTAAGAAGCCTTAGGTTTTGACTGAAGATATCAATAGTAAATGATATAAGAGAAAAGGGATCAGATGTTACTAAGTCAAATTCGACTGATTGTACCCATGAATTAAGTCTTTTCTCTTTTCCCTCTTGGCAACGCTCCGTGGCGGCCATTGCATGAAATGAATCCCCACAACCTCAAGTTAAAGGGACGCCTGCTAGGAAACATCGCGGATGAAACTTGCAACACCAGAAGCCAAAATGCTTATGAACGACGTGCATTTATATTTACGCCAACCTCGACCGTAGGGGTCTTTTCCTTGTCTAGTCAAATGTAGAGAGCTTTGTAATTGTTGGTTTACGTAATCACAGGGTGATTTGTTCGATCGAACCGTGGTGACGAAGGCTCAATTAACTTGTATTGATCTCTGCGTGAAGAGGAAAAGAGAGGTTCCAACCGTGGGTTGGATCGCCGGTTTGAACGCTGATATAGAGACCCTCAGATGGCCCCTGCGCTGGCGCTGACTCGAGGTCGAATTGGGCTTCCAATCCGACAGTAATGTACTCAGAAGTCTATACACACTGTAGTTTTGAAAGTAATCAAAGCTACCTACATATTATTAGCACCCAACGCCTACAGTCTCTTGACTTGGGAATTTTAGTTAGACAGTTCGCAGAGGGGAAGAATGTCTAAAATGGCATAGCAAAGGTAGTATACATGTCTATCACGTGGCTCTTGGCTTTCAACCTTTAGCCGGTGTCTAGTATTTTCAATGTATAATGACTTTACAAAAGAACCAATCCTAGCTGTGAATGCTTTGTATTCTACGCGGAAAATCTGCCGTATGCGTAGAGGAAGTCAAGTTACTTTCCCATCTGACGTAGCGGGAGAACGATGTAAGCAGATGCAACCTTGCAGCTTACGCAAGGGGCGCTCTCCAAGTTCGTGCCGGATGCGGGACGGTCGACCATGAAACTCCTAAGCAACTGAAGGTTCTGAGCCGAAAATGTGGCTCAAGCCAGCATAGGCTCCGACCAGTCAGACAGGGTGCCAAGCTGCACGCTTCCGAGGAGATGGTCCACACAACCGGTGTCATGGGCCGGAGGTATCTGTGGAAGCGGAAGGCTGCTTAGTAGGCTAAGTTGGGTTCGATTCTTGGCGGCGCTAAGTAGCATTCCAACCGAACAGCTTACTTTTAATAACGCTCATGAGCCTGAGGTATATTGCAGCCTAAAGCTCATAGATTCTAATCCAAACAGATAGATCATGTTTCAAAGGTAAATACTAAACGTACCTAATATGTAAGGGTACGCTATTATCAGGGGTCGTGAAGAAGCAAGAGTTCGCTGAATAGGTTAAGTTCGGTTCGGTTCCTATTAGAGTCAACTAGTGTTTTAGCTCAATGGCTTACTTTTGTATCCACCAACCAATACTCTTGTACTTTGTAGGGGATCGGAAAGTTACGAGTTTCGTGTAGGCTGAACAATGGAAGAGTCCGATTCGAACAAGGTGGTGCAAATTCAACGAAATCGTCCTCCCATCTTGACAGGGAGATAAATGCGCGACCCTGCACACGGCGATCCACGGTTTCGGGTCTGCATGAGACGAACTAGGACAAACTTTGGGGAGGGAAGCATCTGGTCGCACACCGCCCTCGGCAGTATGGGTAGATGTGCTGCGCTAAAGTGTGCCATCTTATATTTCGGGCGTCGAATGGTAGATGGAATCGAGCGTCTGACTCGCCTGTTCAAACAGCGAGGGTTTTGTCGGGCTGTATGGTTGAGTAACTTGATACTTTTTGCCATGCGCGGTGCCCTAGTACACAGATCCCCCTTTTCTGGGCTTATTGAAAAATGGAAGTGGTTGGTTTAAACGAATAAGTCACAGGTTGTGTGTGTCTGACTCTCGCGTGTATGAGATAGTCCATATTACATGCGGTTCACACGCCAATCCAATAGATCTGCCGCCTTGACAAAATTATCATTCAGCGGGAGCTATATTTGTATTCTACGGGTTGCAATGCGTCGGTCTAGAGGCGGTGACGGCGGACACTTCTGAGGAGCCAAAAATGAATATGACCTTGACTACAGAAGTTCTTCACAGCATGACAAACGACATTCTATGAGTATTTACCCTTGTTTCCAAATGAGTGCTTTCACAGAAACGTTACAAACCCCTGAATGTTGCTCTTTCCCCTCCCCACTTTTCCCGGAGAGCTTTGGTTCATACGCAGACTATCTCACGTCGCATATAGTATCCCCGTTAGGCGTTGTTTACAGAGTATCGACCATGACTTCATGGCATGTGCAGGCTGTATCGCCGGCTTATTTATCGCATCAATGTCCACTATCTTCTGCCTCCACGATATATTGGACATTCGCATGTGGTACTTGGCTCTGACTTTATGGGATCCCTCGTCCCGATGGTACGATTTGGCCTGGATTGGCTCACTAGGATTAGAGGTAAAGTATAGGTTTTCCCCGATCATTTTGGACGACTTGCCTGAATCTTCCACTTTGATCTAGCCAAGCGATCGAATACTATCCAGAAGATGGGCAACGTTTTGACGCTCACTCGAGCTTCATCCAATGCCGGTCGACAGGAGAGACCCGAGCACATCTGAGGCTGGCAGGCTGAGAAAGAGACGACTGAACGTAGACCCGATTGGGGAAGGTTGAGGAATGCATAAAGTTACAACCACCCGATCGGCAGCAGCATTCGCCTCGGTATCGGCTCGGTATCGGCTCGGTATCAATTCGCCTTCAACCTACACAACTTATGACATAAAAATACCTTCTGGGTTCTTCGATACGTTCTCTGAGTTCAAGCGTGGTTCTAGATGTTGGGTGCAAGCAACCCCCCCGTGAGCCACTCATTTCAATTGAGAGTGGGTTTTGGTTATTGTAAAGGAGCAGAACAATGCCGGTGCCGGAATACGAGGTTCATGTGGCACATTTCCTGCCCATCATTTGGTGAGGAAACCGGTAGGTCCAACTCTCACTTCTGTCGGGGACAGCTCGGGCCTCTGGAGAAGCTCTCTCTAGTTCTTGCACCGCCGATGCTGTGAAACAATGGAGAGGAGCTACGGGCAGAAGATTCAGGGCAGGTCAATTTCGATGTATCTCCCCTTTTGAGGACAAACTTGCGCGTGGAAGGTCCACGTTACCTGCGACTTCAACCGGCTCGAGTCCTCGTCGGCATCAGTCAGCGGCGGCAGCTCAAGTTGCCTGCCGGCGTCCCAGACCCCCTCGGCGGCCCCCACGAACCTTTTCGCGTCCATCGTCCCTAGCAGGAAGAATATGCATTGATTATGCATTCGTTCGTGTTGCTGTCCCATGTGTCGGCGAACCAACGCATCGGTACCCTGCTTTATCCACAACCACAAAAGTCCCTCGGGACATCATCCATATTTACACAACTTTTCAGCCCTAGGGACGTGGAAATGATCCAGACGCGGGTACGTCTCTGCCCGTGGCAAAACATTGGATGATGCTGGAAGAAGGTTGCGGTGGACCAACTTCCACCGGGCGCCCTCTCCTAGAAATACTGCTCGACACCGGCAGCGATCCGTGAATTTATCGCCGCCTCCATCCACCATCCCCCCGGTGGACGATGCCTGAGTCAGCCTACATTGGCAGCGAGCAGATTATCGAAGAGTCTTTGTTCAGTCCTCCCGGGCTCTCGGTCCACTTTCACACGCCCAGGTTCACAATGCCGGCTCACGATATCTTAGGAAAGACCAGGTAGCGGCCTGGCTTAAATTGCTGTGCTCGGGGTGTCTTATCCGAACAATTCTTTCAAACTTTCACTTGGCAGTTGCCCTGCCCCCAAAGTAACTCCACAGCTTTGCCTATCTCAGTAGAGTTGCGCCCCAGGCCGGGCAGCCGGGACGTCTACCCACCTCCAAGAGCTCCTTGGCAACTCTAGTCACGTCCATCAACTTTATTTCGGTTGGAAAGACCATTTTAAGTTCCCCTAGGCAAGATTGAGGAGACGCGCTAGCGTTCTGAAATGAATCGATCCGAGGACTAATTGACACATATCCCGCTGCACTCAAAAGTAGTGCCCCGCCAGTGTCTTGGCTAATATACGTTTTATCGATCGTATCTTGCCAACAACTTTTTGAGACTTCACCTTGCACCTCTCTACAACACTTACAATCCGGATAACGAACGCCCAACCCGCCAACATGACGAACATGAACGCAACACCACACTCTGCCGACCGCATGGGCGCCAGCACGAGGAGGCTGCGAAACTCTTGTGACTTTTGTACTCGCTCGAAGCTGAAATGCGATCATTCAAAACCGTCCTGCCATCGCTGTCTGCGACGCGGGCGAGATTGCGTTTACAGTCGGGTTCGGAAAGCTGGCAGGCCACCCAAGTTGGCAAACAAACGACAGAGTGCTGCCACCACGATATCGGAAAATCAAGCAGAACAAACCAAAACGGAATTACTCCCGTGCACCCCCAGTCCGAGCGTGGCTTCATTCAGTAGCATCGGCAGCATCGACTGCGTGATGGACACGGCGGCGACTGACTGTTCTGACAACCGAACGCCGTCCCCGTCCACCAGCAAAACCATGGAGGCCAAGCTTCTCGACGATTTTGACGGCAACCCGTCTACTTGGGTTCACAGTCCCGGAATTTTACCCGCGCCCCAAGACCTTGACTGGTTGCTGCCCTACAGCATGGACAATAATAGCTCTTTATACGGCACAGACTTCTCCATGGAAGACCTCCTCGCTCCGGACATGCACAGCCTCACATTCATGTCTCCGTGGTTCTCAATAGAAGAATCATCGCCAGCTCGGTCATTGCATCAGTATATAGGCCTTCCTACGCCAGATCCACTATATGATACCAGAACCTCTTATCCCACTTATACTCCAGGGACCGAACAATCGAAGCTTTGGCCAGTATCAACACCTGATGTAAGCCAAGGAGGCTACATCACCCGCGCCTCGCTGAGCTGGTGAACATCCCCGAGCACCCATCTCACGCTACCAGGGCCAGCGAATGCCTTTTCTCTCTCCTCTTTCAATTGTCACATGCAACTTTTTAGTGAGATGGACTCATGAGTACCGATAAGCATCCTCCTCGACATTGAAAACTCTAAACACCAGACGAGTGGAATCATGCGAACTTGCCAGGACCGCAAGCAACGCTCAACCCTCTCTATGACGATGTTGTGTCCTGTCATCGACTGGGTTGTCGACAGTCTGGGCAAGGTTCTCTTTCGCAGTGTTATCTTCGGCGGCTCGTCATTTCCGTCGTTTTACAAAACAAGAATGCGCCGCAGGACGGCGACTTGGGTCAGGGCGGTACTGGAATCCCGAACCTGTGTATATATGAGCTGCTCAAGGGCCGACTTCTGAGTTTTAGGCAGAATGTCGATAGGATAGGTGGCGAAACACAAAAGAAGTCGGCCGATGAGCCTGCATATATGGAGTCGGATTGTTTGGCGAAAGCGTTGGGGGGTATGGGGCAGGATATCCGCACAACGCTGGATAACCAACTTCGGTTGATGGAGTTACGGCAGTCTTGATGGCTGGTGAATTGAGAATCAAACCAATGTTACCACGTGTTTCCTGTTTCTACTAGCAGTTTCCGGAAAGGAATCTTGACCAAGACCACGCCGTGTTACACCCCCTAATAACTGCTGGAGATTCATGTCCGGTGCCCGGCCTGACAGTCCGACTAAGGGGTCCCACCAGGGCCCCTGCTGGCGTATATGAGGGGACAAGGGCACAGACTAGAGCAGAGCAGATTCGATCCTTTTGTTACAATACACACCTACCTTGGGCTGGTCTTCTATACGTGTCTCACTTCTCGCCAATGCACCTGACAATGCATTCAGATGGTAAGCCAAAACCTTGTTGAACAAGTTCCCAATTCAACTTGAACTTTGTCATCCAAGTAAGGCTTTGGTTTGATGGATTTTGCATTTCAAAGGGCCAAGCATTTATGTCAATCAAACCTACGCTGGTTTCACTTTGCCACTGGCAAATTAGTAGACAGAGGGCTTGAACACGCGGATAACGCGCTCCCAGAGCTCCAACGGTGCATTGCGACATAATCCTACAATCAAACCTCCCCTACAATATCATGATCATACTCGGGGTTGACCCAATCAGGCTGTCCTGCCTTCTGTCTAAGTGCTCCTCCAAACTTGTGCAAAAGCCCCAACGCCGGTATGCAGAAGAAAATAGTGATGATACCATGTCCCGCAAATGTCCAGGTATAGCCCACACTCGTGACCCAGGGGGCGATGAAGAAGGGATCGATAAAGGCGCTGAGGTTGAGAAGCACTGCGTAAAAGGTGATGACAGCCATGCTCTGAAGCGGGTAGGCGTCGACAATGTAGGAGCAGATGGCCGTGTTGCCCATTTGGATCCCTGCGCCGACTGTGATGGGGAGAAACGGTCAGTACATATTATTGAGGTTTCCATGACGAAGGAAGGAAGGGCAGTCGAAAAAACGTACACAAAGCAAATGCAACCTGCCCGACCATCCAGTGGTATGCCTTATCAATACTCACACCCCAAATGATGAGGCCGATGGAAGTCAGCAGAGCCGCGGGATACGCCAGCCACAGACGCATCTCTGCAGTCTTTACGCCTTCATTGCGCTTCGCGAGCTTGATCACAAGCCAGTCGCTCAGTTTTCCGGAAAAGAATATTTCAGAGACTAGAGTTCCGACAATCAATCCAATGAAGAAGAGTCTGTGTCACAAGTTGTTAGCTTCTTCGATACTTCCTCTATCCCCCAACCCCGATTGCCTTTTTTTCGTCACTTACCCCTGAATTTGCGGCGAGTAATCAATGTATGCCACAGGAATCATCGTAATAACCGACAACACCCACCAATACCACCCGAAACAGTAGACACCCGTCGCAATGGGTACCACGGAGAACTTGAACAGCTTCCCGAACCGCACGATCGAGGCCCACGGCTTGGGGTGCTTCATCGCCGGCACGGGCTTCACATTCAAAAAGCCCAATGTCTTCGTCCTCGCCACCTCCGGCGCCCTCCTCCCCACCGACCCAATGGCCTTTTCGTCCACAGCGCCGTCGCTTGTCGGGGCAACGACACCTTTTGCCTTGGAGAGCATGTAGTCTCTCGGATACAGCGTCTCGGGCAAGAAGGCCAGCTCCGCGACGAGGATCACGGCGAAGAAGATGGCCGTCATCCACTGGATCCAGTAATGGTCAATCAGGTCCACGAACCCGCCAATCAGCGGTCCCGCGAGGAGACCCAGGTCGATGGCCAGGACCCAGAGCCCGACTTTTTGTCCGCGCTCGTGCTCGAAGAACATGTCGTTGATGATGGCCAAGCCGACGGTCGCGGCGGGGCTGACGCCGAGCCCTTGGAAGAAGCGAGCCGCCATGTATCCGCCGTACGAGGGGGCCTTTGCGGCGCCAATGGTCGCGGCGAAGGCGACGAGGGTGCCCGCGATGAAGATGGGCCGGCGGCCGATAATGTCTGCCGCGGAGGACCAGAGCAAGGGGCCGATTGCGAGGCCGAGGGCTGGGATGGCGACGGTCCAGTTGACCAGCTCGAGGGTGAGGGAGTATTGCTCCTGCAGCTCGGGGAAGGAGGGCACTGTTGTTGTCGTGATGTAGGTGAACATGAAGTAGCTGTGGATCGGAAGGAGGTCAGCTCGAATGCATCCCATTCACACGGCTCATGGTGCAACGTACAGTGCCATCACGATAGCGAGGATCGTGTTCTTCTGGGAGGAAGACCAATTGAGGGGGTCCATTGCGTCGCCCGAAATGGGTTGGGGGTGAACGCTGAAGCCATCCTTCGTAAGTGTGAGCTCCTGTGTCGTCTTCCCGATGCCATTCTCCTCGGGTCCTGTTGATGATCCAATCTTCTCCTTCTCATTCATCGAGTCCGCCATTGTGAATTTTACTTTCCCGCAATGCTGTGGTTCCAATGATTAAGTGGCTTGAAAGCGAAAATGCAAGCAAAAGGGGGAAACGCCAAGAGTATCTTAATAAGACAAAAAAGGACCTCTATAGCCACATTGATTCAGATCAATCGACAAAGCGACGGGATCGAGCTGCCCATGTGTATATATGTGAATACAAACCTGCACCACCTCCCGAGTCCCCCTATCTCAGAAAAGTCAATGATCAATCGATAGTCATTTGCAATGCAAGGACACCCTCCGCACCCTTGCAGCCCTGTCTGTGCCTATCCCACTGAAGACATCGAACCAGGACTTTGGAAGACAAGCTTTCGGATGGGTACAAGAACAGGCGACGGCAGCCACCGGCATCAAACCACCGTCACGACCCCCCTGCCTTCAAAACCCTCATGTCCCCCAAAGTCGTGTTAGGCAATATCATTGAATAATCCCGTCCTCACACCTCATTGGTTGAGTTCTGATGTCTGCCCTGGCTCTGACCTGGCACGCCTGGCATCTTCGCCTCTCTGCTTGCGTAGTAGTCGCAAAACGCTCTAAAGATAAGGCCGGGGTGATGGAGAAAGGGAGGGAGGGGGGGCGTCGGAGGGACGGGAGTGTGCCGGGGGCGAGGGGAAGACCCGCCAAGAGATAAGGAAGAATGTAACGGCAGCCCCGTCGAGACCTTATCTCTCTACCTCTTTCTCCTTTCCATCCCAAGTCTCCCGTCTTGCGTCTCCCACGCTTCGCCGAAACTGGCATTACCGCGGCAGATGACGCTGTACTACACTAGTCAGATTTTCTGTTACTCGACTGATAAGATGCCGTTCCCAAGACGTTGGAACTGACATTTCTTGTCTCGATGCAGAAAGTCTGCGGCACGTCGTGCAGATGGTTTTTCTTTTTTTTGCGGGGAATCTTCAATCGTCTCGCGTGGCGGTCCCGGACCAACGCTACTGTCACTCACGTCGCCATGTCACTACCTCATTGTCGCGTTCTCAAGATGACTTAAACTTTGTTTTTCTACCTGTCAATGGCACGAGATGCAGAAAGTGGAGAAATACAAGTAGGCGAAAGAAATTACGAGCTCATAAGCCTATTATCCGACGAATTTAGAAACCTCATGTCCTGGCAGTCCTGAAGATACCCAAAGCCATTGGGTTTGAATCCTACAAGTAATACCGTTGCTATTGACCTAATGTAAAGTCTTAAAAGCTCTTTGTGATCAAGCTGGAAAGAGGCGATTAGGATACCCCTCAAATCTGCTGCTGTACCTGAATTGGATCGACCAACCAGTCGCCTGGGATTGGGCCCTAATGAAGTGTGTTTGATCAATACAAATGATTAAAAACCATGCAACATCCTCATGCCGAGCGATAAGCGAAATCGCTCGGCGCGAGCCAATGGCGACTGCAGGGCGGTCCGTCGAGAGACAATTGCGATCCCACCAGACGCCACATCAGCAGAACGTGCAGGGAAGCGATGCGGCATGGAAGGCTTTGGCTGGTCAAGTCCGATCTCTGACGTATGTCAGCTATAAATCCAAACGCAACCCCCGGTCATTGAGCACAGAGGAAACGTCTGCTTATTGCCGGTAGATGAGATGAGTGAAATACATCTGGTATGAGATGATGCCCCACAAACGCCAGCAAGCAACATTGATGGACAGCCCATAATCTCTCAACCTAGTAACATGTATCGCATCTGATCATTTGCTGTGGAAGAAGATGAGTAAGGCGTTTGACGGTCTTTATCTCAGTGAATCGATTTGTATTTTTCCTGCTGTCTACCACGTTCTTGAATTTGAAAAGTTTCACTTCAGGCTCTTGAAAAGGCTTGACCCAAGCTTGGTGCCCAGAATCTGGCATCAGCTTGTGATCATCTTCATTTCCCGGGCTCATTACATGCTTGTTTTACACATGTCAGTGGATCAGCAGATATTTTTGAGATGCTGTCGCCGACGCATCGTCGTTCTCTTCAGACTGCCGCTCAAAGGCATCCATAGCCTGCGTCGAGGTGAATGCATGATTGTCGAAGCCGCAATTGAATTGCGAGTCTGCGACACGGCGATGAGAAACACCGAGGCCAAGAGCCTCTTGATGAAGTGCTGCGTTATCGATTTGATGCAATCCATGTTGGCTGATGCTCAGACGAGGAAGAGCCCAGATTCGGTTCAGAGAGCGGAAAAGCTAAAGCTTCCATCAGGGTTTCGAGGGTGGGCTGTGAGAGAGTTATATGGCGTTTTACATACTCGAGCTTTGCCGGACAAGCAGCGAACAAGGCTTTGGACATGTCGCCATGTCACGACGCTGCGTGTAGCCCAAAGCCAGGGACATATGGATTTGCGGCTGATGGTAGTTGTGGGGATCCGAGAGCATGGGAAGTCTGGAGAACATGAGCTGCAAACAGCTGGCAGATGGCTCATGGCAGCGGATCCAGGTACTATATCTGCTCCATCATCGTCTGCCTCTTTTACACACTGGCGGGATCCGGATCCATGTAGCCCGATAGAAACCAGCTGAGCTCACCGCTCATGTCGAACTGCGAAGGTGCCACAAAGTAGTCCGGTGCCAGCTGGTTCTCCGCAAACCCTGACCAAGTCAGCGGCCCATCAAGACCCGAGCCAATATCATTGAGGCCGGCGGCGCTGGCTAGAGAAGCCGGGTAGATATCGACCGAGTCCGTCATCGTCACGTCTGCCGGAGCCGCGTCGGAAGTCTGAGGCACAGACGAGGGCTGAGGGGAATCAGAGTGCTGCAAAGCAACCTCGTCGGCCGTCTTGGCGTTGCTGTCGAAGCTCTGGGACAGCGGGTGATATCTGCTCAGCAAGTTGTTCCGCTGGATCTCGCTGCTGACCGGCGCGAGCTCCTGCGTCTCCGCGTCGTTCTGCCGCCTGTTCTTATCGGCCTCGACCATCTTCTCGACGTCTTGCTGTAACACCGCGATGATGGGCGCGATCTTGGCCATGCCGTCCAGCAGGGCGATGTTGCTCTGGCACAGGGCCTCCACTGCTTCGTCATTGAGCTCTACCGCGTCGCCGGTGATTGGATCGACCAGATCATCGTAGAGCCTGCACCGCCGTGCCATGAGGAGGGTTTTGGTGCACTGGTGCACCATGCTGCCGTGTTCGAGACGGAGGGGGATACGGGTCTGCTTCGACTGCAGGGCGCCCTTGGCCCTGAGGTTCTGGAGGTACTCCCACAGTCTCGCCTGGCGCAGGGCGTGGGAGACCACGAGGGCGCGCCATTCAGAGACAAAGTCTGGCGGGGCGCTCGCGAGGAAGGTCGGGGACGCGCTCTCCCTGTACGCAGCTGGGAGTGCGACGCGGAAGAGGTCGCAGCAGCATTGGAGGTACCACGAGTTGAGCGTGAGGTACGATGAGAACTCTGATGTGGTTGAGTGGGAGAACATGTTGAGTTCGCCGAGTTGAAGGTGTTTTGGTACGTTTTTGAGGAAAGCCTTTAGTCGATATCGTAATTCTGTCATGGCGGTGATAGCTTTAGAGACTGCTTCTGGGGAATGGTCTGAGTAGCTTTCTATGACAATTCTCTTTGTTAACCTGGGGAGGTCAGTAACAATTTTCTCGTTTGGACAAGACAAATTGCACAAGTCCTACCGTAATATCTCACCGCGAATTGGCAAGAGCATGATCAAGTAGGCATTAGGCCCAGCTTCATGAGATGCAAGCACCTCCACACCATCGCTAAGCCTGCTCGTCGGCTTCAGCAGTCCATGACAGAAAGCATGCTCCGAGTTTGGCAAAGAAGTCCTCATCCACCGATCCGGCAGCGCGGTGAACTCATCGAGACCCGCCGAGAGCATCTTGTCCATGCTCCACACATGCCACACGAGACGCCTCTCGCACTCGCGCTTGATGAGCGTGGCGGTGGTGTCGTTGTCAGACGTCGGCCTCTCGTCGTTGAGCTGGAACGACACTGCCAGCCGCGCGGCCATGCTGATGAGCATCCACATCTTGCCAAACTGCCTGTAGGCGAAGTTTTGGAACATGGACAAGATCAGGAGCTGGATGTTGAGAACCTTGAAGACGTTTAGGTTGCCAAAGATGTAGGCGTCTACTTCTTTGGCCCATTGTACGGATAGGACGCGCGACTCGCGCGACCGGGAGACGAACATGGCCGCAGACGCACATATCGATGTGCAAAGGATCGGAGGCAGCTTTCCGGCGTAGAATTCCTCCATCACGGAAGGCCGGTGGAAGAAGTCGTGGCCTATCGGGTAGACATGGTCAAAGTAGGCCTCGAGATGCTGGCGGATGACGTCCGTGCTAAGGAGCGCGTGGTCTAGGGCCGTATTCAGAGACGCCCTGCTGACGCTATGTTGTGTTTGTTGTTGTTGTTGTTGTTGTTGTTGTTGTTGTTGTAGTGTTGACTCGGCCTCGTATGAAGCACTTTGGCTGAAGGTGCTACTTGATTCCGGAGACCGGGACTGCGGCTGTGGGCCACCGGCCTGCCGACTCTTGCGCCTCGAAGTCGATGATGGGTACACACAGACCAGGTTCCTCCGGTTGCAGTGGAAACATTGCGGGCGGTGACCGGAGCATTTGGCCTTTTGGACGCGGCACTCCGTGCATGCGGCCGCGATGCGCCTGCGTTTAGTCCCGGCTTCGGTGAGGGTCTCTGTCGGAGCCGAAAGCCCGTGTGGAGTAGGGACTCTTGGGGAAAGATTGATCTCTGAGTAGTTGAAAGTACAGTCGAGTCTCAGCCGGCGACAATTCTCACATGGCTCAGGGCCCCCGGTACATTTGACCTCCGCTGTGTCAGTATGCTTGATGTACCTTAGGAGGCGGGGAATCGGGAGGGGCGGGGGGAACCACAACGCGGATGGTTTGGAGCCTACTTTACCTTTCGGCGCTTACACGTCAAGCACCGGGGTCTGGGCAGCGGTGCTGGTTCAGGTTCGGCGACCGGACTGGGGCTCGGCATCGTGTCTCCGTCTCCTCCGGTTGCAGGGCGAGTTGAAGAAAGCCTGATGGCGGGGGCCCTCGCATCGAAACTCAACGTCGAGACTCAACGGCAGACCGGGATGCGGAATCCGGAAGAGACCGAGGATAATATGCCCCGGAAACCCCAGTTTTCCCACCGAAACAAGACTGACGTGCTCGGCATGCGGGGTCGCCCTAAGCCCGTGTGAACGAAACGCAACCCACAGCTCATCAGCTCTAGCGAATCCGAGGGCGCGAGAGAGCCCGAATGGGTGGAGCACATCATTGTGAAGAAGAATGGCGGAAGAGCTGCTCAGCGCAATTGGACAGTCGTTTTGATGGCTGGTGGGGGAGGCAGTAATACTTTTGGGATATTGTAGATGAGGTAATCTGGGGGAGTAATTGCTAAACAACTTGGCTCTATTACTAACCCTAAAACTATAACCCACACTGCCATCCGTAAAGGGCCCAGCGTCCTTTGGACCAATACTTCCATACACAAGCCATGTCGAGATACACACGGAAGAGGCGGACCTAGGGTCTGGAGCTTACATATGTTTATCACAGCAAACAACATGACAAAACAAGTACGTAGACGAGGCAGGGTGGAGCGATCAACTGGGGTTGGATATGCAGACAACTTCATCATGAGGGGTCGTGTGAGGGAGATCTGGTGGGAAGAGGAGATTCCTACTGTATTAGGTAGCGTTCTAGGGCTTGTATCAGAGACACACGAATCAAGGACACATATTGAGAGTGGCCTGTGAGTCTTGGGTGAGTTTGGGCATTATGAGCATGAGGCTTTAAATGCCGCCTGAGCAAATTTTGATGACAATTTCTAACTCCGTATTTCTAGAATGTCAGAAATACATCATCTGCCACGCATCATCAAATGACTCCCTAAAGCATAGGAAAGTTTCCTCACTACGACTGGATCCAATAACCCAGATCTGCCCATAGCTTACACCTGTCCCCTCTTCCTCCTTCCCAGGACAAACCATCCACGACTCGGAAGTCAGCTTTCCCACCTTCAGGACTAGTCAGGTTCAAGTTCAGCATCGGGTATGCCGAGCTGTTCTGGCGTGGACTAGCCGATCCCCATGGCAGCCATTGCGACTTTTGTGCAGCTGAAACATCTTCCCCGACTTGACTGACCGTCAGCGCAACATTGTTGGTCAACGTCGGGTCGCCATCAATGACAAACCGACCCCACATGCTCTGGAACGCGATTCGAAAGCCGACACTCTCATCAGCGCCGTCAGTATCGTTGGTTCCCTGAACGTCCTTCATGAGAACGTCCAGGTCGTCGTCGTGAAAAGAAGGCGGTGGCGAGTATTGATAGCGCCATGCTTGCATCTGTCTAGCCAGAGAGGCGTTACCGTGGGAGAAAGCATCCGCGAGCCACGTTGCGGGGCAGACAAATGTGACCTCGGCGTAGAGGTTGTACGCCGCTTGCAGCCACCCTTTTGCAATTCCTGAAAGACTCGTCGCGAATGGGGCTGTCAAGCCGTTGGATGGGTAGAAGGGGCCCAGAGTAGGTTCCTCTCCGATGTCGTACATCCTCATAATAGTGCTCACGTTCCCGTCTGTCAACAGCGGAAAGCTCCGTCGCAAGAGAGAAATAAATTCGTCTCGGCTGGTGATGTCTGTTGGAACAAACAGCGTGCCCTCATTGGCGTTGTTCTGTCATCGATGTTTCCTTGTGAGTAGCTGTCACTTGCAGGGGCTGTTGATAAAAAAGACTCACTCCAGAGAGAATGGCTTTTCCGTTCACCTTCCCCTCCAAAAGTTGCTCTGTTGGTCTTTGCTTGATGAGATTGCCGTCAGTGACAGGTAAGAAAGCCCACTGGCCCCATCTGGCTCCCATGCTCACGAACGCACTAGCGTTTTGCAACGTGCTGCTATCGACGTTTTGCAGGCAGGTAAAGACACTCCCGTTCTGCGTGGTCTTGGCATCTAGGCATCCGGCGTGGGCAGCCAAGTCATAGTATGCCTGAGAAGGTTGCATATCATCATATTCCCTAGACCAGGGGTCAGTAACCTGACCTCCAGAGGATTGAACGAATCTCAATGTGACTTTACCACTGATTGGGCAGATATGGGCTCGATACAATAGCACGTTGAAACAGCGAGGTCTCGTCGGAACCGCCATTAGCCATCGTCATGAGCATCACACCGCCCCCACCGGCAGATTCTCCCGCAATAGTGACACGAGCAGGGTCGCCACCAAATAGATGGATGTAGTCCTGTACCCATTCCAGCGCGAACCGCATATCGTGGATACCGGCGTTGGGCACCCCGAAATGTCCAATCTCAGCAGATGAGGCGAAGCCAAACGCGCCGAGTCGGTATTGAATAATGACCGTCACAAACCCGTTGCCTACTGTTTTGGCCATGTTTGAAAAGTCGTAGTTTGCAGCCCAGTCCTGGCCATATCCGCCACCATCTGGCCCCCAGTCAGTTCTGTACAAGTAGAATTTTGCTGATCTAACAAGGGATCGCTGTGGAAGCATCCAGCTTACGAATCCAAAACAGCACCGGTAATTGAGTCTTGTTAGCCGGTGTAAACACATTCAGGAAGAGACAGTCTTCATCACCAAAGGCATCTTTCTCAAACGTATAGTTCGGGACAATGTTGAGAGTCAGCCATTTGTACGCCAAGGTCAAAACGCCCCTACTTACATCGGCCCCGGTGGTGATTGGGGACATCTAGGGGGATTCTGAGTTGCTGACAAGACCCTCTCTTCGTTTTGTCCCTGAGATGGTCTTTTTGGGAGCTGCCATCGTTCGGGCTTTGATGCGTAACGCACTCTGTAAGATAGGGTTAGGCTCAGCAGCTGCCCCTGAAAGTAGGATACTACTCTAGTCCTTACCCTCTGTAACTGAAGATATCAAATGAAGAGTCATAGTAACCCTCATAACGAGCATACCCTAAGTCGACGATTGGTGCTTTGGGTAAGAACTCGGTCGAGGCTGTTTGCTGTCGGATGTAAAGGCCGCGCTTAGCGATTTTGTCGACATACTGAGGGACATTCTGTGCCGCGACAAACGACATGAACAAAAGCAAGAAGAACCACATCAACGCCATGTCATCGATATCAAAGAGAGGAGATATCAGGCTGATTGGTCTGCTCGTGGATTACTGCTGGCTTAGTGAGACATCTTATCGTAAGGTTGGCTTCATCATCGCTCCTGGTGATCAAGCACTGGGTCTCTCCTCTGACCAATGAAGGTGGTGTAAGAAGTGGCCCCTATTGAAGACAAGCCAGGCCAGATGAAATAGTCTGATAAAGTCCAGGTAACGTAACGCAATCTGCACCTGGAATAGCCTCCTCCACCGTTGGAAAAACTTCGTAGTAGATTGATACAGGGATGCTACAACAGCGGTGTGACAGCCCGTGCACATCATGCCGCTATGTTTACATTCGCGTATACTACTATCGACCAGGATATATACACGGTCGGCAACTCTAGAAAGTGGACACTCATTGCAATCTGTTTACTCGCGGCTTTGCATATTGCCGTCGACTGGAAGCTGAACCTAATATCTCCCTTGCCGCACGCGCGGCGCGATTAGTTTTGCTTCTAGTGATCTGCAAAGAAGCTGTTCATCTTCTCAGCCCGGACCGCTGTCTTTGCACTACGGTCGTTTGTGACTTGCGAGTAGATGACCTACGTAAAGGTTTGATCTTCCACAATGTCCATATGAAAGCAAATACATCACTTAAATATCAGCTTTGCTATCTTATTTGGAACAACCATGATTCCTCACTCAAAGCCCTTCCAGCCGCCCAACTCGTTGCAGTACGTCGACAATGTCTTGAAGACAGGGAAATTGGCTCAAGGGCCGTACACTTCAAGGTGTGAAAAGTGGCTGGAAGCGATGATGCAAACAGGAAAGGCTTTCCTAGTGACCTCTGGGACGACGGCTCTCGAGATGGCCGCCATGGTCATTGATGTTCAACCCGGTGACGAAGTCATATTCCCCAGCTACACGTTCGTGTCCACGATCAACGCCTTCGTCAGCAGGGGCGCAACGCCCGTGTTCATCGACATTGAAAAGAACACGATGAATATGGACGTAAATCTCATCGAAGCCGCAATCTCTGAGAAGACGCGGGTCATCGTCCCCGTTCACTATGCTGGCATTTCATGCGATATGGAAGCTCTGATGGACATCGCGTCCCGTCACAACCTGATTGTTGTCGAAGACGCAGCCCAAAGCCTGACTTCCAAGTATCGCGGCGTCTATTCCGGCACGATTGGGCATATCGGCTGTATCAGCTTCCACGAGACGAAGAACGTCACATCCGGAGGTCAGGGTGGCGCCATCTTGATCAACCGGGATGAGCTGGTTGACAGGGCCGAAGTCGTCTATGACAACGGCACCAACAGAGTCGAGTTCATTCGAAAAGGGTTGCCAATGTACGAGTGGCAGGACATTGGATCAAACTATGTCATGTCCGAGGTGCTTGCCGCCCTCCTGTGGTCCCATCTCGAGATGGCGGAAGCTATCCAGAGGACTAGACTGAACATCTGGAATACATACCAGGCTGCGCTCCAGCCGTTCTCAGAATCTTCTGGGGAGTTTGCCTTACCCAAGATACCAGAGGGCTGTGAGCACAACGGTCACATATTCTACCTCAAGCTTCGGGATGCGTCTCGCCGTTCCGCCTTCGCGCAATACATGAAGGAGCATGGTGTATCGGTATCCTCTCACTACTCTCCTCTTCACAAGTCGCCAATCGGGAAGAGGATTGGCAAATTTGTTGGAAAGGATGAGAATACGTCTCTGGCAAGTCTTCAGCTTGTGCGTCTGCCCATCTACTTCGAGATAAGTGAAGGAGAGCAGAGCAAGGTGATCTCACTGGTTCAAAGTTACTTCGGACGCAAAGAGTCCAGACTGTGAATTCACACAAGCGGTTTCAACGCAGCAAGTCTATGAGATTTTGAGAAACATGAAATCAAAATTGTCTATCAAACAGAATTCATACAATCAGCTCATCTTTGATGAGATCCGCGGCTCGGTCTTGGAAATCAACAAGCCTTTTCTTGCCAGGACCTGAAGAGTCTGAGATCGATGATGACCAATCAGCTTCTCTACCTTGTCTTCTTGGACACCGCGTAACATAATATGGATATGATCCAGAGCCTTCACACTTTGCCAGGCCGCCTTCTGTTTGAACCAGAGTAGATTCTCCCCAGGAACACAGCTCAAAGTCCCTCCGAACGTGCGGGCCAGAAAAGCCTCGATCAACCTGGCTGACTCTTTGGTCGGCAGCCCCGTTTCCGGATCCACTAGTATCTTGGCTTTGGACCACAGGACCAGGTGCATGATGCCATTCGCCAAGCCATAGGGCCAGTCATTCCAGAGGATCTTCCAGTCGTGTGGGTCTGCGAAAGGCACCGAGTTTTGGGCGACGATGGGCCTCTGCCAGTGCAACTTCTCACGGCGCACAAACTCCAAGACGGATCCATGGGACTGTCCTACCTCGGCGAGCCACACGATGTAGTTCCGCAGGTCTTGGGGTGCTCTGTTGAGCTGTCCCATTTCTCCTGCGGCTTGATTCAGAACTATGATTAGCGGGGTCTTGGGTGTCTGGCCTACGGATGTCCGTAGAGCCATCTCGGTCAAAGCCGATCAAATTCGAGACCTACCGATGATTTTCTGAACTTCATCCCAAGTGTGGGGTTGGAAAGTCTCGGACTGGCCTCGCAGGGCCCGTATGTCAGCGTCGGTAAGCTTGAAAGGGGGGTTCCTGATGAGCTGTTCGATATCCATAACGCCGGAGTATTGCTACGTGAGGTAGGTAGGGGTAGAAGGATGGGGTGCCAACCGTTGCCTGGTATTGGAGACTAAGATTTGTCACTAATTAAGTCATCTTATAATCCGGTTCGAAGTCCATAACTCTCCCCATTAACAGGGGTTCATCTATACTACCGAAAATTTCGGCAATGGAGCAGCAACGGCAAACTTTCTCGTTGAAAGTTCAGCTATATTGTGGATAGCAGACTGCACGTCCAAAGCAACGCCGGACAGTAATCGTACTTAAGTGCATGTGGATATCGCGTTATTTGAGGTTATTCGTGCCAGCTCGATCCAACAACTCACTGCATCACTTGTTCCTACTAACGTCATGTCCACAAAAACTGTGACCTTGTGGTGCACTCTGCACCCTGCTGCGGGAAAAGAAGACGAGGTATGCACCGTTCCAATCGCCGGCACGCGCGATTTGTTGAGGTGAGACTAACATGGTCTCCAGTGTCGCCAGGTCCTTCTTGACCTTGCTGCCAAGGTCCACGAGGTTGAAAACACCTGTTCTCGATACGAGGTATTTGAAAAGTCTGAAAGCAAGGCAGGTCTTAGCAAGGTCGCCTTCCACCTCCTTGAGCAGTAAGCTGGACCACGTTTCCCAAATGGCTTGGCGCTTTCTTTCATGACTGACCATGTCTTGTGTTCACTGGTAACTACAGATGGCCGGCTCAGGCGGACCTGGATAGACACACTGAGAGAGATTGGCTGGTGGCCATCAGGAAGCGTTTTGAAGATGGCCTGTTGGCCAAAGATGAGCTCATTGAGAATGTGTCTAAAATTGGAGGCTTTACCAGGCGGTCGTAGCACAGTGTAGTAGTAGTCAGACCATATGTCAGCGGCACACCCACGTTTGCATCTTAGATATGCGTGTCAATGAATATTACATGCATGGTTCCGTGTTTTTATGTGAACTGAATTCTTTTGCATAGAATTGAAGCTTGGAGGTGAAAACCCACTCGCAGGCTATAAGCGCTTGACTGAAGTAATTGTTCTTCCCCGCGTTGCCTTGAAAATGTACTTTACATAAATATGGGTGAGGAGGCCTGAAAATTAGCGCTTACTTGTTGGATTTAGATCTAGAGCTACGAGTAGGGACGCTGACCTGGCCACCAGTAATGGCGACCCCTTCCCTCGAAGAAGGGCCTGTATATGAGTGTCCGCCCCAATTGCAGCTGGAACTGGTTCACGTAGTACGTGTGATGGAATACTGGCGAATCCTCGCGTTTTGCTGTTTTGTAAGCTAATCGTGTTGAATCCTGACAGTTCTTCCGTCACGGTATGCATCATGCGTCGGACAACCCCTAGACTCTAAGTCGTTCGCCTATTCGAGTAACAATTGACTTCCAAAAGGCGAGCGGACACCGAACGATGCACGTTTCGAGAACGTAGGTGCCTTTGAAAATTCCATGTTTATTGAAGATGGCTCTAATAAAAAATTAGACTGGCGGCAAAACAGGTGAGGAGTACCACGTTCTTCTCGGCTGGCCAGTTGAGGAATACGATTAGATGCTAAGTCAATATCTTGCACAGAGTGGCCTTTTAACCAATCCGCAACAGCTCCGAAGACGCTTTTCCAGGGCACTGGACCAAAGTTGGTTCCAATCAATGATGAGGTCGACAAGCCGTTATTGCCAGATGGTAGACGGCCTATTTCCTGGTCTGTGTACTCGTTAGATGTCTCCGGAACACCCCAGCTCACAAAGAAAATAGTGCACATGGCGACTTGACGGACAGAGGACGTGCTACCGCCGAGAGGCTTGGGCGTCAACTTCGCAACCTATACGTCGAGCAAATAAACTTCATGCCTGAAGTCCTTGACGATTTCTATAAGATCTATTTGCGAAGCACGCAGTACCAGCGAACCTTTGTCACCCTGCAAAATGTATTCCGTGGCCTTTACCCGCCAAAATTCATCAACGGACGCCAGGAAGACATATTGGTTTCCGTAGCAGATCCTCGAGATGAAACACTGCTTCCCCCTGAGGATCATGACGAACGGTTTGCCGCATTACTCCAAGAGTTTACCAATAGAGCCGCAGCGAAATGTGAGTCGGCCGGCCCACATGCTTTTCCGATATCGTAAAGTAGGTAAGTCCCGTTATAGGTCTTATGATGCTGACTTTCATATCGTTTGGACGGAGAAGGGAATTACTCTCCTGAGATGCGTTTGATCAACACAAAGATAGGACAATGGATGCCCGAGGGCAAACCTGTCGCTGTAGACTCGAAGCCTCTGAAGCTACACGGTGTCCTCGACACGATCTCCGCAGTGACAGCGACACCCAGGCCTGAAGACTACCTACCTGCGGAGTTTCTTGACCCCGGCATGCGAGTCACCATGGAGACGATTTGTGCAGAAGAGGAATTCGCAGGGTACGTCTACAGCAAAGAATTCCGCAGCCTCGGCGTTGGACGGATACTCCAGGAGACCATCCATCGAATGTCATCCTTGGCGAATCAGATCGATCAAATATCAGGTAGCGAGCAAAAGCCGCGCTTATTAATCTTTGCGTGCCACGATTCAACGATTGCGGGCATTCTTGGTTCTTTGGGCGCGATGAATGACCCAAACTGGTTCTGGCCACCATATACTGCCCACGTCACGATGGAGCTTTTCCGTCATGTCGGAGAGGAGGCTTGTCATGGCGACACGAGAACTACTACCGGCCTTTCCTGGTATGTCCGCCTGAGGTACCAAAACAATCCCGTGATGTTGCCTTGTGGCACTAAAGAGGGAAACCATCTGCCTGGACATCAAGAAATGTGCACCCTTGTAAGTGTGGCCATCACTATGAACTCATTTCTTGATGTTTATAATATGACTTTCGTTTTTAGCTCAGCATATAGTGGATGATTGCTAATTTGTTACGAAGGCGTCTTTGAGAGATGCCATCGAAGAATTTGCACCCATTAAGTCTGCGTTTTTCAACAAAACGGAGTTTCTCAGAAAGCAATCGCGAATTTAGGATCTTTCAAGATAAATCCTGTTCTTCATTCACTCTTACGCATTATGGTGACATGAAAATAGATAAGTAGTGATTTGCAAGAAAAACACGGCACACGTGACATGATTCAAGCTCTATACTCTCATCATTGCGAGTGACGCCAAAGATAAATTGCATTGCCCATTTGTCGTAGACGGTAGATGTGATTACACCAAAACCGTCTCAAGAGATCTTTTCCTCGCCAGAATGGGGAACTTCCTTGATGACGCGAGCAGGATTACCAGCAATGGCGACGAAATCTGGAACGTCCTTTGTGACAACACTACCGGCCCCGATAGTGACGCCTCTGCCAATGGTCACACCGGGGAGAACGATACAATTGCCCCCAAACCAACAGTCGGAGCCGATCTTGATGGGCTTCCCATACTCGGGACCCCTGGTGCCGTTCCGTAGGACGGGATCGAGGGGGTGTGCGGCGCTGTAAAAAGAGCAGTTGGGCCCGATGAGTGTGCGATCGCCGACCTCGATTGTGCACGTGTCGATCCACACACTATTGAAGTTGATGTAGACGTTCTTGCCCAACCTAGGCAAAGTTGCTTGTCAATTCCATGCGGACGTGCTTGGAAGGGGCTGGGGTGAGCTAGCTGCTGGACTGACTTGACGTTGTATCCATAATCCATCCTTACGGGTCCATCGACCCAGGGCTCATCGGCCAGATTCTTCTCCTCCTCCTCCGCACTATCAGCGGGCCCGGGAAGAGAGCGGACGTCTCGAACAATGCTGGCGAGGCAAACAGAATCAGCGACGAGCTTGGGTTACTATCAAGGGTGGCGCTAGGGAAGTGGCGGGGGAAGGGGGCCCAAATTACTCCTTCACCATCATTACGAGCTCTCTCCGGGAGACATGGCCAGCGCGGTTGAATGTTTCGCAAGCAATCGAGCACCGCTGTCTGTCAGCAATGAGGTCCGGTGTGAAAGCATAGTACAGCTCCCCGGCGGCCATGCGGGCCTTGTTTGGCTTGAGGTCGGACTCGCGTCCTGCCATGGTGTTAAAAAAAAAGGCTGTTCTCCCTGGGAAACACAAAACTTGTCAAAAGAAGGGTCTGTGATGAGTGCCGTAGAAAAAAGACAAGATTTCCCGGACTTCATACAAGAGGGGCTCAGCCAATCTCTCACTGATCGCGAGGCTGAGTCGTGCTGCCTCTGGAGATGCTCTACTGAGGATGGAAAGCCGAAAATCTCGGCTAATGCTCAGACTGAGATCTCCTAAACATCACATGTGATGTATTTCACCGAGACCGGGGTAAGAAAGTGCTTCTTGAGTCGACTCCCGATTGATGCATCTAGCCGCAGGAGGCTGGCAAAAGGGAAAATTTTCGAACACGTGTGTAAGTGAAGAATTTTCCACAAGAAAGGAAACTCTATGTCTCATTCAAGGATTTGAGTTTGTATGACACCAGACGGCACCGGAACCTCCGTTAGGATGTTGACCAAATGCCCCTGTTGTTAGCATTAATACTACTGTAGTATTGTGATGTCGCAAAGTGGTACATTTAGCACCCCTTCCTACTGGTAGCAAGATTTGTTGTACCCAAAATGAGTGTCAATTACGTTAAATCAGAAATCAGATCCTTCGGGCCCAGCCAAAGAACTTTCTTGATATGGAGCGGTATCTTCATCACACCCTAGCCGAAAGGAAGTCGAAGCCTTGGCCTAGACATACGAAGGTAAAGACGGCTGGAGGAACACACATATGGACTAATCAAAGCGTTCAAAAGACACCGCCGGAGAGTTTGTTCTCATGCGATGATCGCATCTCAAATATCCGCGGTACAACGTACATGCCTAGAATGATGCCACATAGGGTGATCTCAACCCTGCTCTATTAAGCTTTTCGGCCCTTGAGCTTCTTTTATGGTCCGGCCCGCCCGTCCGCCCGCCAACGTCCATCGGCCGGGAGCCTCCACGGACGAGAATACAACCACAAACGGCTATAAAATAAGCCTCATCTTGATCGGAAGCAAGCCTGGAATGGGTCGAGAGGACTCGAAATACCGATAAAATGTCAAGTCAACAAGCTTCTGCAACGCACGATGCCGCCGCCGGGGCCGCAGAAAAAGCGACAGATTCCCCGGCCTCCACGAAGGAGGTGTTCGCGCCAGCTCCGGCGCAGGACACGGGTAATGACCCCCCACCCATGCATGAAGCATGGAATCGCCCCGGCACCAACGCCTTCAGAGTATTCAGCTGCTTCTGGAGCCTTCTGAATCTAGGTGCCTTCGATTCTGCCTATGGAGTATGTCCCCACACAAGCTGACTCCTGGTGGCATCTGTACGCCCCGTCCCTTCGTTGTCCCCATTGTACAGCTTTTCTAGTAGTGCGCACAGTGACCAGATCTAATTTGCTCTTTCACGAGATAGGCAATGCTTCCTTACGTGAGTCAGCCTCAAGCAGCTTCGAAAACCTTGTCTGCGTGCCGTATGGGGCGGTCCTCAGCTAACGAAAGCCGTCACGGCCCGCCCGTCATGTAGCTCCAGAAAGCCTACAACGTCAACTACATCACCGTTTCATTGATGTTTCTTTCGCCCTTGGTGGGATATGTTGCCTCGGGAGTTCTCAACACTAGACTCCACAACGCTGTTGGCCAGCGCGGCTTAGCCGTCCTCTGCGGCGGAGCCCATGTGCTGTCTGCCGTGATCAATGTAGTACACCCGCCTTTCCCTGTATTGGTCGCCTCGTTTATGCTCGGCGGTCTCGGCAATGGACTCGCAGACGCCGCGTGGAACGCGTGGATAGGGAATCTGGAGCGTTCGAATGAGCTCCTAGGCTTTCTCCACGCTGCGTATGGCGTTGGGGGGATCTTCAGCCCACTCATTGCCACGGCCATGATTGCGCGAGCATCCCTCCCCTGGTACACATATTACTACGTCGTAGTAAGTATCTTCATTGTATCTGTTCCCCTCGCCTGATCGAATTGACTGACTTCAGCTCTCAAGCTGGGAATATCTTTGATCGAGCTACTTGTGTTGACCTCGGCTTTCTGGAACCATACCGGGAGTCATTACCGAGATGAAATGGCCTCCTCGCAAGGGACCAATATTCAGTCCGTCAGTATGCGAAAAACTCTGACGACCCTCCCCGAAGCACGTATCGCCTGGCTATCGGCGTTGTTCGTGCTCGTCTACATCGGTGTCGAGGTCTCTGTGGGCGGATGGGTCGTAGAGTTTATGCTACACGTCCGCAAAGGCCCCGCCTTTGCCAGTGGCATGTGTGCCACAGGCTACTGGCTCGGCATGACTGTTGGTCGAATTGTGTTACCTTTTGTAACGAACCTCATCGGTCCCAAGATTGGCGTGTCTGTAAGTCGATCACCCTGCCTTCACCACGACGGTCCCTCTGCTTTCCGCTCCTCTGACTGACCCACATATCCTTTTCTAAGGTTTACCTTGCTTTCGCCATTGCTGCAGAGCTAGTCTTTTGGCTAGCACCCAGCTTTTATGCTTCCGCCATTGCAGTCGCGTTCCTGGGGTTCTTTATTGGGCCTATGTTTCCACACGCAATCTCGGTAGTCACCAGTCTACTACCACCTTCTCTGCATGTAGTGGTGATTGGTTTTGTAGCAGCCTTGGGTGGTTGTGGAGCGTCATTGTTACCATTTGCGGTAGGTATACTCGCACAGCGGTTCGGCGTGGAAGCTTTGCAGCCTTTTGTTCTCGCTTGCTTGTGTCTTTCATTGATTGTATGGCTCCTCATTCCTCATGCAAAGAACAAGAAAGGACAATAATTCCCGTCAAAATCTAAGGAAGGCGTATCAAATCTTCGCCTTAAGCGTGCCAAACTCTGGCAACGTCATGAACCAGTCAATAGTCTTCTCAAGCCCTTCTCTCAGTCCGACCTTGGCTTCATGTCCGAGCTCGCGCCTCGCCTTGCTCGCATCTGGAACCCTCCGGTAGGGGTCGTCGTCAGGCTTAGGCCCGAAAACGACTCGTACCTGCGGGCGGCCGGTCTTCTCTGCAACGATCTCGTTGATCATGACGGCCATCTTTCCGATGGTGGTCTCCTCTTCGCGTCCAATGTTGACAGGGTCCAAAACTGCGCTCTCCATCAGCTTGTAGAGGCCCATCGCGCAATCCTCCGCATATTGGAAGCACCTACTGGCCGTTCCGTCACCGGTAATTGTGATATCTTCCTGTTTGAGAGCAGCAGCAATGAAGTTTGAAACCACACGACCGTCGTCAGGTCTGATTCCGGGGCCGAATGCGTTGAAAATACGACCAATTCGGATGTCAACCTTGCTCTCTAGGCGGTAGGCGTAGGCGAGGGCTTCTGCTACACGCTTACCCTCGTCATAGCAAGACCGTCCACCAAAAGAGTTGACGTTCCCCCAGTAGCTCTCAGGTTGAGGGCATACGAGCGGGTCACCATAGACCTCTGCAGCACGCATCAGTCAGTCATCAGTGCGTTGATACAGTGGCATTGGGACTGGATCTGGGAATGGTGCTGAAATACCTGAAGTGCTCGCAAGCAAGACACGAGCGCCGCTCTTGGAAGCTAGATCGAGAGCGTTCTTGGTCCCCTTGTAGCAAGTCTCCAAGATTCCCAAAGGTGCCTGCGGAAATCTCTTTGGACTAGCAGGGCACGCAAGATTATAAATCCGATCTGCCTTTTCCAGATTCTTGGGGAATGGTTCAGTAACATTATGACTGCGGAATAGTTTGATTAGGGCCGATTTCTCTTCAGCTGACAATGGAAACGCTATTCATACCGAAGGAAAGTGAAATTTGGATGGTTCTGGAACCTGGTCACATTCCCAGCCGATCCAGTCCAGAGTGAATCAACAGCGATAACTTGGTAACCTTTCTTCAGCAATAAGGCGACGAGATGTGATCCCAGAAATCCAGCACCCTTTATAGGAGAATGAGGTTAGTCCAAAATAGCTAGTGGTTCTCGGGGGCCTGCTACATACGCCAGTGACGACAGCGGTAGGCATATTGATGGTTGTGGTGATTTGAACTTGTAAGTGTGATGTGGGAAAAAAAAGCCTTGTGCGTGCGTAAGTACTAAGCAATTCAGTACAATTCAATACCAGGAGGATATTGAATCTACTTTATCCTCATCTGAATGTTAATGGAACGTTTTGCTTCTGCCTCCCTGTTTCCACAGTTATTCTATAACTGGAATCGTATGTCTCCGGCTCACCGCGCCACTTCGATGCCTAAAGTCTCACCACCAGAAAACCCCTATCTCAACAGAGTTTACAAGGTTCTCAAGTCTGATATAGTATCCGCAATGTATACGCCCTAAACATGACCCCACGGCCAGATGCAAGTCCAGAGCTTATAGCAGGGAGTGGAACTGGCCAATTCACTGCCTTGATATCTATAAGCGAGTCGGTGGGTGCCCGGTGAAGGGCAATATCAAGGGCGCTCAAAACGTATCCATCTCTTCATTTCTGGACTTAATCACCAACTGAACCTCGCAATCGATCCTCAGGCTGTAGCCGGACGTCACGTGCAACATCGTACGCCTATTCTTCACTACTCCATCTTCCGTTACAAGATGAGCTCTTCGGGAAGCAAAAAGGTCATCGCTTGTGTTGGAGCCGGTTATGTAGTAAGTCTACATAAATGAGGTCATCCAAGTTTTTGATGCCTGTGTACTGAAGAAATATTTTGCACAGGGAGGCCCAACTAGTGCCGTACTAGCACTTCAAGTCCCTGATATTGAGTTTCATGTCCTGGACAAGAGTGCTTCACGGATCAAAGCATGGAAATCTGACCGCTTACCCATCAGTGAGCCTGGACTATTGGATGTAGTTCGGAGGATCCGAAGACGACCACAGCCCAACCTCTTCTTCTCCACCGACATTGATACTCTGATTCCCACAGCCGACATCATCTTCATCGCCGTCGAAACACCGTCGCAGTCAAAAGATGACGGAGCCAACGGTGCCGGAATTGCGCCCGACCTCAGGAACTTTAGAGCCGCGGTGCACCAGATAGGGGCTCTCGTTCAAAAGAACACCATTATCGTCAACAAGAGCACTCTTCCCTGCGGCGCGGCTGAAATGACGGCCCAGCTGCTCCAGTCACAACTACGCAACGGTGTGAGGTGCCAGGTTCTCTCCAACCCAGAGTTCCTGGCAGAGGGCACCGCGGTCCAGAATCTACTCCAGCCAGACCGAGTCGTCATAGGCTCCTCATCATCGCACGAGGGTCGAGCCGCCGCAGCCGCGCTGGGCGACATCTACGCTCGGTGGGTGCCGCGGGATCGCATCGTGACCATGAGCACCCGCTCCAGCGAACTGTCCAAACTGGCAGCCAATATGTTCCTATCTCAGCGCATCAGCAGCATCAACGCCCTGAGCGTCATATGCGACAAGACCGGGGAAGACATCACCGAGGTCGCGCGTGCTTGTGGCCTAGACCCGCGCATCGGTCCCCACATGATTCGCGCGTCGGTCGGCTTTGGCGGAAGTTGCTTCAAGAAGGATGTTCTTCATCTCGTTCGTACTGCTGAAGACCTCGCTCTCGATGAGGTGGCATCGTACTTTGGCAACATTGTCTCCTTGAACACCTACCAGACGGAGCGTTACGCAAAAAGCCTGCTCGAGCACCGTTCCAACGGCCAAGGGCTCAAGATAGTGGCAATACTAGGGTTCGCTTTCAAGCCCAATACGGGTGACACGCGCGAGTCTCCCGCCATCTCTTTTATACGGTATCTCCTTCTCAACGGCGTCTCCATGAGAGTATTTGACCCTCTAGTCGAAGAGTCTGGCATCCTCGATGCAGTACGGGCGTCTCTGCAGGGCTTAGCCTTCATCACTGATTCCCTCCTAGCCGTATGCAAGGATGTTTACGCAGCGTGCGATGGTGCTAATGCGGTAGCAATACTGAACCCCTGGGAGGCATTGCAATACTATGGAAAGCAGGGAAACACAGGTTGGTGGTAGGGGAGCTGAAGAACGTGGACGAACTAGGGGATGGCTAACTCATTCGTTAGAAAAAGACGACTCTGATAGAGTTCAATGGGATGAGATTGCTCGCTCGATGAACGCTCCGAGGGTTTTGTTTGACGGCCACAATTTCATCAACCCAAAGGTGGCTTCGATTGGCTTTCAATTGCAAGGCGTTGGTCGAAGGTCGCCAGTGCGTTCAGTAGATGCTCGGCAAGAGGCCTCGCCCGGCTTTGCGCCACGGGCACTTCTCTAGACTTATCAGAATGAGAGTTCCCACATGGGAAAAGTTCCTGTTATCAAAGTCCCGCCACTTTCTACGCCACGCATGGAGCGCTTCTGCTTGTCACCGCAGCAGAATAACAGCATCTATAAGCCGGGTTGGGTATCTGATTGAATTTTGTGGCGTGAACCGCATTTAGACGACACCTGGTCGTCGTTCTTCCGTCGCTAACTAAAGGGCGAACTAGGTATCAAAACACTCCTGGTTGAAGGCAACGCCGCTATTCCCTGGACTCAATGAGAGAAAACAAATCGTTCTAAGCAGAATTCCCGTCCCAAGTGGTATCATGTATGCTTGAACAGTCGCGCCCTTTTCCCGAGGCCGACTGACTGCGTTCAAATTCAAGAGACTTGTCCCCGACGATGCTCGTCCTCTCCGTGGTCTGGATCATCGGGCCCAAGCGGCGTCCCATCATGTTTGACTTTTCGATACTTCCACTTACTGATGGCACGTCTTGGACTCATGGCCTTCTTGAACTTGGTCCAGGTCCCATCCTTTTTCGTCGCCGCCAGTGGCAGCTCGTACTCGCAGTCCTCAAATGGGTTCTCGTCGTGATCGTGATCATGGCCATGACCATGCTCGTGGTCCCAATCTCTGTCAGCCTGCTCATTCTGCTCCCTAAAATCTTCTCCAAACGGGTTGCTCTCAGCATATGAGTAATCGTCGTCATCAAACGGGCTCGCCGTTCGCCGCCGGAATGTGGGACTGCGCAGGGATGGAGTGGCGGATCTCGGCAGCCAAGAGAATCGCCGTTGAGCGTCCGCAACCGGCGGTGTGGGTTCTGGAATGATGGTGGTAGTCATCATGGTGTTGATGGTGTGCCTCCTTGTCGCTGTCGGCTAGACGGCAATAGCATCAGTATGAGTATTCACATGGTGGTGATCAGTCTGCATACAGGTGTTGAGATCTGGGCTTGAGAAAAGGCAGTGCTTTTCTCATCAATATCCATTGATGGACCCCTCATCTTGTCGTCAGGGTCGAACTCGTAGCCGTCAAGCATTCTGCCAAGGTCTGAGGGAAGAGGGAAAAGAAAAGGCGCTTCAATTGGTTCAGAAACTTGCGCATACGATTGTTGTCGAAGGCTTGCTTTTCTGTGCGCCTGGCATTCGTATGGTGCCTCCTGATCACGTTAAGGAGAAAGCTGGGGTGGCGGGGGAATCGAGGGGCGCGAGCGGAAATGGCCAGCTACATTTATGTATGCACGGAAAATAATGTTTCAAGGGATGCCGAGTCATTGATCTCATGCTCTGGGCTTCCTTCGGCTATTCATTCGATCTCAGTGCATGGAACACCAGAGTTCGATGGGTCGTATTTCTTCCAAGGGAGGGGTAAAACACAGCGCGTCTCCCCAGACATGAGACGCAAACTGTTGATGCGCATTTGGGCTTCTGGGTCGTGGGCGGTGCTCTACCACCAATGCACGGTGTGATCGACAGGCAAGCGGGATGGTGATGGAGACGAGTTCGGGGGGAGATCCATGTTGGCAAGACGTTGTTGGCACTGAGCGGGCGGTGGAGGCGGAAGTCGTCCCTCGTCCCAGCCGTGGCATCCGGGATGGTCCCATCCACGCCGGAGACGATCAGTCAGGTCTTTGCGGGGACGCCCCCGACTTACATGGGCAATCCATCCCCATCATCCCCAACATCCCCAAGAATCCGGTGCTGCCAGCAGTCGATCACGGCTAGTGTTGATCATAGACCGCGTTCCCTTTCTCACAACTGGGACTATCGCGGTATGAGTTTCTATTCTCTTTCCGTCAGCAACCTCCTCCTCTGGTTCGCATCATTAACTCTAAACAACAGCGCATGTCGTTGACATCGCACAGCCACGTTTGGCAGAAAGTCAAGCTCGGATACGTTCTGCATATCAGCCTTTGTCCGTTCTCCAAAGGAAAAAAGGTCCTTTTCGACAAAAGGATCATGCAGAAGAACGCAATCGACGGAGAATAAAGTGTCTATCGGCCACCTGATTCGTCCAGTTGCCGCCATGCATCGGAACTCTGACGCACATCCAGATGGGAAATCTGGCTAACTCCATCGACCCCGGCACTTCCGATCTAGTCTGTGCGCTGACAAACATCCACTTGTAGACGGGTAGCGAAGATCACGGGCCCTTTTTCATCAGTGCGACTTTGTCTATCCGTACGTGCTTAGTGGATTTAAGCAGTTCGCTTGATTTTCTCACCTCACAAACCCACTGACCGAAACGCCAAAGCGACCAATATTCGACAGCCTCCCCCGGTCATTCCGGAAATTAGCGGCGATCATGAAGCAGCCTCACCTAGGACCCCCCTTTTAAAGGAAGGGGAAAAAACCCTTCGAGACCCATGTTGGATGCCCCCCCTTCACACCCTCCTCCACAACAGGTTGCCCCTTTCAAAACAAAGACAGAAAGCATAGTTTGCCAAAAGACGTCTTCCGGTTCGACAAGTCACAACCTCTTCCCCCCCTGAGATAGGCCCGAGCCTACATGTAAGCTTTCGGACAACATGCCGTTCTTTAAACACGAACAGATAGTGGACAAGTCGTTCGAACAGGAAGGCAACACGACCCCGGGAGAGGCCAGCGGTGGCAATGAGAGAGTCTCCAATGAAAGCGACATCGAGCCTGGCGTTCGGGTGAAGCCCTCCGGACGTCATGAGACGCAGCCAACAGACAGAATCAGTGGGCATCAGATCTTTTACATCTTTGGACTCGATGGCATTGGTGCCGGCGTCCTCTCCGGGGGCATAAACTTTGCCATCGCCTACGGTAAAAACTCTCAACGACTCGTAGAGCTTAGGCTTCGAGCGAGCAAAGCCGGCAGAAGGACAGTCACTGACACAAACCATACAGGCATGTACTCAACTCAGAATATCGAGCGTAACCCCATTCGCCTTTTTCAGCTGCCCAACACACTAGCTGGAGATGCAGTGGTGACCACGGTCATCCAAACGGCAATGACATGGTTCATCGAGTTCATCCTAGCCAACCACGACATAAAGAACGGGGCCGTCCGCCCGATAGGCTTTATCAGGGAACCTTCGCACCCTTTCCTGCGGTGGTTTATGATGCTCGATCAAGAGGACGCGGCACACACCAAGAGCAGGCTCACGATGTTCTCTGATCACATTATTCGGATCGGCTTAATCTTTGTTGTTTCATTCATTTTGCTCTGGCCAGCATCAGTCGGGATCTTGACCACAATCGGACACCGGGGATCAGGGAGTGATTGGGACTGGTACTTCCACCGCAAGTGGGCGCCGGAAATTTTCAAAGGGGTCTATGGGGGCCTACTCGGTCTTCTCACGACGCCGGCTATGGCTTCGTTTTGGCTGGTCAGGGAGGGATGGCGCTTGAAGAGGGGAGGGTCTTTATTGAGTTGACGGGCGCACGAGTTCCCCGGACGACTTAGAAACGGGGAAATAGCCTGAGTTTTGGCCGAGCAGGGTCCTGGCCCCCAACTCTTGCAGCGACGCACACCGGCATTGGAAGACTCGCCATAACGAACTTTAGGAAGAAGTATCCGGCGGGAAGGGAGGCGGATGAACCTCCAGGCGACTTGAATTGGGTTTTCCCCGGCCTTGCTTTCTGGCCTGCACGAACTCTCCCGACAGTTCATCCTTCCTTTCCCGTGGCTCGAGCAAGGCTATGAATGATTTTGTCTTAGCGAAACGCCTTCCTGGTAACGCCCAAGACAATACGCCCAGATACGGCATTCATATAGGCTAGAAACTAATCCTAATACTATCACTAGCACGGCTGGAAGAGGGCTCTTGCAATAACTGGCAACTTAGGCAAGGGTATTTCACAGTAACATGTTGCTCTGCGACTTTCAGTCTACAAAGTTTGGCACCCAGCCGAATAGCTGCACGGGCGGAGTATGATTCGCTGACTCGCCTAGCCCCAACCATTCCTGGTTCTGATGAAAAGCACATTATGCACTTCCTCCATGTCTACGACGAGGTTGAGGCCTTCTTTCCGTCTGATCTATCGAAGACCGGGGATTGAGCTTCCGAATCTGCGATTGTGGTGGTGTTAAATCATATCAAGTGGAGGGGTCAGTAATGTAAGTAGAGTATGATAGTGACTGCCATTAGAATCTGCCCTTCACAGGCCTACAGCATCTAGAGTCTCCTTTTAATTCCTCAACCCTGGACTATAGTTGATCCTCGGCAGTTGCCCCGGAGGTGGTGGTGTACCCGACAGAGATGCGAAGGGCAATTTGAGGCAAGCCACGGCACTTTGACCTTTATGAATAAACTTCATGCAGTTAACTTTTCTCAAAAGGCCTTGGTGTCTTCCAGCTTATTAAAGCAGTTTCTTTGATACCGATTCTTGGGGAAGGTGTTTGCTTCCATGCTTTAAGGTAGGTTATAGAAGTCATAAATGCTGAACTTAGGGCAGACCGCTGCCAAAAGACATTACTGATGCTTGTCGGCATGACTCATACGGGATGCCGAATCGCCTTAGTCGTTCCTCGCTGATGTAGGTACTTTAGATGGAAGATCACGAACTCCGGACCACCACAACATTTTGGGTCTCTCCGTCTTGTTTAAACATTTGAGTTCAGTTTCTCATGTAATCTAGAAATAGTTGAACCGAAATTCCTTTTTTGGCATCCGCTGAGATATATATTAGAATCTCCTCCAGGGTAACCCACTCAGTCCTGACCAGCAATCCTAATGCTTCGCACTGGACAGTGTGAACAACGATGATATCCACACGATGGGCAACCATCTGTCTTCATGGTCATGTCGCTGACGCCACACTGACACTATTTGAAAGTAAGTAAATATATACCGAGTATTCCAAGCGATTGACAGACTCACACAAGTCCAAATGTAGATGAAGTTTTTGATTGAGCCTTTTTTACTGCTGCTTTTGCTTCGTTTGGATCCCGAATTTGCCTGGGCTAGGCTTGAGATATGGCCGCTCACAATTTGCTCACTCGGTAGCTTGCTGCTTGAACTGAGCGGCAGATATGATCCATCTGGATTTTCTGCGATCAATCAGCACTCATTATCTTTGCTAATTCCCCCATCAGACATTGATGAAACGTCTTACTCACTTCTCTTTCGACTCTTAGCGATCTTTTTGTCTCTCGAAAAGATTGCACTGTCTGGCGACTGGTTACTCGTGGGCATAGTCTCATCACTTCCGTCTTTGCGACCAAGACTCTCCAGGACTGAGGCATTTTCGCCTCGGCCTCGGCGAAAAGAATGATCGATGAGCATTCTGGACCTCATGCCGAATCTGTTTGGAAGAAAATTTCCACGTAACTCAGGGAAGGAGTTGACTATGGTTAAGTGGAGGTCTTGCGCCGTCATGAACAGTGCCAACGGCTGGCCCGGATAAGCTGCAACAATGATACCAGCCAGGGCGGAGCCCCTGACCAGCCATGTACCCGACGTGCCTGCTGCTACAAGTAGTAGACTAGTCAGCGGTGCAACTTTCAAATTCCACAAAACCAATCTGAATAAGTACCCAGTGGTGCCACAAGTTCAACCTTTCGTACTGGTATCTCTTCTCGCCCAAGTGGCATCATCATGCTCCCAGGAAGCAGACACGTTTCCGATAGATCGTCGACGCCAAACACAGCCGTTAAGACTCCATCTGTAAGCTCGCTATTGAGTAGATGGGATGTAACTTCACCTTCGGGAAGTAGGGAAGAGGTGTTTTTGAAGTCCGCCAGAATACGTGACCTAAGCAGAGCGTAGTCTCCGGGTTCACACCGGCGAGGTCTACTAGATCTGGCTGGGTCCCGTTCCGATAAGAGTTGTCCCGCGAATTTGATCCCAATGACGTCCTGTAAAGGTACGTGTCGCCACTCAGTCACTCCCGCAGGGGATTTGTCCCCTAAAACTCGTTGACTAGCACTAGCCTTCAGGAAAGCATTACTAGTATCTGTCGTAGATTCAGTAAGCGATCCTGTTTCGAAATCGGAATCAGTGCCGGAATCGGTGTCGGTGTCGGTGTCGGTGTCGGTGTCGGTGTCGGTATCGGTGTCGTTGTCAATTGTTCCCTCGTTGCCAATGCATTCGTCATCGAGGGTCAAGTTTCCACCACCTTGAAAAGCTTCAGGTTCAAGTCCATCGATCCAGAGATCTTCGAAAATCCCATGCGAAGTCGTTAGCGCTATAGGACAACCATTGTGGCTGCCGTCTCTGGAGTGATTTTTCAGTAAGCCGCCGATCCGTGAGACGTGCTGCGTGATGATTTTTCCATCTTTAACGAAAGTGGTGCAGCAAAGCAGACCGCATGCTGACCGATGCTCAAGAGTGGATGGAGCTGCTTCCACATGATACAGAACTGTTCCCCCCAGATACTCTAGACCCGAGGCTTTTCCTCCATCAACTCGTAATCGAGAAAGAGGAATAATGCTTCGGTTGGCGTGAGGCTTGGGAGCGCCATCGTGTACTTCGATCGGTTGCATGAAAAGGTTGGTAGGTAAGCACAAGAGCTTGGTGATACGGCGGACTTTCTTTCGACAGGATTGACTGCCGCAGAGTACCCAAATGCAGGGTGAGATGGTGACAAATTCTGAAAAGAATGTCGCTTGACGACCGGACATTCTCAATTCTGGAAATATCGTCCGTCTATGTGGTGACCGCTTCAGGCGACTCTTTTCGTTTGCTTGCTCTGCGATCATTTCGTCTTGAACGTCTTTGAGGTCGACTAGCAAGCGACGTTTGATCTCAGGCCACCTTAACCGCACACGACGAGGCACGGGAAACTTGCTTTCCGGAGCCACCCAGATCTTGAACCCAGGGCTAGACCCAGGGAATTCCCAGATTTCGCCAGACTTGATTGATACTGAGACACCTCCATCACTCAGACATGTCGCCTGAGGTTTGGAAAGCCCTTGGATAGGTTCTGATGAATTCTCGGTCAAAGGCGTGTCATAGCGAATGCCAGTCAACTCTATCGCAGAAAGGTGGCCATCGTTCAATATCGTCTGTGATGCTGAAATCGGGCCAGAGGGGGTAATTTGAAGCGTTTTGGACTCTTCAATTCGGGCTGACAACCCTTTCATGGACACTGTGGTTGGCATTGGATCAATCCGTCTCCATGCGGGTGAGCTTTGCCCACGGGTAGAATCGGGGCCATCTTGATATTGCTCGAAAGATTTGCCTCGCTGCGATGAAGGTCGCACTATCTCACGCCTTTCTTTAACTTCGGTCATAGAAGCCATGTCTTGATGATGTCTGCGTCAAGCACGTTGCTCCCCGAGACCATGCCCTGGTCTTGGAGAGTCAAAAGCGTCGAAAACGATGTGCCTATCATTTGGGCGGGGTTCCGGTGGGCAGGCGAGAGATAACTGTCAGCCGACGAGTTATAGATGCAGGATCATTGGTCGGTACATATGTCTGGTTCGCCTGCAGGTTCGCCCGCAAGGCAGATTTTGCTCGATGAGCTGTCAGCACGAGGCAGCAGGGCTATCTTCACACCTTTATGCAGAAATTTGACCACTCACAACCGAGAACAGCCCGTCGCCAAAGGCATGATTATCATTCGGCTTATTACGCTATAGGGGGCCTCCGTCTCCCCCTAACATCCCCCAACGCGATTGAAAAGTTCATGTTGTCCGCCGGAAGACTAATTTGTTTCGAAAGCATTTACCCGACTTTCTGGTCCGGATTGATGCGCCTATCATGAAAACAGCCAGTAATGACAAATTGAAAGCAAGAGAACAAGACTCTGTCTTCTGCTTGAAGCTTTGGCCGGCTCTGGCGCGAGACATATTCGATGCGGACCAGTATACCACTCTCGCAACGTATGGCAGGGCCGAAGTGCAAAGAATGCGAAATGCATTGTCTGGGATTAATATATTTGGCACCGATGAAGTCGACAAAATAGGGCAGATCATGGTATGTGTGCGCGAACTAGAGAAGCAGCCCGTCGAAAAGGTCATGGAAGCGGTCAGAGTCTGCACAGCATTCACCGGGCATTTATATGAGCACGAAACCAGATTGATTTCTGTAGCGGCGTCTCTCAGTATGATGGCAAAGATTCAAGTACACACTCTTGCGGGCACGTAGCTGGAGCCCACGACGACTTGGACGGCAGGGACATCGCTGAGCGACAACGTAAGAGATATGTTCCCGAGGGAGCATAATCCAGAGGACCGTTCAATCAACCGAGAACTCACCATTCGTAACCTCGTTCTTTACAACAAGTGCAGAGTCTACTGGACAGATCGCCTAGACAGGCACCTTGACTACCGCGTCAGCCGTGGCAAGAAAGTGATTTTAGTCTTCCAACACAAAATCTGGCTTTCAGCCCACTTGGGTCAAGACAAACACTGCGTTATTCCGCAGGATATTATAGGCGAAGCTCTTGATAGTCTCAATCTCTTGTTCCCGCAGAACAATACCGACACTGAAAAGTTTCTGAGGAAGCGAGGCCAAAGATTCTACAGCTTGGGGTATTGTGGCCGAGATCGAAGGCTGAGCCTCGCCGACTACCCTCACTGGGGTCATAAAATTGAGAAGCTCATAGACGTCTTCGAAGGTCCACGAAGCGGAATCTGGCGATTTCTCCCCCGACATGACAGATTCGATTTGATGGAGTCGGCCAATTTCTGGATTGCGACAGCGGCCGCCTTGCTCGCATTCGTGGGCTTCATACTCGGACTCATGTCTATAGTATACGCGAAGTGGTCATACGACGTCGGTGTCAAGTCTATGGTTATATCAGAAGAGTCGCTGGAGTTGACAAGACTCCAATATCAGCTCTCACTGGCTCAGGCATGTTCTGACCCAAATGAAGCTAGGCTGTTGCCGGACTTCTGTTCTGCGGAGGAGTGAGTGAGAATCTAAATTGGTTTCATTTGCGAGACTGTGCTCGGAAATCTGGCATTGATATCGTCTGATATTCAAGTAAGTCTACAAGTGGCTCCAGTCCTCTTGAGCGACCACACAATGTCAAAAGGGAGTTTGCTGACATTTCGCGGACAGAATTCACCGAATTTCTTTGAACAGGCCTTTCTGCTGCTCAACAGCGTCCCGATCGGAGCCCCAAATCCGGTGCTGGTGCGAATTTCACAATGGCAAAGGGTCTCCTAAATTCCAATGGCTGTGCTCAGGCTTCGTTTGCTCCGTCCTAGTCAACTTCCCAAGCTACGTTGATCCGAGTGGAAAGGAACGACGCCATCCATCCTTTCGAGCTATGTAGCATGCATTACTTGCGCTTCAATCTTGTCTTGGTGATAACAGAAGGAGACATATGGAATCAACATTGATAGGACTTGAGGAAATACCTGCACAGAAACTCTTGATGATTAGGTTTATTTATGAAAGTCGCCCCAGGTAGGGATGATGTACACTCATTACGAGTCTTCTTTCTTACATAGACATACGTACCTCTACCACATCAGCATCAGCACTATCCCAAAGCATCTAGAATAGTCTGATGGATCGGCAACACACCTCAATGCCTCAATTCACTAGAAAACCCAGTCCACGAACTCGCATTCCACCCCGAGTTACTCACCACAGTCTCCGTCTCATACGGTCTATACCCATAATGCCCAGAGTAATCAAGCAAGGTGCGCGCCTAGCCAGCGATCTTGCTATCCCAATTCGACGCAAGGCCCCTCGACGCCGCTGGCACTAACGGCGAAACTACCTCCCGATCGGATCCAGTTACCAAACAACCCTGCGGTCGAGGCCTTGAAAAAGACCGTTCTCCGGGTCTCGTCCTGGAGGAAGCGCACGAACGACTTGCCGTCGGCCGGAATGGGGAGGATGTTCAGCTTAATGGCGTTGGTCGGGCGACTCGTCAATGGAAGTCTTTGGGGCGGGAAAGCTCTTGAAGTCCGAGGTGTGAGTGTGGCGAATCATGGAATAGAGTAGATAGAAGCAGACCACACGGCTTACTAGGCACTAACGCTTAATGAGCCGGGCAAAAGACTCGAGTTTGAGCTGCCTACGCTCGAATCAGGGAAAGTAGGTCACCGTTCCAGACACCCTTACCTTCATGTCCCCAGTCGTCATTGGCAGGCACATGGCAAAACACTGCCAGGTACGGACGGACACGATATCTCCAAATTACTCCGTAAGCGAGCAGAGAAACGTCGACGGGAATAAACCTGGGAAAGAGGCGTTCAAGAAACGGCGCGTGATCGATTGGGTCAAGTGTGGATATAAATATATATACGATATACGAGAAAACTTATGGAATATATACTCGGAACTTTGATTGTGCAAGAAAGTATGTACACGTGAAGAGGAAGATGGTGGCTAGAATTGGGAGAAAAAGCGCGACTGCTTTGGAACCCACCCCCAATCAGAGACACTATCAATCGCGTTAATATCGTCATCGTCATCGTCATCCCCTTCGAGAAACACAAAGGGGAGTACGGGGGAAGAAGCAGGGGGAAAAAAAGAAGACATGCGCACCTGAGAGTAGTAGGAATCCTTAAAGGTGCACTTCAATCCAGCAGCACACTGGAAGCTGCCGTTCCACGTCGATCCACCGCACTGCCCGTGCAGAGGCTGAGCTGTCGAGGTTGCAAGGGCGAGGATCTTGGCGGCGGCGTGTTCGGCCGAGACCATGATGTACGACGACGGGTTGGTAGTGACCATGCCGGGGAAGATACTGGCGTCTACGACGAAGAGGTTGTCCGTGCCGTACACCTTTGTGTTGATATCGACAACCGAGTCGCCGCCGTTGCTCCGGCCATCTTTGGTGCCAATCTTGTTTGTGCCTGTTTCGAGGTTTCTGTCAGCGCACCGGGCGGGTTGTGAGCGGGGGTGTGAGAGGTGATCAACTTACCGATCCAGTGGTTTGCGCGACGATTCGAGTAGGAGACGAGCATGTTGTTTACATAGTCTCTGACAGTCGTTCCCGGCGCGGGAAAGTTCCAGGTAAGGTTGGCCACGTTCTTGAGGGAGGTCTGCAGGTTTTCCAGGCTCTTAATGACGGCCTCGACATCGTTTTGGTCGCGGAGATAGGGCACGGTGGACACGACGGTACCGAGGTTGGCCTGGATGGTCATCCTGCCGCGGGAAGTCGCGCCGCGGCCGAGGTATTGGCTGATGGTGATGGTCTCTGTGAGGCACGTCAGTTATCAGGCGCTAGGACAGAATGAAGATTGATGAGGTGGCGAGCTTGAAAAGGATGACTTACTGCCGTTGCCGGCCCCAAGACTGCCTTCCATTCGGGCGGTGTACTGCATCTGGCGGGTAATGCCATCGGCGCCTTTGATCTCCTCGAAAAACCTGGAAAGGTATTAGCAATGGGAATGAGAACAAGCAAGTGGTAACGGCTTGACTCACAGAGGGCCGATGTTGGGTGCAGACTGGGCCAGGATACCGCTTCTCTTCTGCAGATAGAGGTTCTTATCAGTGACGTTGGGGTCAGTATATGCCTTGTAGAAGTCGTAGTACTGGACGTCGGGATGCGTGACAACGGTATCAGTCTGTCTTAAGTTAACTTCCATCTTCACGCCCACCAGAGCTGTCGGTGAGACCCACGTTGGTGTGATCCTCCAGATTGTACCCGACAGGCAGGTTGATCCAGGATGAGTTGGAGATCATGGTAGGGCCGTCGGTGGAGTTCTTGACGACCTCGAGCTGATCCTGCGGGCCAATGCCGCTGCGCAACAGAAGCTTGGCACTGCCAAAGGTGCCCGCGGACAGGATCACTCGGCCTGAGATGCTGGTAACGTTGACAGTTCCGGTGTAGCCGGCGTCCAAGTAGGGTTCGACCTCAATCCCGGTGATGTGCCCGCCGGTTCGGACGACGCGCTTGACGGCAGTCTTGGTCCATAGCTTAAAGTTGCTGCGCTTGCTCGCCGAGACAAGGTACGTAGCCAAGGGGCCACCGCGCTCACCGCCTGAATACATGTAGGGCGTCTTGCCGAACGTGCGGTTCTTGGAGTCTGGGTTTGCATTGAGATCGATCTCTGACCAACCGGCAGTCCGGAGACCACCGGCAATGGCATTGAAGCCGTTTGTGAGGTAGATGTTGCCGTCTTGAGATGGGGTCGTGGTGCCCGGAATACGGGAGAAGACTCGGCTTGTGGCGGCAGCGACGTCAGCTGACTTCCAGCCAGCGGGGAAGTTGTAGTCCCAGTCAAGGGCATATGGCTACGAGCAATCAGTACCCCTTTCAATTTGCTTGAGCGATAGTGACAACATACCTTCCACCAAAGAGCTGCGTTGATAGCTGTGCCTCCACCGAGAAGACAGCCAGCCATCTGGTCGGTATCCTGGCAGGCAATACCAGCAGAGTCGGTCCAGATCTGGTTGCAAAGACCGGGGACGTCGAATCTGGTCAGGTTAGTGCCCTCCAGCCAAGTCGGCTTCATGGTGCCACCCCATCGACCGGAAGATGGCGGCCCCTTTTCGATCAACAACACGCTCTTGCCGGATTCACTCAGCTTGTCGGCAAGAGGTACGCCACCGGCTCCCGCTCCAATGACAATGTAGTCGTATGTGCCAGAGGGAACGGGTACGCCAGTGGGTCCCGTGGGTGCCTTCGTGGTAGTGGTAGAAGGTGGCGCCGAGGTCGTCGTAGCACTGCCGCAGCTACCGGTGACAGTCTTTGTCGCCAGGGCAGCCCAAGCCGAGTAGGAAGGATTTGCAGCGTTGGCGTCGAGAGTGGCGCCATGGATACCTTGGTTTTCGTGCTGTACGAGATTGATCGTAGCAGGGCACGTGGGGTTGGTCGGGCTGGTGGAAGCCTGCGCCCATCCAAGGACGAGGGATCCTGCGCTGGTTGAGACGCTGCCAGTGGCACCGTTGTGGTTCCAGTTGAAGCAGTTCTGGCACCGATAGATGAGAGTGTAGTGCGTTGCATTGATGGTCGACGAGATCTGTGTAAGTTTGGCGTCGCCTGCGTAGACGTCGGGCATCACATAGCCAGTTGCCCAGCGGAACGATGTCAGGATATCGGCGCCATTGGGCCACGCCGTGAGAAGCAGCTTATTCGTCATGGAGCCGCCGAGAGAGATACCGCACCAGCCGGTGCCTTGGCCGTTCTTGGATGCGCATTGCTGGACGAAACTTGTCAGTTGGCGAGGGAGACGACGGTGTAATAAGACCTACCAAATAGCCAATATATTCATTGGCATCCGTTGTCAGAGCATTTTGAGGCAAGGCAAAACCGTATGTGATGCCTCCCGCCGTTTGATCGCTTGTTGCGGACCAAGTGTCGAAGATAATGCCGGTCGTAGAGTCGGTCAAGACGACAGGTGTTGGGGATTGAGCGGCAGCTCCATCGAGTACTTGGACATCAATATTAGAAGAATGCTTCCCCATGACCATATCGAAGGCTTACGGGATGTCGTGGCCAGCAGTGCTGCCAGAGCACTAGAACGACTCAAGAACTTCATGTTACCGTATGTCAACGTTAACAAAGATCTGGGAACCAAATTCTCGGATCTGACTTTCCAAGGCTGGGAGGGAGAGAGGCAATTTAAAGGGACAGTGGCATTTGCCAAGTCCCAATACCCCCTCCATGGATGCTCTCTCCTTCGTCACGATCCCGGGATTGAAACTACTTTCTTCTTTCAGACATCAAACCCTGTAGTTGGCGCCGCTTCCAGATGACCAGAAACTTTCGCCGTTCGGCTCGACCAGTCATATTTCCCGCGATTGTGGATGGATGCATGATTTGTGAATGCACCGATAGGACGAGGGGTTTGCTTAGAGGGGTCTTTCACAGGAGGGGGGAAGAGTAACATAGGTTATCGAAAGTAGTGGGTTTGGACCTGTTTCCAGCGGAATGTAACATAGCTGAATTGCCTTTGTTGGTCAAGCCTCATGACCGGGGTTGAATCAGGTACACCAATCTACCAGAGGCAGCAGGCGAAATCAGCAATCAGATGAAGGGGCAAAGGACGGGATGAAGCGGCGGACGCGGGGACTCGGGTGTTTGCACATGAGACGAACCAGCACGCGAGAAAATAAGAAACAAGACTCGGGAAAGCAAAACAGAAAGAAGAAAGCATCGATGAAGCTTCGGCGACCTTGACGTGTTGGGAAGCCATGATATCGACAGGTGAACCGTAACTCTGGATAAGGTACATCAAGATGCAATGTCTTGGACAGAGAAGTGAGGTCGGAACAGGCGTGCAGGCCATTGCCAGGAACGGAATGCGGAAGCAGAAAGGCGCAGTCCCACGTCGCGGTGCTGCATTTCGATCCGGGCTTCCCGAATCAACGGGGGGGTTCTGTCCGCGTCAGCTGGGACTCTTGGCTTCTTGTCAGGAGAGAGGACCCCCACGATGCAACCCTAGGGGACACAAGTAGACCTGGGCATTTCGCTTCTCAAGCTCCGAAGCGCGTCCTTCCGTACCACCCCCTGTACCGAGACAACGCCACAGGCTTGCCATGAGATTGCGGGGGGATACGCGAGAAGCAAACGCATCTGTCAGTTTGTCGAGATCCCGGGCGTTTGGAGCGGCGGCGCGCAGTGTCTTGCTTTGTGGTTTTTCTATGAAACGAGTCTAGACCAGACGACTCCCTCGAGTGCGATGTGACGTGTTCGTCATCGTTGTTCAGCCAAGGGGTGATTGACGTAGTGCCTTTCCGTCACCCTCGTCCGTCGTTGGAATCGTATGTATCCATCAAGAGGCACTGCGCCTGGCTAATCTGGCAGGCTGCCTACCGTGTACTGTGGTAGTCCATTTTGGCTCGCGTCGATGTGACAAGGTCCTGACTGCCTCGACCGGAGCCAAGGGCTGCGACGAGATGGCGACGGCGCCTATTGGAAGAACCAAATATCGCAACGAGGAGGGATGGTGGAAATAGGAGGTCACATATGCTCATTCGAGTCATGGGGGGCCGTTAATATATGACTTTTTAGTGCCTGCGACCCGTAACGAGAATGCGGGATTGAGCTCCGAGTCTGTAAACGTCAGGTCGACGCTCGTCGGTGCACCTAGAAGAAGATTTCCATGGAAGCGTGGTTGAGTAAGCTGATGGTTCATTTACCAATGCGACGTATGCAACGCCATGCAGCTTGAATATTGATGAGCTGATGGTCAGTCATCAGGAAAGGTATGCCCCGTCGGCCTTCTTGCAAAAAAAAACTTGGACATTGTATTGTGTGCTTCTCCTAGAACAATGATGGAATATGAAGAGGTTTGCGGAAAGAAGAAAAGCCCCAGGCGTCTGCAATGAATGTTTCGGGAGGTGAGTGAACAATTTCTTGTACAGTGTAGGGTAAGCACAGTGAGTGGTCCTTCCACACTGTGAGGAGCAACCCTTTAGTTGGCCCAAAGCCCCCCGTGTAGGCCTAGGCGGTTTGTACACGGTGCGGCGCCTTTATCCACTAAGCCAGGAAGGTTCGCTCGTTGGGGAAGAGGCGAATGTAAACACAACTTCGGAGGACCAGAGCTTTAAAACGCCAAAACTCCATCGCAACACCCACTATTTCACAAGATATTTCTCAAGCGATGCAAAATATGATCAGTGGGAGGCTTGAACTCCCGGCCTTGGCATTACACAACACTTCAGGTGAAATATTAGTACCACGCTCTAACCAACTGAGCTAACCGACCAGATCGAGTGCCATGATTGGCTGATGACCATCAGAATCAGAAAGCTTATTATATTGTCTAATTCTATCGTCTATCCACCGGTTACCGACCACTCTGTTTGAGTTCAATTCACTGTTCTTGGCGCAAGAGAAATGACAAGTGCAATACGCGTACTGGGTGGGATATTCTCCTTTATTTAAGTACATTCAATCGTGCGTTGTATTTCCAACATGGAACACGCCAAGGTGCAATGGCCGTCCCCTCCCGAACATCTGGTAATTTCAAGATACAAAAAGCTGCCAAGAACGTCCATCATGCCCCTCCAAACGCCTGCTAAATATGCCGCAATGCCCGCTATGCAAGTTCTAAACAATCAAACAGGTCTAAAAAAGATGGACAAACAAAGTGTGACAAGTAAAGAGAGGGAAGGAAAAAAAACCCAGAGAAACAATCGCACAACGTGTATCCCCCACCAGTCTATGAATCGAAAATGGCGCCGTAAGCGGGAATACCCCTGCTCTCAAGACCATACACAACCTTTCTCGTCACCTTTTGGTTCGAGATGATGACAACAGCCTCACAAGGACCCATCTTCTTCTTGGTCCTCGTCGCAGCAACTCCCTCATTCTGCGCGAGACCCAGCGCCTGCCGACGACTAGTCTCCCAGATCCGGTACGTGATAGCCACCAAGTCCGGCCGCCCCGTCTTCTTGGTATCGATGATGACGGCGTCCGGGTCGGCCCGGTAGAGCGTATCGATAACGGCCTGCCCGTACGTCTCGGCGGGCCGCTGCGTCGACCAGATGATGCGCACGGGGTGGTCCGGCCTCTGCACAAACAGACTCAGGCAAGGACCGATGCCAGACCCCGTGGCGATGACGATGCACGGCTCAAAGAGGCCGGCCACGCGGAGGACGCCGTACTGCGGGACGCCGCGGGTCCAGATCTTTTTGGGCGGGTTCTTGATGATCTTGTCCGTCCAGTCGCCCGCGTTGGAGACGAGGACGGAGAAGCCCTTCTTTCCGGCGTTGGAAAGTCCTCCTGTTGTTTGACCCTTTTCGACATCGTTGGACGGGGCGGCAGGGTTCGGGATCACGGCGAAGGCGTGCGTCTCGCGGAGAGGCGCGTCGGTGAGGCGGACCGCTTGACCGTAGTGAACATCTGCGTAGTCAAAGTTGAGCTTGACAACGTGGTCCGACATGGCTTCGGCCTCAACGTCGCGCAGGCGGAGGCGTGTCCAAGGGTACGCTACCAGGAGGGTGATGGCGACGAGCATCCAGAAGGACGGGGTCAGGGCAAGGGACGCGGCGTAGGGGATATCGGCAGTTGCGCTGTCATTCTCGGCGAGCATCAGGACGAGGGTCCAGAAGAGGACGATGACGGACCAGCCCAGGAAGCGGTGGGTACCCTCGAACCAGTTGTGCAGGAGGACGCGGGCCTTGGGGTGGGCGAAGCCGATGATGGCGGCGAGGAAGGCGCAGATGAGGTAGCTGTCGAAGAGGATGTAGGTGCGAACGGCGTTTGTCGGGTTCTTGAACTGGGCCGTGAGGACGACGAGGAAGGCGACGAACCAGAAGAAGGAGGCCACGCCGCAGCCGCTGTGGATGCCGCCGTACGAGTAGACTTTGGCAAAGGCGCGGCGTACGCGGAGGGGTGCCTTGGCAGACGGGAAGAGAACGAAGAGTTTGAAGAGTGCGTTAACGGTGTGCTCGTTACGAATGAAGAGGGCGGCGAGGATGTTTGCCGACACGGCCGTGGCGCAGGTCTGGGGTGTGAGCTGGATGCCTCCGATGAGGGAGCGGACGATGACCAAGATGAGGGCTGCAATGTTGCCCAAGAAGGCGAGGCTGAAGATGCGTCTGTAGACGGAGCCAAAGTTCCAGCGGAGGTATCGGTAGGGGCGGTTACCCTTCTTTGATGGGACGGCGATCTCGTTATCGTCGTCGTCGTCGTCGTCGTCATCAGTGTAATCGGTTGAGCTACTCGAGGCGGGTGGAGTCGGTGGTTGAAAAGGGCCGCAATCGGTGACCACGAGAGTATGCGTTGAGGAATTGCTGCTCGGTGGGAAGAAGACTTTAGTCGGAGGCGTCAAAGTGAGCTCGGAGCTGTTCTCGTTGCCGGTCTTGATCCGCACGTCTTGTTGAACATCTTCTACAACGGGCACTGGTAGTGTGACTGAAGAAGACGTTGTGAAAGACATGGCTGATACAGGTTAAAGACAAGTAGCTAACATAATTGTCAGTGCCGTCCGCCAACAAATTCGACAGCTCATCAGTGTGACTGACTTACGAAAGAGAATGAAAGAGTGGCCCTTCGACGCGGGTAGCAGATCCAAGTATATGAAATGCCACGACAGAGAGAGTGGGCAGTACGAGATAGATGGCCCAAAGAAGGAACTCTTGCAGAGAGATGGAGGCCCGTGTGGAATAAGGAATGGGGAGATCGAAAAAGCAAAGAGTGCGAACAAGATGATCATAGAGGACCACCAGACGATGAAGTTTGATACTTGTATGACTGAAAGGAGACAACATCACGTCTTGAGGGGGACCCGATGGTCTGATAAATACTCCCTTCATGATCCTCAGGGAATGTCTCTATTAACCCTTCACATGCCTAGTGTCCTTGATCCCACGTGTGCCATGACGGGGAGCAGACGACCACAAGCGCATCCGAAATAGATCCCCTCCGACGCTGGGGCCTAGCCTCCCTCAAGGTGCCCAATTTGGATCATCGACGGTGGCATACGGTGGCCGTCGTCTCCGGGTCAGTCACGTGGAGTTGGATGGAAGGATTGAAGAGAATGCGGGCGGCGGCACGGTCAGCGGCACGGTTGCGTCCATGGCCGAAGTTCCCTCAAGAGTGGATGCGGCCAAGCCGGGTGGTCGGTCTCAAAATAGACGTGTAAATGGAAGGTCACTTGTTGTGGAAGTCCGCAGCGGACCTGAGATTGGCTGCGCAGACAATGGTGACTGCCATTTTCTCTGCCCCTCTGCCTAGCGACGGTCCTGCCCTTGGGAGCGTGGCGCATCGAAGGGGATATCCTTAGTAACTAGTTGCATCATGGATGCAAGGCGTGGTCGAACCATGTAGTATGGGAAGAGAGGCATGACTGTTGAAAGACGCGAGGCTTGCGGCTAGCGCAGCCTCACATAGTTCGCAATAGTCTCTTCACGGTAGTCTGCTCCGGGATATCGGCCACTTGCCAGATTGTCAGATGGATATCGTGCCACAGGCGTTGGCCTGGAATTGGAGGTACATGATGATGAAGAATGAAAGAGATGAGCAGTCAATTCGGAGAATAGAAACCGGTTCTCTGCTCGCGCGACAGAGAGAAAGGACTGGTGGACTTCTCTCACATCTAGCCATTCTACGCCCTCCATCCGTACTGAATGGGCGAGAATCAATCATATCTCAACTTTCCCAGGGTATCCGTACTCGACACGAAATGGAGGTCCAACTGAGCTGAGGTGGATGCTGTGCTGGAATGCCAATTAAGGACCCAAGACAACGTTTGTCGGATTTTGGACTTCCGGGGACATTCACTCGACCGTTTGTTTTCGTGAGCCCAAAGGTGAACACACCGAGGCCGTCGAAACAGGCTCAATGGCCGAGAGTCAGCCTGTCAAAAGTGGATGCGTGTCTCGCCCCAAAGTTGTCACCGCGGGAGCTAAGCTTGACTTGCGCCTGCTCGACCGAGTCGAGGAATGGGACGTGTCGTCCCTGACTCCGATGGTATCCCGCCCTTGGCTACCGTAGGTACGCAGGTTGAATGAAGACGTACGAACCGTGGGCTTGGCTCCATCCTCCCACGCCTTCGCCCGCACGGAAGACACCGGGAGATACCCAGACAAGACCAGAAAACTGATCTCAGCCGCATGGGAATCCGCGCTAGTTCCCTTCTCGAAGTTGTGGCTGGGAGAACTGGCATGGAGAATTCGGTGGTTAGTAGGTGGCATATCTCTCCGATGATGAGCGGGTTTGCTTGGTTAACGACGCCTTATTCTTGGGAGAGGAGGGGAGGTGGCACGCAAAACACCAGGCCGCTTCGAAATCTTCAACGTCGTATAGCAAGTCGCATATGGACGGACGCTGAAGAGCTATACCGACAAGCAAGTCGATGGCTCCAGTGGCAAGGCGGACTAGTGGCATCCTGTCGCTCGGATTCCAGGCGATGGCCAAGGTGAATCATTGTCTCGCTGGAGAGGGGAAAAGCAAAGATAGAACCACCATGCCACCCAAATCAAGGAAAATGGGATGGACAGAGCGAACGAAGAGTTGACTTGGAAAGGGAGGCCAGAATAGGGCGTCTGAAGCGCTAAAGACTTGAGCCCTCTTTCGGAAAGGTGTCGCTCTCCATGCGGCGCTTGAGGCTTCCGCCAGGCGGAAGCCTACTTTACCTAGTGATGTGACATTGGCTGCATTGCTGGCGGAACCCTAAAGTTGCTTTGTTCCGTGCGATGGTGACAGGCGCTGGCGCGGTGTCATTTGGAGGAGCCGCCGAGTGGTTTTGACGCGATACGGCGAGGTAGCAGTCATGCTGACGGCCAGGTATTTCGAGAACAACGCGGCTGTCGGTCGTCGAATCGGGAGATCTGACCATCAACTAGGTGAGTAGATCATACCTTGGGTGCTTGGATGGATGACTTGGGTCGCGTCTACCGGACCCAAGGCCTCAGGGCCGCAAGGGGTTGCCGAATCTGCACCTCCGAGGCGTGAACCAGCCACTTGGCGATGAAGCAAGGGAGGGAGGAAACAGAACGCCTCATTTTCCGCCTGTCTCGTGGTGAGGAGGAACATGTCGGCGGTATTATCGAACGTCGCTTATCGTCATTGACCGATACCGTCTCGCCTTGGTCGAGTGCGACATGACCCGGACCCAGTCACCCAGGCGTGAATGCCACGGGGAAGTTGGGAAATTGGTGCCGGCTGGGATGACTGCGGTGACTCGGCTGAGTCAATGGCCCACAACCGAGAATTCCTCGCGGAGCCCCCTCCGGACGATCAGCGCTGATCAATCATCGATCAGAGTCGAGTCGGGCATCTGCCGCATCTCTCCTGAGTCTTGGGCCGCAAATCCCCATCCGGTTGCTGGGTTCGACGGGTGCCCCTGTTGGTTCCGAGCAATGCTGCCGTTTCCGAGGTGACTCTGGTTCACCTTTTTTTTTTCTGTTTGGGTGGTGATGGTCCGATCGGTGCTGGGATGAAAAGACTAGGATGGAGAGATGACGCGCAGATGTGAACGAACACTTGGATGCCTGTGCCCATCCATCCGTACGGGTGCGTACCCGACGTTTACCTAAGGCAAGGCACCTTAGGCAAGGCACCTTAGGTAAGGCACCTTAGGTAAGGTACCATCCCGTCGGGAAAACGGACGAACCTTAGCCCCCAAACCTGGCCGCTATTTCGGGTAAAATCTTTGCCGAGCTGAAGACTTCATTGAACCAGCGCACCAGAGTCGCACACAGTGGTTCGTTCTACCTACATGTATCAATCAAAATCCTTCCCGCGCATTTTCGTTTCTTTCTTTTTTGGACGAGATTCTCGATCTCGAGCCAAAACGCCTTCTCAGATCCGAACTTGGGGTTGGACAAGATGCAATGTAACCCCAAAACTGACTCCAAATAGTCGTCAGCAAGGAGCATTTCAACCGCACAACAGCTCAGTAAGCCGCAATGCGACGCCATGGTCGCCGTGCCGCTCCCTTGCCTTTACGGCTGACTTGATTATTCAGATGCCAAGTCCCCTCTTTTCCATGCAGAAGTGGCGCAGCCTGGTGTTGCAAAAGCTCAGCTATCAGGCACTTCGGTCCTTGATTCCTTTTAGGTTTCCGCCATGAGACTGGGCTCGTTCATCATCCGCATCCGACATCAATCTCATTCACGGTGCCCAAAAAGCCATGATTCAAGTCTGATTCACGAAATGTGCAATTCTCACGCTACCAATACTACTAAGGTACTACTCCTATCTAGTCCTCCCCATCATTAGCTCGTATCCAATCATTCAATATCATTACTGTTGTCGGAGTCATCAGACTGCGACATTTAGATGCTATCCGTCTCATAGTAAGGATCATCCGGCAGGTAGGGGAATTTTCGAACAACCACATCTCCCTTGTACGTCCACAGGTCTGTTTGCGTAGGCTCATAATCGAGAGCGCACGTGTCCGTTTCGGCATTGAAGGTGAAGACGTCTGTCGTGGTGCCGTTGGAGTAGTTGATGCGGACCATATTGACCGTCTCCACGTTGGGACCAATGTCAAAGTAGTTGGCGGGCATCTGTGACAGAGTAAGCCAATGTTCAGAATTCCTCGACGCAGTGAGCTAGACTTACAAACTGGATTCCGGAATGAGCTGTGGTGAAGACGGTGGTGGGGAGGTCACCCTGTGAGTCGAGTCAGCGCCCGTCTGATGCAGGCGGCTTAAGATATAGTGACTTACAGTGTGAGGAACGTGGTGCATGCCGAGGTTGAGCCACACGACGAGATCAGTCTGGTTGAGGCTCTCGCCGTCAAAGAACGCATCAAAGTTGACCGGCGGGTTCTCGGTATCCTGGTTGTTGTACGGGTGACTGCTGCGCGGCTCCGTGTCCTTGCGCTTCGACACCATGATGTCGTTGCCAGCCCACTTTGCCGAGTTCTTGAGAATGTTGGAATCTTTGACGGTCAGATGCGCGGCGCCGGTGTACGGCAGGATGCGGTAGGCGCGGTACTCGCCGTGTCTGTTCTTGACGTCCTGGTTGAGGACGAAGAGCTGGTCCTGGTTGTTATAGCTCCAGTCGAATCGGCCCTGGTCCTCGTTCTCGACAAACTCCCGCTCCACCTTCATCGTGTTGAACGCCTTACCCTTGGACCAGGGGTAGACTTGCGTCGTGGGGACCTGGTGCATGCGCTGGACCGTGTTTTCGGTGCCCAAGATGTCAAAGTCGGCCTTGAAGTTGACCACGTGGTCATGCATGCTGCCGGACAGCTGGTCATGGATCTTGAAGCCATAGCCTTCGTTTTTGGCGTAAAATGCGGCCTGGATGTAGCCGGAGGCGCGGACCTCGACCGCGACGCTGCCGTCGAGGAAGAAGCTGTAGCTGAACATGTAGTCATAATTGCCAACGGTTGAGACGGAACGAATAGTGAAGTAGACATTCTTAGTCGCCGTCACGTACTCTTGGGACGAGTGACGTGCCATGGGATAGTCGGCGTCGAACTCAAAGAGGCAGATGCTGTTGAGATGCGTGTGAGTGGACTCTGAGACGTAGAACGACGAGTTGAGATAGGTGGCATAGGATGGGCAATCGTAGCCCTTGAGCAGCTCAAAGGCAAACGGACCGAAACCGTAGTAGGTGTCGAGGTATGCTACATGAGACTGGGTGGGATCGCTTCCTATCGAATCGTCAGAAGGCCGTCTGGCAAAGACTTGAAAGGTTAGAACTTACCAGCATAGTGAGCCAACGCCTCCTGAAGCCCAAGCTCGTACAAGATCCTCTGGCCCTTGTAGCGGATGTCGTAAAGAGCCATGCCGGTATCTCTATTGAAGCCCACGTAAAATGACCAGCCCATCCACTCAACATACTTCCTCTCCGCGTCGACAGAGTATCTAGCACCTTGGGGTGCAACAGCGGTAGGAGGAGCCATCGTGTCCATAGGAAGAACCTGTCCCTGCTGGTCGGTAGCAGACCAGTCGCCAGCAAAGTTGCCGCCGAGCTTCTCCACGTTGCCGCCCCAGTAAGCAGTGCGAAACTCGTCCGTGGTCTCGTAGAAGACACCATTATAGTACCATCCCTCCAGTACCCACTTTGAGGGATCGCGGCCGGTGACGTCGGACATGAAGAACAGCCCCATGGGCATCATCGAGCCGACATCAAAGATGGAGTCGGGTATGCTCCAGAACGTGTCCCAACGCTGGATGCGGCCGTCATCCTGATAGTACGGGTCAATGCCCCAGATCTCCAAAGTGTCGTTGTCGAGTCCCAGAGCAGTGGCGTTCCAGAGGTCTTTGGTTATGTCTACGATGCTCTTGCTGACGTCGTAAAGCCAATCTTGCATGGCGTCGTCGTCGGCATCCAGGTTCCGCAAGCGACCGCTAGTCTTGCGAGTGTAAGGGTACTCTAGCCGCTCCCACTTGGTAGTAGCGTTGGTGACTGGCAATGGGCCGACGAGTATGTCTTGATATTCAGGCTCCTCGGTGGCGCGGACGTCAAGCAAGACGTGAGCATAACGCGCGGGAGCAGGGCTGCTGCCATCGATGTAGGCCAGGGCGTCCGACTTGTTTGGTTGCATAAGCTCCACCAAGACACTATTCCTATTAGTGAAAAGACCGATTTGAACTGAGGCTACGAGTCCACTTACATTGTGTTATCCCAAGAGGTGGCGTTGTCACTAAGGGTGAGGTTCAACTCTTTTTGTGCAAAGAGCCATTCCGTGACACCGGCAGCCTCGGGACCCGTCAAGCCACTCCAAATGTTTTCCTTGGGTGCATCAATGTCGAGCGGGTCGTGAACCACGCAGTCGGCTGGTTCGGTGCCATTGCTGAACTGACGCTTATTCATAGACTGGCTAAGCGCTTTTCTGCCATGTCCCTTGGCCCTTTGTTGAGCCCATGGGGTCTTGGGAAGACCATGAACTTGAGGGATCAAGTCTGAGCCCAGGAGAAGCAGTGCTCCCAGGCTAAAGGCACGAGTGACTGAAGTGAAGCCCATATTGTCCGAGGTCTTGACAGACTCTTCGGGGGTTTAGAAAGGCGTGAGGGTCTCTCAAAAAACCATCTCAACAACCAGGGCGGATCTTAGGGGTTTTTATGGAGAGCTTGGAGGAAAGCTGAAGCTTTGGTGGAACCTTCGTTTTCTGTTGATGTTGCACTTGAGTCACTTGACCCAGTCAACTTCAGCTTGCCAGTATCCCGACACCGGTGCCCGAGTTGCATCGAAGGGCAATCTTCAACAAGTCCATAATCCATTAGACAATCAACTGACAGCAACTTTCGAGTAATCTTCAGCATGCAAGCTAAACCACTCTCAGTACGCGGAAGCGTCACTAAGGATGCGAACGGAAGCTAGGAACGAGGGGGCCTCATTTGAACAACCAGCGCCTAGAGGGGTGGATGGAACCCGAGGGTTGTTCGCTTTCTCGGAACAGGGTAGTCGCCGTGTAGCTATCGTTGCCGCGATGGCATCTGGGCGAGATTGAGATGCCCCATCACGCTGGGAACGAACTGCATAAGCGAGAGATAATCGTTCAAGAGCTGCAGAACGTGGCGCCCATGTCGCCATGGAATGCGAGCCAGGACGGGGGATTGCTGATATCGCGGGCCGCGGCCTGCGGACAGACAGTTTACCGTTCGTTCTGCAGGCTCTATGTAACAAGAAGGCGTGATGTTGTTTGCTATACCCAGCCTCTTGAGTCTTGGCGATTGCTCCAACGTTCGGATGGCGGATCAAGGTCGATCGGGTGACCCGGTCCAACGGCGTCGGGCCCGTAGCTTTGGTGCTGGGGTGAAGTCCTCGATAACGCCAGTCCAAGTTTGTTAGTCGCATCCGAGATTGTATTGATAGGCCAATAATTGGGGTTTGAGTGGCATATCCAAGTCTCCATCATGGCGGTAGTTGAATGGAGATTTCTTATCTCGAAGTCCAATTAAGCGGAGTCGTTGGCAGGGAATTCTTGGCTCAAAGAGGAGTTTCAAGGATGCCTTCGAGGTGGGGTTTATCCAATGCCTGTGAGCATCGTGCGGGGGAGTTGGTAATCACGAATTCTTGTTGTCGAGGCCGAACATTGTCGAGGAAATGCCCCTTGACACTGCCTTGGCTAATGACGGAAGACATTTGAGAGCTATGTTTAGCAGCAATGCGTCTTCGTGCCGCCAGCTTATCTCGGAAGCCCATCTCGGAAGCCCAACCGGGAGGCAAGCCAGGGTACGTTCTCACAGACGAAAACTCGTGATGAGGTGCAGGTCGACACAATTGAAAGTTGGGTCGTAGACTAGTCTAGATAAGCTTACATATAGCTTCAATTTTCATCGATCAAGGAGCCTGTCAAAATAAACTTAACAACAAACGGTTGAAGGAAACAAAGATAAACAACGATCTGCCGTTCATGAAGACAGGGGTCCTCTGTAAAACGGCCCCCACTTCCCACTTCCCACGCCGCGATGTTGGCAGATGGATCACTGATAAGCCTGCATGGCCGATAGCTAACCAGAAGAGCCGGACATTTGCGGCTTGCGAAGAAGAAGCTCCGACTACCACAACGGTGCAGATGAAGCGCAAAAGTCTCATGCTGCCTCCTCAGGTTTGGCGGTCTGACGTAGGCAGACGTGGGGAAAGATTGATGATCGGCGAACTCGGAACTGGTGAAGTTGCGCGCCAACCGAACATATGCTATCGCCAGATTCGGCAGTTCGATTGACCACTTTTGAGGGTTCTACTGCCGTCGATACCGTTCGTGGGCTCCGACTTCGGTGTCAAGGTTGTGTGTGCTCTACCGAAGCTGGATAGGCATGGTACCGGGCCTCTCAGTGATGACAGGGCCAAGGGCGTATTGACGAGTTGGCCATGGTAGGCGCTTGCTTTGGTATCACAATAGTAGAAGGGCAGTCGAGGTGGTGCTTTCCCATATGATGTCCACATAAGGATCGGATTAAGCCGTTGTTCCAGAAACTTTATCGCGGTCAGCTCGGCTCAGCTCAAGCAAGAGTGAAACTTTTAACTTTGTTGACCTAGTACAGGCTTGGTTGGTGATATTGATTTCCTCGGCACTGATTAATTGTAGTCGTGTGCCGGACGTCTCACACTTACTCTTGTTGGCTCGTCCGCAAACAACTAAAGGTCTTGCATCTCTATTCTCTCCGAGGACAATCACGCCCTTTTATGCTTGCCTTTAGGGAAAGATTGCTCGTTATGTTTCCGCCCTATCTGGTCAATATGAGCTGTTTTGTACTCTACATACAGCCGTTAGGTGCGTCTCAGCGGGCGTTCAAAATTATCACATGGGCATATTCCTAGAGTGACTGGCCAATAGCTAGCCGGTACGGCAGTCTAGCGGGCGCTTCTTTCAACAGATCCGAGTTGCGTACCCTTCAACGTTGAAAGGGGAAATTCCCCGGTATCCCGCATGCTGTTTCCTCAAGAAAAGTCCCGATAAGCCCTTTACATAATTCTTCGCAGTTGCCCTTGGAAAGTAGACTGATAAGTAGCGTGTGTCATGATCTTAATCTTTTGAAACAGCAGGATGCCCAAGTAGATGTCTAGGCTATTTGGGTTGATAGGGCAAACCAATGTATCTATCTGCGCGTGGTTGTGGCCCGGATCGAATAACTTGTTGAATGACTTTGGGACATTTTCGCAGGTGTAAGATTACAAAAGTTATGAAGCCTGAAATTGCCATAGTTCATGATGTAAGACGTAGAACACATTGAGAAAGGCTCGCGTTAATCTTGGTAGCAAAAGGCAGCGAAGACTTGCTCTACAACATCAAGAATCGTCAAGAAGGAAAACATAGTAGGCAATAGGAACATGAGATGCAAGACACTCCGATATAAAGAAGGTTTATTTTATGTAAAACTGCCTCAAGTTTAAAAAATAATTATGCGTCAATCGCTGACGGGAATTGAGCCCGACGTGGCTGGTGCTTGTTAGATGATTGTTGAGGTGTAGAAGAGAGGCAATAGGCGCTTACGGGTCGAACCCACAACCTTGAGATTAAGAGTCTCACGCTCTACCGATTGAGCTAGCCGGGCAGATGAATCTGAAATTGGCTGGTTGTTGAGGAGTCTCCGGGCCGGAGGCGTTAAATTTCGAATCTGGAAAATTGGTGCGATGGGAACTAGAAAATTTTATACGCTCCGAAGCAAGTCCCACTCCGGGCCGAATCGGAACTTACTCCGTCTCCGTTCTGCGGCCTTGGCACATCCGGATGCCCTTCTCATGTCACAGAACGCTGTTGCGCAGCCCATCTAGTCGCTAGATTTAAAGACCGCGAGGAAATAGTCTTCATTGGAAAGTTGGCAACGGTCTTCGAAAAACTGCTTCCTGGTCAACACGAGGCTGGCTTTTAGGTGTGTGGGAAACATCAGATTATAGACACAAGCCAGCGATGCCCAGCATTGTCCTGAAAACTTCAGCCTTTTTGTTCTGATTATAGATCAAGAAGCCGCTTCATTTCAACACCCATAGCACCCGGGTGTGGCACAACTATCGCGCCCGCTTCTTCAAGTGCCTTTGCTTTAACGTCGGCGGGCACATCCCTCGGCGACAAGATAGCACCGGCATGCCCCATCGTCTTGCCTTGCGGTGCTGTTCTCCCAGCAACCATCGCAATGATCGGCTTCGGACTTTTGGTCGATTGTCTGTAATCTCTGATGGCTTCTGCTGCTCTCAGCTCGGCTTCGCCACCAATCTCACCAATGACTATGATGCCCTTGGTATCGTCATGCTCAAAGAATAGTTTGAGGCCATCCAAAAGAGTTGTACCTTTATAGACCAGGTCAGAAAATAGTGTAAGTTTGTCCAGGAAGAGATCTAGCTCACCTGGCATCATGTCACCCCCCATCCCGACAACGATACTCTGCCCTAGCCCGGCCTTGCTTGTAGCTCCAACAGCTTCGTAACTAAGTGTCCCGCTTTTGGACACAATCCCAACAATGCCCTTTGTGTACTGCTTGTACGGCATGATGCCAATACGGCATTGGTCAGGCGCAATGATTCCCGGACAATTGGGCCCTACGAGTCGGGTTCTACTCTGTGTTCTCAGAATCTCTTGGACCCTAGCCATGTCATGAAGAGGGACATGCTCAGCAACTGAAACGACGAGGGGAATCTCGGCCTCGATTGCTTCGATGATGGCCCCTGCTGCAAATTGGGCGGGAACAAAAACAGCGCTCGCATGTGGCTTGACGCTCTTCACTGCCTGTGTGGACACCACTACATTAACTAGAGTGCAAGTTTCATGGGATGTTGAGGATTTCTTACCTCATGTACTGTGTCAAATACGGGGAGACCAAGATGATCCTGGCCGCCTTTCCCAGGCGAGACACCGCCAACAATTTTTGTACCATAGTCTATCGTTTCTTTCGCATTTTTTGTAGCCTGATTCAAATTAATTCCAACGAGACACAGTAGTGGCGCAGACGCAGGTAACATACCGCTTTACCAGTAAATCCTGATGAACTAGGTCAGCGAGAATCCCCAAGCCTGAGACTGAGTGGACGCATGTCCTGCTGGTTTTCTCACCTTGATATATCACTCTTGTGTCGTGATCTATCCTTAGATTGGCGATTGTGCTCTCATATGTATCTTGTTTCCCGGCCGTAAACGAAAATCCTCTGCCAAGTCTGGGCGTGTTGAGTTTCCGAGGCAGGAATATGAGTTGTGGTGATAACTTCGTTGCCATAGTGCCCTGAGACTTATCCAAACCTTCTTCTAAGCAAAGCTGAAGTAGTTCTATTCATCAATACATGTACCTAAAACAGAGGTGTATCAATGGTCAATCATCGATCGGGTACAAAGATCGAATGGATGAGGTTGGGAGAATGGGACAGGGACTTTCGGTTATATGATTCCATGTAACCGAATTGCTGCAGTAGTGATGTCATTGGCGCATCTAGCCCCCCCGCATTCGGCAATAAGCAATTTCACCGGCTGCATGGCAATTCACCAATTTGAAGCATTTTCGATCAGCCCATGTAAACACCGTGCCTCGACGAATTCGACCGATAACTCACATGCCACCGAAACTTATTGTAGGAGGTTTGCAGAGAAATATGCAAGATTAGACTTCACGCTCCACGGCTTCTTGCGGCTGGCAAAGATTTGCTGGCCATTCGGCTGGCGGCTATGACAAACCTCCGCAAACGAGCGCGCCAGGCATGTCAGGCATGCAACGCGCGACGCATCAAATGCAACGTAACCGAGCAGAAACCTTGCCGTAATTGTGCCACAGCCGACACACCCTGTGAGCTACGAGAGTCGCGGCGAGGCAAGCATCCTCGTCCCTCACGACGGAGCCAGAAGCCAGATAATGCGGCCGGGCTAGACCAGGTCGAGTCGTCGCCATCTTTCATCGATACGAGTCTCCTTGATGATTCGGTGGGCAATGAGGATGACGAGCACTTTGCCGCATCGCAAGCGCTCGCTGATCTCGCAAGACATCGGGAAATAGAAGGCCCGGAAGAGCAAGAAGGTATCACAGTGCAACCTCAATCCCCTCCATTGGCACCAAATACGAGACAGGAGGATGATAGCTCCGTGTTTCTCGGCGAGTCGTCTTCGATACGCTATGTCACCAACAGTAACCCCACACCGTCAATAGCAGGGATATCGCCACCAGAGAACCTGAGATTCCTACATGCCGTACCTCACGCTGTGAGGGCTGAGAATCTTATACCTGAATGGGAGGTGGAGCGCAGACGATCGAGGATTCGTTCCCTAAAAGCAGAAGGCGTATTTTCCTTCCCACCGGGGCCGGCTGTCGAGACACTGCTCAAGGCGTACTTCCAATGGTTTCACCCATGTTTCCCTGTTGTGGATGAAGTTGATATTTGGACCAGCTTCCGGGATGGCACCTCGTCGCCTCTGCTACTACAGGCGATTCTCTTTATAGCTGTCATCCACTGCGAGGAAGACGCCGTCCCACCACTTGGTCTCGGGGGCCGTCACGTTGCCAAATGGGTCTTTTACAACCGCGCAAAGGACATTTACGACGTCGAGTTTGAGCCAAAAAAGTTCACAGTCACGCAGGCCTTATTCCTCATGAGCTTCTGGAGGGCAGGCTTACTCCTGGAGAAGGATGCACGCCACTGGCTCGGCGCAGCCATCAGTCTTGCCCAGACGAGGGCTCTTCATCGCTCCTCACGATCTGCGACTACCGAAAAGAAGACTGAAAGACTCTATAGGCGCTTGTGGTGGGCCATCTACATTCGCGAAAGGCAATGCGCTGCGGCGTTGGGCCTGCCGAACAGGATTAGAGACGAGGACTGCGACATCGAAACACTACAAGAGGTCGACTTTGAACGCGCTTTCGACGCAGCGTTGCTAAGTCACAAGGCTCAAGAGTACATCGCGTACTTCATTGGTATAGCCCAACTCTCTAGAGTGCTGGGACGAATCGTGCATAGCGGATATCTCCCCAGCAAGTCACTCTCCGCGAGCGATCGGTCTCGTATGAAGGACGACCTCGTGAGGTGGAGAAAAGGGTTGCCTACAACAATGTGTTTGGGGAATAATGACTTTGGCGATGCGCCTGGCTTTCACGCCAGTATGTTGCACCTGGCTTACAACAATCTCCTCATTCTTCTGTACAGATCAGGCTGCATCGGGAGCGCTGAAGAAAGCAAAGAAGTGGACGGGCAGATTGCTCTCCAGGCTGCGGCGAGAAACTCCCGGATTATCGAGGATATGTTGCTGGAGGGTCACCTACGTCACGGGCAAATCCACGTCATTACAAACCTCTTCAACACGCTTTGTATCCACACCGTCCATCTTCGCTCTTCGAAAGGCCCCGGGAGATCCATCATCGAGCACAGAGCGAAGCTTTGTCTCTTGGGCCTGCAAGAGCTGCAGAAAACCTGGGAGGTCAGGATGTGGGTGCTGCAGTTGTTTTTCCAATACCTGGATCGATCTACGGCGGCGCGGCTGCGGATGCAGGACGAGATCGGTTTCGCGCCTGGACTTGACAGCGTACAGGACGTCGGTACAGGTCCGAAGGCGATGAGTGGTCTCAATCGAGGGGTAGTTGAACGTGATGGATCAGATGGACTCGACACTCTACTGGCATCTGAACCTCCATGGTCATGGTCCACCGAAGAAGCAAATCAATTCCTTTTCACACAGATCGAAAATGACTTTGCTTTTGGCGAGGGCGGTGTCTTGAACTGGAATGCGGATACGCCAGCCACCATTTTGCCATCAGCGGACAGTGATTCCCCAATGGCTGTGGGCTTCTGAATATTGGTAGTCGGTCAACTACCTACTATGAGTACCAAATGTACCTACTTTACCTGTGTCAGGGTGGAGTGTATTTCTATCTTGGACTCAACATGGTGTCCTCAATGTGGCATTTGTTTCTTTGACACTCTACTTACAACGAAAGCGTGGAGGGTCGAAAATGACCTACGACACACCTTCTCAACCAAACCAAAGTAACTTAGTAATGATTTCTACGTCTAAAGGGTCGGACGTATGCAGAGACCTGTAGGAATGTTTACTATACACCCAAAACATCTGATCGATCAAATACATTACATCAATACTCAAGGGTGAAACTTAATACATGTAAGATAAAAGCCATACGGATGATTTAACAAGAATAATCTGAGATTGCATGAGGGGAAAAATACTTTTTGTGAAGTTTTGGCCAAGAAAAGTGCTCTTCTATGCAAATGAATCGAATAGCACTCCACGTGGAACGCCTTTCCTGGTCTTTCCATCTCTTCTGACCAATTCTTGTTCAAATACACCAAAAGAATCCTCACGCGACTGACTAGGGAAAGGCGAGGTGTCTGGTGTGCTTGTGAATCCTGATGTTGCCTCCGATTCACTCACGACCGATTGTGTGGAATTCTGTGTGCTGAAACTCAATCTCGCTGGTTGCACATTATTACTGATCACATGAGCCAGCTTAGAATTTGATTCGGTGAGGGGATGAGTGAAGCCAGGTGATTGAACGGGGGCGATAGCGGGCTCGACTGGTGGTCCTTTTCCGTGGCTGTGGGCTCCGGGCCGCTTGCGTCCCACACTACGGACAGCAGCTTCTGGCGAAAGAGACAGAGACCTATCCCTTTGGATGTCTTTCGCTTCAGTGCCAGGTGAATTTGGGTTTTTGACCTCCTGCATTTCATGTAAGTCAAGAGGTGGAGATGTCTGGTCCTTTTACGTACGGCCTGAGACCCCAGAAATTGAGAAGGGAATCTCAATGGATCAGGAGCGCCATAAGTTCCCTTGGTAGCATAAGCTGCGTCACTTCGGCTCCTCAGAATCAACTTGTGAATTGCCGGTTGTATCCGTGAACAGACCCATCTCTCCTTTGAATCTGGCACAAGCATTGTGTATTGAATAAGGTCCAATAGTTCATGCACAGGCTCGGCGCAATTCTTCTGCTGGTGTAGGTCATCGATCCACTATAATCGTTGGTAAGACCGGATAACACCTGAGTAGAGAGAATCTTTTGGGAATAGACTTACAGAAGTGACTGATCTCTTCACGTTGGCTGTTGGTAGCGGGCCGTCTATACTTGGATTGATATTGAAGAACTTATCTTCAACAAAAAGCAATCCAGTATGGTCACTGTCTTCCCGAATCCTAGCATCCGTAAAATCCTTCTTCGTTCGGTTGTGGCCAATGAGAAACCAAGACACGAATTCAAGGAAAACGCATCCTAGAGACCATATGTCATACCGCTGTGATATCGTCCCTTTCAGATCCACCTCAGGCGGCCTATAAGATCCCGAGAAACCCTTGATTGAATCATGGGCAACTTTGGACCTTGAATCGGCGCTGTTGAATCGAGTTAAGCCAAAGTCAGAAATCACTAGAAAGTTGCGTTGAGATTCCTCGTATTTCTTGAACCAAAGAATGTTTTCTGGCTTGATGTCACCATGTCGACCCCAGTATTTGTTATCAAGCAATGATTTTGGATCATCGGAGACTGGGGGAAAGTCATCTACGTTAGGCATGGTCCTCAGATGGTGGATTTTCCGAAGAGCGCGAACGAGGCCCATACACTGTCCCAGTAACCAGACAATTTCGGAAAGCCTTCCTGGAGTGGCAGAACTCTCACTCCAGAATTGAAGCAGGTTTCCATCCGCCCATGGAAAGACGAGGTAGTAAGACTGGCCATGTTTGTAAGTGAGTTGAAGCTGGATGAGATGATCCAGATCTTTCCCTTTCGATCCTACCCCTAATCTTTCAAAAAGCTCCACTTCTCTTGCATACCCTTCATGACTTTGAAGATGGAGTTGCTTGACCGCAAAGTGTCTGATTGCTTTCCCTCGATCCTGGGAAAAAGGTGAGAAAGCCAGCTGGATTTTGGGCTCATAATTCCCCACGTACCTTGGAACCAACGTCGCGGCTGTAGTGAGCGCAGTGGATCCTGACTTTTCTAACGCTACCGTAGCCGCCAATTTGGACTAGGTCGTACTTTTCAAATGGTAGGATAGTTTTAGATTTGATTTCGTAGTAGTGCACCTCCGCACCTGGTAGTTTGAAGAACGGTGTACAAATGGTCTGTTGGTTTTGAACAAAGTCGTTGACGTGTTTGGTTCGCCAGTGGTTAAAGCAACTCAAGACACAACCTTCCTGCGTTTGAAGTTGAATGAAAGGCTTCTGTTTTGCATTCCGCTTGATTTCCAGAGGCAAATTCTTGTCATCAATTCCGTTCTTGATGAAATCTTCAATCAACTGTACTTGCTCCATTAGTATCAATATGGCGAATATCTTTCGTCTTTTCGGTTGGACTTTTGTCTTCGGCTCATCCTGCTCGCCACTAATCCTGGAGACCCAGCTGTTGATGACCTTTGGTTTGAAATGAGGAAATGCATGCCCCAAAAGTCTTTGCACGGCTGACGGAGTGACGATTCGGCGAAGTGCATCCAGAGGCAAAAAGTTCATGTCATCTGAGGCTGACGTAATACTGGCTGCAATCATGGCATCGCTCATGGTTTGAACGTCAACGTAGTCGTTGGCGTTCTCCTGCGGCTGTGGTACGAGAGAAGTTGAAGGTAATACCTCGATTCCTACACCACATGCATCATTCGCAATCTCTGATGACTCCCACTCGATGTGAGCTGAGTGACCCATGTCTTGTATTGGTACAATACTGAGAAAGCTGCAATCGGAGCGGCCAGCTTCGGATGAAATGCCTCCCAATGATCTTGGGTTCTGGTTCTGTTTATCGATATACTGGAGTTCTCCTGCCGCCTCTTCGTGACGTGTCTCAGTGCGGCCCAAGTCGGTGGCGTCGAGATTGAAGCGCCATGGGAATAGTTGGGGTGTGCCGCTATGACTGCTGTTGATTCCCACTTGTGGGTAGTCGGAGGTCAAATGAGAACCCTGGGATTGTTGTGACTGTGTCCGACTCGGCGATGTTGTTTCGGAAGTTGCTCCGTCTGATTTCGGGGGTTCAGCAAGGCCCAAAAGCTCCATGTTCTGTTTGATGCCTGCTAGTTTTGAGGAATCCATCTTGAAAGGTATTTCGCGATGAAATTGAACCTGTCACAATGGTGTATATGGCGTTAATTGCTGCCCGCATTTAACACCGTCGTTTTTGCGACAAAACCCCTATTGGAAATGGAACAACACTTGGAAAAGGACCAAATGTCTCCTTTTCGGATGATGACTGCTGGGTCTAATCGAATGACCTGGAGATGATGACTACCTGGGCAGCTTTGCAAACCATGCGCAAATGTTACTGAGTAAACAAATTCGATGTCGATGTTAGGCGTCGCAGCCTCCTGACCACCGGTCGCCTTGAGAGATATTGTATTCTAATCATTTTGCATCACTGGAACGTTCCAAAACCAACGTGTTATGTGTGTCTGAGACATAGTGATCGATCAAAGTGGGTGGGAAAGCACCGCCTCAGTTGTTGTAGCACTGCAGCTTCCTAAGATGTTCTCCTCTCCCAGCCTACTTTGGGTTACATTCACAACATCCAATCGGCAGATGCGACGCTACACCACATTTTCAAATCTCACCGAAACTATTACCGAGTAAGCCCTGCTGCAAGTACGCGAAATGCCTAGCAGGCGCCTAAGGGAAGTTCCGTGAAGGAGGAGGATTGGGGCGCCGAAGTGGTTCGCCATGGGCGGCAAATGGGACTGGTTCCAAAGCCTCTTACCCCGTAGCCATTCATATCCTATTGAGACAGCACTTCAAAAACATCTGACGTCTCACCCCCAGTCTTCCTTAATTAGACCAGGCAATGCCAGCTGAAGTCAGCGAATGATCCAGCAGGCTAGCACAGCCCCAGTGCCCTCGCAAGGCAAGTTTCCGAGTGTGATGCGCTATTTCAGTCACGATGACTCACTGGCCGCCTGATGTGGCGGTTTTTCCACTTGTCCAAGGCTTGGAACGGTGGGCTTATCACGGTTTCCCTACCCGCATTCTCGAAGAATCTTATCGCGAGTGTCGATGATTTAAATACCACCACTGCACGTTGAGGATTCCGATCAAGAACTTGACAGGGATCAATGTCAGCTTTGAACAGTGTACAGCTCAGCGACACAATGCCACAGTCCACAACTGTCAAGAATCCAACATCAGGTCACATTGATGGACAACAACCTGCGGAATATAAAATTCATTCGAATCTCACGAGCTCTCATCAACTGCTACAGGCTCTAGAAAGGCGATTTACCAAAGGCAGCTACACCGTCGAGATGCGACATAACATTTATACGGTGCGAGTGGACAGCTCAAAAGCTCCGCCCGAATTGTCGAGACTGCAAACAAGTAAACATCACTTGTAGATTTAATCTGGTATGTGAAGTCAGCACATGGAGTACAATTATGGCACTCGCTAAACACATGGATCTTGGTTCTTCATGCTAGTATGATTCATGAAAACTGTATTCTATTAGCATACGGCACCAAAAGGGCGGATCAAAGTCGACATAGAACAGATTACCCGAGCTGGGTACTCGAGGCTATCGCGACAACTGGACAGAAATGATGACTCGCGCCGGCACGAGATCAGCAGAATTTGGAGAGAAGGAATTTCCATGGGACGAACCATTTTATCTAGTTTGCACAAAGACTTGTATGCTATCAAGCAGAACCGCACAATAGACTGGTGATTGTGTTAATGAGGCAATACACGATGGTACGACATTTATGACCAACCAAACACCACTACTGAGGTAGGCAAAGTTGATGAAGAAATTTTGTAGTACAGAAAAACATTTCGACCAAAACTGGATGCAACGAGACCTTTGACAAAAAATTCTCGCAAAGCTACTGCACCTCAACGTTCAGTTGCGGCTCTCGCAGGATGTGCTCGCCCAGTAATCTTCCTACGCCAACCCGCTCGTATCGACCACCCTTCTCTTTAGAAAGCCTGACAATGACAAGAACATAATGCATTGGTTCCCGAGTTAACCCCTCTGGCTTTTCCTTGCCAATGGTGATACATCTCAACTGGTCTGCCCTATAGTTTGTCGTCTCGTCAAAGCTGACTCTTTTGCGGAGTTCGATGGCGTCCAGACTGATGCGGCTTGCAAAGCCACGGAGTAAAGGAATTTCACTTCCTCCGGAAACTTCCCAATGAGTCTTCTTCCCGCTGTCTGTGTTGAAAGGCGTGACGATATCATCAGTCCAGTTGATGTGTTCGAAGGGAGCTTCGAGATAGCCTATCGGACCACTGTATGCCATCCAGGACCAGGAAGGAACTCGCCTATCTGAGGGATACAAGATCCTTTCCAGTGACGCATCGGATGCCTTCTGCCAGAGAAGGCTTCTTTGCAAGTACCCGTCGAAAATTCCAAATCCTCCTTTCGTTTCAAAATTCTTTACCAGCCTCTCTTCGAGACCCTTGATGCCAATAGATCGGTCGCTTGGCACCGTGAATGCGAGTCGCGAATACATCTGGTAGAGAGTTTGAAACGTCACAATACGGCCTCCCTTGAAGTATGCCAAAGCTGACTTGGGGAAATTTGAGTCTCCGAGGAGGGCGGCCTGGCGACTTGTAGGCCTAATGTCAGATGTTGGGAAACACTAAGCCAAGGGGGCATGACTTACTTGGAAAGCCTCATCAAACTCTCGCAATGAACGCCCCTGCCACATTCCCAGTACACTTGAGATGCTGTAAAGTGCAACGTTCGACGCGATAGTGCTCGTTCTTGCAACACCCAGCCGCGCTGGTTCAGCACAGCCTCTTCAACGTCTTGGTGGAAATCGTCGATCGACTTGCGCACAAAAGTGAAGCCACCGTCTGGGCCAGCCAATGTTACGAACGCCTGTTGCTTTTTCTGGCGCAAAAAGCCCTCAGCCGATGATGATGCTGACGTGGCTGCTATGGTGCAGAAAGCAGAGCTGAACACATGTTCCATGCGTGTAGCCTCAAATGCCCAGTCTTGTTTGTCGTCCTGGATAATGCAGAGGGAGTCAATCCACAAATAGCGCACCCCCAGTGCCCGCGTAATTACAACCGCGTCCTGGAAGCTCTTCGGAAGGGTGCTGAACTCAATTTTCTCACGAAATTCCTCGATGTTTTTCTTCAACGTGCGGACCTGAGCCTGGGAATTGACTCCCCAGCAGTGGCTGAGAGCAGTGTAGCGTTGACCAGGAAAATAAATTCCATCACAGAGGCGAATGGCATAGTCAGTGTCAATGCCAACATCGAGCACTCGAGTGGGCAACTCTGTACTGTGGACCATCACATGATTGTGCTGTTCGTCACACACCTGTAGCCACTTGTTCAGCAGAATGAACTGCTGAGGGGTACCCGTTCCTGGTAGAGTGGGAAAGCCTATCTGTGCCTGCGGAGGTGCCAATCTGTCGTTCGCTGTTGTTTTTACTCGAATGAGCGAGCAATCCCCGCCAAGGAATATTTGGGCAAGAAGGAGGATCAGATGCTTACCTGGGTTGATATAAAGAGTCAAGATAGAAGGACCATCAGGATCAATCTTCAGTGAGGAACCTTCTCTTCGACACTTCAACTGATCATCATCATCCATCCCAAGTGATTCCGCACACCGCACCAAGAGAGTGCATAGCTGGCAGGTCTGGGATCTCGATTTGAGATCTTTTAGTCGTTCCGAGAGAAGGAATCTTGGAGTCCAGATGTCATATGCCTTGCAAGTCTGACAAAGATTGGACACCTGTGGTGTAGGTAGAGGCGACGGATGCTTGGAGAGAGATTCGCGATAGAAGTCTTTAGCAAACTTGCTATCACTCTCCAACTCCCATATATCTCGTAGTTTGGCGAGTTGCTGACAATGTTTAGCTCGAGCAAGGAGACGGCGTATTTCGGTCAGAGCACATGATGAGCTTACAGGCTACCTGAGGTCAGCAACAAGTCACTTTATGGATGCGTATCAAACTCACTATCTGTTCAGATGTCAAGAATTTGTAAGCTCGACTGATCAGTAGAGTCTGCATTGAGAGAAGTTAAGATATATCGCATGATTTGGATTAGTCATACATTCTGATGCTGGTTAGTTCAGAAGGACCTGAGAACCTTTTATTGATTGATAAAGGATCGTCAATCAATCTGATACTTACGTACTGCACAAGAAATAGTCTATCAGCATCAATTCTTTTGGTGGCCACGTAATGGTTGAGGTCATGGTTGTTCTTACTTCTTGAGCATTTGATGTAGGAACTGGTACACTAATGATGCCTGTGTCAATATTGCTTTCAATGACAATGGGAGTGTCCAGTGTGCGTGCGAGAAGAGCAGGTCGTTGACCCGGAACTTCCAGGGTAGATCGTTTCTGTTCAGCGGGGACCGCCCTCGTACTGATGCGATCCCACAGAGTAGAATCCATGAGATATCCGCCTCTAGCTTTAGCTTTTTCGTAGATCGTCACCAACTTCCTGTGCAACTCTGTTGAAATTGTCCGACCTTCGACCTCGGGAACTAGCATGTTCAAGTCAATTAGCTTTAGGACGTCTTTGAGCGCCGTGTTAGATGTTATGTCGCTTCGCTTAAGGTCCTTGGACATGTGGTGAATCCAACTCTTGACCTCGCGGTGCTGGTGGTAGCCGTCGTCGCCCTTACTCCAGAACTTCTCTTCAATGCTGGCCCTGTTGAACTCCCTCAACTTGCTATTGCCATAGAGTACCCAGATTAGAAATTCGAGAAATACGCATCCCAATGACCATACATCGTAGAGTCGAGAGATTTTGACCGTATGACCGAATTCGGGAGGCTCGTAGCGAACGGTGCCCGTCATGGTATTCGTCACCTGCTTTCGATCTCTGGTAGCCTCAATATGGAATCTGGCGAGCCCTACGTCGGCAACTCTGAGAATACCCCTGGTTTCGTTTTCATGAAAGTGAAGGATGTTCTCGGGTTTCAAGTCTCCATGCCGGCAATTCCTCTCATGCAAGGCACTGATGGACCCACAGATCCCCTGCAGTTGCTGAAGAACCCAAAGAACAAGTTGAGGATCCTTGACAGGCACATGTGGTTTCCCTTCTTGGTTGACCCAGAATTCCTTGAGGTTGCCGCCCTCTCCCCATGGGAAGAGAAAGCCCCTGAGGTCGCCTCTTCGATAGGCCGCCAAAGGTTTAATGAGATGTGGGCTCTCCAAATTGCGTATGGTTTTCAGAATCTCTGCTTCTTTCTCGTAGTATGAATCCATCCCAATTCTCATCTCCTTTGAGGCGACACGAATTTTCTTGCCCTCGACCTGCATCAATAGTAAGCGACGAAGGTCTGACTCGAGACGGAAAAATGCTCACCGTCGGAAGAACCTTTTGATGCGCATCATGGATCACCACTTCAAAAACAGAACTGAAAAAGCCTGTCTTGTGGTGGTTGATCTTCTTAATGAAAGGAAGAGGACACATCGGGTGAAGCTCGTGACGAAAGGAGTCGGTCGTGAAGACAGGCGCGAGAAACTGCCATTGACTGTGGAAGAAACTGTCGAGATAGCTCTTCCTAGGACTCGCAAATTCGAACCACATTTTACCGCTTTCAATGCTCTGCATTGTGAAACTCATGGCTCCAGTAGTCTCGTCGATACTTTTCGCAACTTTGACGGGCAATTCTTTGTCATGAAGTTTTTGCGGAGCATCGGCTAGGGCTTCTAGACGTTGAATATCATCGCGGACTACCAGAGTTAGAAACAGCCGCTTAGCAGGTTGATCTGGATTGGTGACATAGTCGACAAGGTATGGCAATCGCTCCTTTGCAACATGCTTTCTGAGCTCTTTTTCGACGACGCTCCTAGAAGTCAAAGCTTCGATCTTATCAGCTGGAAGGAAGTCCTTGTCATCCTCAGTCTTGATTACACCCTGAGTGATTCTATCCTCAAGTGACATATCACCAACAGAACCGTTGGGAAACGAAACTGTTCCGAGCGAATGTGCTTGGTTGCTTTTTGATGAAACATGGTTATCGGTGCTTGAGGACTCGATGAGCAAAGAACCATCTATTCAATGTATCAGCCTCGTCAGTTTCCTCGTGGGACTTCATGATCATCGCATAAGTATCTTGGCCCTAGAAAGATGGCCGGAAAGATGAATCCAGGGAAGCCAGAGAAGCCTGGTACTTGTCCTTCCACTGGGAGGACGGGGATACTCACTATCGTCTGATAAGACTTCGGGGCCGCGTCCATCCGGGCCTTTCAGGAGCTCCATTTCACTTGACTGCCTCTCTAGGCCGTCTCCCGGTAGAGGCACTTCGTACTGAGGCTAGTTTTGAAAATGGGTTAAATTAGATAGCTCAACACAAAAGCCTGATTTCAACGTCTTTTGGACATTGGTGAGTGGAGATGCTGACGGACCGGCGGAGCGAACAAGCACACAACGACCAAGAGGATGATTGTACAAGAAAGAGGCCCAGCGAAGTCTACAGCAATGTCGAAGATGCTGAACGCAGACATTTTTGAGTTGGATCCCGAGCAAGTCGAAAATTGCAGTGCGGGGCAGCGAGGAGTCTTACAAAGACTCTTGACTACGACCAGCGGGTACGTAAGACCAAGCTACCCACAATCTATTAAGGCAACCAGCAAGACAGCCATTCGCTTATGATGATACATAATCGCCATGCAGAAGCTGAACAGCGTGGCTGTTCCTAGCGGCAGTCTGCGCAGCGGCTGGGTCACCACCAGTAAGGCTCGGTGCAAACGTTTCGGCAAGCGGCCAGCTGATCTCGGTCTACTTAAGACGCAATATCTGCGACTTTTGCTCATTCTCGAGGCAGGCTGCCGGTGGGTCGGCTTGGGTGCAGGCAGGTGGTCTTATCTATGTTCTTGGGGGAGGCGGCTCGACGATCTGGTTGGCCAGCCTGATACGAACACTTTCAGGCATGCTGCGGGCAATATGTTCTGCAGTCCTGTGGAACACAACACTCACTCATGCAAGGATTCGTTCAGCTTGCTCCTGGCTTAGGATCTCTATTCCGATGAGCTCCGTCAGCTCTGGAATCCTAGGCGCCGAGAGTCCGTGACATGACACTGAGTCCGTAGGCAAATCTATCGGTGGCACATGTTTAGAAAGGGTCCGACGCGATTGGTTGGTCGATATGAGCGAAATGAGGACGTTGACCACCGAGTCCTTCTCCAAAGCACGGGCAACTTCAGATCATATCAATGAAGCAGTGTAAAATTGGCAAATAATCATAGACCGTGAAGATCGTTAAGATAAGAAAATTGAAGGTGGCCAACCAAAGAGCGAATTTGTTTCAGTACGCAAGTACGCTGTTGTTGATGAGAGAGAATCCATATGGGTTCCCGGAGCCAGCCCGAAGTCGAGTTGTCTCCGTCCCGGGCCCATCCGGTACCCAGGATTGTGAAAGCTGCATGTAAGGCTGCCTTGTGAACCCCGTTCAAGATTGACCACCTGTAATATCGATCACGACTGCTGTTCGACGTTGGCTTTCCGTCGAAATACAATGCGAAATCGTAATGCAATACTGGCAAGGCTAAAGCAGTCAACATAACCTTCGATTTTTTACAGCTTTCTTAGCACACAATCCTGGTGAATCGTCTTGTTGATGCACCTAGCTGACAGCTAGCGTCCGTTGATTGCGGGGTAAAGTCGAGCTTATTGAACCGATGAACATTACGGAGTACCTACAAGCTACTACGCGTCCCGGCTCGTGACGTTGGTCGGTTTGCATCTACGAATCGGCAGAATGGGGCTTGGTTGTTTCCCCTCGCCGTCTGCCCAAAGGGCCCCCAAAGCGGGGGGCGAGTTTAACCGATGCTGTAAGACATGAACTCTCCTATCGGCATAGCACGGCAGCGGCAGCGGCAGCGATAAGAAGGTCTCACGTCATTTCACAGTCAAATCACCAAAACACCCCTCCCTTTCCCGACAGCTACGTCTTCACACTTACCCAGGCAAACCATCGGGCCCAAAAGCAATCTGCGCGGGCCTCATCCATCAATCTGCGGTTGAAAAGGCTGCCAGGAATCCCTTGCCGACCTTGGCTTGCACCCTGACCCTCTCTGGTGGTCTTTCTCCGCGAAAATGGATCCCGCTAAGCTCACTGGCCAGGCTCTCCTCAGCCACACCATCCAGACGACCCCCATTATCGACAATCACGCACATCCCCTTCTCGGCCTCGATGCAATTGGTCGTTATCCTCTTCTCTCAATCACGACCGAGGCTCACGGCGATGCAATCCACGCCTCGCTGACAAGTTTGGCTCACTTGCGCGCCGTCAAACAGCTCTCCAAGATCCTTCGATGCGAGCCGAGCTGGGAAGCCGTCGTGAATGCCATTGAGGCCAAACGCATCGAAGACTACGATGCCTGGGTTGCGGAATGCCTCAATGGCATTGAATCTGTTCTTGTCGACGATGGGTTAGATGGCGAAAACGCCGTCTACCCTTACACGTACTTCAGCGACCTCACCCGCAGCCCGGCCAAGCGGATTGTGCGCATCGAGAAGATCGCAGCAGACATAATCAATGACCATCTCCCTACGGATGAGTCTGCTCCGAGGACCGCCAAGGATGCCGGCACCGTGTTTGAAAAGGCATTGAAGGCCTTCGATCACAGCATCGTGGAGGCTATAGCCGATCCAGAAGTGGTTGGCTTCAAATCTGTGATTTGCTACCGCACTGGTCTCGGTATTCCCAGGCGACCAGACGCCGCCGCGGCTCGCAAGGTCTTTGAGGAAATTCATGCTAACCATACCAAAGGCACTGACAAGGCATTCACCCGTGTCAATCATCGTGGGCTGAATGAGTACCTGGTGCACAGACTGGCCTGCCTCATCAGGAATGCTGTAGGCTCTGGCAAGAAGCCGATCCAGTTTCACACCGGCCTGGGCGACAACGACATCACTCTCACCTCCGCGTCCCCGTCACATCTACAGGATTTCATCCGCCAGTACCCTACCGTGCCCATCGTGCTCCTCCACGCCAGTTACCCATTCATGCGGGAGGCTGGGTACTTGGCGTCTGTATACGCCAACGTCTACGCTGACATTGGCGAGATATTCCCATTTCTTAGCCGGGACGGTCAGGAAACTGCTGTGCGGCAAGTCCTGGAGCTGTGCCCCTGGTCCAAGATATTATGGAGTACCGATGGGCATTGGTTCCCAGAAACCTACCTCCTCGCCGTGCTTCAAGTGAGGGAGGTCTTGGAAAAGGTCAGCTCTGTATTCCCCCGATTCTCCCCGCAAACAGCTCACACGATGCAGGTTCTGTGTGAATACGCCCGTAAAGGGCACATGACTTGGCGGGAAGCCACTCAACTTGTCAAGGACATTCTCTTCAACAACGCCAATCACGTATACCACCTAGGGCTTGAGTTCAGCTTCGATGAGACCATTGTGAATCCCAGGCGATTGTCAGGGAGAACCGACCTCGACATTCTCGAGGCTTTCCTGGATGGGAAAAAGCCCCCCCAATATCTTCGTATTTACTGGAACGACCTGACAGCAACACCGCGCGTTCGTGCGATACCGATGCGCAAGGTCCTGTCCGTAATGAATGAAGACGGCGACTTCTCCATCAGTATCACCAAAGCAAGTCTCGGGCTCCTGCAGAATGACCACGTGGTCCCAGGAGCATCCGGCACAGGAGAGTACCGCCTCCATCCGGACTTTACCTCGCTTCAGGAGGGTCCAAGGGAGGGCCACATCAGTGTCTTTGGCGATTTCAGGGAGTACGACGGATCTGCCGTACCATTTTGCCCACGATCTCTGCTTCAAAGGGTAATCGAAATCGCTGCTCGGCATGGGTTGACTTTCAGCCTCGGGTTCGAGATTGAGCTGGTTCTCCTCGAGCGCGTCGACAACTCCTTTGAGAAGTACAAAACACTCACCAACGATGGACACGCGTGGTCGACCTCCCGCATGATGGATCACCCAGTCTTTTCAAAGGTCATCGAGAGGGCTGTCGCCGAGCTGGATGCAGATGGCATCTACATTGAACAAGTGCACCCCGAGAGTGCTGCAGGCCAGTTCGAGGTAATCCTTCCGCAGGCTCCTCCCCTTGAAGCAGTCGACACCTTGCTGTACGTGCGCGAGGTCATTTCAAGCATCGCCACCGCCGAAGGCTACAGGATGACTCTCCACCCCAAGCCATTCCCGACAGCGTGCGGCACCGCAGCTCACGTGCACATGTCAATCGCCTCCGCCGCGGGCTCCAAGCCGGAGACATACAACCCCTTTTACGCCGGTATCCTGAGGCACCTCCGCGCCATCACGGCCTTTACCTACAGCAACCCCGTCAGCTACGAGAGGGTCCAAGACGGGTGCTGGGCCGGCGGTCGGTGGGTGACGTGGGGTACCCAGAATCGGGAGACGCCGTTGCGCAAGATTGAGGGCAGCCATTGGGAGGTCAAGTGCATGGACGGCATCGCGAACCCGTACCTCGCGCTCGCGGCGCTCCTGGGCGCGGGTACCCACGGCGTCATTGAAGGCGAAAAGCTGACGTGGGGCGACTGCGAGGTCGACCCGGCCTCGTTGACGCCGAACGACCGCAAGGAGCTGGGCGTCGAGCAGATGCTGCCTTCGGGTCTGCCCGAGGCGCTCAAAGCTCTGCGCGCGGACAATGTCATGAATGAGCTGCTCGGGGAAGATTTGGTGGAGAGGTATATCACGGTCAAGGAAGAGGAGATGAAGAACTTGGAGACTATTAGCAGCGATGACCGGCGGCAGTGGATCTTGGAGCGGTACTAAGGGAAAAAGATCTCGATCAAAACTGGAACCAATGGAACAGAGTCGTTGCAACCCGGTGCCCAACTTATGAACAAAAACAAAAGTTACAATACCAAACCTTTTTTTTTTTTTTTACTTGCTCTCTTTGATAATCGTTTGCAAAGCCTTGACGTACTCATCAACCTCCTTGGCCCCAACCAGCGTGAGATCCCTCCGGCGACCCTCAAACATAATGTACGGCACCGAGTCGACGCCATCCATGGCCGCCATCCGAATCATGTTCCGCGTCTCAATCTTGCCCTCGCTCTCATTATCGACGACCGCCCTCGCCTCCGCCTCGGGGATGCCGGCCTCCACGCACGCCTCAACCAGCACATCTTTCGAGTTCTGATCCTGTTCGCGTTCAAAGTAGCGGCTGTACAGCGCATCGACTAGTTTGTTCGCGGTTTCCGGGTCTTGAGCTTCCTGAAAGTGCTGGATGATTCGATGCGACGGAAACGTGTTTGACATGGTGCCCCCAAAGGAGAACTTGATGCCGGCTGCGGCCCCGAGGGACCCCATCGTCGCCTCAAAGACTTCTTGCTTCTGATCGGATGCGTCGTGCTTGGCTGTCGTGTACCAGTGTCGCTTGTCTTGGGGCTCGGAGGGGAAGTCTGGGTATAGCTGGTACGGGCGGAAGACCAAGGTGAATGAGATGTCACTGGCGGCGGGGGAAGCCGCGATTCGTTCGAGGGCCTCTCCTAGTCTATTCTTTGTCATGATTAAAGAATTTTGTCAATAGATATGTGACCCGTACCTCTTTTTGGCAATATAGGTCCTTCCATCAATAAATTAGCTACCACTGCTCAATCAATCGACGTTCTGTGATTCGATATACTCGACTCACCAGGGACATATGGTATCCAAGGTAAATGTGATTTGGGATTGATACATGGTCAAGGATTGATAAGAGAATGTGAAGCGTTGTAAAAATCGCTTCGATTTTCTGCGTCCACGATATATCGACCTTCGAGTCTGGGTAACGATGTTCACAAGTCAACTGATCACGACCCCGCACCGCACTTTGAGGGTAGGTCGTGTTCACGTGGCCGGGAGATCGACCGAAGGTGACTAACAGATTATTTTCTTTCCACTGAAGATATCTAATCTGGAAACAAGCGCACTATTCCTGTGAAAATGGCTTGCCTAGTTCATATTTCGCTCTCTTGCCCCTCAACCATTCCAACAGACTGAGTAACCTCAATTTGGCCTGCTCCGTCTCTTCAAAGGATTCTTGACTCGCCTGCTCCCAATGTCTACTCAAAATAACTCGTAATACCGAACCACATGTCCAGATATCAAACGAAACAAAAAGAATTCTTCCCCTGCCCGAGAATCTCACATCAACGCGTACACCAACCGCCGAAGTTGATCGGAGGAGATTCCTATGCGTGCTCAACTAGAAACGGAAGTCGGGAGAGGGTTTGTCCCGCTTTTTGACCATTAGGGAGTTAGAATGGAGCAAGGAAGGTGAATTGGGAAGTAAACCTCTAACGAGCGCTAGGTGGTGAAAGTCTACTTGAGACTTCTCTTGACACGATCTTTCATCAACTAAGAATCATCAGCCACTTACATGTAGATAAGTGGTATACGTAAATCATGTACCTATGTATATTGAAAGCACATTATCTCTATTTACTGCCACAATTCGCCGGTGCTCTTCACCCGCAGCAAAGCCTAACTCCGTGATTAATGAGTAAGATTGCAAGGACGCAGGCTTCATACCCGCAAGTTGCTAACAGTAATTTTAACCGCCTACCAACACAACTCTCAGCGGCAATGAGCGTCGTGATTGCGTTAAAAGTCGAACCCTCTTGAGCATCTAAAAAAGTTTGAAAACCTCTACACCGTTACAATGAATACAAGAGCATGCTTTCATGGCCTGTGCTGCAACAACGTACCGTTCTGCCAGGCTTCATCAACGGCCACATGCATCTTCTCCTGCTAGGACAGTCTCTCAGGAAGCTCGACTTGGCTCATTGTAAACCGCTCCAAGCCATTCGATCCAGTGTCAATTCACATCAGACGCAAAGGCAAACCCGAACCGTCCAACGATTCTCTGCAAATGTAGAGCCATTCAATGACCCCGCCTAAATCTAACTTGCATGGGCCCTCAATGGTCTCACGAAGGATCACTGTAGGCCCAGATAGAAGCATCAGGTCACTTTGACAACGAAAAAGAAGTCGAGTCCTCAGATTCGTTGGCACAGTACCAATCTATGAACATCACATGTATTGACTTCCTCTTTTTACTTTGACGACCCCCACAAGTCAGCAAACGGATCCCAGCTCGAATCCTCAACAGGCGTATACTCCATCCTATTCGCAATATTCTTCGCCACATCCTTCCCATAGACGGCCCCGATCCACGCAAACGCCAAATCGATACCCGCGCTGATGCCCGACGACGTCCAGACATTCCCGTCCTGCACCCACCGCGCCTTGTGCACCCACGCCACCTGCGGCCGCAGCGCGACCGTCTGGTCCCACGAGAGCTTGTTCGTCGTCGCCCGCCGCCCGTCCAGCACGCCCGCCCGCGCCGCGACCCCGGCGCCGGTGCAGACGGTCAGCAGGTACTGCAGCGAGTCGAAGCGCTCTTTGACAAAGTCGATTGCCGTGCTGATGCCGGGGTTCCGGGTCCCCTGGCCGCCGGGGACGATGAGGACGTCCAGGGGCGGGGCGGTTTGGAAGGTGTGCGTTGGGAGGATGCTCTGGCTGAAGTCCGAGGTCGCTGCGCCGGAGGGCTTGTTTTTGTCAATGACCTTTGTCGATACGGGATCTAGGGTTTCTGCGATGGTGTAGAGGTTCATGTTGTATGAGCGAGCCAGTAAGTTGAGAGCGTCCAGGGGCCCGAAGACGTCGAGGGACTGGAAGGCCGGGAAGACTACGACGCCAAAGTTGACAGGTTTGCCTGAAACCAGTCAGAAAAAGAGTGACTTGAGCTGCTGCATTTTTCCAAAGATTGTAGCTAATTAGCTCACTCACCTTCAGCGGCACGCTCGCCGTTCTGAGCCATTGGATGGCTCTGGCTGAATCTTCTGACGCACGCCAACGGAGTCAAGGTCGCTGCTGTGGGTGTCTTGCAGATCACTGAGATTGAACTGTTGCGGCTTCGCGTAATAAACATGCTTTTTCCAGTGTTGGTTGGGGCCTCTCTATCATGAAAACATCAGGACGGCGAGGGGCAGCGCTCATTACCCCGCGACCAAGTCACATCTCGTTTATCTCCAGCTGTGCAGGCGGAAGACCGATGAGCGCGCTCGGAGATCGGCGAGACTGTTTACGTAAGGCCTCATTGTCCGGGGAGAGATTCTGCGGGGATTATTACGAAAATCACACAGTGACGGCGAAGGTCCCAGGAGGGGGGCGACCATTTTGAATCGCGCCATCTTCCTTGCAAATTCCAAGTTAGTCGTGAACAAGGCGGCGCCCAGGCCGTAGACGCTATCATTCGCTTACGCTGGGTAAATAGCAGCAATGGACTGTCCGGTGGACGAGGGAACAAACTCGTTGTTAATGAAGAGACCTGGTGGCCGAGTCTACTTGTGGCCATTGGGCGCAGTCAACTCACAGGAAAGATCTCACATGATTCTGGTGAGATGTGAAATAAGGTAAGTCTTGGTAGACTATTCTTGTGGGTCCGGCAACCCTCAGATGACGACTGGAATATTAAGAAGGCGAGCGTGGACAGAGTATTGAGATTTTGAGAGGAGTCCTCAATACTCAAGAATAGTTTATCAGAAGCAATTGAGTAAGAGACGATGTTTCGTGAAATAAGGGACTTAAACAACTATCATCTGATAGAACACTGGCGATTTCCGTGGCCTACCAGGCTGGGGCCTGGAGCTACCCCCTCCCCCGCAGTCCGCAGTGGGGGGAAATTGAGATGAGACGATGTTTCCGTCAGTAAGTCATCGATTGTCTTCCCAGAGTGATCTCATCGAGACCATAGAAACACTGAAATAATCTTGCCTGTTCGGGATGGGGTACTTAAGCTGTTTGGTACGGACCTCAACTCGGGTGAAAGTAGATGTGATCGGGGAGACCTTTCTCATAGAAAAGCGCATCCTAATGAGTGGTTGGATTGAGAATGTGAGAAAGAGATTGGGGGACGTGGGAAATGAGGGGTAGAATCTCCACCAACACATCGCGATTTAGAGAGCTTGTGTACATCTCCGTAAGCGCTTTCCTTCATTTCGAGTCTGTAGGGGTCCCTCTCTCATTGAAGGACGGAGATAGTGATGAGCCTGAAGGAAGGATGGAGGAATGGTGGCGGGCGATTGCTTTAGCCGGCGGCGCATAGGATAGGATAGTACAATTTGACTTTTGAGATTATGTTGTGAGATTGTGTTAGATGTGAGAAGTGATAATTATACTGTTCATGATTTGCGTCTCGTATCAAGGCCGCTCATCAGCGGCTCACAGCTTGCTGTGCTGTCCCTCGGGAGCTTCCCGCGCCACCGCCTGGGGGATCTCGGCCTCCAAGTTCTCGCCCGTCGGCGCCCAGCCCAGAACCTCCTTGGCCCTAAGCGCCTCGCTCCGAGCATTTGTTCCAAAAAGCACCGTTCCATGAGGCAGCACCTGGTTTGCTTCTTCGGGACCAACCTCCTCCACCTCATCCGTGGGAACCAGGCCCTTCTTAGCAGCGGCAGATGCAACGAGCTTGGAGATTTCCCCAAAAGACTGAGAAAGAAATCGTTATGTTAGCTGATGCTTGGATGTGTGCAAAAAAGGAAAAGATGCCAGGTCGTTGTCACGTACGATTTCACCAACACCGGTGAGGTACAACCCGTTCTCATTCCAAACCTGCTCCTCGCCCTTCCCCTCGGCCGCCCGCTCAACCAACCGGGCAATCAACTGCGCAATATCCTTAACGTGCACATTACCCCAGCGGCTTAGGCCCTTGCCGACCTGCACGCCGCGCCCGCGGTCCAGCGTGGCCTTGGCCAGCGACGGGATCTGGACGCTACGCTGACTGATGGGGCCGAGGCCCCGGCCGTAGATGATGGGTGGGAACACCAGCGCCGTGTTGACTTTGGGCTCGTCGGCTGCGACTTTCAGGAGGTAGTTGTCGACGGCGCGGCTCGGGTACTTTTGGATAAAGGAGCGGAGTTCGGCGATGCCGGCCAGGTCGTTGAAGACGAGGTCGCTTGCTGAGCCCGGGCTGCGGGTCTTGTCGGCAAGTTCTGCGGCGGCGAGGGCGCTGGCGCCGGAGATTTGGATCCAGTGCGCTGCGGTGAGTTTAGTTTGAAACCTACCTTATGGCAAGGAACGCCGTGCGTGTGTAATTGTTCATTGGTATCTTTTGCACTTACATGGTTTCTGCCTTGCTGACTTGGAAGAAAGGGCCTTGTGTATGGTCTCAACGCTCTTCAAGTGGCCAGACGCAGCCAAATCTACCCAGGCAATGGTGTTAGTGATTCCAACAATTGAGGCCAATTGATTGGGGGGGCGAGAACCAAGACATACGGACAACGACATCAGCATTGGAAGCTTCCCGGGTGATGATATCGACGTCGTCGAGGTCGCCTTCGACGATCTCGACCTCGCTGAAGGTGCCGGTGAGGATCTTGCCCTTTGCGCTGTCGCGGACGAGCGCACGGATGGTGTATTTGTGGTGTGACTTGGCGAGCAGTGAGAGGACGCTGCCTCCGATGTAGCCCGTCGCTCCGGTCCTGGAAGTTTGCTGTGAGCATGGAGCACTTTTTTTACGGCCCTGGACAAGGTCTGCTGCCGCTGAGCTGTGGTTGACTTACAGGAAGATGTTGACCATTGTGAATGAATGTTGCTTTCCTTCAATTGCAGACTGGAGTCTATCGGGATGGGCTTTATGGACAGATGGAGAGTAATGTGCGCTACCAAATCGGACTTCTGGAGACAGGAGGAGGCATCAAATTGTATATAAGACGCACTCAACTAGCTCGGGCTTGCCTTCCAAACAGAGGGATGAAGCTGGGGCAGATTACCAATCTCTGCCCGCCAACATGAGCTGCGAAGCTGCCCCACGAATTACACAATGCGCTACACCATCGCGTCACTCTAGCTTTTTCATCATTAACACCAATTGGCAATGTCGTCTTAGCTCCAGACGACCCACTGATACAAGCCGTGTGTATCCGTACGGTTACTTGTGATTCTATCTTCGAGAACGGTCTTTATCTCATTGCTTATAGAGCAACCGCTTCTCTCTTGCTCCAGCCTACAACTAACATCCATTGAACCTACGATAGCCGCTTGAAAACGCCCTCCAAAACGCTGAGGAAAATACCAGCCAAGAATACTCCGACCACGTCAGTCAGTTGTTGTATTGGAAATGTCATCACCCACCATGGTGCTTCTCATGCACCAACGTCGGCCAACTGCGGCTGCAACCGCATCGCAGCATCGCCGCTCCCGCCCGTATTAACCCCCGTCGACCTCCCTAGCCAGGGCCAACACCTCCCTCCGCGGGCAATCCCACGCGATTAACGTCCCGAGGCCCTTCATGTTCCTATGGAGGTTCAAAACGTACTGCGGCTTCTTTTCTGAGAGCGTCTCCAGCTCCCCCTACAGGTACCCGCCGACCCGCGCCGTGTGCTCGACCAACCCGTGCTTCTCAATTTCTCCGTGAATCGCCTTGAACAGCAGCGGCCGCACGGAATCGCCCGTACGCGTGTTGAATTGCCGGTCCGGCCGGTCGAACCGCAGACCGGCGTCGCGAAAGGAGCAGCCCGCCGCCTGCGCCTTTTTGGAAAAGCTCACCATGCCTGGCGGCGACGGGAGGCCCCAGTGCTCGAGGGCCCAGAATTTGACTGTAGCTCCTACACACATTTGAACTTCGACGAAAATCATTAACACGCCTTTACGCTTGGCCAGCTCGTGCAGCCAGGGGAGGAAGGTGGGTGCCACGTGGTTGTCGCCGCCTTCAACCTGGACCAACTCGATTAATGATTACCACAGTTTTGAGGGTACATGTATCGTTCGCCTCGTCAAGCAAGCGTTTCGATTCGAGGAGGCAAGGTGCCTCCTCGGCCGCATTCTCAGAGGCGAATTGGTCTAGAGAGTACCTGAGCTGCGGAAACGGCGCCGCGGGTCAGTCAAAGGCCAGCACATCTAGCTTGTGAATCGGCTTGCTCCGCGTCGTGGACAAGCTACTGAAAAGACGACAAGGCCGCTTTAAGCTTTTCTCTGCTGACAAAGACTGTTACAAGCCTTCGGAAATTGAAAGACGAGGAGTCGAGTAAGGCCAGCGTGGTGATGCCCACCCAAAACTAGACGTAGGCATAGTAATACTGATTCCATTCTTCGAGGCTCCGAAGCCTTTAGATCGGGGTCATACGTAGACTATATCAAAAGACCGCCAATGGAAGGTTGATCATGATCATAGACTCAATATATTCATATAAACACTCAAAGTCTTCGCTTTCTCAGCCCAGTCTAACAACCGTTATCTCAATATCCGGTTCGACCTCAATTACTGAATAGTCTGTAAAAGACAAGATGAATTATTTGTAGCTTAGAAACTAATGGTGATAAGCTGCCGTTCACTGGCCAGCCGAATTGGTTGATCGACGAGAACATGCCCGTCTATCTTGAGGCCGGAATGTTATTGACAGAGTGGGAACTTGAACCGCGTTTTTGACGCTGTTGATATTAAATGTAAAAGTCTCTTTGATTTCAATACCTAGAAAGGGTCGCAGTGAATTCAGACGTCGTCAGCCTGGGAGACTTGATGCAGCCACACTGTGAACGTACTCGAAGAGGTATCAGCACCCACTAGCAGGTATGCCCTCGATCTTCAAGGCAAAATAGAATGTTGGTCACGTACAAGTCGACTCCCTTGATCGAACTGAACAGCAACCGCGCTAATTAGATTGAGGTTTTTGTGTATGGATCGGCTTCTTTTCGACAATGAGCTCGCCCAGCTGAGCATGCAACTTGGAATGTCAAGTAGTTGGGCTTCCTCGTTAACATACTGGTGCAAGACAGGACCGAACAAAGAATATATCGTGACGGGAGACTCTGGTTGTCTGGTTGCATTTGTCTGGACTGTGAACTTCTCCCTCTTTGCGTTCGCTTATGCGCCTGAACTTCTTGTCGTCACCGGCGGCGAGATGGAATGCGCTCACTGCGATGTTGCTGCCGCAACACGTCGATAATTCTACCGTCTCATCACACTCTACATCCTCGCTGCCCTTACTATGGGATTTATCCTTAGCAGCAACAATCTCAACATCCTCGGTGGTGGCAAAGACGAAGGTGCTTCTCCTTGGGCTATCGGCATCAGAGAAGCTGGTATCAAGGGCCTTTACAGAGTTGTCAACGTGGAGATCGTCCTTAGTGCTTGGTCCGCAGGCAGTTCTTATCTGGTATGTCGTGAACCTCAAATCTTAAAACTCACATCATCTAATGCGAGTAATAAACGTCTCCCCGACATGGTTGATGACGGGGTTATCGCAGGTACACACTCCGGGAGCCACCAAGACACTCGGAGTGAACTTCTGCCAAGGGATCGTCTTGTTCAGCAGGTAAAAGTCAATATAGGTATACGAAATGGTGAAACTGGCAGTGGCGTTGGCATCATTGGAGTCCTCGACACCTCCCGGCAATCGTTGTCCGTCGCCTCCCAGTTGGGACGGCTTGTAGAAGATACGCTTCTGCGAGTTCTCAAAGTAGTCTACCCAGCCACGTCAGAGCCGAGGGCAAGTCGCCGTCCGGCGACGACGGGGCCGGCGTGATTTAATCCCCTCCTCCGTTCGCGTCCTTACAGCTGCCACTCTGGCAGCCCGTGCCGCAGTTCGCATCGGTCGAGCCGCATCAGCCTTGAGGGGAGCAATAGTCACCTTGAGGCCATGAGCCACAAATCGCACAGTTGGTGGCGGCACCGCAGGTTCCATCCGTCGTTACCGCGCCCTTAAGGCAGTCGCCGCTCTGGCATCTGGAGCCGCAGTGTGCGTCCGTAGAACCGCAGTGACCAGCAGAGGAGCAGCATGTTCCTAACCCGGCGGCTCGCAGATGGTACCGCCGTAGGCAGGGCCACGCATAGTATCAGTCGAGACGGTCGCGGAGTCTGAATCGCCGTTGCCAGAGTTGAAGTCGACACTCCAAGCCATGAACCCTGGTGCCGCTGAAGCAGCAGTTGTTGGCGAACTTCTTCATGGCAAGGGTCTACTTGTCGTCATAGCCGATCCACTGGTCATAAAATACCAGCTCCTTCATCATGGCGCCCTCGAGGAGACGAAGCTTAAGGTCCTTCTCCTTGATAAGCCCCTGGATCTCGACAAGGGACATAACACCGGCACCCGCATACGGATTCTGGTGGGTGAGGAAGTGTGGCCGCTCAGAGCCACCGTCATGGACAAGAACCGCAGCCGTAAAGACGCCTGTAAACAACCGAGTGCCTATCATGACTGAAATCTGTTGCTAGAGAACATTTCCAATTACCTGAAGCAATGAGTATGGTGAGAGAGGGTGATGAAGGCTCAGAAGTGAGTCATCCAAAGCGGACGATGACCTTGACTTAGTATATAAAGGAACACAACATGACAACGCCTAGGCAAATTATGATACATCACTGTCTCTCCCATGTCCATCTGGTCTAGTCGTATTACTCGCATCGCCGACCCCACATGCTCCTCGGGTGAGGACACTTTTTTCTCGTCACTAGGATGGCAGCAAGTCTCCGCTCACCACAATCCGCATCAAGCACCGCGGCGACGATATGAGACTGGGCTTTCCAAAAGATGAGCTGAGGTTCATATGCCTTAAGCATGAGATACGATAGTCAGCAATCGCTTACAGAGAATTGATTCCATCTAGACTTGACGGTGGAGGCTGTCGCTACGCCCCTTGAGGCGAGGAAGGTTGACTACCCACACCTTCAACGGGTCCGTTCCTTTCTTTCCTGGGGCGACCGGAGCGAGGGCTGTTTTCGACATGTGCTATTAGCACCGGTTGACCGGGAGCCCATCCCCGGGCTAGAGCTTTGTTGCGGATGGCGACAAAAGTCCGCCGGGCCATGCCGTACTTTTCGCATATCTCTTGGGCCGTCGACCCCCCCACGTCCCACAACGTTAAAACAGCGACCCGAATACCATTGTCCCACTCTTTACTCTTAATCGGTGGCATCGTCAGAGCTGTGGCCAATGTCAGCTGTTGGTGGCAAGTGCTATAGCTAGGAGTCGAAGAGACTGGAAGTAGTGATTTTGCGCAGGAAATTGGGTCAGAGACCTTCGTTGGCAGGTTCCGTTAGCTCATGCAAGGCCTCCGGACAGTGCACTTTCCCCTAGTCTCAAGACAATGACACGGTACCTAGCAGCCCCACCCCCTGAATATGTGGATACCTACTTATGCCCACGGCCGAGCCGTTCGGGTCAGGGCCCGCATATTAAAGCTGCCGTCTACCTTGACTGGGTCCGCAGGCCAAAACAGATCCCACGTAACAGGGTAGCAACTATACTTGAACGGTTCCTTCGGGGGCAGAGGAATAGGTAGGGATATAGTGAGGCATATCTCACATGATGATATGTCCGAGGGACCGAGGAATCCGTGAATTTCCACGTCAGAAAGGGGGCGGCCAGCTCATGCTATAAGATACTGCACTTTGCCAGAAGCTTTGCAAGGCTCCAACAAAAGTTCATCTCCTTTGAGACTGTCAATAATCAAGATGACTCTCTACTGCTTTTCCAGTGCTTATCACTGAAGAATGCTAAATTTTCAAAAGACAATGGCTAATGATTCTGGAGTAACCAGCTTGTCGAGCTTGTTCCCCAACATGCAATTTAGCCTCATTCAACCTCACTTCATTCAACCCCTCCTGAAGTTCAAGTGCGGAATGAGCAAGGCACCTTGCCACTGAACCAAGCCGCTGTTTTCACTTATTCACTCTTAGCGTTGGTCATCTATGGCCTGTCACTCTGCGTGGAAATCCTCGTGATCAAACGTTTACTCCATCTCGAAATTGATCGCAGTCAGTCGATTTGTTTGATGATGGGTTTTCTCGTTTGGCTGATTTCCATAGTCCGCTTGGTATTTTTGGTGACGATGATGGTTCGAAGAGATGTCATTGGCAAAGCAGCACGCATGCATCTTATTTGTAAATCTATCAATGATCCTCCTCGTCCCCAGCTGCCCGGGAATGAAGTCCTTCAAAGTCATCTGCAAGGAGTATAATCTCAAAGCACCAATATACTATCCTACTGTACCTTATACCTTGAAATTATGCATCTTAAGTGTGTGAAGTACTGGAATTTCTAATCTTCGCGCACACTTGCTTTCAAGTATTCCCACCAAATATGAGAGTCCTTTACATGAGATTATATGATTTCAATCTGTATTATGCGACCTGTGCAACGCTTCGAGTTCCACTCTATGTTCAAACCACCAAAACGTGACTTTACCGAGCTGCTTTTGCCTACCCCCTTCCAATTATCTCGGCAACAACATCGTCTTCTAGACTCTGAGCGTCAGCACGGGAAAAGACGGGTTGCGCTGCTCCCTCATCTTCTGGTACCCAGCCGATGTAAGGATCCTCATCCCGACGCAGCTGTAGTCTCTGCACGAATCTCTGGCGTATAACTGCCGGGATATTGGAGCCTTCGACCAGTCGTCTCTGTCTGGATTCGAAAAGTAACTCCATGGTCTGCAATAGGGAAATTTGTGACGAGGAATGAGGTACCAGATCCTTCATCTGTCTCTTCAGAAGTAGGTAGAAGGAAATCAAGCGGTTTGCCCCGCTGAGGTATGTATCCTGGAGGCTCAGCTCGTAAGAAGCAGGGTAGAACCCGGAAATCTCCCAATCAATGATGGCAGAAAGCTTGTAGTTGGAACTTCCATCGGGAGAGTCGTAAGGCCTGACGATGATGTTGCGAGGGGTGAGGTCGTTGTGGCAAAACACGGCCTCATGCTCCCACTGCTCGATGCTGCTCTTTCCGAGTGTCACGGAGCCAAGGTCTTCATAATGCGACTTAATAACTATATCGCCAGGAGTCGCGATGGGCGTTATGGTGTAGAATGGTTTTTTCAGTTCCAACCTCTTCGTGATGGCACCGAGAAGAGTTGGCCCATCCTCGAGGAATCCCGTGCTTGGCCCGCCCACGACTGCTTTCTGGAAGGCATCTCGCTCCGAGCCGTCCAGAGCTTGACGCAGAACGGCTTGGACTCGGTCATCAGAAATCTGGATAGTATGCAGTTTTCTCAAGGCTCCGACCAAAGCAGCCACGACGGATCGCTGACTCTCGCTGCTCATCAGGTCCCAGACTTCTTCCAGTGTGTCTCCCTCGATGAATTCCATCACACAGAATTGAAATCGTTTGCCTTGGGCATTCTCGGCGACGCCAGTTTGGAAAGTGTTCGGAACGAGACCTTGAATGACACCCGCAGCAATCTTCTGCATGGCTGAGACGACGGTAAATTGTGCAGCTTTCTCATCCTCGCTCATAACCTCCACACGAACTATGCACGGGCAACAAGGTTCGGAGAAATCCTGGAAACTGGCTTTGAAAACACATTTGTCCCAATTCTGGAGGATGACTGATATGGAGACTTGAGGTTGATCAGGGAAAATGTGGTTGAGAAGGACCTCATCAGGGGCGACATCGCGAGGGTCCATGGTGTACGGATCGATGGTGTCTGAGTGTGGAAGAAGGGAAAGCAAAGGCTAGGTCGAGGTTCACGGGGGATTCGAGGGTGGCCATGCTGTGGCTATTAGAAACCAGTAGTATCTCAGTTGGTTGGGCAGCCCTGCCCGTCATCGCTTGGATGCTTGTGCGACAGGGGCGTTTTGTCCTGTGCCTAATAGATCCCGCCGCCCGAGTTCCGCCACCCGCTTTAAGCCCGTTCAAGATCATAGAGGTCAGGATACATACAATATGAATTTACTTAATTAAACCCCAATTTGAGAGGCACACAATTGCCTTTGTCACAAGATGCATTGTAAACATCATATTCTGGTCCCTACGAAAGTGTGCCCAATATGCCCAATTTCACGCTCGTCAGCTAGATTGCGAACATGCGGCCCCGGATGACTTAGTTATTCAAATCCTGGACTATTAGAACAGCCGACATGGAAACACCACCTTGCCATTCCAAGATTTTGTTTTGCATCTTGTTGGCATTTACACCTGAACCTGGCCTGAGTCCAGAGATGGCTTCGGATTTATTTTTCCAAGTTCTGTCCATGTTCAGGCTGATCTTTGAGGAAGAGTTTGAGTCCTTGTCAAACGTTGATGTGAGGGTACGGGAGGCCAAAGAAATAAATCTCTAACAGAATACTTACTCTAATAGCCTCTTCTCTGAGATCCTCAGTTTTGGCTACCAATTCAGAATTCTCGACCTTGTTTCTTGTCATACTCGTTGAGAGCATTAACGAAACAAGTCAAGTAGCGCTGGCTTAAGTGTATGATTGCTGCTTTGAATACTTCTCAAAGAAATTACATTGCAGTTTAGTCTGCCTTACCTGATAGAATAAGTGCCGGATCATCGAGAACAGTTTGAAAATCCGGAATTCGCAGCAAGAGTTGGAGCAGAAAGAACCTCTGTAAGCCAGTAGTAGCACTCAATAGGATCCATTTGCACGTCTTGTAATACTAATTCCTTATGGCAGTATGACGATATTCAATTTATTCGAGTCGCAGTGACATCAAAGCGGCTATTCGACGTTTCAGCTTCTCTTTTCCTGCTTACCTATCTTCTTCCTCACATCCCTCTTGCTCTATGTGGTCGTCATGTCGCATTAGCATTTATTCAAGCCTAAACTAATCAAGATCGCGCTTTCAAGTTCTTGGAGGGGGATGCCCTAGTTTAAGACTCGTACTTGGTTGATTCATTGAAACCGCTTGGCGTAAGAACAGGGAGAAGCCCTATCGTATAGGCGGCTACGGTAGCTGCCGCTTTCCGCTGTCAACGGTTAATTTTATTTAAGTTCGCAAATTCATAGATTCTCTAGACTATCAAGTAAGGAAAGCTATCTATCAATCCGGCAGCCTTTATCTTCAGATATGAAACATTGAGTTCCTTGGTCAATTCGTCTCGAGTTTTGGTGCATTTTATAGCTTGCTTACTGAACGCAATGCCGCTACAATGAATCATCAGATGCTAGGTCGCTCTTCCACTTCGATACCGTAATTGGATGAGCTGCAACTCCTACATGTATAGTTAACCGAACTATCATAATCGTATATAGCACAATTTGACGGTCCTGGGCCTCGTTTAAGCGAGGGTCGGCAAATTCGATCATACTAGGATGACGCTCTTATACGACTTTTAGTTAACGGATTCTTTTCTTATTGTGGTCTTCTCAATTGTGCGCAACTTGGAAAGTATATCAAGGAAAGTTTACAGAGGCAACCCAGCAGTCCCAGTTCGTTAGAATCAGTTACCCAGAACAATCTTACCCAAGTCATACTGCAGGACCTTGTTGTTTATCACTCTATCGCCAAGTCGAATGTCGACATCGCTAGGCTTACCGCCGCCAATCCCGACTATCAGTTCGATACAGTTTGACTGTAAACTCCGAAGCGTATTGCCAGCAACGATTGCTGCATTGTTCATTCTATACTGACCCGTGGGCAAGCACGCCATAACTTTGTTGTGCTTGTCCACATTTCCCAACGCATAAGCGTTCGTATTGTTGCCTATCGTGGGTAGGTCTTCATGGATTCGATCCAGCACGACGCGCCCCGCGGCCATCTCGATAGAAAGAGCGCATATCCATCCCATAGCGTATTCGGCACGCTGAAGCTTGGCTGCTCGCCCAATTTGCTCCTTTCATCGGTCTTCGCCATTCTCACTGTGCCGCACTTTCTGGCTTTTTGCAAAGTCGGGTCCATCGTGTGGAATTTTAATCTTGGTCTCCGCCGTAACCACTCTTCGTGCTGTAGGTGTGTAGCCCGCATGGTCTTCGGTCTTCATTAATGTCGATAGCTCAAATTTTCACTGTCAATAAGCTCGTGCGTAATGAGCGATCCCTTTGACAAACAACGTCATACTGCGATGCTGCTGACCTAGACCTCAGTCACCCTGATACATATTATGATAGACAGTTGAGAGTACCTCATAAAATTGGTCACAACATGCATCGCATTGTCAAAGCAAAATGCGCGAAGTCACCGTCATGGAGAATCATGAGGCTCTCGTACCAATAAAGATTCTAGCAAGCACTTTATACCACCTCAAGGCTTTGAAGTTGGTTTTTCTCGTCTGTGAATTTGATCAGAGGCCCATGACTTTAGAGGCAGCATACATCCCAGACACCTTACTTAGCAGGACTTGATAATTATTGATCCCCTAAAGCCAGGTCTCGTCATTCACCTAGGTAATGAATCCTAAGTGAGATGTAATTGGCAGATTTTAGTCCCATAGTTCAAGTTCAAATGGGGAGAATCGCAGACGCAGCAAATGCAGAGGTTAGAGCTACATGTCACCGACGTTTCTATGATAGAAGGAATTGCGTAGGTCTCGCAGTCCCAGTCCATGTAGTCCTATTTCAAAAGACAGGGAAGAAGTCATGTATGCTTCAAACAATTTTTGACCTAAACACTCCTCAAAAGCGAAAAGTCTATCGCAATGGGATGTTCTAGGCTCATCAGCATCACTCGAAAGTACGCCCATGTAGCATATCATTGGCAGTAGGGAAGGAATCTTAGGAATTGTGCGTTTGATTATACTACCTCAGACTTGGCACGATGCCCTCAGTTCTCATGCAGTACAAACATCGCCAGCCCGCCTTACATGTAGTAATATTTTGTCAATATTCACATTAAACCTTCACCGCCACTCGTGTGGCAGAAACATCAATCCATGAATGGATGCTCAGCCAGGCCCCGAAACATAATTTGCAGACGCCACCTACCACGTGCCTCCAAATTATGCCGGCAAAAATTTGGTCTAGATGCGCAAGTTTCCTGACCGCACCACCAGCCGGCTCGACCCGTCTCGATGCAGCAGCCATGCCTTCATCCGTTGGGGCTTGTAACATGAACCATTGAGGATTCATCATTCACCAGTCTCATCTCGCAATAAGCCCATCTGTACTCAGAATGGCCTCATAAGACGCAATCCTCATCCTACATTCTCCCGTACAGCATTGAGCGAATGAATAATTGCAGGGTCGACAGCCCAAAAAGATAACTAAAAAATCGAAGTTTCTCAGCTGGACCCTTTGAAACGCCACAAGACCCCGCCCAGGAATGTTTTCATCGTGTTCCGGGATGCCGTAAACATCAACATGCAGGGCCGCAGACCGGGCCATGCCGGCCTCTCGGCTGCAAGTGAATTAGACACATTGTACGGCTGAGAAACGCCTGAGACACTGGCCGGCACGTACTTTGTGACGGTTAACCACGCGGGATGGGCTACCCCGCCCGCATCTAGTCTCAATCCGGCGGGATTCTCAGTGGTTCTCACGATCAACTGACCCTGTTCCCGTTTGAGCTGAAGTGATGGTCGCGAAAAAGGGCGTCATGAAATGGCTTGATGGGCAATGCAGCCCCAAGAGTCCACAAGCCCGGCAAGAGAGACATCGTGAACTCTAAATGGCACGCAGCTACAGCAACGTGAATGGCTCAACGTACTCGGGAGGAGAAGCTGAACGCCATTGCTGGCGTTTTGGCTGGCTGATGTGCTATGTCCTGACCGCATCGAGGAATCGAGACGACGGATTCATTCCAAGTGTCGGTGAAGTGATCGAAAATTGGTGACATCTCATGCTCAGGAGCTTGGAGACACTCTCCCGTTTGTAGTATAAGAGCAGAGCTTAGAACCCTCGAGTCCCATATTCCTGTTTGTTCATCATCAATCACTTGACTACCAGACACCATTCCAACCATCACATCCTATCCTTGAATATTTCCTCGCTCAGTGGAAAGAAAACTCTCAGACTCATCACCATGTCTTCCTCCCAACAACCTCCCAGACCTCTCAGCCACCTCTCTCCCGTCCCAATCACACAGAATGGCCTTTCCGCTCACTACGACAACGACAACAAGCTACTCCTCCTTACATCCCGGGCCGATGCCGTCCACATCACCACCGACATCCACTTCCGCCAGATCCAGATCCTCGGCGGCCTCCTCTTCGTAGTCGAAGGATGGGTCGGCCCGGTCACCCAGGGAACCGAGCCCTACACCGTGACAGACAGCTTCCCAATTGAACTCCCCAGCCGCGTCTTCCCCTCCGGCTACGTGGTCATCAAAGGCGCCGAAAACGCACAATTCAAGGTCAAGATCCAGCCCCTTTTGAAGGATGGTGCCGGCAACAACGCCCAGACGGCCTCGACCGAGAAGGCCGACTTTGACGTCCCCAACGTCAAGCTCATCCCCCCCACGGAGCCAATCATCACCAAGCTCGGCCAGAACTTCACCATCCGCCAGTCCGACCAGTTCAACAGCCAAGGCGGCACCGTCGACGTCGCCTTCAACCAGGCCTTGCTCAAGCTCACCAACGCCCGCATCGTAGACTCCAAGATCGAGTGGGTCTTCTCCCCGCTACAGACCGGCAACACCCAAGTCTCCGTCTTCGTCGCGTCCAACAACCCCCCCTTCGCCTTCCGCGTCCTCCACAACGTCGAAATCAAGCAGGCCGCCGCCACCGAGACCCTCAACCCCCTGGCCCTCTTCTCCGTCGCCTCGGCCTCCAAGGCCACAAACGACAACACCGAAGCCGAAATCGCCCAGAGCGGAGGATCCAAGATTGTCATCCCGTCCTGGGACAGCACCGTCAACGCCGGCCTCAACCTCATCAAGAAGCAATTCCCCTCCGCCAAGCTCCAGAGCGCCGAGGGCAGGTCCCCGACCGGCGCCGGCGTCAAGAACCCCTTTGAGCTCTCCAAGGTCAGCATCATCGCCCGCCTCGACGGCAACAAGACGGCCACCGTCCGCTCCCAGGGCTTCTTCGACTTTGGCCCCGTCAAAGTCGGACCCCTCCTCCTCGGCGTCGCCCCCTTTGACTGGCCCGTCAAGGTCAACTCCAACGACGCCTTCGCCATCGTCCGCAAGGCCGGCTACCAGCAGCCCGTCGACAGTCTTTCGCTGTCCCAGCCCGTCGTCCCCACCGTCGACCAGCCTTTGTACACGCTCACTCTTGGCGACCAGACCGTTCAGCTTGGAGCTACTGATGGCAAGATTATCAACTAGATCCACCCCCTGGTTGGTTAATCCTTTCAAGGTACCTTTCCACGAAGACACGAAGAGGGTGTGGTGTCGAAAAAGTTCTCCCTAGGTTTCAGTGCGCTCTAATCGAGTTTTTTGTTAACCAACCAACACCCTGAAAAGAAAAAAGACAAGATCCCCATTCTCGACGATAGTCTTTAATATAATTCATGCTTTTTGACTATGCTTATCCTGGAAATCATGCCTCGTATGAAGTGACTTCCGCTAAGACCAGCAAGGTTTGACGGTTCGGAGTATTCGCCAGCGTTGTTCCTGCAGAGCCTTTACTAGCTGATGGCAATCACTCCGACTCGTGATCCGTAGTAGAGCTTGCGGGGAAAGGCCAGCATAATGTCTTGAAGCGGTAACGCTGCCCACATTGTATGAGTAAGTATGTACATCAACAGTCTCTTAGCTATCCTTCCAGTGCCGAGGATTGGTCCGTAGACTCAGTGGACTTACTCCACACCTGTCGTCAGTCTTGGAAATAGGGAATAGGTGCCACGAGCCAGTGCTCCTTTGAAAGATTTGCGCAAGGCTCATGAGTGCAAATATCAAAGGGCACCCAATAGTCCGGCCAATGGAGGAAAGTATTTCATAAAGTCCCACAAGATTGTCCAGGGCGCAATGGCCAGACACAATAAGCCCAGCCCCCAGAACACCGTACATAACTATGCCATCCACACTGGCAAACCAGACTCCAAAGCTCCAAGCCAAAGCAAACTTCAACAGCTACGTTCAACCACGGCAATATCGCTTGTAATTAAGCCACTTTCTGGCGTTTGGGATCCGCCGCCGTCGCGCCAGAGGGGTTGCCCGATGTCCCGTTGTTCGACACATCAGCCAGGGGCGGTCTTCCGGCGCCGTCCTGCTGTTGTAAAGGACGCTTCATGGTCGGCGGTCGATAGGAGTTCCGGTTGGCCAAGGGACTGCTGGCGCCCCCGGGAGCTCCGATTCGGCGAGTCTGACTGAATTGAGGGTGAGGCATGCCAGCCCCTCCTCCAGGGCCGGCGTTACCCGGTCTCACCGGCGTGAAACCCGACGTGGATGGCTGCTGCGATGCGGTGGGCGGTACGTGCTGGCCAGACCTGGAAAGCGGCTTCGAGGAGGAGTGATCTATGCCGGGGGTCTTTCGTATGGATGGGCTCTCTGCCTTTGGATTGAAGGCTTGTTGGCCGGCTGGCAGCAACATAGGGGCGTCAGCATTGTTCCCCTGCAAAGCAGATTCTGGGATTTGCTGTACAGCACGTGCAGAGAAGAAGCCGACAGGCTCGGCGGCGTTGCCGGCCTGGCCCGGCGTGGTCATGTTGGCGTTGGTTTGGGGAGCGGGCGGAGCGGATGGGGCTGATGGGTTCGTGGGCGCGCGCGGTTGATTTGGTGCTTGTGGTCGGTTGCCGTAGCCCATTGGAGGGCCTGGTCGTGAATGTGCTTGATTTGGTGTCTGGGGTGCTCGCTGATTCCCCTGGTTTCCCAGGTTCCCTGCTGATGTGCTCCTGCCCATTTGCCGAGACGGTGCTTGCATGTGCTGAGGTACCGGTGCTGGCGCAACACTCGCTGCCCTGCCGTTCGAATGATTGTTTGTTGTTGGTGGGAGAACCACTTCGTCAGGATGATCGCCTTCGGAAATGGCAAAGTCCGCGTCGTCAAAGTCGTCTAGTCATGTCAGCCAGAGAGCTCTTCACCCCATCAGCCACGTCAAAACGTCCTACCTTCGCCTAGGAGATCCTCTAGCGATTCCATAGTCTCTAGTTTCACCGGCGGTGCCTTCTCCTCCTCCACCTTCTTGATAGCAAAGTCACGCTGTCTGTGCAAGTCGTTCTCGTGGAATTTTGTTGGCGCAACCTTCATCTTGGTCACCTTGGAGAGGTAATCCTTGTCGTATATGCAGTTACCCAGCACGTTGCCAAAATTCCGCAACGCCCTCTTCAGTGCATCCGTCGTGCCCTCCTTCTTGGCCTTTTCAAACGCCGCCGCCTTTCCCTTGCAGTTCTCAATGTGTCCGTAACCAATGTCCTCGTGAAACGTGCCGTCGCGCAGCGTCACCCTGACAATGACGGAGAGCCCGAGGCTGATCTTCATCGTCTGCGGGTGTTCATCGACAAAGTCGACTTGGATGTTCTGAATAGATGACGACCAGCCATTGAAGCCGAACACCTCATTGGCGAGGGCGATGCACTTCTCTGCGGTGATGTAGTGGACCTTCTGGCCCGAGGGACCGGAGCGAGCGGATATGTACTCGGGACCAAGCTGCTTCTCGAGACGACTTTGCAAAGTGGCAATTTCCTGGGCAGTGTACTCGCTCATTCGCTTCTGGGGCTCCTCGAAAGGGTTCACCACGATGCTGTGCTGATCGCCCGGGCTGCAGTGCAAGTTGGTCAGCGGACGAGACGCGTCTGGAAAGCGGCAAACATACGCGGGCATCTTGTCTAACAGGAAGTCTCCTTTGCGCAATGTTAGAGTTATGCAATGCTCAATGTGAGCTCCGGAGCTGGAAAGAGTTCCTTCACGACGGAGGACTAGGCGTCGTTAGCAGAGCAGTTGTGGGCACTCTGCCTAGAAGGAGTGAAGGGCAACGGAACTAGCACGCGTTCCCATCAACGCCTGCCTGTCTTGACGCGTCGAGTTGAGCGCAGGAGGCAGCAATGACGGGTAGTCATGTGATCAAAATGAATGACATAAGCCCCCACTAACATTGGCTGAAGCTGCCTACCTACCTTACCCGTACCTGAGGCGTAGCCCCCGAGGTTTCAGCAGGTACCTCCAGCGGCAGTAGTGCCTGAAAGAAGTGGGCGGGGGGATGGAGGGAGGCCGAACAATCAGAGTTCAGTGCCGCTGTCGTCCGAACAGCGAACAGTTGGTGAACAGCCTCCGCAAACCTACCCCGCCAAAGGCGCAAAAACGAGGTTGACGCTTGGTTTTCCTGGAGCACCCTGGAACGCAAAAGGGTGTATGGAAGAGCTGGCGCGGCCAATGTCAGTTGCGTCCAGTGCAAGGTTGAGGGTCATCTCGTAATCGGCGAAAGGGAGGGGATCCAATGCCATCACCACCGGCAAGAGACGTGCGTCTCTTACGAGTTTCAGCCCTTTCAGCAGGAATCATCGAGAAGGGTTTAGTCGATGCCATACCACACGACACACGATTCACACACAAAAAGAAGTGGACAGGGACAGGCTACAAGCAGCCCGGGAGGGAGCACAGAGGTCGAAGTGCTTGGTGTAACAAGACCCAAGCGTACGAAATGGGAAAAGAAAATGGAGCAATCTCAATAAGACGTTTCGCCGGGCCTGCCTGGGGTTCTCTCTCATACTCGGCAGAGGGCAGAGAGAGGCAACCCGAAAAGGACGATGTCGATCATGAGGAGCTGCGGCTGACCCGGGCCCGGTATCTGCCAAAGGCTGACGATGATCAGGCACGCACGGAGGAGAGGGGTTGCATCAGAACACCCATACAATGTCGCCTGTATCTCAACATCGGATTGCACCGGTTCTTTCTCGACTGGGCGTGTTTGCCAAACATGCAACAGGCAACAATACTGCAAACCATTTCCTTCCACGATTGCTGAGCGGAACCGTTGGTGGCCATCACGGATGTAACCGACTCAGTGGGAAGTTGAAACAGACAAGCCGTCTTGGATGCACGCAAACTAACTCAAGCGACTCGCGGGACACGTACGCTCGCATGGTTACAACGTGCCAATACCTTAATTCCATGCTACACTAACATAATGTAGCCAACTACTGTGAAACCGTTATCTGCCCTGCACGACTCGAGCCTTCACTCATCCACTGACATTACAAGATGCCTCCCTCTCGCGCAATCTCAATCAACCCAAGCAGCGTCTCCACCAAGGGCGGTAATCATACGCAGTGTGTGGACGAAACTCTCCCAAGCGGGTGGGATCATCGATTGCTTGCTGTCCCCGAAATGCTATCCCTCAAAGCTGAGAAAACCAAACCAAACTACCTACATGCGAAGTGCGTGACTCGATTCCCTCGTCAACCGCCGGGAAGAAAAGGGTGCAAGTGCTCCAGTTTCACCCCTACGAGAAGACTCGCAACTAGCGTCAGGAAAGGGATATCATCAATCAACGGAAAATGACAAAACGCCGCCCAACCCCTCCTGGCCCTGACATGAAAGTAGTCCGCGGGACCCAAAAGTCTATGCCCGTTGCCGCCCCATGCTGAATGAAGTGATAAAGGAAATAAGCCGTCGTTATAGTCGTCGTGATATGTTCAGTGGATGCCGCCAACCGTGGCCGATGTCGCGGCAATGCTTATTATTTGACGTTTGGATGAATCTGTTCTTTCCGTTGCCCCGATTCGTTTTCCTACCAAGGTCCGACACGCACAGGTGCACCGTATGTGCCAGACATGAGCTGGTTGAGGATTGAGTTCGGATCCGAGGACGGGTTACCGGGCTGCTGCCCGTTGGAGCCCCCGTTTGCCATCCAGCTGACGCTCGTCGCCATCGCATTCACCGCCGTACCCATGCGTCCGCCCGAGATCTCGTGGTGTTTCTCCAGGGTCTGGTCCCATCCTCCAGTGTGCAGGCTCAGACCGCCTCCGCGCTTAGCCGCCTCGTTGATGACCAGAGCCCAGGCCTTTGAGATTTCGTCGTATGCGTTTTCCTTGTGGTGTCGATATTGTTGGGGTTCCCAGTCCGGAAGGGCGTGGATAATCTTGGTGGCTCCGTCCAGATATTGCAGCGAAACGGTGGTCTGGTTCTCGTTGGGGGGGAGATACTGAGGGGTGAAGTCGAGGAGCGCATCGATCAGGGCAGTCAGGGGTGCCTTGACCCGGTAGTAGGTGTAGTCGGCACTAGTCTCTCCGTACGGAATGGCGACCTTCATCTTGTCCTGATACTCCTGCAAAACGCCGTGTGCAGCGGCAACTGTCGGGCGAGGGGCGCTGCTGACGACCTCTTGGCCAATGTCTGGGTGACGCTCGCAAATTCGCTCGAGAACGGTTCGCAGTGCGGTCGGGTCCAGAGTCTCCAGCAATCGGGGGAGGGTGAGTGGGCGGCCGACCAGTTCATTGGAGCGGACCTTTTTCGATGGTCGCTGAAGTTGTCTCGATGAGGTGGACGGGGAGCTTCGGGGAGACAGGGACATCTCATCGCCGTCCTCGTCAGCCTTGCGCTTGCGGCTGGTGGCCATAGTGTGAAATGGGCTCACTATTTAAGTATTAGCGTCAGGATGCATGAGTCGTAGAGTAGCGGGTGTGCAAGCAGATCGAGAGCCGTCTTTCGCTCATGCTTTGCCAGCCCAGGGAGAAAGATGGCGATGGGGAAAACACTCACAAGAACGAGAGGGAGAAATGCGGTTTGGATCGTGGGGATGTTGGAAGAGAGGCGGTTGTGGCGATAGCAACACATTCATGTTGTGGTTGAATCTAATGGATCGGGAGGTCGGAGTCGGGCGGGAGGTCTCCTGCTTTTGACTCTAGCTGACGACGACAGTTGCGACCAGCAACGACGACGGCGACGACAATAGTCTAAGTACAACCAGATACTCGAATGCTTTGATGGAAGTTGAGTCGGTTGGACGGTAAATGTCGGCAAGAAGGTTGGAAGGCGGGTTCTTGTTTGGATTGATTGTTGTAGGCTTTTTGTGAGGAGGTGAATGTGAGGGGGAAGAACAGCGGCGACGGCAGGATTTGGGCAAAGGAAGAGAAGGACGATGGAGGCGAACAGGGCGAGGGATAGCACCGCTGCACACTTGAGGAACCCAGGTACCGAAGGGGAGGAGGGAAAAAGGGCCTTTTCCTCTTTCAGTGCCTTGTACCGCACCTCGCTCTCTTTACAGTGGTACTAAGGTGCTGGGGGCTAACCTGGTAGGCTTGGGCCTGCTGGACCTTGCTCTTGATGGCGGCGTCGGATTTGCTGATGCAACTGGGTCACTGGATCGCCGGAACCACCTAGACCCAGCTAAGCAACGTGCGTTGGCTGGATGGGCTGTCCACCTAAGTATCCACTCTCTGTGCCGAGTTGCAGGCCTTATACATACATACAGAGGATACCTAAGAATAAGTGTGCAAAAAGGGCTTGGACGCAGAGCTAGAGGCGTGCCATTGGACTGCATAGGTTGCAGATGTCCCCGTACCTCAGAAGGCCAGAGAGGAGAGTGAGGGAAAGAGGGTGCAGCGCCGCTGGGTCGGGCTGCTGCAAGCCGCCTGTAATATTAAACAGAAGCGGTCAAGGGCCCGATGGATGCCCTATGCCGAAACAGCAGGCACCATCCACCAATGGTATGTACAGATACCTGCGGTAGCAGCGGTACCTCGACGAGGCACACGACCGCACCTTACCGAGACGGTATTGGGTGTCACTTTTGCACTCTGCCAGTTTGTTGTGAGCAGGGGTCGAGCGGGATGGCGGCCACTGGGCGGTTTCGTCTGGACGACTGGCGGATCCCATTCGTCGGGAATCGCCCGCACGTGAGTGGATGATGGGGGGCGCCAGCCCGGCGGTGTTGGCGCCTCTGCCACTGGTGGGGGGTTGTCTCTGCCTATTTTTCCTCTCTCTCCCTCCTGAGTCGAGTCTCACTCTGGAGGCAAGGTAAGGTACATTGGCTCATATCTCTCCACTCGCTCTTCCGCCTCCTTTTCAGCTGAATTTGTTCCCTCGGCACACTCACCGGCACACTCACCGGCACACTAAAGTACCTTGTTCAATCCAAAACTAATATCTAATAAGCGGTTTCGAACAGTCAAGTCTCAACAACGTTCTGCAGTGGCTGAAGATGGCCTATCAGACAGAGTTCAGAGGCGTCGACAACCCGATGGATGCTCATCTCAACTCTCTATCCGTACGGATCCCCAAGCAAGCCAAGGTACGGATACTTGAGGTAAAGTAAAGTACATAGTAAAGTAAAGTAAGCGGGTCGCGGGTGGCCCCATTCGCATCATCATCCATGAACGCCCTCCAACCCCTCTAACCTTCTTCAGCGTCCCTTGGCAAAGAAGAACCTGGAACTCCCCGGCCACAAAGTGGATGCCCCTCATTGTCCTTGACGACAAGTCCTGAGTTGGCACTTTATTCCTCATTTGCTTCGAGTTGCATTGAGCCGCACTGCCTTATGCTCGTCTCTTCTGAATCAAAACAAGGCTTCCCACGCCCAGTCAAAGGGAGAGAGACAACAGAGACTAGAATTTTGAAAACGAAAAAAAGTCTCAGTCACCGCTTCTTCTCCTTTTTCCCTTCTGCATCATGGCTATCTTACTGTATCCGCTTTTCAGTCACACTTGTAGGACTTGCAACACTGTCAAAAATGCAGGGCGCGAATTTCAGGCAAAGTGCCAACCACCTCGACCGCTGGGCAGAGTCAGCTCTCTGCAGCCCAAGCTGCTGACAAGTACCGCTACATGTCTGGGTACATTCGTCTGACCTTAACCCGCCAAGGTCAATCTCGGTGGACAAACCACGGCGGGGTGGAGCGGATGGGACCCACCAGCTCCGCCAATGTTCCCTTATCGCCTTATCGGCTTTGGTCAAGGACCCAAAAAAAAAAAAAAAAAAAACTCCCGGCCCCACCCCACACCACGACACACAACAACAACCCAAACAAAACCACCACGCCCAACCCCACCCCACCCCCCCCCCCCACCAACCACCCCCCCCACCCCCGGGGGCGCGGGCCCCCAAAAAAAAAAAAAACAAAACCTCGGGGCCCAAGCGGCCAAGAGTCCCGATGAGAGATTCTCACGGTGGCTTCCAGTAGCAACCCGAATTCTCCTCCGCCGTCCCTGGAGCCACGCAATCCGTCCTTGAAACTCGCAGAGGCCCGATTCGCCTTCACAATGGCAACCACCGACCCAGAGAAACGGTCCAAGAAGACCAAGACCGAGGCCGAAGATGCGCCATCACAATCCCCCGAGTCGTCCAAGAAGCGCAAATCCACCGCCGCCATCGAGGAGATCGAAGTCGACCTCGAGGCCCCGGAACCCCCCTCCAAGCGCGCCAAGCGTGCCCTGAAGAAGGGCAAGAAGCTGCCCGTCAAAGTCGACAGCGATGACGAGAGAGAGGCCAAGAAGAAGGAGGAAAAGGAGCAGGCCAAAGCGGCCGCCCGCTCCGAGCACGGCGTGTGGATCGGCAACCTGCCATTCTTCGTCACCGCCGACGAGCTGCGCAAGTGGTTGATTGACAACTCGGGCGAGATGATCACCGCGGAGTCCATCACGAGGTTACACATGCCCACGACGAAGCAGGCAGGCAAGGACAAGCCCTCCAACAAGGGTTTCGCCTACGTCGACTTCAACGACGTCGCACCCAAGGTCGCCGCCGTCGCGCTCACCGAGTCCGAGCTGAGCCGTCGCAAGCTCCTGATCAAGGACTCCAAGTCGTTCGAGGGGCGGCCAAAGAAGGAGGACGAGTCCGCTGCCGCCGCGGGCGCGGGTGGCGCCGCGGCGGCCAAGGAAGAGGTGCCCAAGAGCAGCAAAATCTTCATCGGCAACCTGAGCTTCAAGACAACCGACGACGACGTGTGGCAGCACTTTGAAAAGTGCGGGCAGATCGACTGGGTCAAGGTCGCCACTTTTGAGGACACGGGCAAGTGCAAGGGTTACGGCTGGGTCAAGTTCCGCGAGCCCGAGGCGGCCGGCTGGGCCGTCAAGGGCTTCGTCAAGATTAAGGAGGAGATTGAGACGGAGGCCGATTTTGTCGCGTCCAAGGGCAAGGACGGCGACGACGACGAGATGAAGGAAGAAGGAGACGGCGACAAGGCGGAAGAAAAGAAGTTCAAGCTGAGAAAGTGGTGGGTTAACAAGCTGCTCGGTCGCATGCTCAAGATCGAGCTCGCCGAGGACGACCAGACGAGGTACAAGAAGCGGTTCGGCAAGGACGCGCCCAAGAGGCAGCAGGAGCAAAAGTCCAGACAGGACGGCGAGGAGGGCGGCGCGGAGGACGCGCCCGAAGAGAGGAAGCCGAGAGCGCCCCGGCCTCCGAAGACGGAGAAGCCGAAGGCTGCAGCGGGCGAGCTCAAGGCACAAGACGATCTCATGGTTGCGCGGTTGACGGGTGCGGCCGCGAAACATACCGGTACCAAGATTACGTTTTAGCGAACAAAATATACTCGTCGTTTCTGAGCAGCATCAAGCCTCGCTTGTAATTGAAATCGAGGCCGCAACTTGAATCTCTGGGAGGAATGTACCTATCATCCTGTGCCGGTCGGGAAGATAGCTCACATTTGACCAGCTAATGTATGATCTTTCAGCTTCACAACTTTTGGCAGACTCGGACAGAATTTGATTCGTTGTCGCTCGTATCTAAGCCGGGGAGAAAAGAAGCCGGCTTTGATGATCACGTCCTATTGGGTGACCACTAGAACGTTCAGCCACCACATTCAGCTCCAGCTAGAATGATCTATCGGTATACCATCCATGCTCTCCCTGTCATTGCCATGTGTCCAGCGACCACGGCCTTATGGCCACGTGAGATGAGACGCAGAAGTGAAGAGGACTGCAACCTCGTCCTTTTGTGTCTTGTCAATGTTCGTCAAAAGTCAAAAATTGGATTGCGCAGGCTCGCTTAAACACCGCTAGACGCCCTTTACAAAATGGATATCGAGAGCCTCGTTGATCGTCTGACCAGGAGAAATGCAGTCATCGCTCGCGTCGTCCGCTGGTACCTACGATTCCATCCCACGCGCCCTCACGGCTTCACTATCAATGCGTTCATAGTCGACGGAGTTACGCAGCCAGTGCCGGCACCGTACTTTCCTATCCTACTGGGTAGCTGGCGTCTCATGGCCTCTATCATGTTCTGCAACTCGGTCGTCGTCTATGCTCTGATCTTCTACTTAATCTATTCAAGTCCCAGCCTGATCATCATCTTCATTGCTCTTATTCAAGTCGTCGCCTTCGTCTTTAGGAAACTCGGGCTAGGGAGTGGAAACTTCACACTCGGATCACTGCTGTCTAGCATTGGCCATTATGCGGCAAGCTCTACCCCTTCCAATGACTCAACCAGTGAACCTCCAAATCGCATGCTTATTCGTTTGCAAAGGCTGCAAGCTTTCTCCTTCTTGTGTCGCAACTATCTCAAATCTGGCCTTCTCTCTGGTCATATTTCTGGTTCGCATATTGCCTGTTAGCCATCCGTCGACGGCGCTTCTCTCAGAACTATCACGAAGCTTGGAGACTGAAGCACCCTGGCAGCTTCATCTCCGTCTTCATTGGACGGTCCGACTGCGTCCAAATTCCGCTTCCAGGTCCTGATGAACCTGGTATGGACGACCTTCAGATGTGGAAACACCTGTCATTCTTCTATCGCTTATCTAGGATTGAGGGTGGATTTTCCCAGGTCCTACTTCCGAAGGCGCTCGTCAGATTTGAGATTGTAGAGGTCAGTATGACTAGCTACCACTTCTACGGCTAGAAATCACGCTGTGCGGCTAACGATCGCTTCTGGACCCTTTTCTAATATCAGACACGCGCCTACGCAGATCAAAGACAACATCTATACGGGACAACGAGATGCCATCTTCGACGTCCCCCAACATATTTTGAGACTGGTAGAGAATGGAACTCCAACGACCATACCGGCTGGTCTTGATCCACGCAGAGACATAACGGAGCTGCAACGAGCGTCTGTCTACCGGGATCTTACCCAAACAGACTCGCCAAAGTGACTGAGATTTGTCGTCAGTTGGGATACCGCTCTGATTTCGATAGTCGTTCTGCTTCCAACTATTGTCAGCATTGCCACTGTCGTGGCGTGGCCCATTGTCGCGGTTTTGAAGTACGGAGCAGATGTGCAGACAAGTGTACAGACTGGGGCGACTGTGGGTAGCTTTATCGTCACGGCCGGAGCTCTATTGATAGGTCTAGTTACGTTATTTGATGCTCTTGCTAAGTGAATGCAATTGATGCCTCACTCACTTTTACCAACACACTATGTTCTCCAAGAATCAGACGAACACGACGCTTGAGAGGTGCCGTCTTCAGAATCATGCCCGAAGATTCTAGAAGATACGCAACCTGGAAGTGACAAGCAATCAGAGCTTCTCAAAACTTGATCAAGAACTATGATTTGATACAAGAGGGCGTATTTATCAATTAATTGCTTGTACTAAAGAGTATCATAAGTTCAGCTGGATATCATGTCAACCATCTTCAATACTGTAGTGATGACGAGGAACTCCAAACAAGCCTGCATTGATTACCCAAAACATTGGACGAGGCTTATAAAAGAATGTGGAGCAGAGTTCCTAACGTAGGTTGACCGAAATTATGGCGGATCCTACAGTTCTTAACTCTGTACGGAAGTCCCCTTGCTTCTGGAAGAAGTGGTCGACATCATCGTAATGTCTCCGAAGGCCAAACAACCCCAGCCAACATTCGATCCCGCATTCAAGCCAGGCAAAAAAAGATACTTCAACCTACTTCCCAGGTCTAGGTGTGGCTGTCACCCAAGCCGACGATCTTGCAGAATATAGAATTCAGTGCACCAGGAGAGTAGCGTGACCTTTTGCCCTCTCTCAGCATTACACTTCTACTCCACGCAACCACACAATCCGCTCTTGATTAGGACGGTAAATAACAAGATTAATATCACGCAGTCAGAGGCATGTATGCAAAGGCGTCTCCGGTGAGCGATCTCTTCAGTCCCTCAAAAGCCAACTGTCCCGAGAGCCTAGAGCAATCGAGGAAGACAACTAAACGAAACGAAGGGAAGCAAAAGGCGTGTTGAACACCCGCGACGGCATACAGAAGGAATTGTTGAAGCATCCCCCCTCCCCATGGCAGCAATAAAACACAATCCTCAGTCAACTGGCGTTGAGGCCATCTTGATCCCCAATAACGTGTTGAGACGTCGAAATATTTTCAGGCACAAGAAAATCTTGACACACTGCCCCATCCGAATCACTGAGTGTTCCCATGCCTCTCAAATCAATAGTCACTTCCTCGGCTGATAATCTCCTTGTTATTTTCGCGCAGCAAGATCGTCTGTATGAGTCAGTCTTGCAAACTATGACTCGGCACAACCTCTTGCCAAATATCTATTACTCACATGCTCAAACTGCGCGGACTGAGATCCCTTGACATCCGCAAGCGGTGCGTATGTCTCTAGGATGCCGTGAGATTCCAGGGATTTGAGCTAAAAAGGAAACCGGATAGTTAGCGATTCCCGCTCTCTCTCTTTAGATTGGCACCTCGAATTACGACAGAAACTTACACCAGCCAAGTACCGATCCAAACCTAGACGGTCAAGATAACGACGGCAAAAGACGATGCTCCCAAATTGTTCCCTGATCGTCTTATAAAGACGATTCGCAGAGGCGAATGGCAGCTTGATCTGAGCTGGGGCATTGTAACCCAATTTATATCCGTAGATACCGACCTATTTCTCGTCAGAAGTCTTCTTTCAAACGCTTCCAAAACCGAGTCCACAAAGCCAGAGTAGATATAAAACCAAAAATCAACAGGAACGGGAAGAAAATCAAAAACTCAGAACTCACGTCATCATACAGCTTCCCACGCCCCGTGGTCCCGAAGGTCTCAATAGCAAAGATCTCGCCCTCCTCCATCTTTGTCTGATCATTGTTCTTGATAAACGGAATCGACCGTCCCGCATGGATCTGGTACCGCGCGATATCATGCGCGCAGATGTTGCGTACCGGCTTCACGGGGTACGTCTTGCCGCCAATCTCGACTTCATAGCTCTCCATCGTCTCATGGATCGCGGCGCTGACGTCGCAGATGCGGACATCGATCCCGGCAGCCTACGACGCAGGTGAGCTTTCTGCCATTCTCTGACAAAGAGGGTAATGAGGGCATGAAAGACTAACCTCGATACCAGTATTCGTTGCATCTCTCACCGCATCCAGCAAATCATCATACGCCGGATCAAAACTCATCGTAAACGCACTATCCACAATCCACCCATTGACATGCACCCCAAAGTCAACCTTCATCACGTCCTCATACTTTAGCACGACGTCCCTCTGCCCCGGGTTCGGCGTATAATGCGCCACCTCGTGGTTGAGACAAAGCCCCGTAGGGAACCCCATCCCAGCCCTCAGCGCATCACCCGCCTCGATCCCCTGGTTGCCCAGCAGACTTCTCACGCCGTCCTCGATCCCCGTCGCGATCTCGAGTAACGTCTGCTGCCCCGGCCTCACCGTCTCCTGCACCCATTGCCGCACCTGCCGGTGCACCTCGGCCGCCTTGCGGTAGTCGTTCAGGAGTGTCGGGTCCTCGAGGTAGGGCCGGCTCTGGTAGCGCAGCTCCGCTGCTGTTGTGCGGGCGGTGTTGGTGCCCGAATTGGTGTCCGCGTCCCGGTCTTTGGTGTAAGGCTGTGCCTCACCGGCCGGATACGACCCGGAAGGGAAGAGATCGCTCAGCGGCACCCTCGGAGGCGAGGATTGCGTCTTGGCCGCGGCGGTTGCCTTCGTCTTCTTCTTCTTTCTGGGCTTTCTTTTCTTCTTTTTGGGTCCCTCGTCGTCTTCTGCAGCTGCAGCTTTCAACGGTCCGGAGCCAGCGGCAGCTTCATCTTCACCTTCATCGTCGTCTTCATCATCGCCGCCTTGGTCGCCGAGGCTACCGTCCCCATCGCGGGACAGATGCGCGCCTCGCGGCTCTCCGCCAGAGGAAATGCCGGGCGAAGTGGGCCCGCCTGGTTCGTCGTCAATCAGCATCCATCTCATCACGTCCGAATAGCGGGAAGTCTTTGGATCATACCATCGCCCCCAGGAATCTGATCTTCGGGCGTCTTGGAACCCATTCCGACATGAAGGCTACGAGTCGCGAGTGCGTGATTGAGTCAAGGCCGGTTCGATTCTAGTCGTCAAAAATGGTGCAAGTCGGCGAGAAAACCGAGAGAGGTGAGGGGTCAAGCACAAGAGCATTGTATTGCTGCAAGAAGTATTGGCTGTGGAAGTCCCCCGGGCCTTGTCAAGCCAAGGGCGTCGGACGGATTTAACCAACCCAAACAAACATAAGGTGATCAAGGACTGTGGCGTGAGATGGTAAGATGAGAAGGTGAAGCCGAAACGGACGGAAAGACTAAACGACGTAGGCACGATTTCCCGAGACAGGCACGGAACGACCTTCCCACCACACGTCCGTCACCAAAACTCAGCCTGGTCAAGATGAAAAATACACTAGAACGGGAAATCTAAAAAATTGATATTTCAATCCTGGTTCTTTTTTTCTTTTTTCGACTAGGAACATGAATTGGCTTGCTCCAGGCACGCCGTCTCTCCGACTCTGGACACATCCAAAGCATTGCACGCAGCATGCCACGCCGGCCGACCCTACGTCTTGGGCCGAATCTAGGGCGACACGTCAGCGTCCCGATCTTACTTTATGACACCCAAATACAAAACATTGGAGGGAGCACATGGTGAATGTGAAGAAATGAAATTCCGGCTGTCTATAGCATTACGAACCCGTCCTGTACAACCCCGTAGCCCAAGCCGCGTTTTTCAGTTCATTCAAACGAATCCATTCCACCCAGAAAGCGTAACCCCGTAACCATTATATAGTACAATTACAATAGACTCCATGTAAACGTCACCACCTGATTCATGCGCCGTGTTAACTTTGCCTAGAAGTGACGATGACGCCTGGAGCGCCCGGCGCCTATGTCGATGCGGCTCATTTCCTGCATCAAAGCCCACTCATTATCGCCGTTTGCGCCGCTCATGATAGGTAAAGGGACCTTGTCCGGGATTGGGGGTGCGCCACCATAGCCACCTCCAGGAGAGCTGCCGTACTGTGGAGCGTGATTCTCGCTGGGATAGTCCCACGTGCTTGCCCTCGGAAGACGCGGCGGCGTGAAGTTGCTACTATGGTCTTGATAGTTATGGGATGAGATGGGGGCTAGAGGGCTGGAACCCGCTGGTGACGTCGAAGGCATGGCGGACATGCGCTGGGCCTTCTTCTGCAAGCGGTTCCGACCTCCACTCGGCGGGGTGCCCGGGACGTGATATGGATCAGAGCCGTATGTGACCGGAGATGCTTGAGACTGAGGCCGAGCTGCGATCCGCAATTGCCGACGACCAGTCGGGGGCAATGCCTGGGTGGCGGCCGGAGACTCTCGTGAGCGAACGGAAGCAGTGGCTGGCGTTTTGGGTCCCTTGGGTTCGGGTTCCGGCGCCCAGGTGTCCATAGGCAGGTGATCTGAAGGGTCAATCTCACGTCCATCGTGAGTGATGATCTTCTCATTTGGGTCCGGCCGTGATACGTTGCTGCTTGTAGCCGAAAGCGACGGGTTGAGAGCATCGTACGAATCCGGCCCGAATGGGATACCTGATAGTCTTCGATGATCAGATGGAGGCGGCGCAGGACTAACAGACTTCCGTCTGATGGTGTGATGTGGGTTGGGAGAGGCTCCCCGCGACCTCATGTGCTGTGGGGGCGGCTGAGGCGAAGCTCCTCTTCTATCCATTGTCATGTTCATGGGATTGGGCGATACACCCCTCCTGGTGCCGTTGGGGTTTGGCGACACGCCTCTTGCCATCATTGGGTTGGGAGACGCACCCCGACCTCTCACGGGATTGGGCGAAACACCCCGTCCCCGGTTCATATCAGACTGGGGAGCACCATACGCTACAGAGGAGCGGTGATTGTATCCTGGCGGAACATACGACTGATTCGAGTAGCTTCCGTCGTAACCGAGTGGCTCACTGTGCTGTCTCCCTCGGGTCGGGGTTGTCATGCTCTGGTCGGTGTAGCGCCGTTGTTGACGTCTCTCCTCATAGATGCGTTCCGAAATCTCTTGAGAGACACCGTGATCGACGCCTGGTACTAAAGAAGCCGGCACGGCGGGCATGCTGTGAGCTGTGACCTGCGTTCCTGCCAATTCAGATCTCTGCGAGGAGTACTGATTCTGGCTCCGTGAATGCGAGTGATACGACGATCCGTCCATCGGACTTGGTGCAAAGTCACGGGAAGCTATAGGGGAAGCTTGTTGATGACGAACCATCTCGCCGCCCCGATATGGCTGCGGCGAAGTACTGTAGTGACCAGGAGAAACATTGCCTCTGCCAGCCAAAACCAGTTCGTCGCCTCTCGGCTGGTAGTCTTGCTGGTAGTCTGGCTGCGGCGATGTGCTATAGTGACCGGGAGAAACGGAGCCTCTTCCTGCGAAAACCATTTCATCACCCCTCGGCTGGAAATCGGGTCGTGGAGATGTGCTGTAGCGTCCGCCTTGTCCCATCTCGTCCCCTCGGCCATAGCTTGGTTGTGGGGAGTGGCCACGCTGACGAGACGAACTCGCGCTCCCCCTTCCGCTGATGTTCAGAGGTGCCGGACTGGGCACCTGATCGTATCCCTGATCATATCCCATTTCATCATACTGTGGCGTGTGGGAGTTCCGGCGCCGAGCCATCTCCTTAGATTGGTGGTGCTGGTGTTGCTGTTGTTGCGAGGGCGGAGGTGGGGGCTGCTTTTGCTCTTGGCGGTAGTTTGGCTCATCGTACTGGGGTGCGCGAGAAATCCTCCGCTGAGCATTAGTCGCGGCAGTGTTGGGCGATTCCGGTACATCTTCGACTGTCGGCTGCATGGATCTATACTCTGCGTGAGCATCATACGAGTGATGTCTCGGCGGCGATGGCTCATGGTGATGCTCTTCGGGAGCTGGCAGTGCGTGTGTGACCGCGGGTGCCGAATCAAAGCCACGGTACGTAGGTCGTCCAGGGTAGGCTGCCGTAGAAACGGACGCGCGATGAGCCTCGTTTCTGAGTACATCTTGCCTCATAGCATTGGCAGGTTTGGGAGGTGTGTCGTAGGCACTCCTTACGACCATGTCTTGTGAATTCCCGCTGTTGTGCCGGCTTCTGTGAGCGGGTGGAGGTGGTGGACGGTCGTCCCCAGCGGGCGACACATGCCGCTGGTCTTCCAGATAGAGCATGTCACGCGGCGGCTCGGACCCCTGGCGATAGTGAGCCTGGTTGACTATTTCCTGGGACGAGTATCTTGGGCTGTAGTCTCTCTCGTCATGTTGGGAGCTGGGGCTGTCATAGCGCTCATGTCTCGGCGTGTGCTGTGGTGTCGCTTCCGCAGGCGGCAAGGCAGCCTTGGGCGACTGCGCGTGCAAGTCTTGCTGACTGGACCAAGCGTCTGGACCAGGGCTGGTGTTGTAGTCGATGGCTTGCAACGGTGATTGCGTAGGCACCTGAGCGGGCTGTTGCTGTTTGGGGCCTTTGGGCATTGGCCGAGATCCCGAGAGACTGACGTCTGGAGCTGGTGGCGTAGGAGTGCTCATTTCTTTCGGTCCTCTGGGACCGCCGGCTCGTGGCGGAGTCGGCGCCAGATCCTGGGCTGGGCCGGCGGGAGCTTCGCCCGTAAACGGATCAGACGGCAGCGGCCGTCGCTTGATCTGCTTTCGGGGAATGGTATTGCCGTGATTCTCCATCGAATCTGCATCGACTGGCTTGGGTTTCGCAACAGGCTTCTCGGGTTTCGGCCGCTGGTCATAGTATGTAATCTCCATGCGCACCTCGCCGGCATACTTGCCCTTGAAGGCCAGGTTGCGCCAGACGTCGTTCTGGCCTCCACCTGGTACAATGATGTCCCTGAGGTCGATCCATGTCTCTCCGATGAGATCTGTCTTCTTGTCGTCGTTGAATACGGACACTTTGAGCTGGTAGTAGTCTGGTGAGTCGTGGACGGCGAAACGAAGCTCTTGGTCCCTGAAAAGACGGTGTTAGTAAGTTGACAACTATCAAAAGAGGGGATGACGGAAGACGAGGCAATAGCATTTACCATCTGGGGGTCTGGCCTCCTCGAACATCTGTCGTAGTCCTCTTTGCTTCTTTGCCGAGGCGCGCGGCGCAGTAGGGATCTTGCTTTCCAATGGTCTTGCGGTTGGGTAAGTTCTTTGCGCGGTCGACAATTGCGACTAGAGTTCCAATCAAGGGACCATCAACGGTGGGGTCGGCGAAGATTCCAGCCGTGTGCATCCCATTGAGGGGATGGACTTTGGACTTGGGTGCCGCCATCGCTGCGGTTGTTTGCTGGTTGCTATTTGCTGCGCTGTTGTAATAAGAGTTTTTGTTTACAGGTTCAAATCCGCTGTATGATGTAACGTCGAGAAAAGGGTATGAATCAGGGCTACTGATGAGACACAGAAGCGAAAGAGAATAGCTGTTCTGGAAGCTGTTTGCATGGGTCGCGAGGCCTTTGTAGACGGGTATCAAAACAATCGATGTCGAGGAAACAGAGAGACGGTAGAGCGCACCGGGAGCAACACGATAAACAAAAGATCAATATCTGGAGGACGGATGACGGGAAGGAAAGGAAAGCGAGGACGTAGTCAAACGTGAATCAACGCTTCAACCGAGGAATGAATGGCAGCGGTAGCGGATGAGGTGGAGGAGGAAAAGAGAGGTGGAAGCGTAGGAGAGAGTGTGAGATGAAGAGACGCAGAGTGTGTGGTGGGAGCGACACGGCCAAAGCTGAGCAGGTGCGGTGCGGTGCGACGCAGGCGGATGATGAATGATGTCGCACCAGGATTGTTTTTGGCGGCGCATGCAAAGTTGAACGAGACCATGCCAATCGGAGGGCAAATGGGCGGGGTGGACAAGTTAACCTCGAAGGTGAAGGTACCTCGCCTTACATTGTCTGAGTGGTAGGTACCTTGCCGGCTGGAACACTGGAAATCTTTACTGCCCTGAACCTGTCGAGTTTCCAGGTATTAGCTGCTAACCTTCCCTTTTTCTGCTGCTGGGATGTGAACCTTCCCAGCTCAGCTCTTCAAAGTTCCTCGCCCTGCGTTTGGTCAAGTCGGCTGGGCTTGGCACTAAGGTAGGAACCTTAGGGACCTAGTAAGGTGAGGTTCACAGGTGGATACCCATACCAGCAACCAGCGACTGCCAGGCTGGGTCGACTGCATCAAGGCACTCCCATCGATCCAAAGGTTGAGGTGGGCCGCACTGTGCGTGCAGGGGCCGTCCCAGGGCCGCGCGTGTGGTGGCTGGGCGAATGAGGGGCGGTCCGTTCCCCACCCGTGCTCCACCGACAACCTGGATTGGGGAATATGTTGTGGCTGGTCGGGCTGGGTGGATGCCACCAAAAGCTGCAACCGCTTGCAACTGTTTCTTACTACGACAGGTTTTTTCCTCATCCCCTCACTCGAAATTGCAGAATCCAGGCATTACGAACCAAACAAAAGCCTGAAGTGGGCTTGTCGGAACCTGGTCTGAGACGACGGACCAAAGAAACCGTCACTGGCTTTATTTGACGTTCAATGTGTCAAGTGGGGAAGAGCACCAAGTGACATTTGACTGATGCCTGGCAATCTCGCCCAGATGCAGATGAATGCAGAACCAACAAATCATGCCACCTATGATTCGGCACTTCCCCCTGGGCCGTATAACTCGATGAGAAATCCGGGAGGCTGGTTATGTCTTTTCTTTCACCTTCATCTCACAGAATGGCAAGGCTTCAAACACAAGGAACCCCAGACCATCAACCAGCGCAAGAGAAGTTGTCCTCGACTCTTGCAGGGTTCATGTGCCGTAGCACAGGGGTACGCAAGCTGGACAGCAAGGATTCGAGATTCCGAAAAAGCGCCCCTCTCAAACCTTTTTTCATCTTGCCGTCATTTCACGGTCCTTGCCACCCGTCATGTCGCCTCGGTTGACGACAAGCCATGTCGAGATGCTACCCGAGCCCCCATCAATTGCTTCCCGTGTCTGCTCCGCTGGTTGGCGACAGGGGAGGGGTTTACACTAAAGAGAGGAGAGAGGAGAAGCCAATATGCATGGCACTCTCAACTGTGCCACTCGGATTAGGTACTCTATTTCTCACAGGACATCAAGGATTGGGTCCAAAGGCGTGACTCGCTCCCGAGCACAGTACGGAATGTTACGCACAGCAGAGACATGACAGGCCGATGCGGACGTGGTTGAAACATGAGGTTGAGGCCGTTGCATACATACCTCTGCGCTGTCACTGCACCGCTTGCGGGATATCAGATGGTTCTCCAAGTGACCCGGTGGTTGGTGTCTGGACTAAGACAGCTAGACCTCCATGTCTGACGTCTCTGAGCTGTCATTACTACCACTAACCACCTCACCAGTCCGTCCTCGACATTTCTGCATCTTGCTGCAAATTTTACGGCTTCATTTTGCACTCGCGGAGCTCAATGAAAGGCAATCCGCGCCCTGGGCTCTGAGAACACTCAATCCAAGAAGTTCTGCTGCGGACCTCCCAATTAGGCCCGCAGCTGCAAACAGGGTACATGCACATCATCCCGGACTGAGCCTCACTGGCTGACGCGCTCGACGGGCCCAACTTGCAAAACGCCGCCCCAATAAGGATTGTCAACGGGGGAGGGATTCAAGACGAAACAGATGCGTTAACGTGAAGCGCATTTCCCAGAAAAGCCCGAACTCGCCAATCACAAAGTCTGCCTTGCGCCTTCACGACTTCACCTCTGGCTCTACGGACTCAAAAAGTTTCCCCGCCAAGAGCTGAACGCTGACGTCTCCCCTCCAAGGACCAAAATAGAAGTACGAGAATCAAAAGAACCACAGCGGACCGATCGCGCCTACAACTACGGGGTCGTTCATTTTTTTTAAGCTTGAAGCAAATAAGAGAGAATTCGCGATCTCGTCAAATTGAAAAGATCGTCTTCACGGTGGGGTCTGGGAGAATGATCATATCGCCCCAGGTGCCTAGCTAGATGCACATCATCTTCATCAAGAACCCCTCGTCGGCGTCTGGCTCCGCCGCATCGACTACGTTCTGGCGACGCTGGATTGCACCTACACCTCTGCGCAGGATTGCGGGATTGCGTACATCATGACGACTCTTCGCATCCCGCTTCAAACGTTGATCAAGACGTTCTAGACGCCGTCCGTCTACGCAATGGCATGTACAATGACGATGAGCCTTGGGAGTATCGCCCCTCCCCGCCGGAACCCATCGACGCCAATCCTCAGACACCGAGGCATATTGGCATACCTCCGTTAGAGTAAACATGCATAACACGTAAGTTTGTCTCGTCCACCGAGACTTATATTCAATGTCTCTCCCCCAGAACCGCCACCCCCAAAATCCAGCCATGTTTCGCTTCAAGCTCCCAGGCGCTTGGTTTAGTCCGTTCGGGTCGTTGCCCGTCCTCGGGCCAACGGTCAATGGAAAGCAAGCCCTTCTCTTAGTTAGCGGCCACCGAAACAAAAGGAAACAAAGGTGCTGGTTGACACAGCACAGTGTCCGTGTTTTAGTGACGATTTTCCCGCACCTTGCGTTTTTGCTTCTCTTGGAACAATAGAAGCGCTAGTGTAGTTCGTCTGGTCTTCTTTTTTTTCCCCTTTCCTCCCATTTTAGGGTTGAAGCGTCTGGCGTATCTGCCAACTTGTTTCAGTGTCCGTGGCAACAGACCTGAGCTACTGACTATTTTTCCCGCATCGTTGCCGTGGAAGATGTGCCGCGGCGTATTTTGGGACCATCGTCACCAAAAGTTGCGCCATGAGGTTGAGACCCTTCTCTACTGGTGACGTTCTTTCCCCTTTTCTGCTTGCCATCTCCCATTGAGTCACCCCCCGGTGATTAATTAGTGTAGGTCCACGACTCTGTTTTCCGCTGATAACTTTGTCGTCAACATGTTCTTGGTTGCCAAATGGCAGCCGAGCCCGCGACTCCGTTCAGCCTTTCAACCTCTCCCCCTCAGTGCCCCCGTCCAAAATCCCCCCACCGCTGCCCGATCGCCCGCTCATCGCAGCCCCGATTGCCGGCGCGCAGGCATGGTCGAAGGGAAAGAAACCAACAGTTCCCGCATTCTTCAGCCGAGTCCGAAGCGGGGCGGGAGGAAGTGGCATTCGCACCCAAATGACTTTGTTGATGGGGGAGGGGAATCAATCCCCAGCGCCAATTCTTTCCTCTCTGCGTCATTTCCGTTCCAACCGTCCATCTCTGAAACCTTTTGCAAGATTCCCATTGCCCGTATTTGCAGTCTGTTTGTGTGCCCAGAAATCCACTCACTCACGCGCGGTGTCAAGATGGAGTCTCGGGCATCTCAACCGCGATAGCCCAAAGTGGATTGCTTGATAGACTGGGCGTCACCGAGGGCAGCTGGGGCCGCGTAGAACAAAGTTTCCCCACATATCACATACGGTGGAATGCCATCAGTCTGTGTACACCCTGCCATCCCGCAGGCCAAAATTCAGAGTCCTGTTGAGTCTTTAACACAGATTTTGGGTACAAAATTCTAGATAGTAGACTCCAGGCTTTTTTCTAAATCATAAATTAATTACATATTCATTTGAAATTCGGCGGTGCTGTGGCTGGTTAAAGTGTGATGGTCAAAATGCAAGAGTTGGGCAATGGTGGGGTGTACACAGACTAATGGCATCACACTGCACAGAGAGTATCCGTAACCATAGTGCACTTTTGCAGTGGATGTGCCTCGACTTCTTATCTTTCAGCCTTTTACGGTTTTCACCATGTACTAACGTTCTCGCCCGGGAGTGGAAACGAATGACGAAAAAAAAGGGCTGGGCCGAAACCTTTTCCGGGACACCCCGGACTGGAAAAGGGGAAAATACAGACTTTGTTTCTGTGCCTCAAAACTGTAAAAGGGAGAAAAACCCGGCTAGGGTTTGACAGCTTCGATGACGCAATGAGCTTCGGGGGTGGGCGATGTTGCGTGTAACCTCCAGCTGAGCTACGAGGTACCTCGCAGTGTTTGGCTGCTCTTTGCGACGAGGCTACCTAGGGAACAGTTGGGCTTCCATCCAGGTGACTATTGGCACCGGGCTTGTTGCAAATGTCACAAACGCGTATCGGAATGCTCAGTTCAACATGCACGTGAGATGAAGTTTTCGGACCAGCAAAAAGTTGGGCACAGTCGGCGTGCCACTCAGCGGACTCAATTTTGGCCCTGTTTCCTCTGTTCCAGTTCCCAGTGTCTCTAAAGACAGTGTCGTAAAGCCAGCTTGAAAGGGCTAGACATGATTCTCTCAAATGATCCCGAATAAATGAACGCTCCGCCCGCGTACCTACAGCGAGGCATCTTGTGATATGATTTCCCTGTTTGAGCATTTCCGCACATTAGGATGCCCTCAGTAAATCCAAATGAATGAATGCGCTTCAATCCTTCCACGCCAGGAGCGTGCCAGCTTCCAAAACGCCAACCATGTCTCCCTGGCCCAAAACAGCCAGGAGGGAATCCGAGTTGCAGACGTACTCGCCGTCGTCCGCGGCGCCTTGCATGTTCCTCACAAAGTCCACGGCGCGCCGTATCGTGGTCCCGGAGGAGATGGAAAGCATCTCCGCCCTCGGCACCAACAAGTGGGGGATATCTTTCAGACAGCGCGAAAAGTCCGCCGTCGCCAGCTTCCTGATACGGCTCGGCGATGCCACGGCGTCGCCGACCCGCACCCACCCAGACGGCGAATCGTAGGCGGCACGGAAGAGGTCCGCGCCGACGCTGCTGTCCGCGCAGAGGTGATCCGAGTCGTCAATGTCAACCCAGGGGATGGCCAGATCCACGATCGTCTGCGGATTCCGGAATGCGGCGCCGATCGCGCCGCCCGGGTGGTTCTTGGAGAACACCTGTGCGACGCTCGGGTGCAGCTCCTGCGCGGCGGCAATGGCCAACGCGTCGCCGACGGCCAGGGCGACCGTTGTGGACGTTGTCGGAGCCGAGACTCCGAACGACGAAGTTTCACTTTCGTGGACCGGTGCCGGGAGGAGGATCGTGTCCGGTCGGAGTTTGATAAGCTCGCACGTGTCTGGTCTCGTATGTCCGGTCAGGATGACTAATGATGACGGCTTATCCAAGTGTGGTAGTAGGCTGAAGAGCTCGGAAGTCTTTCCGGAGAATGTGATGAAGAGAAGAATGTCGTGCTTTTGGATGATGCCCAAATCGCCATGGAGAGCATCAATCGGGTTCAGAAACACGGATGTGAGTGACAGGCTGTTGAATGTCGCAACGAGCTTGTTGGCGATGTGACCAGACTTGCCGACGCCGGTGATGACGAGCTTCCCCTTTTCACCCTTATGCCGTGTGATTGCCGCGACTGTCCTGTTGAAGCCATCTCGTGCGACGGGATCCGTCTCGTATAAGCTGGCGACTGAACGCAAGGCTGCGGCTTCAGTCTTGAGGACGTGTGTCGCGGCGTGAAGTCTATCTTGGACTTTAGCAGAGCTTTCGTCGTTCTCTGAGAGGTCGTCGGGCGATCCAAGGCTGAGTTCTTCCAACTCTTCCAAGAAGCCATCTTCTGGAGGTGAGACTGGTGGTGAAGGAGGCGAGGGGGGCGGCTTTGAGTCGCAGTGATTTGCGCCGAGCACAAAGACTGCGCTGGTTTGCACCGGCCGGTGCTCCATATGACGTTGATCTCCCATGTTGATATTGTGATGTCCTTATTTTCGCGCGCGGTAAATACTACTGTGAATTGCGCTTCTTGTATCGGCGCAAATATCGTCGCTCAACAAACAAATCGTCAACTTCGTTATCGTTATCGATTCAATGGGACCCAGGTTCCGCCGTAATCGTAATCCAGAGTTGCGCGAAAAGCCCTTGCTTCGCTTGCCAGCTCGTAGAAAGATGGACAGTTCTGGGGTTGCAGCGTAGCGGAGTTGGGTCACAATCACCTAAAATTGAGTCGCGGGGAGCAGCAAGATTCAAGATCAAGGTTGTGATAAAACTCCATGACGTTCAAGAGTCGTAGCTCGGGGGATTATGGGATTTTGTCCGAAGCGCGCGGCCGAGTAAAAGAAGAAGAAAACAAAATGGACTACGTAAGTTATTGTAGAGAGACAGAGGACCTTGCGCTGAAGCGAGGTGACCTTCCCAGACTCACCTTAATTGCTGTCCCCTCCATTCGGGGCTACCCTTGCCATAGCTTCAGGCGTGGTGGGTAGCTCGCCCCGATCCGGTTCCATGACTGGCCGATAAAGCCATCTCTTGCGGCAGCATGTCGCGCATTGGAGGGATGGCTCTGCATGCCCTGCCTCTGGCGTGATCGAATAAAGCGCGGTGAATGGTTCCCGAAGAAGCAGGGTTGGTAATCAGATCCGGGAAGAATAGGCTTACTAGCCAGGGACGATACAAGCCTCCAATTTCATAGGATTGTGGACGTAGATGGCGCTCCTACCGCTTTCGGGCAATTGAGTCAGAACAGAGAGACCGAACAAAGATACGGGCGATAGAGACGCCTTGCCCCAAGCGCGATAGGAGGTCGGCATCACAAGCAATCCGAGCCTGGTCCTTCCGGTGGGGTTACGCGAGTCTATGATCCCTCGATGTTTCTCGAGCATGGATTTTGGACATCGATGCGGCCTAGCCAAGCGATGATGCGTGCTTTTGACATATGTCAGAATCGACCACCCCCTGGATCGGACGCTGTTAGTAGGGTTTTTGTTGGTAATTTCCGCTTGACCGCTCTAGCTGGCTGCTCCAGCGGGCTGGCATTGTCGCATAACATTGTAGAAATCGCCGTTTGGCTGTTGTTGAGATCGCGGATCGGATTTCAGCGGAGATTTCGGTCGAACTTTTTCTTAGGGTAGACAGATCGCCCAGTGCCCTTCAGTCGACGCCCTGGCCCCAAGCTGTTGAAAAGACCGCAAAAGGCCCGGTCTCCGCCTCATGTATGGAGTAGTGATCCGCTCTTGACGCAAAGTATTCTTGGTGGTAACCCGTTGCCGTGACCGTGCAGCCGCAAAGTGCTCAGCCTTCAGTATTCTACATAAGGCACAAGAGTCTCGCGTGAGGCGCGGATCATCACTCCAACGCTGCCGAAAGCGATCAGCGCGTTCTGGTTCAAACTTGGTAAATTGCCAAGGAGAAGGTAATCGACCAATGAAACTGTCCATGCGTAACACGGTCCTCAAAATCCGCGTATGGACGGTAGTTGAGTATTGGTATTCGTACGACAGTGAAAGATGATCGCTTACGCACACATCATCAGAGCCAACCATTTTGCAGCATCAGGTTTGCGCATCGTCAGTCTCTCACTGGTACCTCCAGGGGGCCATGTCGTCCTGGGTGATTCGAGGGATGCAAGTGCCATGCTGTATCGTGAAAGGGTCTAGGAAAGAGCAGTCTGGGTCAACTTCAAGGTGGTACCTAATTCAAGTCGTCGCTCGTTTTTGGTCGCTTTCGCAATCGTTCATTCCTCGCGATTATGCACCTTGGCGCGGCTGTTGTGCCGGCCTGAGCCTCACTGCTGCGACCTGCCCATGCTTCCCCGCGGCACGGGTACCTTGGAAGCGTACGAACACGTACCCTGGGCCAACGAAACGGAGATACTGTGTGGCCCGAACACATACGACCTCACCGAGAGGAGATCGGCTGCCGACGCGGCTTCCCAGCACGTGGAGGCTGGAACAACGGCCGGCAACTCGCGCTGTCCGCATACGCACTGAAAACAGGAAAGGCTTGACTTCCATGGCGTCGACGACCCTTTTGTCGAATTTCCGATGAAGAAAAGCGGTGTCGACAAAGGGGGTAAGCATCTGATTTGACTCATTTGAGTTCTCGGGTGACTGGCATTCAACGACGATCGGCGATCTGGCGTGGGCTCTATTTCTGGTGCTTATCCGTGTATCCGTACAGTTTAGGCGTATTCTGCCAAAGCATATTCGTGGTAGGGGCTGCCTCCTGATTGTGGTCGGAGCACGGCGAATTGTTCCGGGAGGCTGGGCTCTGGCTGACTGAATGGACAGGTGAACAACAGGTAACTGGGGCCGACAAATTTGTCGTCAACAAGAGCCTCTTCTGGTAGGCCAATTAATCCATTCTGAGTCGAGCGCAAGGCTTTTTTTTTTTTTTTTTTTTTTTTTTTTTTTTTTTTTTTTTTGGTGTGTGTGGGCTACGGTCTCATAAATAATTTTTCTATAGTGTTTGTCCCTTTAAACGAGGTTGTAGGAATAGTGTTTTGTTTTTGTTGGTTTTTTGTTTTTTTTTTTTTTTTTTTTTTTTTTTTTTTTGGTTTGGTGGTGCGAGGGAACGGCCTCAACAAATGTATCACTGGAGATGCTGGCCCTCTCAGAGCGGGTGCAGATAACGGTCTTGGTGTTTACTGCGTAACGCCCCCCCTCACCGATCCAGACGTCTGACAGCGCTGGGGTCCCGCAGGCGGTTAGCACGACAGGCTTATTTGGTTTAGGCAGTCGAATAAGAAGGCCACGTTGCCGCACTGTCGTTGTCTGCTATATCTGTCCTGAACTTTGAATTCCAATAATAACCGATAATCGGACAGTGAGTCACGAGCCCATCTGGCTTCCTGACAGCGTGTTCCTCCCAGAGTTGCTGATGGTAAGTGAGGAGGCTGCGACGAAGCTGAATTGAACGGGCAAGCGATAGCTTGAGCTTCCATCAAAGAGCGATCCGTGCAGATGCAGAGTCGAGCGGTGTACGGATAAACCAAGGTGTCGCTAAGGTGAGGGAAAGCAAGATTAAATGGTGCTTTGTCCATCACTAACAGTATCGGGTCGACACTAAGTCGGCAATGCCTGGCAGTCTTGCCGGTCAGAAACACGGCGGCTGCAGTAGTGGGGAGTGGGCAGTTGGTGATCTGTGAGGTGAGGGCGGCGGACACAGCAGCGAGCGGCGCGAGAGGATAGACGGAGGTGGGATGGTGTGGCAGGTGCTCTCGTGACATGCATGTTCGCTGCAACTCTTAGCTGCAGTTGCTGGAAAGAAACGGTACTTGAGAATCGCCATTTGTTATGCTGGAACGAAGGTATCTTTCCTACGTAACCTGCGTTGCAAGCCTACCACACCTCACACGTAATTGCCCACGGCTTCCCGAATCAGGCAAGTAGCGTCATAACGACCGGTCTGGCCACCACCAATCGCGCTGGGAGACAACCCCCCCAGCTTTCCCATTCCAGATTCTGCTGTCTCTTCCAAGGCATTGCAGCCATCTGCAACTTTGCCTCATCCATCTTCTTTTCCAGGCAGAAAGGAGGGAAGGAAAGAAGACAAACAACGACCTTGTTACACTCTACCGTGACCTGTTTAGATACAGCCGTCTATCCACCAAGATGACACGAGTCTCTGTCTACAGCGCCGCCCTTGTGGCCTTTGTCGCTGGTAAGTTGCGTCGTTGCCTTGCGCCCCCAAGAACCCCCAAGGAGGGGGATCCACCCAGCATCGTCATCGCTGTTTTTGTGAGCAGCTCGGAGGTCGCAGGCATGCGCCTCGTAGCGAGGGCAGACACTGAGGGACAACAACAAAGTCTAGCAAGACTGATGTCAACTTCAACGATGCTGACACATAGCAATAGCGACGGCGATGATTATCGCGTCCATTACGCTCCCCCACTGGGTCACCTACACTGTGACGACCGCCGACGGCAAGGAATACTCAAAACACATCGGTCTTCATCGCTCCTGTTCCAATGGGTTCAATGAGCCGTGCCAGGTGTTTCCGACCGAGGAGCTATGTAGCGCGAATGGCGAACGCTACTTCTGTTCCATGTGGCGCTCCGTCGGCTTCTTGGCCTCCTTCTCGACCATCCTTCACCTCGCATCCATCGTCACGTTCCTCGTTATCATGGGCGGCGGCAAATACAAGCGCGAAAGTGGATGGACCATTCTCGGTGGGCTTTTGGTATTTGTCGCAGCCATCGAATTCACCTTAATGGGTATAGTAGTAAGTGGTCCTCAAAATGCGCCGGACGGAGAATGAAGGCTAAATCGCGTGCTCTTTTCCCCAGGCATACCTCTATGACAACGACGAGCAGTTCCAGATTCCTGGCTGGGGGCTGGATTCCTCCTGGATTCTGTGTACCGTGAGCGCTTCCATCTCGATTCTGTGCGCTGCTGGATTGGCCATCTCCGCCTTTGTGCTCCCGCCAGAGGAGGGCTACGAGTTCCTCAACGATCCCATGCCGTAGTTGGTATGTTCACCGACTGAAGAGCGAATTTAGAAGCAGCTTCCGAAGAATGGCGCATACAGAAAATGGCGTCTTCATTTGCCTTTTAATGGGTTTATGGTTTTTTCCCTGTAGCTTACATGACAATGGCGTTTTCGTATTTCAAATTTGGCAAGCGGATTGAGACGATGAGACGAGTGGATTGCATCAGGTGCATGCGCCGAATAATATAGGTATATACACAAATACACGACTTCTACCTTCTAATAATAGATTCCAAATTATGTTGAAAGCTTTACATACTCACTTACAATCCAATGTCGAAAATTGACGCAGCGAGGCGATGTAGATAAGCGCTGGCGGGCTAAGGTATTGCGGGACCCGCATCCCCGCATTCAAACGTCCATTTTACACGCCGCCCAATATCAAATGGTGTGCCACTGCGAAACTCAAATGAGCCCATTGGCTTTTGACAAACCTGACGATATCGACTGATGCCATCAACCATCTTGGGAGGGGATATCAAACTGTTGACGCAATTCTCGATCACATTAAACGGATCTTAAAAACCCTCTTCCTCATCGGCCTCTCCGCGACTTATCATCATGACCGTCCCCGCACAGAACGAGGGTCTCACCCCGGAGCAGCTCGCAGCTTTCCACCGCGACGGCTACCTCATCATTCCGGGCGCCCTATCCCCGGAGACCGTCTCCGGCCTCCTCTCCGAGACCCACTCCCTGCTGGACAACTTCTCCCTCGCGGACCACCCCATGACGCGCTTCTCCACCGGCGAGAAGGCGGACCACGTCGGCGACGACTACTTCCTCAACTCGGGCGACAAGGTCCGCTTCTTCTTCGAGGAGGACGCTTTCGACGCCGCGGGTAACCTCGTCAAGCCCAAAGCCCGCGCCATCAACAAGATTGGCCACTACCTGCACGTCCTCTCCCCGCCCTTTGCCGCCATCTCGGATCCCAAGTCTTCTTCCTCCGGCGGCCCTGTCCGAGGTACACCGGCCGCCGTGGCCCGCAGCCTGGGGTTCCGGGACCCGCGGTGCCTGCAAAGCATGATCATCTGCAAGCAGCCCGAGATTGGCGGCGCCGTGCCCCCGCACCAGGACTCGACCTTCTTGTACACGGATCCGCCGTCCGCCGTCGGCTTCTGGTACGCCCTCGAAGATGCGACGCTCGAGAACGGGTGCCTGAGTTTCTTGCCCGGCTCGCACCGCTGGGCCCCCGTGTCGAGCCGGCTCGTGAGAAAGGCCGGCGACGCGGGCACGGAAATGGTTGACAATGACGGGCCACGGTTCCCGCCTGGCGATGGGTACGGCGCAGAGAAGGCGAGCGAGGAGGACAAGGGGGCCAATTACGTGCCTGGGGAGGTCAAGGCGGGGGATCTGGTGTTGATTCACGGGAATCTGCTGCACAAGAGTGAGAAGAACCTGAGTCAGAAGGGGCGCATCATTTACACGTTTCACGTCATTGAGGGAGAGGGTAATAAGTACGACGAGAGAAACTGGTTGCAGCCGCCGAAGGCTGGGTTCACCAGGTTGTATTCTTCCTAACGTAGGTAAAAGACTCATGGGTATCCTTTTATGGAGACTCAAGTCTGCGCCCAAAGAGAAAAATAAAACTTCAAATAGACAAACATCCTCCATACCTGGCATCGGGGCAGTGGACCAAGTGGTGGGGTAAGGTAGCAAAGAAGCGAGGATAGATACCGGACTATGCTACTATTTCTTCGACCCTGTCCGCTTCTTGGGAACTTCCTCCTCTTCCTCGCTCTCGTCCTCGCTGCTATCATCCTGCTCCTCCGAAGACGACGATGACTCGCTCGAAGTCTCGGCCTCTCGCTGAGCGGCCTGGCGCTGTACCTCACTCGCGTTGTCTGATTCCTCATCGGAATCGCTATCGCTATCCGAGTCTGAAGAGTCAGAATCCGAGGATTCTTCAGAGCTCGAATCGTCAACGTTGGTACGCCTCTTGCGACGACGGGTGGGCTTTTCCTTCGTTGTACCATCATTGAGCTTGACCCGCTTGTCAAGAGACTCCTCCTGGGGCGCCGCCGCCGCCGCCTGAGCTGGAGGGGCCGTCTCCTCCGTGTCAATGGTCATGGCATCGCTGTCTTCGCTGTTGGACATTTCCTCCAATATCGTCTCGGCACGCATGCGCTTGATGACTCTCTGGGTAATGGCGACGTCCGTAGACTCTGACACGAAGCCGGCTTCGTCGAAGCGCTTCCTCTTGGAGCCGGAGCTGTTGCCGAGCTGCATGAGACCGGCCAGTACCTTTTCGTACTCTGACTGCTTCGAGTCCATGTCCGGCGTGCCTACGGGGAAGGCAGCCTTTCCCTTCTCGGTATCCTCCTTCTTCACTTCCGCCGCCGTCTCCAACAACCGCGACCGCGTGAAGCCCTTGAGATCTTGAATGTATTCGTAAAAGGTGCCAATATCGCTCGACGGAATGGCGTCGGGGTGGAAGACCCGCTTCATTAGGATCGTTTGGTAGTTCTTGTTGAACTTCCACGTCTGGCGGGAGAACTTCCAGGTCTTGAGGTACTCAAGGGAGGGTTTGATGTCGGCGGTCGGCTGCTGAGTCGCTGGCTTGGCCGGCTTGGAGCTCTTCTTCTTCTTCTTGAGGTCGGTGGCGGTGTTCTTGACGTCGTCGGCAAACGTCACAGACTTCTGCTTCCTCAGGGTCGGGGTTGCATTGCTGTCGCCGTCGGTGCGGGTCCTTTTGAAGGGGGAGGAGTTGTACGCAGGGGGAGGAATAGGCTGATCGAGACGTTTCCTTTTGGCGGCGGCGGCGGCGGCCGGCGAGGCGTAGGCGGCGTTGACGACGGGGCCGCTGGCGTCCCGGTCGTGGTGTTGTTGCCCGTTGGGCTTCGATCCCTCGGCGGGAGCAGGGCCGCCAATCTCTGCGCCGGATGCGGGCTGCTTGAGCTTGAGGCCCAATCGTTTCCAGGCCGGGACGTTTGGGGCGGAGGACATGACGGGTAGCGGGCACACCCTCTTTTCTCCTCTGGGCTTTGTCTTTCGGATTTCCTCTGGTGGGAGGGAGGGGTGCTGCTGCTGCTGCTGCTGCTGCTGCTACTTCCTCGGGCCGCCGCTGGATCGGAATTTGCGGTCTGCGCGTTTGGCCTGACGAGACAAGCGATAAGTGCAGAATTGGGCCGCTTCGATGTTTTCCACGGGCGATTGGCTTATGAGGTTGGAATGCTGTGGCCTCGTATACAGCGGTCCTATTGGGCGCAATGGGTGGTGCTTGACACTGGGAAGAGAGTATCGGGAATGGCCCCAATACTTTTTATTCTGGCTCTGAATACCGCCCTGCCAAATTTTTGGCAGCAGAGATGCGTTGTCGTTCCTACTGGGCAGGGGTGCCCCGCTGCTCGCCAGCCAAAGGGTACGTACCGGGAAGTGCCGCTTGAATGTTGGACTGAGGTGAGCAGCAATTGGACATGTCTTAGGTAAGCTTTGCGTCGTCTGGTGGTTGTTGCCTTAGAGAGATTGAGCCCAGATGCAAGGCATCAACTCAGCCCTCCAGCCAGGCTTGGAGCTTCCCACTGGTGCTGCCTTTCCCGCTCCAGGCAAGCTCCTGCAAACGCGTCGACATCCACGAGCTCCGCCAGAGCTCAACCCCGACTTCATTGACGACACCCACCTCCATTTTCCACCCACCAACGACTCTTCTAAGCTATTGACGACCGGCCACGATTGTTCCCGAAGTAATTTGATCAACGCAACCAAAGCAATACCGCCAAGATGTCGGGTACGTCCGTCCTACGATAGCTAACCTCAACCCTTGCGAATGCCAACCATAGCTAACTTGTCTTCCTTCTATCAGGTGGCTCAGCTTACGACCGACACATCACGATCTTTTCTGAACAGGGAAGATTGTACCAAGTCGGTATGTACATTCTTTTTCCTACGAACCGATTGCCCCTCCCTGCGGCGATGCCGTCATGCGGGGCTCGAAACGACATGGCCTGTAGTCGGCGGGACTGACGATACGATGTCGAATAGAATATGCCTTCAAGGCAATCACAGCCGCCAACATCATGTCGATAGGTGTCAGAGGCAAGGACTGCGCTGTTGTCCTGTCTCAGAAGAAGGTCCCTGTAGGTCGAGATTCAGCGGAGTTGCCCGTAGATGAGGAGGAACTGACCCAGTTACAAGGATAAACTCATCGACCCCGCCTCCGTCTCCCATCTCTTCCAGCTCTCCCCGTCTGTTGGATGCGTGATCACTGGCTCCATCGCCGATGCCCGTGCCTTCTCGCAGCGTGCCCAGGGTGAGGCAGCAGAGTTCCGGTACAAATACGGCTACGAAATGCCCGCCGATGCCTTGGCGAAGAGGCTGGCCAACATCAGCCAGGTCTACACACAAAGAGTAAGCAAGCTGCAAATGTTGATGTGGTGGCGTGGGCAAGAACTGACGAATGACCTAGGCCTACATGCGCCCGTACGGAGTTGCGACGACTCTCATCTCATTGGACTCTGAGTTCGGACCTCAGCTGTTCAAGTGCGATCCCGCCGGATATTTCATTGGCTATAAGGGTACTGCGGCAGGTCCCAAGCAGCAAGAGGCTCTCAACCACCTGGAGAAGAAGCTGCGCAACAAGGAGCACGCTCCTGGTGACTGGACGGAAGTTGTTGAGCTCGCCATCACGACGCTTAGCACTGTCCTAAGCATGGACTTCAAGAAGGGTGAGATCGAAATTGGCATTGTTGGGGGACCTCGTGCGGACGGTAAGGAGGGTACTGATCCCGGATTCCGGATCTTGACCGAAGAGGAGATCGACGAGCGGTTACAGGCGATTGCTGAGAAGGACTGAGGTGGAAAACACACTATGGCCAGTGGAAGTTGGGAGTGGTTGGTGCGGCGGATGATGATTTCAAGGTGACACTGATCCGTTGACAGGCCGGATCACGCCTGAGCTAGGCAGGATGTTGCAGATGAAAATCAACCCTAAGGTCCCACGAACCGAGATCCCCGCGAACGATGGTGCTACTAGCCAGCCTACCAACCACTATAGATCAAGACATTTGGAAGATTTTGCAATGGTTAACCCAATGATTACCAATTCGAAAGCATTTGCAGCACGATTCGTGGCTTGGCTGACTGCCAACCGAGTAGGCATGTTGAGGAAATTTGTGGCTTGACCCAGGCCAGCGGATGTCGCGATTCACGGAGTTTGACCCGGATATTACCTCGGGAAGGAGACGTGAGACAGCAGCAAATATGGGGGATCGTCTAGGCCAGTCAACGACAGGAGCAGTATCAAAGGACGGGCGTTGGATACCCCCATGAAGCTGTCAAGGTGTCGTACAACGGTCTCATAGGGCGGTCAGTGGTATTGAGTGAGTCGTCCTTTTCAAAAAAGCAAAACTTGTATATGTATACACAACGTTAATCGAAGCAGATGGGACCATTCAGTCTGATCGCTCAGTGACTCAAAGACAGAAATGCTGTGCAAATGCAAGGCCATATTTCCTTTATTGGGGGCTGCAGAGATCACGAGGCCGAGATAAGGATGACGAGCCTCGAGGGAGATGGCGTCCCGAGTCAGAGCTGGAGGTATCAGCCCCCAAAGGCTGCCGACCAGTCTTTTTCACAGCAATCAAGTGCCGTGAGGAAAACTCCCTTCCAAGTCTCCCAGTCAGCCTTCTGCTAAGTCGCAAAGGGAAACGGAGACCGGGGCCTCATGCGGGTGACGGTTTTGCGATACCGGTTCAGCTGGAATAAAACGTGCCAAACGTGCCAGTCGTGGGCCAACGTCACGGCTTGGACAGTTGATTGGCTACCACCCCCGTCAAGCCACGAAGTTGTGGAGCAGCACTGCATGCAAAGCTCCAGCCCATTTCCTATTCCGGCCGCCAAGCCCAGTGTGGATGCAGCTGAAGATCCACCAGCCTTACCTTATTCCGCATCCCTGTCACCGACCTGGCCGTTCTACCGGAGAAAAGACTCACTTTGCCTGGTCCTAGGGCTGGATGGAAGCTCTTCGGTGGTTTTTTTTTTTTTTTTTCGCTTTTGGTTTTTCCTTCCGTCATCCAATCTTTCCTCCCCTGGTCTGCCGACGAAGACCATGTGTTCCATCCCACCGTCCCAGATCTTCCCACCCTCTCCCCGGCCCAGGTCTCACATCCCGTGCAGCCTTGTCCGTACCATGGTGAGGGGCTTCAGCCATGATCCCGCATGCTGACTTGTCCGCATTTCACCCCAAAGTATCATCAATTCCGATAGCCGTCCAGGCCTGGAATGTGGTATTACAGGCTGTCAAGACGCAAGTTGGCATCATTCCAAGGCCTCCTGAGTAGTCAGAGCAGTCTCTCTGTCGCATCATCTTGCCGGGAACCAGGGCACGCCACCAGCTTGGCTAGGGTTCGTTCTAGCTTTGAGCTTGCAACGCCATCCCAACTGTCAGGACCCCCTGGTGTGTATTTTCCGATTCGTCAGCTAGCCCTATTATAGCCTTATTAGCGAACTGGGGGACCAAGGATGTCCATCAGATGAACCAAGGGTTCATTGGATCAACCCTTTCAACGAGCTCATGCATCCCTACGGGGCTCCCTCTGCTCAAAGGACCTAGCACGGATTCATGGTTCCTGACAGGAGCAAGGCTTGACCTTGATTCGGACTACACTCCGCAAACTTAGTGGTATTCTTCACTTGTCTTCGGAGGCCGTCGACAACGTACAAAAGAAAAAGGCCGTGGCGTCAAGTTTGATGTCAACGGACATGCTTCCAGTGGTTCATGGTTCTCAACATTAACAGCCTGTCTTTCGCTAATCTGGTGTTAATACTCCATCCGATAATTCCTCTTGCTCGCCTCTTTTCCTTTCTATCGGGTTCCCTTTAAGACTACTATTATACGATACTTGCAATCATAATGGACGGGTGTACGTTGCCATCTGTCAAGACCCCCCTGGCATGATGTTTTTGTGGTGCCAGTGGCTCTCTTGATGCGCCCAGATCTAATTATTTTACCAGTGAATGACTATCGAACGACGAGAGTAGCTGAGGTGCTCTCCGATTTCCGCACCTTGCAGTTCTACATCGCGGCAGCGCCCACCGATCCCAATAACATGGAAGACTACTACACCGAAGGCTGGGCGGCTCTGCGCCAATGCTCCCTTGACGGGCAGCACATTCTCAACTGCGCCGCCGACACCAGTGTTCCACAAGCGAGCGGCGGGTCTCTCGAACAGGAGAAGGCGGAGTTGAAGCAGTAGGGATATCATTCTGGCTGTCACGGGCAGATGAGCTTACATTGTGTGTAGATGCTTGCTTGACGCGTTCTCCAGGAGACACGAGTGCCAAAAGATCTACCTGCGACAAGCTGCTGCGCAGCGATGGGTTACCAATCGAGATGGCATTTTGCAAGGTGGACGCCCCAACACGAGGAATCAAACTCACCTGAGAGCGTGTGATCAACAGTTAAGAGCTGTGAGTCTAGGACACTTGAACAATGCGGAGAAGAAGGGCATTCCCGACTAATATGAGGACTCCAGGAGCTCGCTACCATCATCGACGAGGCGATTTACAACGAATTGCAGGCATCCGATAACGCCATGGGCCGCTGGACGGCTGAGGACCCCAGCCAACGAAGTGTGCAGCGCTGGCTCCGCGCACGACGACCTTAGGATTTCCACGATACCATGAGATGAGGTATGATGACTGGGACGTTCGATGACGCAAGACGAAAAGTAATGTTTCTTCTAACGGCATACGGATGGGGAATTTTGACAAAAAAAAGGGCGCATGGAGGGTATCATTAACAAAGCGAGCGTTTCGATGATTTTTATTTTTATTTTTTCAATTGTTTTATTTGATGGGCTGCATTGTTGGTAACTTTTTCAGGCGACTGGACGCGCTTGCAGAAGGAGGAAATGGTCCAGGTAGACCAATGACTACAGAGAATAAGGTCTCACGGGCGGAGAGATGGGCGGTGGATCGCGGACAGTAGGAGTGAAGATGACTGAAGCTGCCCGGCGCAGGCATGTTGTTCGCTTCTACTGTATGTATCTTATATTTACAAATCTTCTATGTGGCCTCAAATACCGGTCGTCAACTCACGCATTATGCACCGTTTCCAAGACAACGTGACCGACAGGTCTCATGTCTCTCCCGAAAGGCCCCCAAACCGTTGAGGTTCGGAATCAATATTTTGTCTTGCTATGCACGCATAACGCTATTCCTGAAAGAGACAACAGCATACCGACCAAGGTTTCTGCAGCAGATCAGCATCGTGGCCAATCAACGCGGTTCATCCTCGGACGTCCTAACTTACCTCGACTAATAACCTTCTTCTCGACCCACCAATCTCCAATGACAGTGAAGAGAAACGCCAAGGTGTTGACGATGGGGACCGTCAAACTCAGTTCTGGCATTCTTGCGTTATTCACACGATTCCCTCTCAACGAGGAGGAACGGATGTTAAGTTAAAAGAAGAAAACAGCAAACTCACCAGCTTGCCCGATGAGTAGGAAGAACCAAACACTGCCGGTCAAGTTGATCAGCAGCGGCACGGCATACCGCGGGTTCCGCAACAGGTCGACGACGCCAAAGAAGGCGCCGTACACCCGGCTCCGGAGCCAGCTGTTCTTGACGGCGTCGGTGTCGAGGACGGGATGCGGGGGCGGATTGTGATCTTTTGCGGCGCGCCGGATGAAGGGGGTCGTGAAGCCCCACGCCAGGCCGACGAGGAGGAAGCCGGCGACGTAGTTGATGGCCGCCGGCTGGGCTTCGGGGGCGTCTGGTGATGTCATGTTTGGGGGCCGGCGATGAGGAGTGTGTGTGGTGTGTGTTTCTCAGCCTCGTTTCAATATTCAAGTGAGGTGGGGTTACATCAGCTGAGGCTCTATTGAAGGTTGATTGTGAGAATTGACGGGGAAGGAGGGTTTGGGTGTTTGATGCCGATGGTCCGGGGAGGACGGGAATTGAGATGGAGTGTAGTCGGGTTGGATGGGTGTGGGGGTGTGTGCCATGGCCCATGGCCCCAGGCGAAAGCCTCAGCTCCGCCACGCGGCAGGGTGGAGACTTTGTCCCTGACAGCCGCGCTGAGAGCGCTAATTGGTCATTGTGCGTAGTCTAACAAGGGCACCGCGGCGGCACTAGCCGAGCGGCTGATTTTCACCGCTTCACAGCGACCTTGTTTGACACATTTGGCGCGGGTTTCTCGAACTTTCAGCACGTCACCTGAAAGATGCATCGTCACCGAAAATAGACGTCACCGCAACAAGAGCGAAAAGAGGCCTCTCACGATGCGGCACAGAGAAGCATCGCGTTTGCTTATACGAGTGGATTTTCGACGACTTGGCTAGTGATCGAGTCAGGCCGTCCGCCATCGTTCCACGAAACCGTAATACCTCATTGGTGAGAGCACGTGCTAGTTCGAGTCAGGCCTCCGGGCGAAGACAATGACTGGCGGGCTTCCAGGCCTCATAACATCCTGTCTCACTTGGAAACAGACGCGCTGCAGCATCGGCTGAGCATCACTGACTAGCTACCGCGAGCCTGCGGGTTGTGGGTAACCTCATCCGGTGGACACCGTTGATATAACAAGCTTGCATACCCATCGTCGTCTCATTCGCGACTTGAGCCCTGCTGCTTCTGTGAGAACATGCAACACGACGGGCCACATTCTGCGGCTGGCGCACCGGTCGTACGAGCGAGATTGGCATATGGCATAGAGCACCCTGACTCTTCAGGTCTACCGACCTGCCCGCAGTTGAGATGTATCTCGTGTTGCCAAACGGCGCGCAGAGTTAGACCGACTGCTTGGTGATGAATGAACCCCGACAATGACCTCTGTCTCCTGTGACAGGCTGGATGCACTAGGGCGGTCTGCTTGCATGCAATGCACCATTGACTGATTGGTCTGCTGTGTCCAACTGTTCGACATGGCTGACAAGTGTCCGTCCTGGGAGGATGGGAAGAGGGGAAAGAGTTGGTCGAGTTGTCAACATTTCCCAAGGTCTTTATATCTACAAGCCCATCCGCATCCCGTATTTTCTTGTACTTTTCCTCCCCTGTCGATCATCACGCAAAGACCTCGTTGCATCTCCCCTCATTGCCCTCCGGACGAGAAGCTCCTGCCGCGGAGAGTCTGTGCTTTCTGCAATATGCATATTTGCGTCTTGGCCCGGCCTAGCTCGGCCTGTCATTGACATCACCAACCAAAGCCGATGAATCATCACCTCTGGCCTTTTTTTACAACCGCATCACCAGCGGCACGATGCTGTGATTCCACCAGCGTACGGGCAAGCTTTGTATGATGGGATTGTTCAAAACGCACCATTGCAAACGCGACTTAGTCTATGCGAGGTGAGGACAAGATCAGCCCTCCCATCTTCATCCCCCTCACCCCACTGGCCCAAAAGCCCCGCGCATCTCGGCTCCTTGCGCGGCCTAGAAGCGGTGTTTGATGCTGTTGCTTCGGACGCATGCTTGGAGCTTGGCAAGGTTTGGGGCATGGCGGTACTTTGCATTCGTTCCCCAGATTGCCATTTCAGATTCTGATCTCAGATTGCCGGTCTGTTGGGGGTATGTCAACAAGGTGCGCTCTTTGGCGGGGTCAGCCACTGTGGCATCAGCGAATATTCCATCCCATTCTCGCCATCTTCCCCAGACGACGGAAGCTCCTGGTGTAGTCATATCAGGCATTGCGACAAATCGGCAGTGATATTCTCATGACAACCTTCATTAGACGCTAATTGACTGAAGTGCCGCTGAGAATTGGCCAACTAGATGTAATAATGCACCGAGCATGAAGCCTTGCTTTCTTCTTCTACGCTAATAGTGACGATGGTCTTTGATCATCACGGCAAGGTTGGACGGCCGAGAAACCCAGCCTAGATCAGATCGATCTTCTAATCCCCTCAAGCAGCATGGCCATTTGGGGAAGTAAATGTGGTTCCAGGTTGGTTGCATTGAGGTTGCCCGAGCCCTGGGCTTCTGCATCAATGCATCAATCCTCCTCGCCCCAGAAACCTCCGGAGGTTTTGCTACGCTTCCTCCTTTGCCGTTCCTCGCCTAGCATCATCGGTCGATCTGACTTCATCCCACCTCATTGACCGGGAAAAGTAAAGAGAAGCAGGGGCGACGGCGGCCGGCGGACGGGCGGGCATGAACCGAATTCCCCTAGTGCCGTCCCTTTGCCCAACCCCGCGTCTCCCGTTAATTGAAAAGTGTAACGTCGTAGGGATTCTAGAGCTGGCACTGCGGTTTGCTTAACCAATATCACCGACAATCTTAACCACGCGAGCTCGTCCTCCTCCTGCTGCCACCTTGAGGCTGTCACAGTAGCTTGCTTTTAGCCCGATCTATCACCTCCTTCCCGCCCCCCTCCCCCACACCTCGGCCGTGCCTCTCTCTCCCTTTCACAACGTGCCTCTGTACGTAAAATAATGTCCAAAACCACCTCCAGGCACGCGAGCACGACCGCTTGGGCATAGCGGAATAAGAAACATGCAACATAACTCAAGCCACGACGCACCGACTTGTCCATCATCTCGATCTCGCTCAGTCTGTTGGAACGGCTCTTCCCCTCTAGCATAGAAGAAAACCAAGGACGTCATGACTTTTCCCGTGATCGATGATCAAAGGGGTTAATGTCGCTGAATATGTGAGCTACGTAGGACTGGGACCATACAGATCAGACCGCTCGGTCGTTGGCCCGGTAGCCTGCCGTATCTCGGATGAGTTGATTTCAGGTCCGTTACCTTTCCGTAAGGGGGGCCGGCTGTCAGGGGAGGGGCAGGTGGGGATGAGTCAAGGTACCTTTTCACAAGGTCGTTATCATGTTTGTGCGAGTTTGATGGGCAAATCGTGTGAAGTCGAGGTGTAAACGCCATGTACACGAGGAAGTGAGTCGATGATGACATGAATCACGGCGAAGCTGCAGCCCTCACACATTCGGATACTGCAGCAAGCTCTGATGACGGTCTGGCGAATGGCTGAAGCTTTGCTTTGTTTGGTGTGTTTGTAACCATACAGCTCGAGCTCGACCTGGCCATGAGAGGCTGCCCTGATAAGAGCAGAAGATCTATAAGAAGGAGGATATCCAACACTTCCCAAATGTAGTTCCTACCCTCCTCATCATCACAACAACAAGCCATCAAACAGTATCAACATTTACTCACAACTTACCAGCAAACAACCTTTTGCCCAACTTCAACCACCAAACCCCCAATCTTCAACATGCCTACCGAAGCTCAGATTGCCGGCGGCCACAAGGCCAACATCAACAACCCCAACAGCTCCGAGGAGTCCAAGGAAAACTCCAAGAAGATTCTCGAGAACGAGTTCAACGGCGGTGATGTTGCCAAGGCCGGTGATGATGAGCAGAAGAACCCCGGCAATGTTGCAGGTGGCCTCAAGGCGTGAGTTTTCTGTCCACAGCAGCGCTATATGCGTCCCTGTCACTAACACGCTCGCCGAAGCACTTTGAAAAACCCCAATGTCTCCGATGAGGCCAAGGAGTCCGCCAAGGAGCGTCTTGACAACATGTAAACTGTTGCTTTTTCGCACCGATACCCTGTTATCGTCGGGACTGTAGCTTGGCAATGAGGATGACTGGATTGAGCTTTGTATCTTAGCTGCTATGCGCATATATTGATCAAGTTCTCGTCGCCGATTCCCAAGTTTGATGTTGTGTCTCAATTTACCTTTCAGTGGTCGATGCCGTCTACAACCTAAAACGCGGACATAGACGCCCTCACAGGTGTTATCGCCCCGAAAATGCGTCATGAGTGTATACTAGCAAAGGACATTCTCAGTATCAAGTATCTGGGTCGTGAAAAGGCCAAAAACAAAACCATTGCTGTTTATGCCAGAATCATCGAGTCATCGGGATCGGGACTATAGAGCCATTGTTGTGAAAGTCGAGTGGATCATGTTATCTTCTGATTTGAACACCACGCATGGCAGCTTAGCCACACCATGCACTGCCAGGCAGTGACAATTACGGTTCTTGATGGGTGTAATTGGTATCAAGTCTGCGACGTTGTGGAATTTCTAACCAATGGCCCATACCTCCCATACGTATTTCGGGAACCCTCCATCACATCTAAACCCGTTTTACTGCCTTTTTGCAAAGGTCTTCGCTGTAGTTAGACACACATCGCAAGCTAGACCAGTGTATGAAGCCAGCAAGGTGTGTGAAGCAGGTGACAAAGTGAAGGCAATTTTTTTAACACATCATACAACAGTCCATTACAAGTATATAGCTCTATGTATGTCCCAGGTATCAAATACAATCACATGCCCGGAGCCGAAAACTCCACGCCCTTGAACCCAAATACCCTTTTGGCGCTGAGATACAGCTCAAAGGCCCCAAGCTTGAACTCCACCCTCAAGAACCCGATCCACGCGGACACGAGGCGCAAAGTATTCGGCAGCCACAGGAGGGAGCCCCGCCGCTTGAGATCCTCGAGCTGCTCCTCGAATACGGTCCTCGTACAGTACCGCGCGAGGATCATGAAGGAGCGGATGGGGCCCTGGCGGGTGTGCAGATTCTCATCGAGGCTGCGGGTGAGGTCGTTGGTCTTGAGAATGAGGAGAATAATGCGCGGGACCTGGCCGAGGAGCTGGACGAGGTCGACGATGAGGCCCTCCTGCAGCGCGTCGCCCATCTCCTTCTTCTCGTCGGCCGTGCGCGTCTGCAGGACGGAGCCCTCGCTGTTGAGGACGCTCCAGTCGCGGCCCGTGATGGCGGAGGCGAAGAGGGGGAACTGCTCGTCGTTGATGTTGGCCACCTCTTTGGCGTACTTGCGCATGCGCTTCATGTCCCCGTCGATGACGGCGAGCCACATCTTGGCGTAGGAGCGCTGTAGGTCGCGGGGGATTTCGCGGTAGAGGCCGTGATCGTAGAGAATTATATCAAAGTTGTGCCCGCCGCGGAGGCCGCGCCGCGACTCGTTCTTCCGGATGGCCAGGTTTCCGCCGTGGGGGTCGCAGTGCAGGGTCGCATCATGGCCAAAGATCATTTCGTTGAAAATACGTGCGAGACAAGCGGAAACTTCGTCTCGATCAATACCGTTGGCGTCGAGGTACTCGAGGTCGTCTAATCGATGTCCCGGGACCCGCTCCATGACCAGAATTCGCTCCTTCGACCAGAGAACACCGGGAACGACGAGTGGATGCTCGGGCAGCTTAGAGAAATGTTCCCTTGTGCGATTGGCATTGTACTCCTCTTCCCTGAAATCCAATTCCTTCGGCAATGAAATATCCATCTCGTTGGAAAGCCATTCCAAATCATATTCCGGGAAGAAGCGCTTGAGTGTCGAGAACGTGAATCGTGTCAGAGCTAGGTCGAGAAGAGACCACTGGCCTAGTCCGGGATGCTGCACTTTGACGGCTACAGGCATTCCTGTGTCCTTTACTGTCGCGGTGTGTACTTGGGCCAAAGACGCAGCACCGATCGGTTCGTTGGAGAATTCGGAGAAGTAGTCCCAGAGCTCTTTTCCAGTATCCTTGCGGAACATTTCCTCAATTGACTCGAAGGAGGATACGGGGCACTTGTCTTGTAGCGGGATAAATGTGTTTGTCCACTCTTGCGGGAGGAGGTAGTTCATCGCACTCTGGGGTTGCATCAGTCTCCAAAGCAGCAAGAAAAAACAGGATGAGGAGCTCTTACAAGATGCTGACCCAGCTTGATGAAGATTCCACCATTCTTCTCTAGAACCTTCAATGTTCGATCGGCGCATCGCTGGTGACAGTCCTTCAGGATCTTGTTTGCTAATTCGGGATCGTCTATCGTTTCCTTTTGGTTGAGAGTCGTCCGGTAGCTGCAAGCGCGTTAGCAAAGACCGAACTGGAAAGACACTATTTCGGACATGGCTCTCCCTACTCGTTAATGCACACCGCGAGCGCAGCAGCAACACGGCCGGCGCGCTCCGCCGCATCGTAGCCGTACTTGATATCGTCGGTGAACGCAAGGACACCCGCGGTCGCAGCGCCACCACCAGAAGCAAGGAGCCACACGCGACCACCCTTGCGACCACCGCCAGTCTTAGGCGCAGCCCTGCTGATCGCAGCCTTCGTGGTTGTCGAGGAGAACCCGCGTGCAGTGTTGCCAAATCGGTGCTGTTGCTGCTGTTGTGCCCGGCTAGACTGCTGCGCCAACGGGCCTCCACGACAGTTGGAGCAGGTCCATGGCCGTCGAGTGGTAAGCCGGCGCAACGGGAGCGAGAAGGCGGAAAAGGCCTTCATATGGACGCTGGCCGACTGACGCCGATGATCAAGCAAACAAGAGGATTGTCTGCGCCGACGCTCATTCTACGAGTTATGTTGAGATTCGGTGTTTGCATTTGCATGCAAAGAGGCGTGTCTCGATACGGACTTCCCAATAGTCGCTACAGATAGTGGAGTCGTTTTCAAGGGATCGAGTTGTCATGTCGTCAGTCTACTCTTCTAGACGTTTTTTTTTTTTTATTTTTTTTTATTTTTTTTTTTTTAAAAATGTTTCTTCCTCTGCGCCTGCGCTTTCCATATCGTTGGGGGACGGTGGTACTCTAGACCGCCATTTTCATTCGTCCAACGCCACGTTAATCCTTACCTCGGGGTCCGTTCGGGAATCGCCGGGATACCTAGAGGTCTAGCCCAGAAAACCGTGTTTGACTGCTTGCCTCTGCATGATCCATCGCTGGAGGGAGGGGACCCTTTAAAGTGGATTTCATGTGTCACTGCTCTAAGCCACATGTGTTGTGGCGCAAAACATCTTTAGCACAACCGCGTTCCGGTCGCGTTCCATTAAACCTGCCGCGCCGTGATTCAACTACTCTGTAAGCAACCTGCGGGAGGCGACAGCTACACATACAGCTCCAGCAACGAAACCCGACTTCTTGGAGATAACACGCCAACACACGGCACATCGCCTATAAGCACACCTAATTCTGCCCTCAAACCAGCTCTATGCAACGAGAAAAGACACCGGAAGTCCGTCAAAGCTCCAAAATGTCCTCCGTCGCCGGTCCCGTTCCCATGTTTGGCGAGCGAACGTGGGATTTCAGACCCGCCGTCCCGTCACCTCTTTCTTCGTCGCCCATCCGCGCGTCGTCACCCCTCTCGCCTATCAACGACAACACTGTACGGCACACACAATCCTCGCCTATCCCTCAACCAAAATTTAAATACGCATCAAGAGCTACGAGGCCGAATCCAGTGGTCCGGAAACGTGAAGAGGCGCAGGAGAGCAGGCGGAAGCTGTTCCTCCAAAACGTGAGGCAGCGCGCGGATGACCGTCAGTACCAGCGGCGGGATATGGAGGGCACTGTACGTGAAGGTGCCATCATTTGACTCTGGTCCGCTATGCTGACGCACTAAACAGCTGTTGAAATCTGACTGGGATCGTGACATGCGGCAACGGCATTACGCCAAGCAAATAGAAGGAGACGCAATCTTCTCCGAAACAGATATCGAGGACGCGGCATCCGTTCTTCAAGAGCGCTCGCAGCGCATTCCTGATGATGCTGACGACGACATGATGGTTGATGCAATCGCCCAGGAGGAGCAGGACGAGCTCGACGCGTTATTGCTTTCCTATGACCAATCATCTGATGCACAGCCCGAATATAGCTCCTCACATACGACGCACTCGGATCCATATGGCCTGTCGGACGACGAGGATTACGATGCATTATTCATGAATCTGGTATCACAGGAAAGCGTTCAGTTGGATGCGTCCTCTCAAGATATGGACATGTCTTGAAATGATGGCGATGATTATGGCCGGTCTATTTGCATTGCGGCGTTTGAACACTACATGGCTGTCGGAATCAGGGTTTCATTTGGCGTTGGGCATTGAATGGCGGTCGGTTTACGCTACGGATGGCTTCTGTGTCTTTGCAGACTCACGGAAAAGGGTATCGGTTGCGTGAGAACAACTTTGAGGGGACTTCCAATCTTAATGTCCAATTATTGTGGATTACAGCCCTCATCTGCACTAAAAGCTTCTTGCGCCGATGGCATATCACCAACAAGGTCGGACGGGGGTGATCCAGCAGCTTGCATCTGCCTTGTGTCAGTGTTGTAAAAATCCAGGGATGGAACTGTTTCCTACCTTCTGCATTCTGTCGACAATGTACTCTCTGTCCGCTGCATTAGAATCGGCGTACGTCTTCTCCTCGAATTTGGCCACGATCTCCTTGACCAGCGCTTGTTGCTCCTCGTACCGCTTCAGATCTTCTGCCGGCGTCTTTCCCCGGTTCTTTTCCAGCCACTCGGGAAACTTGTCGTTGAGCTCCTTCATGGGCTCGTAAAGGATTTCTTTGTTGGTGAGCTGCTCCATCATGCCCATGAGCATCTTTGAGAATTCCTCCTCGTTGCCACCGCCGCCTTCGAGGTTGCCTTCTCCGAGTTGCTTCATCATCTCGGCGAGGAAGTCTTCGGTCGAGGACTCTGCCGCAGCTGCCGTCGCCTGCTGTCCCGACGCTTGCATGCGCTCCATGGTTTTCTTGATGGTCTCCTGGAAGGAACCGTCGGCGATGGGGTCTGAGGCGGGAGCTTTGCCGGAAGATGAAGCTGGTGGTGGTGGCGCTTGTGCTCCGGCTGTGCCTTGTGGTGAGCTTTCCGCTTCCTGAGCAGCGACACTAATCTGCTTGAAGACGTTGTCAAATTGCGCCTGCATTTCGGGCTATGGCAGCAAGTCAGCGATCAGATGTTAGTCGACATGCCTCGAAAGTTTCCTACATTCTTCTCAAATTCCCCAATCAGGTCAGCCATGCCAGCTTGGAGTTGCTTTGCAAAATCATCGGAAGATAGCATCTCTTCGAGTGTCTTGTCCTCAGAATCGTCTTCTACGGCTGTCGCAGGTCTCCCTGGGCTAGCTGCAGTGGTCTTCGGAGCTGAAGGAGCAGGTTGCGCTGCTTTCTTCGGTTCCACATTCACTGCTGCAAAGTCGTCGAGCATATCTAGTAAAGTCAGTATAACCCAAAGCGTCGCGGAGGGCTCGGGTTGAATAGCGCACCATCCAAGTCGTCCAAATCGTCCTCATCGGGGTCGGGGACATCCTCAACAACAGTCGTAGGCTTCGTCTCCTCCACCGGTGGTACCACGGGCTTCACCTCGGCAGTGTTGCCGGTGCCGGCTGCGCTGCCGTCCTTCTCCATCTTTGCCAAAAGAGAAAACCCCCCCAGAAACCGCTACGGTATCCAAACACGATGCGTGCGACAATAGGTCGAACGCGCTTCGAGGCGAGATAAGCACCAGCGGATGTGACAACAAGCGACCTGATCAAAGCAACGCTAGATGCAGTCTTGACAAAGGTGTCGTACGGTGCGCAGTCAGATGGAGGCGACAGGAACCAGAGCCTTGGGGCGCTGCAGGTGATAGACAACTTCACAAGGGCTGGGGCAAGATTGACAGTTGCACCGGGCTGGGATTATCGCCTTTGTACGTGTACGGATAGAAAGATGGGCTGTCAGATGGAAGCCGAGGAATCGGGCCTGAAGCTCCTTGTCTTGCATCTGGGCAGGTCCATCCGCCCCACTTCAGATTCCCAGCACCCCGCGCCGCCGGACTAACGCGGCCTAGGGCGGGGGTCCTTTCTCCCATTTGTTCGCTGAACACTGACGTTCCATTTTGCGCCCCTGCCGCCCCTCTCCAAATCCCCTGAGCTCCTGCGGAAGGTACCGCGGCATCTCACCTTGACCAGGCAGGTCTCGCACCTTCCTTTGGTCGATATCAATAGGTACGTACCCTTGCCCCGAAAATCTTCCGCCTTCCAACGCGGCGCATCCAGTGAGGTGAGTACCAGGCGCCTTACCTTACCTCAGGTTACTTGTTGACGACTTCCTCTCGTTGAGTCTTGACCAGATCACGCCAAATTTTCGTCAAACCACACGCAGCGTTGCTGTATTCTCCTTCCACATCGACTTTCTGTTCTGCCACGCCTCCGCCGTCTGAACACCCCGATTTCTCGATCCCAACCCGACACATAGGCAGAATCGTCCCGATTGTGCACACCCGCAACCTTGCGACACGCGAGCCAGACGTCGCACACGATTTCGGATACAGACACTCAGAGATAACCACACATCACCACGATGTCACTGTGCCAGAACAGACTCCAAGAAGAGCGGTATGTCGTTCATCTGCTGCGAATTAATCATATTTGCGTCTGACTGGTTGTAGAAAGCAGTGGCGCAAGGACCACCCCTTCGGATTCTTCGCGAAGCCACACCGCAATGCCGCGACTGGAACCCTCGATCTGAAGGTTTGGGAGTGCGGTATTCCGGGAAAAGAGAAGACGATTTGGGAGGGCGGCCTGTTCAAGTTGACAATCACATTCCCTGAGGGTGAGTTGCCTGGACCCATAGCACCATAGTGACGGCCGTTTGCTGACAATTCTGCGCGGAACAGAATACCCGACGAAGCCACCCAAGTGTGAGTTGCAAAGCATCTCTCAACTTGAACCTTTACATTAAGCTGATAAAAAATGCACAGGCAAATTTGTCCCTCCCCTGTTCCATCCCAACGTCTACCCCTCCGGCACTGTTTGCCTGTCGATCTTGAACGAGGAAGAGGCGTGGAAGCCTGCGATTACGGTGAAGCAGATCCTGCTCGGCATCCAAAACTTGCTTGACGATCCCAACCCCGAGTCGCCTGCTCAGGCTGAGGCCTACAGTCTCTTCAAGAAGGACAAGACGGAATACGAGAAGCGCATCAAGCGCGTTGTGAGAGAAAACCCGGCGCCCTAGGAGCCGCGGCAGCTATGAGTGAATAGATTTACGAGATCAAAGCAGGACTTCGGAGTTACGGGAATACCATACGGTCTGCTTCTCTGCTTTCGAACTGGTCGATGATACTGCAATGGGGATATTGTGACGGAAGCAATCAAGTGGGCAAATAAAACGCAGCCCAGCTGTTGATATGATGAATAGTTTATATGCGTGAGGCGCATCGATTGAATGATCGAGCAGACGAGCAGAGATGACATCTGAGTAGAGCAGACAGACCTGGTACGTAGATTGTGATGGTTCTTTTGGCGGGGATTCAAAGCCCCGCAAGCCCGTGGTGGGAGGCTCACTTTATTAACCGTCGAAAACCGCCGGCTGTGGATATCGTACCGGAACTAATACCGCCGGGCTGTCGTGTTGCGGAGGAGCGCGCCTCCACAGTAGCTTGCTTGGCATACGACCCGGAACCCTGACGCTGGTGACGAGTAAGTCGGGGGCGAGAGTCAGGACTCAATGGGAGCGGGCGTACTACCAAACGGTGAAAGACACGGGCTCCCGAAAGCCTCGTTTTCCCGACAGTTGTAGACATGATTCCGAGGAAAGTGAGGAAGGTATTCCCGGCAGCATCAAGGGCTGCAGCTTCCGTGGCACCATTTGTGGGCTGTCGTGGAATAACAGATTAACAGCAAGCCAGCAAACGGCAAACGGCAGAACCACACCGACTCGACGCTATTTAATTTCGTTGGTGGCTGGGTGTCGTCGAGTTTCTTATCAGTCGGCAAGGTTAGGTAATTGGGAGACTGGTGTACTCTGACTGGCCACTTCACCAATGGGTTCGGGAGCCGAGATCGGCCCAGGGGAGCAGCTATGTTACACTAGCGCAGCGCAGTAGATTAGCGTATCGTGCAGGTGCAGCCAGTTACTGCCCTGTGGTTCAAACCTTGGGGATACTTTGACACAGAGTCGCAGACGGTCCTGACGGTCCTGACGGTCCCGACCTTATCAAGGCAGCGGCTACGGCCTCCGACAACCCAAGATTGGTAAAGTACCTTACCAGGTGTCACTGTGTCAGGGTTTTGTCGGATGTCAGGTGCTGGGGGCCTGGGGCGGATGCCATTGTATCAGAAGCGCGGTCCAACGACTCTACAAATGGAAAGGGTAAAGGAAAGAAATAACGATAAAATAAAAAAAACTGGGTGAAGCGCAAGAAGAGTCATAGTTCTTTCACTCCCAACCCTTCGCCCGGCTGCTCCCACCTCTTGCTCCGTATTTATTCTTGTCGGGACACGTCTTTCGCCTCTTCTACCTTTTTGAGTTGCAGTTCATCCCATACACATACCCCATCAACGTCCGTAGCTTCGAGAGACTACAATCATGTGTGGCATCTTCGCTTGTCACCGGTAAGCCCAACTACGAGATCGTCCCTATTTCGGCGCGGATGGAGGGGCAGCGCGAGCTACCCTCCCAAAATAAAATAACCCCGCCATGATGTCTCCTGACAATGCGACTAACTGTACGTGCGCAGTCACCCCGACGTCCAAAAGTTCAAGCCTACGGCTTTGAAGCTTGCAAAGGCGTAAGTCACCAACTGCCCATCCTCAAGGCGCATCAATTGACTCCCAATTCGCAGCATCCGTCACCGTGGCCCCGATTGGAGTGAGTTCTGAGTCACCGCGATGCGCGACTTCGACACCCAACCGAGAACGCAACTGACAAACCTCCCTTGTATAGGCGGAAGCGTCATTTCCAACAAGACGAGTAGGTTGAACTTGATCACAGCTATCCCCACCCCGTCAATTGACCGTCAATCGCAGTCCTATGCCATGAGCGTCTTAGCATCGTCGGCGTCGGTATGTCGTCCCTTTCCCAGACCTCAAATTCCGTGGCTGACCATCGCCACAGAGTCTGGCGCCCAACCCCTTACCAACGAGGATGATAGCATCGTTCTCGCCGTCAATGGTGAAATCTACAACCACCGTCTGATCCGCAAGTCCCTCAAGCACACATATCACTTCAAGACCGGCTCTGATTGCGAAGTCGTCATCCCTCTGGTGAGTCAACAACGCGCGCCAAAGACAACTGCAGCCGTGAGGGCTAACCATCTTTTAGTACATGGAGTATGGCCTCGACGCCCCGAAGCACCTCGACGGCATGTTCTCCTTTGTTTTGTACGATAAGAAGCAGGATCGGACAATCGCCGCCCGCGATCCCATCGGCATCACCACCCTCTACTACGGCTGGTCTTCAAAAGAGCCCGACGCGGTGTACTTTGCTTCCGAGTTGAAGTGCCTGCACAGCGTTTGCGACAAGATTGAGGCATTCCCTCCGGGCCACGTCTACGATTCTGCCACTGGCAAGACCACAAGATACTTCGAGCCCACCTGGTGGGACGCCTCAAAGGTCCCTGAGACACCCCTCGACCTCAAGTTGATCCGTGAGAAGCTGGAGAAGTCGGTCAGAAAGAGACTCATGGCCGAGGTGCCATATGGCGTTCTGCTGTCCGGTGGCCTGGATTCCAGTTTGGTCGCGGCCATTGCCCAAAGGGAGACTTTGCGTTTGAAGAAGGCGGCCCTGGAGGCCAACGGCGGCGCGCTCCCCATGACGGAGAACCCCGACACTGGTGATGGCATGGTCGGTATCGACGACGACAACAAGCTGTCCACGGTTACGTACCTTCCCCAGCTCAACTCCTTCTCCATTGGTCTTCCTGGATCACCCGACAACAAGGCTGCCCTCGAGGTCGCCAAGTTCCTCGGTACCAAGCACCACGTCATGACCTTCACAATCGAGGACGGCCTCAACGCTTTGTCCGACGTCATCTTCCACCTTGAGACATACGATGTGACCACCATCCGTGCCTCTACACCGATGTACCTCCTTTCCCGTAAGATCAAGGCCATGGGCATCAAGATGGTCCTCAGTGGTGAGGGAAGTGACGAGATCTTTGGCGGTTACCTTTACTTCCACGCCGCCCCCGACAAGAAGGAGTTCCACGAGGAGACTGTCCGCCGTGTCAAGAACCTGCATCTCGCCGACTGCCTGCGCGCCAACAAGTCAACCTCCGCTTGGGGTCTTGAGGCGCGTGTGCCCTTCTTGGACAAGGAGGTGAGTAGAGTGCGAACCTAGTAATGTAATTGACCTCGCTGACACTTCTTTCGCAGTTCCTCGAGGCCTGCATGAACATCGACCCCTCGGAGAAGATGATCACCAAGGAGAAGATGGAGAAGTACATCCTCCGCAAGGCGTTCGATACCACAGACGAGCCCGGCGCCGAGCCGTACCTCCCGGATAACATCTTGTGGAGACAGAAGGAGCAGTTCTCGGACGGCGTCGGATACGGATGGATCAATGCGCTCAAGGACAACGCCGAGCTCCACGTTACCGACGAGATGATGAAGAACCCCAAGCCGGAGTGGGGCAGCGACATTCCGGACACCAAGGAAGCGTAAGCATCATCCAATCTTTCTCCCTTTCCGTTGCTGTGAAGCATCAGGCGCCGCTGACACGCGTTTTGACAGATACTGGTACCGCCTCATGTTCGACGAGCATTACCCGCCGCATTGCGCCTCGACCGTCATGCGCTGGACCCCCACATGGTCCAAGCAGACGGACCCCAGTGGCAGGTGAGTCACAAGACCCGCGCCCCTCCCCCGGTCTCTAGTGAAAATGAATTAGCCAAGTCAGTTTGCTGACCAGTTGCATGACAGAGCCATTGCCGTCCACGAGCAAAAGTACGAGAACGCCGCATAAAGTGGTAATTTGGAGGGGAGACAACCCGTACCCTAGCACTTCACGTCAATGCGGGCGGATAAAGGTAGAGGCGTCCTGGTTTGTTGAATTATGTAGACCCTCAACAAGTTTGGAGTCTCGAAAAAAATGGGAATGGGTGTTGCAATTACAATCTGTTGTTGCGCCTTCATATTCTTGCAATTTGTGACATTAGGTGCTATGAAAAGTCCTGTGATGGCGTAGGCGTTTCTCACTATCTTTATACCTCTGGTATACCTTACCCAGGGCTTGGAGCGTCAGGGGTAGGTTTCTGGAGCTGACAGCATCCCAGAGCCTTCCCCAACTTCCATTGACTTTTTCCATCCAAGAGCCCACTTTGTGTGCAACAATGATTGAGTGTGATTGCCCGGGAATGTCAACTTAGTGGCAAGTGCCGGGTACTTGGCCAAATGAGCATCCACAGTGACTCAGTTGATCCCCAATGTAAACAGTGAAAGTGAAGGACAAAAAGAATTGGAAGTGAGATGGTGAGGTGACACCATGAAGTAATTCGAGTTACACCATGAAGACAGATGTATTGGGAGGGACCTATTGGAGGGCGGTGTGAAAAGAAACAAAGAGAACGGCAGGAAGCAGCAATGAAGTAGGTAGGTAATTGCCTGCTTCTCCTTGCAGGCTGACTGTAAGAATCTCACACCCGCTGATTCTCACCACCTCCATTCATTACCTTCCAAATTCAATCTTTTCACTTACTCTTCATTTCACCATCTACACACTCAAACACACAAAGTCCAACGAGCAGAAAGCAAAGACGAAAACACATAGAAAGCATTGAGCAGTCTTAAGTAGCCCGCACTCCTGGCAACCGACATCCACTCCCTTGGTGCTTTACGGATACTCTACCTTATTACGCTCCCCTGTCCATCAGAGTCCCATCTGAGCTTGCCAGCCGACCACGATCCCAACAAACCAATAGCAGATCCCCCACGTGCAGCCAAAAGCGTCCTAGTGCCGTCTCTCACTGCAAAGCTCCTCCGGACCGAATTGTGCCGGGAATCCCCGTCAACCAATTGATGCAACCAAAACATTTTCTCGAACAGCTTCCGTCCCAGTAGACCATCTCCTGAAAGGACACCTGCAACCCGCCTCTTTTCCACCCGTCGCATCTCGTCAACCGCTTTCCCATTGTCTACTCAATTTGCTCCCAAAAGTTCTTCTTCCCGTCCAAAACCAGCAATCATGTCTGTTCCTAACTTCGGAGACATCGCCAAGTCGGCCAACGACGTACGTGCTATTCTTTCCCTCTCCCTCTAATATTTTTTTTCGGGTATTCGCGGACGGGACGAAATCGAGCTCTAGGCTCCTTCCCCCGGCCGAGGTCATCCGCGACGAAGAAACCGCTCAACTGACATTGGCCCTCAATAGCTCCTCAACAAGGACTTCTACCACCTCTCTGCCACCACCTTCGAGCTCAAGAGCAACACCCCCAACAACGTTGCCTTCAAGGTCACCGGCAAGACCTCCCACGAGAAGAGCACCGCTGGAGCTGTAAGTTGCGAGCCACCATCTACCACATGACGACGTATCGGGCGTCGCATAAATAAACAAACCCGAATCTCAACTAATCTCGTCTCTCTCCAATCCAGATCGAGGGCAAATACTCCGACAAGGCTACCGGTACAGCAACCACCACCCATCGTTTACAGCGCTTGAATCTAAGCTTGGGTCGAATATATGGACGGCCTTACGGCAGTCCTGTCTCATTCGCAGCCAGCGTTTCGCCAGGATTTGCACATTTGCTAATGTTCTACACTCGCGCAGGCCTGACCCTCACCCAGACATGGAACACCGCTGCCGCCCTTGACACCAAGGTCGAGCTTGCCGACAGCCTCGCCAAGGGCCTGAAGGCTGAGGGTGTCTTCTCCTTCCTGCCCTCCGCTGGCGAGAAGGCCGCCGCCAAGAAGGGCGCAAAGTTCAACCTTACCTTCAAGCAGAGCAACTTCCACAGCCGCGCTTTCTTCGACCTTCTCAAGGGCCCCACCGCCAACATCGACGCCGTTGTCGGCCACGAGGGATTCCTCGCGGGTGCCTCTGCCGGCTACGACGTCAACAAGGCCTCCGTCACCGGCTACGCCGCCGCTGTCGGCTTCCAGGCCCCCACATACTCCGCTGCCATCACTGCCAGCGACAACCTCAGCGTCTTTGCTGCCTCCTACTACCACAAGGTCAACTCCCAGGTTGAGGCCGGTGCCAAGGCTACCTGGAACTCCAAGGCCGGCAACAACGTCGGTCTTGAGGTTGCCAGCAAGTACCGCATCGACCCCGTCTCCTTTGCCAAGGTGCGTAATTTTACCCCGCTAAGCGAATCTCTTGTCTGGAATCATTGCTCACCAATCTCCGCGTACAGTTCAAGGTCAACAACAACGGTGTTGCCGCTCTCGGCTACAACGTCCTCCTTCGCGAGGGTGTTACCCTGGGTCTTGGTGCCTCCTTTGATACCCAGAAGCTCGACCAGGCAACCCACAAGCTCGGTGCCAGCTTCACCTTCGAAGGCTAAGCCTTTATTCGCCACATGTATTCTTGACGAGGAAAATTCTTTCAGCTCTCTCCGGCCGGGTAGCGAACCCAATGCTCTTCTGGTTTCATTTAGAGGCTCCGGTCTAGTGTAGATTAGTTCGGGGAGTAACTGAGTTTGGTCGACTGGGAACTCGTGGTGTGTCTGCATTCGCTCGCTTCGCGGTGATGTGGATATGTTGACTCGATCGCGTGATTTATGTCTATCCCAGTAGCTGTCTACTTCTCGCTGAACAAGCTTTATTGCTTGATATCTTATGATTTTGCATCTTTCTTCTTCCGGCGCAATCCGCCAGTAGCAACATAGGGTATGAAAAAGGAAAAGAACAAGATACCGCTGACCACCAAGAACGCCCCCACAGACGTCTCCTGCGGTCCGGTGGGGACCTGGGTGCCCAAGATCCTATGCGACCGCCGCGAATCCTGCCTCTGCTGCGTCCGAGTATGTGTCTGCGGGTCAAAGTGCCGCGGCGCGGCGGACCTCGTGTGCCTGTATGGATCTGACCCGGGGCCCATCCCGGGTTGCTCCTTTTCTGCGCCGGTGCCGGTGGAGTCCTCATGGGCCTCCCTTCTCTTCGCCGACTGCGCGCCCCAACCCCCGGACCTGTAGAAGCTCGGGGGCGGGCCGCGGAAGGTGGTCTTCCGGCGGGAAAGGCCTGATGCCGGGCGCCCTCCTGCCGGGCCTGAGCTGCTGTGGTAGGAGCCGCGTCTGTGGCCGCCGGCGTGGTGGGCGTGTTGCGAGGAGGAGGGGAGGGAGCGGTCGTAGGCTGCTCGTTTTGCGGGGGTGCCGAGGACGGAGTAGGCTTCTGCTATTGCGTGAAATTTGCGGGATGCGTTTGGATCGTCGCGGTTGTGGTCTGGGTGGTGGTTTTTGGAGAGGGCGTAGAAGGATCTGGGGGGGAAGTTGAGTTAGCTCTTTGGGCTTTCGAGAGGTGGTGTTGGGTTTACTGTGGGTGGGTAGGTATGAGAAGCGTTGGGTATAGGTCGGGGGTGGGGAGGGGGGGTGGCTGCTTTTAGTTGTAGCCATGTGCCGCTTGAAGATGACCCAGGAATTCCATGCTGCCTGTCCAATTGGGTTGGATAGACCAGTCAGAACATGGCACGCACTTTTTGATATCAGACGGCGAGGCATCGTGAGCGACCTTCAAGGTCTCGTAGTGGTTCGCGGAAGCGACGTCATCTCGAAGCGCACGCGATGTCGTAAACGTACGGCGCGGAACCCAATCTCGGAGGCGAAGCTGCCCTGGTCCGGCAGCTGTCTTCGTTGTCGTCGACAGGGCGCCGCCGGCGCGGCGGAGGGTACGGGCCGCTGCGGGTTGGAGGAGCCGGGGGAGGAGCATGCCTCATGCCCGTTTTTGATGTGTTTGGTGCTCCGTGACGATTTGACTACGAGATTCAATTGAAGGGGACAGGAACACTACGGGTGGTAGGACCGGCCGAGCTTCGTTTCGTGCAAGGGTGGGATGTTGGTGAAGGAGAACGTGTTTGGTTCGGGATCTGGGTCTCTCGCTTTGCTCGCGCGCGCTCGGGACGGAGTAGTGACGAAATCGATGGTGCTCTCGTCGGTCGGTGGATCGGAGCTAGGTGGGTACCCCTGCCACCACTGGGGATGTGGTGCTGATTACATAATAAACGAACCAACGTTCTGCAGTGACGGGAGAGACGCTTGCCATTCCAACCGGAGGAAAGTGGCACGACAACCCTCGGTTTCTTCAAGTTACCTTAATGTAAAGCAACACCTCAATGCCCTCGGAATATGAAGAACAAGTTACTTGTGATAAATGGTCGCTTTTCTAGGTTCAGGGGCTGGGCTGGGCTATCTTGTTAAAATTGCTACGGTAGTGACTCCTACTCAGTCCTGGGAGGTCCTTCGGGTAAGTAAGGTTGTGTGAGCGACTGCTCTCGCCCTCGATCTTCCGCCTTTCCACACAACCTAGGAACATAGGAGGCCGCACTTTATGATGCAGTCTTGTTGCCTTGAACCTTTTCTATTGACTACTGATGAGCGCTGAAACGATGAATATGAGAAGAATCATCCCGCCAAGGCCCACACCCAGACGGGCCCTCGGCGCCCATGACAGCATGGAGCTGAAGTCGTCGTTGGTTCTTGGGCAAATGTACGAGTTGTCTGCTCAGCCACAACGGCAAAGCCGTCAAGGTCGCAACCGCCCAACATGATAAGAAGAATAAGAAATAAAAATAAAACTTGCGCTATATGAGGCGCTGCCAGGGGCCGATTTACCGTGGATACCCTGGCCTGTATACGTTCTGAACCTTGTGGCTTGTATTACGCTGAAATTGCTTACAGTATAATTGGCATGCTATAAGTGTCCATTTTAATAAAGTGTTATGACTATTCTTATTAACGGCTAATGTATTTTGCCCAAAAAAGGATCCTAAAGCCCGCTTGATCCGATATGTCTAGCACAATCAGCCGGCTTCAATACTCCAGCCCTTGCGCCAACTTGCCTGCACCTGGGCGATTTTACCTTCAGCTAAGCGTAAGCAAGCAAGAGCTGGAGCAAACTTTGTGCTGCCTGCCGGTGTTCCTTGTGATCGTGCGTTGATTCCCGTCTTTTAGCGCGGTATTGAGCATATGACCCAAGTATATAAGGGATGCATGCCTTCCGGTTAGTGTCGTACGCCTTCTATACCGAGACTTGACCTTCCAAGTTTGACCTTGCAACTGGACCGAGTCCCATCGAGGTGGATGTAGCAACCGTTGCCGCGTTACCTCGTATCCACCTTGTCTTTGATTCTTTTCCAGTGACGAGTGTGCGTACACACCGCCTTGATTCCGCGATTGTCATCATGTCGCGGCCTGTACGCCTCCTGTTGCGCGCGACGAAACTTCTTCATCTTCAACTGGTACTTGGAGTACTTCCTCTTGAACTCAGAATTGTCCTACTGCTTGCGGGCCTTGCACTCGTCCTCCTCCTTGCGCTTCGCTTCAGAGATCTATTACGGCCCGTATCTATAGTGCCTTTGTCCTGCAGGTCCTATTAGACCTCCATGGCGCCGCTATGAGTCTAGACCTCGTCAGGCCGTGAGACCAAGCTCTTGTTTACGTGCGGGTCGAGATAGTTTCGTGAACTGTCGGGTAGGGTGGTTGCACTGGTTATGGTAGTCTGCTGGGTTGCCGGGAGGTCCTGCGAGCCCGGTCCGATGGCCGGGCCAGAACGGCCTGGTAACTTGGAGATGGCAACCGTGAATCGTCAGTCTACTGTGGTTGCAGGCCAAAGTAGAAATCCCTGTTACATATATACGGGGCGCAACGAGGGTGCTCTACCAATTATCTAAGCAGCGGTATTTTGACGCGTCACGCATGAGCTCAGTTAGTCGTGTTGCAGCAATTCACGACCAGTGGATCACTGCCCGCAAATACAAGGCCAGGGATTAAATTAACTCATCATACCACAGTTCTGTTGCCGGTTCCGAACATAGTCATTTCAGGGTATCGATTGGTATAATAAATAAACAGGCTTTCAAGCAAAACGTTATGATAGGTCTTGTATATTGATGGGTCACGATGCGAGCGTCTCATACCGAGTTGCAGTGGATTACACTTTCACCCATGCCCTGGTTTATCGGTGGATATCCACACGTCTTTTTGCTGCGCCACCTCTGAGTAAATGGGGTTCTGTTGAGCATCTGTGATGCTGATCGTAGCTTGCAGACACTTTGCAGGATCTCCGATGGCAAAACACATCTGGACTGGTCTCGCGCGCGGGTAAATCTAACGAACCGCTGAGATGTGGGGAAGCTTGATGATCCTTGCATGCTGCATCGCCATTAGGAGAATCAACCGATGCATCATTCGAGGGTCTTCCGAGATTGGTCACACCATCCCCAGGCGCGGGTAATCGGCTTTGACATCCCGAGTCAGCGTCCGGACCGTCCGACGTAGGAAGCCGAGGTCAAATGGACAGCTCGAATTTTTTAACACTCGCAAATCTGAGGACTTCGGAACCGAACCAGGCGACACGGCCGAATTTGTCCACCCCCAGCGCTCAAGGATAAAGTGAGGTAAGCAGGATGGGTGACCAGTGACCACACAAGGCAGGTGATCGATCAGACGAGGTACAGCGTGGTATAGCAGAGTAGTCTCGGCCCATTTGTCATGATCTCGTCTATGTAAAGTCGGCGCGCGTGAGCCTAATGGGGCAATTCCTCTACATACTTGCAGGGTATACTTTCTCTAGCTACTGGAACAGGAATGTGGGATTGTATTATACATCTTTTGCTTAATCACGCAACCTTCCGATAGTTCTCCATCAAAAACCAGGATTATGTTAATTGCGCTATGGGTAAGGAGGTTCAAAGAAGCGCTTATAGAAATGTATTAATACACTCTTGCTCGCCCAGTATCCCAATTCCCATCACCCAGCAAGCAAACCTTCACTCTCTCAACTCACCGCCAGCCAATACTCTTTGACTTACCCGCCTCACCTGCCATCATGCGCGCTTCCACTCTTCTCGCCGCCGCGGCCTCGGCCCTGACTGCCTCCGCTGCTCCGATTGCGAGCTACACGTGGTCCATCACGAACTGGAGCGGCGGTTGGTACGGCATCGGTTGGGCCAACTACCAAGTCACCGCTCCTGCTGCAACCAGCAACGGCGTTACCATCCCCGCTCTGTCTCTCACCTCGCGTTGTGAGCCTTGGGGTGCCGAGGGCACGGTGAGGGATTGCAGCGATTTGATTGCCAACAACAACGATGGCCGAACCTACACGGGCAAGATCGGGTCCTTCGACGACGGCGCAGTCTCCTACGGAAACTACACTTTCAAGTCTGGCGACAAGTAAGAGCTCGCAAATGCATCAAAATTATACACGTGACTGACTGGGATTGTTCGTAGGACTTACTCGGTTACCGGTACTATCAAGGGCGTTGAGAATGGCGCGTCTGCGTTCACCGTTTCGGGTCTGCAGCTTACTCAGCTTTAAATACGCACATCCACTGAGTTGCTCTCCAAAAACCAAGAGGCCTCGGCACGCCGTCATGATAAGCTTATAGCGGAAGGTTTAAGCACAGACGGGGTTCAAAGGAAAGTCGTCGACGCACTGCGAAAATGTACTTAGTAGTAGTGGGTAAGCAGGAGTGTATGTCACGGTCTGCTTTTGCTTGATTCATGTTCATATTTGAGCTGTTCTTAGTAACCTGGCGAACATATCTGTTTCTATGCCTGGATATTTTCTGTCTGTGACGTCGTGCGTAGATTCATTGTGCATGAGTGGTCGGTCTTTAAATCCGTTAAAGTTACCTGCGTCTACCTTAGGCGGGCCCTCAAAGGCTGGTATGCAGATCTTAAAACCTAGAAAGGTTGAACTATTTAATACCTCTCTACCTATGGATATCTTATTAGAAGAGAGATTACACGCTTCCCTGTATACAGTACCGTCATAGTGCCCCGCAGTAAAAAAGTTTACTAGCTACTTTCCTAACGTAAGGGTAACACTTGAACCTCTCATAGGTTGCCAATTCGCTTCTAGCAACGTGCAGCTATATTGCTGGCAAGTCTGAGATCTAATGAATTTCAGTTAAGCATCATACGAAATGTTGACGGTGTAGTCCAGAAATGCGGTCTCAGTTCGAAGCTTTATCTTGTGCACGCAAACGTCCGAGCCGGAGATGGCAGCCACAAGGTACCGATGTGACGTTCGTTGGTCGGGGCATTCTGGGCTGAAACCTTCCCGGAGCTGCGGCGTGGCCCCGGCGGAACTGCCCCCAGAATGTCATCAGGGTGAGTCTTGCCATGTCTATAGGGCTTATGGGAGAAGCGCGACAGTATACTCGGCCAAATCAGGCCGTCTAGTAAGTCAAATCACAAGACCTGTCGGACGGCTAAGATGTCCTCTAGAAACATCCATTCCTTAGATGCGATTTGATGCAAAGCTGATCCAATGATGGCATCCATAAGCCTAGACAAGCCTGACGGACCTGATATAAACGGCCCCGTGGTAGCGCGACCTATCCCAGCGTATCGATATATTCTATTCTGTCTGAATTCAAAATGCTGAGTCGTTCCATCTCGGTTCTTCGGTGGGAGTGCAATGGGTGTGGGGTGTCCATTTATATCGTTATCAAAGCTCTACCAAAGTTAAGCAAAATGTACTGCCACATTAATTGATAGCTGCGTGGTATTTTAAGTCTTATATCGTGGATTCGAAATATTCAGTTGGTAAAGAGAGTTAGAATTTCCAAGTGTAATTGACGTAGTCTTGTAGAAACATGTGATCTAGCTAAGCTATTGATACACAGTCAATAAGTCAGCAATTAAGTAACGGATAATGAATAAAGCGGTGGCTAGGTATTGATAACGATGTGTCAGTGTCTACCGGCTCCGCGGGTTGTAGTGACTCCTTCAGCGACAGCGCAGCCGTATCCTAGTCACATTTATCTCGGGCCAAGACCTAGGAGTGACAATGGGGTCGAAAGTGCCGAGAGGCATAAGAAGAGGGAGGCGTCGAGAGACCCTCGTGTCTGATAGCAGACTACAAATGTTATCGCAAAAGGATTTAATAAGCGGGCTGTCGGTCAAAAGCCGGGGAGTTAGGTACTACCAAGACGCCGGTATACACTAGAGATTAGAGAGTGGGTCACACCGGAAGCGTACGACAACCCTACACCCGTGTCGTAGCCTGTCTCGCCTTGATTTCAACCATTACACATCTTGTACGGGGTGTCTATTCAAATCTGTATTCTTCTAAGGGTTTCCCTGTCTACTCTAGGTCGGCGGCGAGAGAGGGTCCGTCGTGGTCCCCGGGTGCGTGGATTGCGCAAACGCGAATACGTCAGCGATGGAGCAGGAGCCAGTCCAGTCCAGCAGCATTGCTCTGAGGGACTCCTGTTGCCTACAGCGCTCATTACGGCAGGCCGCCTTTGTTGAATTATTCGTATACCGTGGTGTAGACCAATCCTTATATATTGCTTTGTATGGTTGGTTGTGTACGTTCAAAAGTCCTGTTTTCCCACTCATTTAGCTTAATCTTTGCGGGTTTCATTTACGTGCCATAGGCCTACGGTCACTCACTCCATCCAGAACTTGATGTGTTAGGTAAGTATTAGATTGTCACCCAACTCAGAGTTTTACTCACAACAAACTGAATGAAGATTACCGCTTATTGGCTTTTCCAAGTCTGAGATAGAACTGCCTTGGTTCCAGAGGCTGTAGGTAGTAATCCAGGATCCTGCTGGAGCAAATAAGCGTAGTTTCTCTTTTAGCAATTGTATGTCTTTTTGCAAGTTTTCTGTTGAAACCAAAATGAGAACCGATTGCGAGAAAATGACTTTAGAAATCGTTTCTCGGTAAACTCGGATGGTGTAAAGAGCATTGGAAACCTTAGTAAATGACACTGACTCAGCTATTTGACAGCACGGTCTGACGATGCTGACAATAGTGGATTTGCTCAATGCAATGCAGGGGAGACTCTGCCAAAAACATAGCTCAATTGGATCCGTAACAGCCGGCGATACGGAGATAAAAGGTGGCAGGTTTCGACCCTGAGGAACAGGACGGTAGAGCAAAAACATTCATCTCAATCTCGCATTATCCCAATAGTCTTCTACCAGCAACATCAACCGCACCCAATTTCAACAGTCAAAATGCAGATTAAATTCTTTCTTGCTACTGTTTTCGCCTCCATGGTCTTGGCGACGCCTGCAATCAAGCAGTTAAGCTCTCTTGACCACCCTAAGCTCGTCGGGCGTCCGAAAGGTGCAACCACTCCCTCAGGAGGCAGCTGCTGCTCTAGCCTTGAAGGGCTTTGCTCTAGTGATTGCGTAAGTGATGAATGAGGCCTTCACCACGATTTGATGAAGAGACTTATGAACGTTTAGTGCCCAGACGGATGCCCCCGCGTCTAGAGTCCAAAGCCAAAGATCTGAATACACTTCACCCAAAGTCGAGCCCCAACGCGTCCTCACTCCTACATCTATTTTACTTGCAACTTTCAGAACTACATGAATTAGAAGATTAGTACATACACTACTAAAACGGAAATTAAGGGCTTTCTTTTGAATATAAGTTTATCACAAAAATCAACAAGTTGGTAGTTCTGTGGCTGGCGGAAGTGAGATGGTGAAAATGCGGGAGGTTAGGGACATGTTGGATGTATTCAGATCTGTAAGTCCCCATTGTAGAATGTTGTTGAGTTGGCACCCTTAGGTTGGGTCTCCTGTTCAAAAGGATGTCCAAATGGAGAAAGTTGGTTCCAGTGATTACTGTCACATTCAAAGCCTCGATAAATCAATATCACGGAAAGACTCCCGCCTATGAAATGCCTCAGTACTGATAGCTGGATTACATGGAAAAATCATATGCAAAGAAACGTATCACAAAGCGAGGTATCGAGCGGAAGGCATAAATAATGCTAAGTGGCTTGATTCAGCTAAGAAAAGATCCCTTACGGGATTGTGGACATACAGCCCGTACGGAGCGAGCCCACAGAATGGCCGTTCTGTGGTAAGCGGTATCCGGCTGCAGTCTACTGGGCAGCGCCACATATGGCGCTGCGACAAAATACAATAAAAAACACGGCTACGTCGCTCATAAGTCTACTCTTATATGAGAAGTTAAGATATAAGGCTTCAAAGTGCGACAAAATAGCTAGCTCGCTTATTATGTATGTTAGTCTTAATACTTAACAAAAGGCCTAGCTAATAAAGTAAGACGGTTTTATACAATAGATAGACCTTCTCATTGTTGGCATATTATATTCTAAGAGCTCAGAATGCGATGGATTCGTGCCCTTTGGATGTCTACCATCACGCGTCACGATTCCGATGCAACTACTTGCCAATAACCGGCTACGACCGTCCGACGGAGCCTTGGCAATGACGGAATCGGTTCCTCTGAGCATCAGCCTGACGATGATCTACTTATGAGTGCTACGCAGGCCGCGCGGGCTTGCGAAAAGTGCTGCGATAAGAGCAATGCCGGCAAAGGTAGTGGATGCAGCAAATGCGTACCGAATGCCCTCGTAGTATACGTGACGGGCGGGTAAGCGCACCTCCGCTGGGAGGGTCTTGAGGACTGTCACGGAATGCCGAATCTCATCGATGAGCTGATTGGAGAAGAACTCTCGTTAGCATCTCCACATCAACCTTCCCTAAAGACCGGTAGGAACAAAGAGGAACTTACCTTCGACTTGTCGGGGATGTTACCGAGGGCTTCGGGTAACCGCACACTGAGTGTTGTTTGCACGATGGCAGAAGATATTGCCACGCCCCAGACTGTACCCAAAGAGCGGACAAGATACACGGTTGAAGCCGAGACCGCATGGTCTGAAGGAATCGCGCAACAAGGTCAGCTAAGCTTCAAAGGGACTCTTGTGGCGATCCCAAAAGGATTCTCAGTAATCAAACTCACCAGCGTGGTCAAATGAAGCCAGGGTTGTGAAGAGGATCGCGGGGTAGATGATTCCCTGCCCTAGATTCGCAGGAAAGATGTAGACCAGATACTTCCACTGAGAGTCCTGGAATTTGAGAGCCGTGACGAGCGCGTTCCCGAACAGCATCAGGAACGCGCCAGCACGGACGAGCCAGATGAGCTTGCCCCAGCGAGACATGACGATGCCCGCAAATAGGCCCCCGAGAGGCGTTGCAAGCGATGGGATTGCTAATCTCGCGCCGGCCATGGTCGCTGAGTCGAGCAGGACTACCTGGAAGAAGAGTGGAAGCATGAACAGGTACTGAACATCCAGACAATGTCAGCAATCATCGGCAGCCAAGGTTCGACGAAATTTGGCGTCTTGCCTGCGCGATCCACGTACCGCATATGCCGCGAGCCCCGCGCAGACATTAGAAATCTGCGTGAGAACCGGCAATTTCCCTCGGAGCATCCTCAAGGGAATGACGGGTATGGCCTTGGTCCGCGCCTCGATAAGCACAAACAACGCCAGCAAGAGCACGCTGCCCACGAGCGTGCCGATGACGATGGGACTGCCCCACGGCAGCTCATTACCGCCCAAGCTCAGGCCGACGAGCTGCATGGAGATCGCCACAACCAGGAGAAGCGCCCCAGAAACGTCGACCCTCGACCAGATGGCCCGGACGTCGCTGGTGTCAATGTCGAACCCACCCTCGGGATTCCTGATCACGAGAGCACCCAGAACAAGCGCCACGATGGAGATAGGTACCTGCAGCAGGAAGCACCAGCGCCAGCCGATGTGATCGGCGATGGAGCCCCCGAACGAAGCACCCGCCACGGCGCCAAAGCCGAACATACCGTTCTGCAAGGCCTGATACATGCCCCTCTTGCGGAAGGGGATCATGTCAGAGTTAACAATCGTAGCTGTGCCCTCGCGTCAGCCTCCTCCCGTAATAGATCAAGGACATGTGGACCGCGGCTCACCCATCGTCATCAAGCCGCCCCCTCCAAAACCAGTTAACGCGCGCATGCAGTTGAGCAACACCACGTCGCCTGCTAGTCCGCAGCCGAGACATCCCAGCCCGAATGTGACGCTGCTCACAAAGAAGCACACCCTCCTCCCGAAAATGTCAGAGAAACGCCCGTACAGCGGCTGAAACGCGGTGCTGGTGACGAGGTACGATGTCGTCAGCCAGCTCGCCGTGTTGGCGGCGTCGAACTCGGAGCTGATGACGGCGTAGGTCGCCGCCGTGATGGTTCCGTCAAACCCGTAGAGGAAGACGTTGGCCATGATAGCGAGCTCGATCCACGCGAACCCCCGAGGCGGTTTCCAGGACTCACCGGCCTCGACTGCGGCGGCCGGGTCGCGGAGGAGGGGCTGGTCTTCGCGAGCAGTGGCTACGGCGGCGGCCTCCGAACTCGGGGCGGCATACGGAGGCGGCGGTGATGCCGGTTTCGGAAGGATCGTTGGTGCCCCGCCGACTTCAATGTCTGAGGAGCGGGGCCGGGAGCGCGGGCTGCTCATGGTTGCGGTTGGTTTGAAGAAAATCTTCCAGGTGGAATGACTGGGATCCTCGCGTGGGTGTGAAACAACTGCACGTGCGGATTGTGAATGGGCAGGAATGGGGAATTTCAAGCAGGGAGAAGAGATAAAACCTCAGAAACTGTATACAGCCGCGGTATCCGTAACTTGAATGGCAACCCCAACGATACTTCAAGTTTAAACACCGGCCTGCAAGACAGGGGTATGGCTTGATGACGGCAAGCGGGATAGAAATCTCTGCGCTACCATGACTCCCTCCCCGAGGGGAAACCGGCGTGCTTGGGCCGGAAAATGTCCGTCCCAGCGCGTTAGTGGGGTCCACCGGGTGCCGGGCCGGATCGACTTAAATCATCGAATCCCCTGGACTGGAGTACATGATGGAGGTACACGCATTGCATCATCAGCATGTAAAGCACGCAATCAAGATTGCTGGGTAATACGGAGCTTGTCGTTTTCTGTCTGTTGTCCCTATGGGCTATAGTACTAACGAGACCCTGGCTATCCCCACAGACGGAGAGCCGCAGCCGCTTCCGAACCACCGGGGTTGTATATTTACGACCGATGACACCAAAGAACCTCAAGGTTCCCAGATTTGAAAGAGCTATGCCCGTCCCAACATGAGAAGGTCCTCAAACCCTTATTTGGCCCTGCTGGAATGCCCAAGCACGTGTCAAGTAACTTAGAAAAGTTTCAAGACCTTCCCAGCACTGGGTACAACACCGGGTCTGTATCGAATCTACTTTCCCCAGACAAATGCAAGCATCCGCCGTCCGATATGAGTGACTGCAGCAAGCTAGACCCTTTTTCTACGCGGTAAGTGTGATATCATAACTCGCTGGAACTCTGGTTGAGTGAAAGGCACCGGTGTGTATTTCCACGATGCCAAGGGATTCCGAGCTTTGTACATGAATACAGGGGCGAAGATGGCTACATGTAGATGAGCCATTGACCTCAGCATGGGTAAGCCCAAAAAGCTGGAAAAAGAGATATAATTTGGAAGAAGAGGAAGAGAGGGGAAAGATCTAAGCAATTGGATATATCACTACTGCAGCTTGCACAAGATTGCAAAAACGAACCTGTGTTGAGGTCTTCTACCACTGGATCTCTGGATCTAGCGCTCACATATGTCACTAAGTTGAATATACCTGCTCTTCGCGATGCGCAAAAAGCCATAGAAGAAGCTGGCACTCCTATGTTCAACGCTCCAACGCGATCTCGCATGGAGCGTCACCCAAGCAATCACTCGTACACCATCCACCCTCACAGCCTCCGCGCTGCTATACTAGTGTCCCCCCGGCCCCAGCAGACTGGGATTTTCACTCCCGCCCAGAACTGACCGCCCCACGAAACCATCCACGCCACCGCGGGCATGGTGGAGCCTGGGTTAAAACTTCCTCGCGTTGTCGATGAGGAGATGCGGTTGATCCAGATTTACCAGCCTATATCCCAGGGACTTCACTACTTGGGGCACGAAGCCGGAGCAGCAGTGGACTGCCAACGACACCTGTGAAGGTAAGAGTTGCAACGTCGATGTAGCGTAAGAAATCTGCTGTCGACAGCATCAATAGAGCTCGATATTGCAACTGGTAGGGTTCTCTTCGAATGGTTGAGTCGATTGCACGTCGCGCCCAACGACAAGTTACATAGATACTCCAGGCAATCTCTCTTCCCTTAATACGGAAAGATGTCTCTCAAACACACCTACAAACCTCGCACAAGCCATCTTGCGCATCAGGCTCGGGCCCAGACTGACTCCCGCTGCAGCAGCTCCGATGACTGGGAATATCTCATGAAGCCTCGAAAAGGATACGTGTCGCGGGCGACTACATTCACATCCGCTCGCGACGCCCGCTTGCAGGAGGAAGATTCTTTCCCTGGATGTTTCAAGGTCGCCAGGTGACCCACACCCAAATGGTGAAGGGAAACCTCACTGAGAAGCTGCTCAGAGACGCCAAGAGCGCCTAGAAAGGGTGGTCCGTCTTCCGGTTCAGTGAGTGACGCAAGGTCAATGACCTCTGGACTGGATTTGAGCCTTGACGAAGCCGCCGACTGTGTTGAAATAGGGACAACACGAATGGGGATCGCCAAATCTGAACGTAGCCGCCCGCCTGTCATCCACGCACTACCCTAGGTAACCGCATCCTGTTCTGTTGGCCCGATGACATCGAGTTCTTCTTGATATACATCAAGTTTGACCGGTTCCCTGTCGCAAAACAAGACTTGTAAATTGATCCGCGCATGACAGTGAGGACGGTACTTATCGGCGGAGTGGTGAAAGCTGCTTTTCAGCTAGGTGGGCAAGCCTGAAAAGTGGAATGTTTGTCACTCTGGGAACTGTGATTACGTAACAACGACCCACGTCACCTGACAAATAAAATCGCATTCGCCGCAGAAATTTTCCAGTCCTTATTTTTGTCCATCACCAAAGACAATACTCCGTCGTCGACATCACTGGAGGATCAGACGAGCGGCAGAGAACGTTCAACAATGTCAATCAATGGCCTTATGCAGGCCGTTTATGGAATTGAAGATTGAAAACGTCTGCAGGTGCCGTCTGGTCCCCCAGCGTCATTCAAGGTATGTGAACACTCTTCGGTCGGCATACCCAACCCTCCCGTCTTAAAGATGATTTGGATTAATCTCCATTTGTATTTGATATCTTATTAAATGATTTTTATTCACACTGAAAATTCTGAAACGACACTCTTGTTATCTTTTTCGTCCGCTATTTGGGGAATGTTTCGTAGACTAACAAGACCGTCAGGTTTACAATAACTCTTCTCTTACCGAAGCTTCGTGTGTCGAGTTGCTTGGATTATTACACTGGGAAAAGTTAAACTTTATCTTTATAGTTGACTTCAATGCAAATATATATCCTTTGATTAACTCAATACCGTCCCATGCGTGATTACTCGTTTGATGCTCGTGGCCAAAGACAATAGAGGCCCCGGATACTTGCGTGATTCGTTCCTTGGCAAAATCCCTCCCAGTCAGTCACCGAGAAGTCGGCGATCCCCGGGGGCGCGGCGATGCAGGCCCCATCTCCGATGGATCACCTCCGGGCCAATGGTGAACCTGCGACGACAACAAGCCACGATGGGAAGCAGGCAGGCGGGCACTCGCGCGGCTCTGCGCCCCCAGGGCTTGGAAGGCCTCGGGATCTCTGGTGAGCAACAGCAGCAGTTCGTCCGTGGGCGGTTCAGATGAGCCACTGAGTGAAGAGGGGGTTTCTGCAGGTCATGAACAAGTGCCGGTTTAGCCTGGCTGGACGGGACCAATGTCTACGAGATTTCCGGATGGCACCCTCGCCTTGGAAAGCTCACCTTAATGCAGCAAATTAAGGGAGCATTTCCTGTAAGCAGACTTGGAGGGGGTAACTAGTCTGTTTTCCTCCCAGAGGTGTTCGTAGAGTCAAGGAAAGTTGGAACTTGGCAGTGGGCGGGATGTTGTGGCTGACAATCAGGGCCCGTCTGAGAGGCCGAATTTGCTTCCCAGTAACTGTTGTTCAAACCATGAAAGAACTCGGTGATGGGGTTTGAGACTCTTTAGTGAGGTAGCGAGTGTCTTGGGCAACTTTCGTCTCCATCGACAACGAGCCCAGACCAGGGCCAAGCAATGTGGGGAGGAATCACTTGCTGAGAACCGTTCTTCACGCTTCCCGAGAAGTTCCAGCTTCCAGAATACCTACATTGTATGGCTAAGCAAGCACAGAGTGCGGCGCCTTGATGGGATTGGGCGCATCTGCGAGTGGCTACCTGTACCATGACGACACCAGGCTGCGATGAGGTGGGGCAGAAGATTCCAGGGTTCAGACTGTGAGTGATGTAGCGATGCGAAGCATCTTTGAAGTATGCCGCCACGGACACCGTCTGAGCTGTCAAGAATGTCAAGAATGCTAGCTTGGCCTTTCCCGAGGTTTAAGAATCTACCTTAACGTTATTATAGCCTCGAGAGTTGCGTAACGCCTCATTCGTCCATTTTTCGCATGATGTGCAGATCAGGCTCGAGCCGTGCTAGGTGCTGTTCTCTCTCAATCTTTCTCGCCTTTCCCCCAACTCGCGTCTTCTCTTGAAATGTTTCCGCGGGGTATCTTTTTCTTCTCGATTGTCCAGCTGTCCCGAATGACAAGGGTAGGGTACGTATGACAAGGCCGCCCGGGGATGTCATGGCCTGTCATTGCCCTGAGCCGCCCACCCTCCCTGCTTCGGATGGCGTGCCGCACCAAATCTGCCTGGTCACAAGGCTGCCTGGCGCCGTGATCCTCTATGCTGGGAAGTCTGTCGTTTTTTGTTGGGGAAAAATGCGGTTCTGACTGGTAGTGGGTATACTTGTCCGCTTCATGTCTCGCTTGTGGTCATTTCTCGGTGACAGTAGTTGCGTGAGCTGTCGACTGACCGGGAGCATTTGATGTTTTTTTCTTCTGGGGTTGAGTTCGGAATTGAAGTGGACAACGTAAATGACGTAAGAGCTTTGGTATCGCTAGCCCTCCGACAAGCCCTCGATAACAGGCCTGGGATGTTGGTGCCGGTACTCGTATTTTTGGGGTCACGAAGTTTCCAGGACCAGGCTGCCTATAGGTGTACTACGTATGCCATTAAAACGAACAAACAGGTAAGAGAATGAGAAACAAGCGCCTGATTCGGGTTAGACGCAGGTACTTTGCCTCCCTTTGCGCCCTGGTTGTTTCTAAACGCTTTGGAGACTGGACCCAAATAGTGCAGTAGGCGGACTGAGGGTCAGAGGTGACGGTGACATGGGACACCCTTCGACATTCCGTGTCTCGCTGCACATTAGTACTGCAGTAGCAGTCCCTTTCCCGTCCGCTGACCTTGGCCGGACCGTCTGGAGTCCTCGTAAGTCCTGACCTGAGCAGCGGGCACCGACACGACCGGGCCCAGAAACGAGGTCTGGCTGAGCTCCCGTCCCATCCATCCTCAGGGGAATGCCTCAGACTGATCATCAAGAGGCCCTTGAGGACAAGGACAAGAGTCGAGGGAACGCTAGGATGTAGGAGGGTAAGAAGGTATGAACAGTAGGTATTACCCACCTGCCGCCCTGCCCTGTTTCTGCTGTTTCTGTTGTTTCCGCTTTGGCAGCAGCACTGTGTGATCCTGCCCGCTATTGCACTTTCCCATCTCAGCCCAATGCCAACCACGGGTGACGGACAGGTCGCCGGGCTGCCCCTCCATCTCTTCGCTTCCACGGTTCCTTGCCGTCCCTCCACTCCCCTCCCTCCCCCGCCCACCCCTCTCTCTTCTCTCACTCCCGAACGCTCTACGCTCGCTTTCTCTGTCCTTCTCCCGGGCACTTCCCTCTCACATCACCCACCTTTACGTTGGCTAGGCTGGAATCGACTGGAAATACGTCTATTGGTGTGTTCGATAGACAGATTCCCATCTTCCCACCCAACCAGAGGCGGTCGCAGTCCCACCAGCCTCCTAAATAAAAGCAATCTGATACCACGTACACCCGTAATCGAACTAATAACTACTCGTCTCCGTACATGCACACCATTTAATCCGTGGTCTTCCCTCCGTCATCTTCGCACATTCTTTGTTCATCCCCCCGCCTGCAAACCTACACCACCCAAGCGAACCGTTGTCGCCCGTTTTGACTTCCCCGGCCGCTTCCCGAAAACCGCGTTGTCCTGCGACGCCTCCATCGCACTTAGCGATGGCTGGAGTCTACAGAGAGACCACCCGAGTCTACCGGGACCCGACTGAGTACTCGTCCGATGAAGACCGATACAAGACCTCCACAGTCCGCCGTTACAAAGTTGCGCCAAGCCGAGTCGAGAGGGTCGAGCGCACGGAGCGAGTCCAAGTCGAAGAGGACGACCGCCGATCACGATACTCCGGCTACCCGCTGCGCACCTCCGGCGAGTATGGCTATGCTCCGGATCGCCCGCGCTCTGCCTTTGACTCCCGAAGCCAGGTCGTTGAGCGCACGGTAACCGAACGCGAGCGCGAAGTTATCGACCCTTACAGAGGTGACACCCGCAGCGTCGTCTACGAAAAGGAATACGAACGTGAGCGTGAGCGCGCACCCCGCTTCGATGCCGGTCGCTTCGACGACGTTCGCAGCGTCGCCGATAACCGCAGCGTTATCGAGGTCGAGCGGGAACGCGAGCGTGTCGACTGGGATCGCCGCTCTAACCATCGCCACCACCATCATCACCATGAACCCGAAACAGAAGTTAGGGTCGACAAGCGCGTCGAACGCCGTGAGGATGGAGACGTCACGGTCGAGAAGCGCGTGGAAGAATACCGTGACGATCATGGCGGAGCAGAGGTCGAAAGATACCGCAAAGAGACCGAATTTTACTCTCCCGTCAGCCCCCCGCCAATCCCTCAACCCGTCATCATCCGTCAACAAGCCCCGGAACCCCAAAAGATCATTGTCCAGGAAGCTCCGCCCCCCGCACCCATCATCGTGCCCCGTCAAGACCCTGGTATCGTTGTCTTGAGAGAGCGCGAGTCCCCTCGCGAGGTTGTCCGCCGCGACCCCCGCGAGGACGAGTACTACTACCGCCGAGAGACAAAAGAACTTGGCCCGTATCGCCGAGATGAGCGTGAGTACCATTACGACCGACGAGGTCGTGGTCGCGGCGACTACATAAGCGACGACGAGGATTACTACATGAAGCGGACTGTCATTCGCCGAAACCGAAGCTCCAGCTCAGACCATCACCACAAACGCCACCTTGCGGAGGGAGCCCTCGCCGGCGCCGGTATCGCTGCGCTCGCTGCCAGTCGAAGAGACAGCCGTGGCGAGCTTGGCGCCAATCGTGGAAGCAAGGTCCTCGCCGGTGCTGCCATTGGTGGCCTGGGCACTGAAATCATTCGACGAGCTCGCAGTGCGTATGAAGATACTTATCACGACGATCACTACAGGTCTCGGTCAAGATCTCGCAGCCGTAGCTCCCGTATTAAGACTGGCCTCGGCATTGCTGCTGCCGCACTTGCAGTTGCAGGTGCTGCAAAGTATTATCAGAGTGGGAAGATTGAAAAGGAAGAAATGCGTCGTGGTCGAAGCCGCGGCAGAAGCCGCTCTGTCTCAAGCTACTCTGTATCTAGATCTCGTAGTCGCAGCCGCAAAAGCAAGAAGAGCCGCAGTCGCTCCGTGGCCAAGGCTGCCGCTGCGACTGCCGCTGCCGCGGGCTTGGTACAGCACTTCCGCAACAAGTCCAAGTCTAGGAGTCGCTCGCGGTCTAAGTCTCGCATCAGGACTGGAGCGGAGATTGCCGCTGCTGGTCTGGCAGGCGGAGTCGCCAGCAAGATCTATAAAAATCGCAAGGAGAAGAAAGACCGCGAAATAGACCGCGAACTGGACGAGCAAGATTATGAGGAGGAAGTCCGGCGGGAACGGCGTGAACGTCGTCGGTCGCGCAGCAGGTCCCAGGCCCGCTCTCTATATTCCGAGCCGCGCAGCGCTGATCCTGAGCTAGGCTTAGTTGAGTACGGAACAGAACCGCTGCCTTCCGACCCGCCCTACCCGCCGGACGACGGGTATGAGTCTGCAGCGAACGAGAGGCGACGCCGTCGGCACCGGCGTATGTCTGGCGATGATTACGACGGCCACGAGCCGGCGAAGAAGAGGAGCAAGAGCCGGTTGAGGGACATGGCGGCAGCTGCAGTTGGAACGGGAGCTGCTGCGATCGGATTCAAGCAGTATCAGAAGAAGAAGGAAAAGGACGAGGAAAGACGGTCGAGGGAAAGAAGCGCCCGATCCCGCTCTAGAGACAGATCCGTCACACGCGAAAGGACTTATTCAGGAGAACGCGACTATAGCAGAGAACGTAGCACAGACGACAGGATGCGAAACAGGGAGCGAGAGAGGGACCGCAGAAGTAAGAAATTTTCGTGTCCGGATACACACTAACAAACGAGTATGACTGACGGTTTTGACAGGGTACGAAGAGGACGCTCGGAACGATGAGTACTACGACAACTACAGCCGTCCTCCCTCACCGCCACACGCTTCCGGCGGCTCATTCTATCCTCCACCGCCAGCAGCCGCTGCGGGCTTCACTCAACATCCCAACATCTCAACGGCCAACCTGAGAGATCAGTACCCGCCGTACCCGTCGTCGGACTCGGTATATCCTCCGGGACCACCCCCAATGGGGCCGTCTCCACCGTTGGCCACGGGCGGGGCCGGCGGCTATCCTCCTCCTCCCCCTCCTGGTGGCCCTCCCCCATCAGGTGGCCCGCCGGGAACGAGATTCGGTCCTGACCATGTGAGTGAAGACATATCTCGTAGCGCCTCACCACAAGCTGTCCAGCCAGCAGGTTTGGGTCGTGAGGGTGGGTTGATCTAATCGTTGTTTCCTTTGTGACTTTTCGTCGTTGTGTCTGTACTCGAGGCTGACTGATGATGTAGATGGTCTAAAGTGGCGAGAGCGTGTCAAGAAATTTCTCCCAGAATCTCTGTCCCGGTCTCGTTCTCAATCTCAACCCCGATCTCGGTCTCGGTCGTTATCTCCAACGTCTTCATCGGTGTCAAGCGCTCTGTCCGAAAGGCGTCCTCAAACTGCACAGCACTCTTCCTCCAAGTCTGTTGCATTTACCTTGTCACCTCAGTCATCTCAGACCTTGCGGCTGCACCGCTTAGTTCAAGAGCAACACGCCGAGGAAGAGGCCATGAAGGAGCATGAAGTTCCTGCCCTCAGTGAGGAACAACTGGCAACTTTGAACCCCGTTCTCAATCGTCGACGCTCCTCCTCGGATCCACCTAGCAGCAATTTGGTGTCCCGTCGCCGTAAGCGGGGAAAAGAATCGCCTTCCGAATCGGAGGACGACGTTGAAGTTCTGCCCGACCGCTTCGATCCCCAAGGACGGCCCGTTGGCGGTGGAAGTTCGGGGGCTACGAGATGGAGACAAGGAGCTTTCGAAAGCCAGCCACGAAACGGTAACGGATGGCATTCAAGTGGAGCATGGGCTGTCGGCGGTACAGATGGCGACGCTGTGCAAAGGATTGCGAGTGACATTGAAGGGATGATTACCGGGCAAAGTAGTTGGAAGAGCCTGCTGAAGGATGTGGTTGGAGTGGTTCAGGAAGTGCAACATGGCGGAGACGCGCGTAGGATAGAGAACAGTGATGATGAGGATCATGACGGCCGACGGAGGAGACGGAGGAAGAGTGGATGACGATTTATGACCTTTTCCTTTGGACCTTTTGCATGAATTTTGCGACGTCATGTATTGGCGCTTTTTTACATCCTCAGGACCTAGACACGATATGATGGAACAGATAACGAATTATGACTCTGGTTCGAAACATTTCAGTAGACAACAACCTAGGATACAAGCAGAGTTTAATGATTGTGCTATGCCAGGTATGACAAAACACTCGAGGAAACTTCGAGGTTTCAGACAAAAACAAGTACTTGTGTTATGTGGTTGGGCCGTCTATTTTCTAATCTCTCACAAATTCATCTACAGGGCATCATTTTTTTTTTTCTTTCATCATAATTCGTCGTGCACCGCAGGCTTCTCTGGCCGCCCGCTGTCCTTTTGCAAGTCGACGCCGACCTTACCCCGCCACTTTTGGAAGACGCTCCAAAATTCCTTTTCCATGCCCGACTCCATCTGGTCGGGAAGCACGACGACATAGTCGACGTACAGGTTGCCAAACTCCGTCTTGTGGTACACGCTGTCGCCGTCCTCGTGGAAGATTGGCATACCCTCGCCCTTGACTGTCTCGATGTGGCCCGGCTGCACGACGCCGCCCCGATCGCGCGACAGCCGCACGACGTGGCCGTCGAGGTGCGTCAGGTTCCGCGTCCAGTCGCCCATCCACGCCTCGCGCAGCGAAAGTACCTCGGTCCAGTACAGGTCGTTGTCCTTGCGGCGGAAAAAGATGCCGTCCACGTGGTCCGGGTTGTCCTGCGCCAGGTCGGGCTCCTTTTCGGAGAGGGTGACGATGAGGTTTCCAGCGACGTAATCCGGGCTCGCGTCCGCCTCGTTCTCGTAGACGATCTGGCTGTCGCGGCCCGCGCCGCGGGCGACGGTAAGCTGCACCGTCGTGGGCTTCCTCACGACGCGCGCGCCGCCGCACGTGTGGCACTTGTGCTTGATCTCCTGGCCGCGGCCGCCGCAGGCATCGCACTGCATCTGGACCTGCTGGAACATGCCGGGAGCGAGCTGATGCTTGACGATGCGCACGCCGCGGCCGCCGCAGACGCCGCAGGTGTCTACTTTGCCGTCCGACGAGCCGGTGCCGTCGCAGTCCTCGCAGATGTGCTGCTTGTCCCACTGGAACTCGGTGTTGATGCCGTTGTAAAAGTCGCGGATAGAGATGCCGATGCGGACGTTGACGTCCTGGCCGCGGCGCTGGCCATGGCCGCCAAAGTGGCCGCCACCGCCGAAGAAGCGGGAGAAGACGTCAAAGGGGTCGTGGCGGTGGCCGCCGCCGTTCTGCTGCTGCTGCTTCAGGCCCTCGTGGCCGTACTGGTCGTAGATTTTGCGGCTTTCGGGGTCGATGAGAGCTTCGTAGGCCTCTGAGACTTCGACAAACTTGTCTTTTGCGCTGTCGTCACCTCTGGATGGGGGAGAAAGAATCTCTTGTTAGCTTTGTGCAATGAGTGCAATGATTGGGTAGGTAACGTCCTATCGGTAAGGAGGAGATGAGGAGGAGAAGGAAGGAAGGGGAAAGGAGCATACGGGTTCTTGTCGGGGTGGTATTTCTTGCTCAGTTTGCGGTAGGCGGATTTGATCTCACGATCCGAGGCCGTCTTGCTGATGCCTAGGAGGTTGTAATAGTCCTCGGCGCAGAGGGTCAGCTGGACGAGGCATAGGAGCAACAGCACGAGTGCTGCCCCTCGGAGGTACATCGTGGCCCCCCTTTGGTGTAATTCGAGACTAGATGCTCAGAAAATGTAAAGCCGAGCGCATGAGAAAATTCTCGTGAACTAGTAGACCTTGTGGTTTTCTCAAGTCCTAAAGGAATGAAGACAGACACGGACTTGTCGAAAGAGAAATCGAGTTGCGAAAGGAAGGAAAGGGAAAAGAGAAGTGCAGGGTATAGAGATAGGTAATCGGCCAAAGGAAGCGCGCAAACCAGCTGTCCTAAGATGTAAAGTTCCAACGTGTTAAGAAGGGAGCTAGGCAGGTCCGATAAGACATGTTATCTGGAGATGGCCATTGGACGCTGGCTTCTTTGCAGTCGAAGCCCCACTCCCATGGCTGGAGAAGTGTGGGGCCCAGAGGAAGTTCAGACGACGGGAATGTGCACAGGCACGTCAACTGCATGAGGCCTCAACTCTCGTGACTTGACATCGTCAGGCAGCGTCAGCCGGCCTGCTTTCAAACACTTATTTCCCATTTGTTTTCAAAACGTCGAGCCAAACCCTCAGCGTAGTACTGGCAATTTCGTACCCTAGTCGTTCCGATTGATACTCCCGACCATGGCATCGAAAAAGTACGCCTTTCTCCCGATGGAGGACGACGAGGTTGGCCCCGCGAAAGTAGTCAAGGACAAGAAGAAGCATAAGTCGCGCCATCGCGATCGCTCAAGCGAGAGGAACCGTGATCGCGACCGCGGCGACAGAACTTCGAGACGCCGATCGCGCTCCAGATCACCGGCCCGACCCTTGAAACAATACCGAAAGCAAGACGCAGACGATAACGACAGATGGGCGGACGAGGAGCCACCCTCGGAACCCGAAGAAGTCGTGGATAACAACGAGCCCGAGTTTAAAGAGTCTGCATCTAAGCGGGTGAAGCTCAGCCACGATGATCGCGACCGCGAGGCGGACCTGTCGGACGGCGCCAAGGAGGAGCTGGAGCGCCAGCGCGATATTGAAGAGCGGGAGGCCTTTGCGAAGCGGTTACGAGAGAAGGACGACAAGAAATCAAAGACGGCGTCTGAGGGCCGACGGCCGGAGGTGGATCGCAAGGCGAACATGGAGGACCTACGCATGAAGAGTCGACAGATGTACCTCGGGAAACGAGAGGCCGAGAAGCTCGCCCTGCTGCGTAAACAGGTCGCCGAAGAGACGGAAGAGTTACGGAGCGGCGTGAGGTTGTCAGAGCGGGAGAAGGCTGAGTTCACCAAGAATCGCGAGATTCTGCGGCTAGCGGAGGAGCGCCTAAAGATTGACGACCACAAGGATGGGTACTACATACCGGAGGACTATATCACGGAGAAGGGTAAAATCGACAGGAAGAGGAAGGAAGATGCGATGTACAAGAGATATGTGGAGAAGGATGAATACGGGCAAGAAAAATTCGTCACGGAGCATGAAGAATGGGAAAGGGAACAGGCCACCAAGGCCAAGGCACAGATCCAAAGGTCGGAGAGGGAGAACGACGACTACGCGTACGTCATGGACGAGGAGCAGTACATCAAATGGAACCTGGGATCGAGTTTGCCCGGGGAGGGCAAGCTGACCAAGGAGCAACAGTTCCTGGCGGCGCAGATTGAGGCAGCCGAGAAGAAGCAGCTTACAATTCAGGAGACGAGAAAGAGCCTGCCCATCTACGCATACCGAGATGACTTCCTCGCGGCGATGGAGAAGTATCAGATTTTGGTCATTGTTGGAGAGACGGGTTCCGGAAAGACGACGCAACTGCCGCAATATTTGCACGAAGCTGGTTTCACCAAGAATGGCATGAAGGTCGGGTGTACGCAACCGCGTCGTGTTGCCGCAATGAGTGTCGCTGCGCGTGTGGCGGACGAGGTCGGGGTCAAGGTTGGACAGGAGGTGGGTTACTCGATCCGTTTTGAGGACAATACGAGCGACAAGACGATTCTGAAGTACATGACGGACGGCATGTTGCTGAGAGAGTTCATGACGGAACCCGATCTTTCCGGGTACTCGGCCATCATGATTGACGAGGCTCACGAGAGAACTGTCCACACGGATATTCTGCTTGCCCTGGTCAAGGACTTGGCAAGAGAGCGGCCAGATTTGAAACTCCTGATTTCGTCCGCGACGATGAACGCCGAGAAGTTTGCCGCCTATTTCGATGACGCTCCTATTTACAACATTCCTGGTCGAAGATACCCCGTCGACATTTACTATACACCCGCGCCAGAAGCCAACTACTTGGCAGCCGCCATCACCACGGTGTTCCAGATTCACACGACACAGGGCAAGGGCGATATTCTCGTATTCCTCACGGGTCAAGACGAGATTGACGCAGCCGAACAGCAAATAGTCGATACGGCGAAAAAGCTAGGAAGCCGCGTCAAGGAATTGGTGGTATGTCCAATCTACGCCAACTTGCCATCGGAACTCCAGGCCAAGATCTTTGAACCGACCCCAGAAGGCGCTCGCAAGGTCGTTCTGGCCACCAATATTGCCGAGACCAGTTTGACCATTGACGGTATCGTCTATGTGATCGACCCCGGCTTCGTCAAGGAGAACGTCTACAACCCGGCCACCGGCATGTCAAACCTGGTCGTGACGCCCTGTTCAAGGGCGTCCGCGAACCAGAGGAGCGGTCGTGCCGGGCGTGTGGGGCCGGGAAAGTGCTTCCGCCTCTACACAAAGTTCGCCTACATGAACGAGATGGACGAATCGCCCATGCCCGAGATTCAGCGCACGAACCTCAACGGCGTCGTCCTCCAGCTCAAGTCGCTGGGCATCAACGAGCTCCTCGACTTCGAGTTCATGGACCCGCCGCCGACCGAGGCCCTCATCGGCGCCCTGAACCAGCTCTTTGCCCTCCAGGCCCTCAACCACAAGGGCGAGCTCACCAAGATGGGCCGCCAGATGGCCGAGTTCCCCACGGACCCGATGCTCGCCAAGGCCGTCCTCGCCGCCGACAAGGAGGGCTGCGTCGAGGAGGTGCTCTCCGTCGTCTCCATGCTCAGCGAGGCCTCTGCGCTCTTCTTCCGCCCCAAGGACAAGAAGATCCACGCCGACTCGGCGCGCGCCCGCTTCACCGTCAAGGAGGGCGGCGACCACCTGACGCTGCTCAACATCTGGAACCAGTGGGTCGACAGCGACTTTTCGCCCATCTGGTCGCGCGAGAACTTCCTCCAGCAGCGGTCCCTGACGCGGGCGCGCGACGTGCGCGACCAGCTGGCCAAGCTCTGCGAGCGCGTCGAGGTCTCGCCCTCGAGCTGCGGCGCGTCCAACCTGCTGCCCATCAAGCGGGCGCTGACGGCCGGCTTCTTCCCCAACGCGGCGCGCCTGCAGCGCAGCGGCGACAGCTACCGCACCGTCAAGAAGAACGCCACCGTCTACGTGCACCCGTCGTCGGTGCTCATGGGCGTCGACCCGCCCACCAAGATGCTCGTCTACTTTGAGCTCGTGCAGACGACAAAGGAGTACATGCGCAGCTGCATGCCCATCGAGTCAAAGTGGCTGGCGGAGCTGGCGCCGCATTTCTACAAGCAAAAGGATGTGGAGGCCATGGAGGAGAAGAAGATGCCCAAGGCTCGGAATTACGATCGGTGAGGTTTGGGATTCACCAGAGGTGAAGAGAGGAGGACGAGGAGGACGAGGGGAAAAGATTTGTGTTGTGTACCCAAGTGAGTAGTGGTGTAAGCCAACGCCGAAATGGTCAAAAGATCTATTGAATACGTAAAATGATTGGACTTGGGACGTTGGTAGAGAAAAACACATAGCAACTGCGCCTCTCGCGCCATTCGTGAATGCAGAGTCCCCAAACCAGTCGCGCCTGGCTTGCGTCTGTTCACTTGTCCATTGGAAAAAGAGAGGCTTTTGCACATGCTCTGCTGGCAACGGGGGAAACTTGCAAGTCTCTTCAGTCATATAGCGCTTATTAACAACACTGATGAACCGTATGTATGAGAGAAGGGCAATCTGGATGTTGCCAATCGCCTGGTAAAGGGGAGGAGGGGGGGGGCTGTGAAACCTGAGCCCAACGAGTGGCCGAGCCGATAAACCAGCAGCTCCAACGGAAAGAAATCAAGAGCCGTCCCATCCCTCCCCCAATTCCTCACTCCGTGGCAGCCGTCTCTCGGAGCTCAGAAAGCGCCTAGACGGTGAGGAATGAAAGAAAAATTCTCATCGGCGACACGTGGAAAGGGCATGTACCGCGCTAACTGCTCATTCGGACGATTTAGCACGGTGCCAAAAAAAAAAAGGACGGACCTAGATCCGGAGACTTCTTGATCACACGAAATGTATGCGTACGTCGCTTAAAATCCACTCCTAAATAGTGCCCCAAAATCACAATCTTTATTTCCACTGCCTAGGATGTGCGTACGTCTTAGAAGGAAGACGAGGAAAAGGCAGCTGACCCCAAGCCCCAAATGGCTGGGTGTAGAATAGGGGGGGGCGGTAGGGGAAGACATTCCCCAACTTGAAAGGCAGAGACACACATCCCACGCGTTTCCACATGCCAGATTGCCAAACACACATCATATCGATATTTATCTTTCTTTGCCCAACTCCAAATTGATCCCTGATGAAGGCCATAACGCAGAAGAAATAGAACGAGGCATCCCTCCCAAAGTCCGTAAGCTAGCCTCCAACATTGAGTGCTGCTCGCTCCCAAGTGTTTGAAGAGAAAAGAAAAAAAGAAGAAAAAAAAAGTTTCATAGAAACATCCACCTTGGTATCAATGGTTTCTCCGATTGCCTCCGACTCCGTAACGTAAATTTGTTTTCGTTTTTCGCTTCAGTTTTTATCATCGGTCCCTTCTTCTCTTCAACGTGATGGCCCCTCAATCGGGCTTGTGGGCAGGCTGCGGACCCCGCTGAGATCCGTGCTTCCCGTGCGCCTGAGCGCTTGTGACATCGTCTCAATGTTGAGCTCGCCGCTCATGTTGAGGTTGTGATGGGATGAAATGGGGCTGCCAAGAGATTTCCGCCCGGGGGACATTTCCAGTCCCTTTATGGAGGCGGGATTGCTCGTTGGCGGCGAGGTACCCGGTCCCTGAGAAGAGACGGGCGATCGGATGGGCGAGGGCGAGCGGGCATTAACGGACGAGAGGGATCTCAGCCCAGCGACGTGAATGGAGTCGCGCGAGCCTGCAGCGCCGCCGTGGCCACTCTGCTCAGCCTGCACGACGTCGGCGAAAGAAATGAAGCTCAATCTACGAACGTCGGCGTTGTCGAGTGAATTGAAGTTGGAGGCGTCGTCGCGATCCGCAAAAGCACGGAGCTCATCGGTCCAGGAAGCGGCCATGGAGTCGGGAGGGTGGGGTGTTCCGTTTCCATTGGCGCCTGTGACAGCTGCTGCCGCTGGCTGATGCTGAGAGTGGGTGATGATTTCGACGCTGTCCGGATCAAGGTGATCATCCGTGATAGCTTCGGATGATGCATCCAAGACAGGAGGGATGTGGTTCTCGGTCTGAATGTGTGATGGGATGGCGGGCGATTGAGGCTTGATCGACATGTTGTCGACGTCTCGCTCAAAGATCTGGGAGCCCGCGGGGGATGGAACTCGCGGGGATGTAGACATTCCGCGACTTGGCGACGAAGGATGCACGTACGGCGACGTCGCTGACCGAGCTGATGCTCTAGAGGTGTCCCGTGTCAAGGAAGGGTTGCTGGTGACGGTCGATGCGGGTTTGGCCGACGATGAAGACTTATTGGAGACGTTTGACTCCTCCTTTTTCTTGCCGAATCCGAACAAGCCGCGCACCTTGTTCTTCACGTCCTTCTTCGAACTATCCGCTTCAGGCTCATTGTGGCTTGAAGCGCGAGGTGTCGCATCGCCGCTTGTGCTGCCGGCGCTGGTGTGAGCGACGACGGCGGGGTGCTGTACGGTCGTCTGGGCGACATTGTTGGGGTTTGCTTCTACTAGGCTCATCGTGATGCAGGGTTGTTCGGTAGAGTACTGGCGTTTTTAGTGTTTTTGGTGTTCTGCAAGGTCGTATGCAAACGGTTCTGCTGGTAGGATGGTATTGGTGAGTTTCTGTCAAAAAATGGATCAAGAGTTAATGATATGTCTCTCCCCAACAAGCAGAGACCCTGAGGTTGACGTGATGTTTTGTAGGCACGGGAAGAAGAGAGGGGGTAAGAGACGTGGAGGACCGAAGTCTGGGAAACCAGGTGGTGGGGGAACAAATAGGTTGGCTTCGGTGACCCTATGACCCTGACGTATATTCCCGCGATTCGCCCTTTTTTGGGACACTGCAAGGGAAGGGAAAAGTGGTAGGGGGTGCAGGTGCGGTGATTGATTGTCACAGGAGCGTCGGCAAGGCGAAAAGAGCAGCGCATCGGGAGCAGCAAGCGATACATACGCACGCAGTCCGCAGGTAGCAGCGCCGCCGACGGATACACCCCCGGCAATACTCCAAATGTTCTTTTTTTCTTTTTACCTGAACGGTACATGGATGGGGATGGGGGTGCCAGGTGGTGGCATGGGATATCCAATGGGTGGGATAATAGTATCGAGATGTACATACCAGAACGTTTCAATAGCAGACCAGCCGACCCAAGGGAAAGAGACGAGAATGGGCGCAGCTCCCCTGCGTGCAGAACTTGGGGAGTGGAAACGGACTAGCCGTTGAGAGATAGAAATGGGATGATTTACACGGAACGGCGTCGGTCTTTTTTTGGGTTGATGGCGTTGTTGGAAAACACACAGTCAGGTGTCGTCGTCCTTCCTGGTCTTGGTCCTTTTTGGGCTCGTCCGCCGCTTGCTTGGTGACACTGTTTCTTTTCTCCTGGTCGAAGATGAAGAAGCAGCCAGTAATAGAATCGCTTGAAAATTGGCGCTCGATAAGGGCGGCCCCGAGAAGCGGTCCCTAATTGACGAGCGAGGAAGCTGGGGGAGAGCGTGTGACGCAACAGATCCAGACGATGAGCAAGCGGATTGGCGGTTTCCTGGTGTTTTCACCCCTGCTGCAGGAGCCTTGTGGTGCTGATCTGTAAGAGAGGCCCAAGCCTGGGTCTGCTGTGCCTTGCTTGGTGGTTGGAGGCCTGGAGGAGACTGGAGTAGACTTGGGTAGATGCTCCGTAAGAGAAGTCGGGTTGGCTTGGATGGATGGGTTGGTCCAGTTATTTGGTCACTGGGTGGATTGCTTTTTGTCTCCGGTGAGGCGGATTGCGGGTGCGTGCTGGTAGATGCGTGCAAGGCGGTGGAAGCACGAAGGATGGGAACAAGAGTGCCAGTCAATACCTTGGGTACAATAGGTACCTATGCAGAAATGTTCGGAAGCGTTGGGAAACAAAAAGTGAAGGGAAAGGACGGCTGGGGGAACGGGCAGCTATTATCGCCTGTCGCGAGCTTCGCGTTGCTTCTCGGCAGTCAGCAGATCATGTTTTTTAGTTCCTTCAATTCTCGGTCCATTTCCAGATACCTTATCCGTACGGATAGGTACTTTGGCTTTCCTTCCTCGCTCGCGCGCATGTTCCTTTTGATTCCCGGTCCTGCCCAACGCTGCTGCTCCGTCAGCTAAGGCAAACTAAAACGCTCCCATCAAAGAGGAACGGTCACCCGTCGGTCACCCGTCAGTCACCCGTCAACAACGCCCCTACCTAAGCCCCAAAAGCAGTAGTCGCAGCTTCAGAGAAAGGGAAAAAAAAAGGGGGGTGGCCCGTCACATTCCCACATCGCAACGTGTACGTCGCCCGTTGTCCGCCCCGTATCTCCCAACGTTGTTTAGAGTTTTTGCATTGACGTGATACCGTATCGAAGGAGTTGCTGCGGGTGACATGTATGGCCCCCCTCCCCTTCTCCCGTCCATCACCATCACAACCAGTATTTACCCAAGTATCTCCCCACTCTGGCTTGTAAGGCGGGATACAGCGAGCCTCACTGTGCCAATGCATTGTGCCTTACATCACTCTGCTACTCCCGTGCCGCTTATCCAGAATGACGGTGACAAACCACCGCCCAAAAGTCTCCAAGAGTCTAGCAGAGCCCAAAATCTCTAGAAGGCGATCCCTTCCCGTCGCTCATCTTTGTCACCGCAGTAGCTCAGGCACCGCGTCACGTCTTCACCCCCTAAGCGTTCTTGGTTTAGGCGCAGATTAAGAAAAGAAATCCTCCGTTAGTTCCCCCGTTGACTTCCGCAGCCTCCGATGCCTCCTCAACCGGCGTCAGGGGGGGATCGACTACTAACGTACGGATATTCATTCGAATAGGTATTGTACTCCCCGAAACTCTGTTCGGACACATTCCCATTACGTTGAGAGACGTCTGCCATCCTCGGCGGGCGGTGCGAGGCGACCGGTCGGCCGCCGTACCTCGCGTCTCACACACAGTCATACAATACGACGACAGCGATGGATGGATGGATACGCGGGGAAACGAAAGAACAAACGCCTGGCGTCCCTTTGGCGTGTCTCGAGTCCAGTTGGGGTGCATGGGCTGATTGTCCGTGTATTTCGTACCGCTGTAATTTGTTCGGAACGCGTCCTTCTCGTAGCTTTCTTTTTACTGGTTTCGCCCTCAATCTCACACGCGTTTAACAGGAGCTCATTTCCCACGGACTCTCCTGACCTGAACGGCTGGAGGTCGAATTCAATTCCGTTGACTTGTCTGTAGTCCTCCAAGTTACCCGATTGGGACGTATCGCCAAGTCTCCCCTTATCCCTTTAGTCAACTTTCGGCAGGATACCTCAGCCTAGCCTCGACCCTGGACCCCTTCTCTTTCACAAATGCAGCAGCATTGAGATTCAATGTCTTAGACCAATGGTAACTCTCCTGGTCTCGGTTCCTCTCGGGGTTGTTTTGTGGGTTGACCCGTTATGGTCGCCATCAGCAGTCAATCCCATCCCGCATAGTCTTCCTCGAACAAGTCGGTGACTGGGAATAGTAGCTTCATCCCTGAGAGAATAAAAGAGCCCATTGACTCGCGCATTGCTTGAGCAACCAGCGTCGCAGTCGGGCCTCGCAACCCCATGAACCACCCGGAGATTCACCCCGTCTGAAGTAAAGCTACACACCGACCGCCGAACCCCAGTACCCTTGCCTCTCGCTCTCTCTTCCCCTCTCTTTCTGTTGTATCCGATGATGCTCACAATCCAGATCCCTGGGGCGACTTGTTTGATAGTTCATGGAATATGGCCGAAGAAACGACGAGGATCGCCCCTCTTCCCTGTTCAGATGAAAACGTGGGGAGTCAGAAGGATAGCCCGCGCACCCAAGTCCTTGATGCTTGGGTTTCTTGGTTCTGCCAACATTGAACTATCACCCAAAAAATCATCTTGTTCCCTGTTTTTGGCTTCAACTTCCCAGATCCCTTCCCACATCTAGTACTCCACCCTCCCACCTCGTCAGCCTCGATCCCGGCCTTCATTCTTCTTCGACGTGTTCCCCAGGGCTCTGCATCAGTGATCTCCATCACACCTGAGGGGCTGAAGAAGAACAAACTGGCAGGGCACTCATCACCGATCTCGTCACCAGTTTAGCCATCAGCGCGCCCATGACTTATTACTCGGGAAAAAAAAAGAGATCTCCGAAAAGGCGGTCATGACCGGAAGACGGAAAATAAGAGCACCTGAGCAGAGTAGCTCCCCTTCTACCGCCTCGCTGCTACGTACTTACCGCTCAGCAACGATAACCCCTCTTGACCCTCTATAGACCCTCTTGACCCTCTATAGACCCTCTTGCGCCGGCACGAATCCCTGCGTCAATCGGGCTTCCCGCCTCGCTTTACACAGGTCCCTGGGAAACCGGGCCCCATGGAAGCACGTCACTGTCAACTCTGCATGAATAACACCAATGCGCAGTATCACCGTAGCTTCTTTTCCCAACGGCTTCTGTCGGGAGACGTAAAGACAAAACCGAAAGAGGTGATACTTTCCCTTCTCGGAATTCTTTTTTTGGGGATCAACACCACTACCAAGTAACTCCCGGGGCGGATCGATCAGATGCCCTCAGGTGAGAGATGGCACAAAGAATAATACAGCAAAAGCCGGCGGGAAATTTCGTTGCCGCGCCGTCGAGATGCTTTTTTGTGAAACCAAGGTTGTCATTCTTGTTTTGGTTGTGTTGAAACTTTTAATTTGGCCTTCTTCCATCTGCTGGAGCAACCGGCAGCGAGGATCGGGGGAGGAAAGGGGAGTCCCCCGGAAGCTTCGCAGACGTCACCGGCGCTGGGCTGGGCTGGCAGAGAAACGCAAGGCAACCTTGGTCCAATCAGCTCCACCTTCTCGGACCAGCCCGATTTCCTGTCCCAATCGTAAACGTGACATCTCATGTGATTTTATCGATAAGCTCACCTTCTGCTCAAAGTTTGTGCCTCAGACATGAGTACAAACTCAGGCAGACACCGTTTCCTTACCTAATCCACTAAGCATCCCTTTTGGGACAGCTCGCTCCACAACCTTACCTAAGCCAAATTTCATCGGCCTTCGAAAAACTTCAGATCATCGCCTCAGGGTCCCGTCCACGATACTGAGAGAGCTTCCCTCGTAGCACGCGACAACTCCAATCAAAGCCTCCTCCCAGCGTCACAGTCGAATTCCTCCGACAATTGCACCGAAGCGACGCTGGCCGTGCTGTCACTCACTCCCTTCCCAGCAAATCGATCAATTGGCCGTCCATCTCAAAGCTCCTGATCAGCCACGAATACGGAAACACGTCTCCGGACAAACGTTTCCGCCAATTCGCCCATTAAAAAAAACACAAACCAGCTTTTAAAAATATGGAGGCCAGGACATTAACCAGACCAGCCGCCACGCTGGCGGCTCTCCTCCGCCAACAAGCCGCCACCACCACCACCGTCTCCGCCGTCCCCCGACGAGGCCACAAGACCTTCTCCCGCACGAAGCGCGCCCTCAACATCCCTCCCCATCCCGACTTCCTCCCCTCGACCCCGGCCGCCGGCGACACAATCATCTTCAACCCGCCCTCGGCCGCCCCCTCCGTCTACCACACCCCCTTCAAGTTCCTCCCGGCCTCCGACCCCCGCCGCCGCGCAAACCTCTCGGCCCTCTTCGCATCATCATCATCATCACAAGCAGCAGCCGCCGCCTCCTCATCCTCATCAACAGCAGCAGCAGCAGCAGCAAGACCACTCCTCCCCCCGGCCCTCAACGTCCCCTCCCGCGGCTCCAACCCGCGCTACCACCTCTCCAAGGAGGACGTCGCCGAGATCCGCCGCCTCCGCGCCGAGGACCCCGACTTTTGGAGCGTGTCCGCCCTCGCGCGCAAGTTTGACTGCTCAGAGACCTTCATCACCATCTGCACGCCCGCGCCCCGCGAGCATAAGGAGCGCTTGGCGCGCAAGCTCGAGGCCGTGAAGGGTCGTTGGGGTGGTATCCGCACAAAGGCCCGCGAGGACCGCTCGCGCCGAAAGGAGATGCTCTTCCGGGGCGAGTTGTAAGAAAAGAAGAAGAAGAAGATAAAAGAGACGGAAAAAGAGTTCCCGATTCGAGCCACTTGTTGGAAAAGGTTTCTGAACAGTTTGGGCAACTTGGTATGTCTGGGTCAGTTGCTGTACTTGTGGCGATAAGAAAGCGTTGGCGAAGGACTGCTGTCCCAGGTGGCCGTATTGAAGCAGAGTTCTCTGTATCACCAAGGGATGAAAGAAGGGGCAAGGGGGCGACGTATGGCACATTTATTCTCTGTACCATCAAATCATTAGGGGTGTCACAAAATCGGCTGGGAGACTGTAGGATAGAGGCGGGTCACGACGCGGAGACCCCAAACTCCCACCATCTGTACAATGAGAAGAAAAGAAAAAGGTCATAGAAACTCGTGTATAATTCTCCATATCTAGCTACCAACTTCGCCATCACCCGACGCGTTTTGCTACTGCCTTATTGATTGGCACCATACCTGAGCATTTTATGTCTCAAAGGTATACCCGGTTTAGGCCTCATCTCATCATCAGTACTGAGCCACCAGGAATCCTCACCTGGCCGTTGCTTCTAGTCATCAGCGCCACTGCTGAGCGCCTCGTATGCTGGCAGTTTTCCTCTTTAGAATATCAAAAAGCCATGTCCCGTCTCTGTCGTCCGCCTTTTTCTATCTCCCTTTATCTTACCCAGGCTATCATTCGCCCATCTTTCGCCAGCTCGTCTTGTCAGTGCAAGAAAAATCCATTCCTGTTCCGAAGCAGGGTCCCCAGAATTCCCCAACTATCACGAATTAAAGGTGTCGTCAAATCATTATAAAGAGAATATCCCAAAAAGCCAGCCCTCAAAGCTGGCGCATCTTAACGCCCGCCTTGTCCAAATCAGCCTCGCCGGGAATCACTCTGTAGCACCAGCCGCACCAGCTCCGCCTGATCCCCTTCACCTCTCTTCCGAGGATATTGTGGTGGTTCTTCTCATCATCCCACTCGGGCACGCAGGCGCCAACTCTCACCATGCGGACTAATTTGGTCTTCACAACCCCTCCGATGCCCTCAATCTCGTGCCTCTCGTACCCAGGACCGAGCTGGGGACTCGGCGTGCGTTCATATCGCACGGTGTCGAGGTGCACCTGGTCTGTGGCCGTCCACAAGTTCGCGCCGGTGACGGCCGCGTCCTCGGCATCACAGTCGGTCTCGTTCTCACGCTCCTTGGCGTCGGCGCAGGCGGTCTCACGGCCACAAATGACGCCGCGATCGCCCTCGCCGATGCCGGTTCCCAGGCCACCGAGGACTTCTCCGTAGTGAGCCCGCCACTTCCAGATGCTGCAGCAAAGAGCCAACGTTAGCATGGCGAGAACTTGGCAACTCGGCGTGGTGAGGGAGGGGAGGGTAGGTACCGCTGGTAGTCGTGGTCAGCCCCGCGCATGCTCCGCCCACAGGGCTGGCACAGCCAAACGCCGTCAACGTCGCATCGGCAAATCTCTCGTCGCACCGCGTCGTCGAGCAGAGGCGTCTCTGGCTCCAGGGCTTGGTTAACGAGAGTTGCGATGGGGGCCTTTGTGCATGCCTTGCACAGCCTACGGTGACGCTCGCGAAGAGCATTGTGGGCTGGCGGTTTGATGGCGCAGTTCTGTTCGCAAGCGTCAGCGATCAACTTTACTTGCTAATCCTTCTATCCTCCCCGGCCATTGCCTCAATGCTCTTGGTACCCTCCCCACGCTTTCACGTCGGTAAGGGAGCCGCTCTCGGTGGAAGGGGCCAAGAGCATGTGGCAAGGCATAGGACGGCATACCCTGCACACGACGGTCCTGCACCTCCGGCACTCCGTCACCAGGTCTCGGGCACAGCTGCCGCTCTTGCCGTTGTAGTTCCGACCATCTTCCATGTAGTACCAGTTGCCGGCCCTCGCACGAAAGCGGAAAGTGGACTCTGGGTCGACGGGGGCGGCCTCGTTGGAGCAGTGCAACGTCGAAGAGATGAGTATGGAGCGGTATTGCAGCAGGCCCTGACGGACCTGGCGTGAGGTGCGGGCGAGACTGTCGAGGGTGTTGAGATCGATGTGTTCAGCTATTGACATGACGATGCTGCGGGATATGGTGTCAGATACGATGTGCCTGCCATATGCGCGTGATGATGATGGAGAGAGTAAATGGAGCTTACGGGTAGCAGCCAAAAGCCTCGGTAGCAGCGCATTGAAATGTCGGTGTTGGCTCCGATACGGGAGTTGGTGTCACCAACGGCACTGAGGCAATTGCGGGCTTCTCGAGCGTATGTTCGAGCTCGCGACTGCTTGATCCCAGTGCATCAGTCGCAACGGCGGCGGCAGCTGCGAGGCGGCGTGCCTCGAGAACGTGAAGGGGCTCCATGTCCTCGTCGAGATCAACAAAGACGACCATGGTGCTGGGCAAACCGTCGCCTGGGCGGCAAAGAGCCTATAAATTGATTGCGATGGACGAGAAAAGCTCAAGCTTGCGTAGCTGCCGATCTTCACTCGGTTCCTGGGACCCGAGCCGAGCTGAGCTATTGTGATGAATGGACGGAGTGGGGTTGGAGATTCCCCCGATGCCGCAGCTTTGCCTCGTTCCTGACGGGGGGGCCAGATGATGACGCAGGGTAGATCTTCGTAGATCTTGTGGAGACAGGACGGATTAAAAGGTGCAAGCAAGCAGAAACGGATGGAGATTAGTGAGTGGAAGCAACTAAACAATAAGAAAGTTGATTCTCGAGTCCATCGTAGGTTGACGATATTGAGGAGATGGACAATGAAAATGCAGGTGATGGGAGGATGATGTTGGATACCGCCAGGGGTTGGGGGTTGAGGATGAGGGAGGGTCAGAGACATTGGCCCAGCTGGGAAGTGAGAGGGTCTCGGCCAGATGAGATCAGCAAAATAAGGCACAGGACCTCGGATGGAAGGACACCAGCCTGGACAACGAAGTACCTGACCTACTAACCTTACCTCAGTACACTAGGTATCTCCCATCACTGCAGCGCACGACGACAACACCGCGCCGAATCAGATTTGAGATAAAAGAACAAGTCAAAGCCTCATACCGCAGAACGATTACAATCGTCGTGTAATCCACAGCCGAAAGTACAAACGTCGCACAAGCTTGAACGAAGCACATGTGTTGGGGATGGCGACATGTACTTCTCAGTTCGCTGAGCACTATTCGTAGCGCCTTCTTCTTAGCCAGAACGCCCTGTGGCTCTAGTCACACGGGCACTTCAGCGGTCCCGACGATGTCCCTCTGCCTGCCCGTGCTCGAAGCACTGGCCGAAGCGCACACTGTGCTTTTTGGGAACTGGCAAGTTTCTTGATTCGACGGGGCAGGCCCCGAAATCCGGAGGCCGTTACCCCACACCGAGCGCTCGACCCGCCAAGCCCGTCGTCGGCGATGGCCAGCCATTTCAATTCTGTTAGCTAATATTCCCGATAATGCCGAGAAGAATGGTCTAGTCTATGGATAGATCAAGAGATAGATCAGTGATAAAAACGAGTCCTCGGCCTGTCAATGCCTTTTTTTCTGGGGTTAACTTTATTTCGACTCCTCTTAATCACAGGTACCCGGCCCGGTTCCAGCTTCCGAACTTTCGCGGAGCTCCGCGTTGAGTGCGTGCACCGGGCCGGCCGGCCGTCTCCGCCGACGACCGCATTCAAGTAAGAGCAGCGCCGGAAGACGGCTCCAATAGTGTACGACATCTTCTCAAGCGCCCAAGAGTAGAATAAGTCCTCATTCTGCTTCACGTTGCAACGAGAACGTAATAAACATCCCGTCACGGGCTTTCTTTTGTTTAACCACAATGATTGCATCGTTTTTCGTATGGCCAGCAGCGCGCAGAAGGCAATCGACCCTCCTTAAGCCTCGTCATGCGTCAATCCAGCAATTTTGCTAAGATTCACTCCCTAAGCCAACAGCAGTACGATTCGATCGTAGGCCCGTCGACAGCAAACCCATCTGCAGGACATGTAGCCAGTCGTCATTCTTGCCAGCCACGGGACGTCTTGACCATTTGGTCGAGTCGCGTTCTGTAACAAGTATTGTTGCCAAGTGCATTTGACTATGTTCAGCATCTTCACACAACTTTGAAGACCTACAAAACCAACATCTGAGCCATTAGAGTGCGCATCGAATATCACCAGGGGGTCGCAGAATGTCCTATAAATGAGAAAAGTCGATGATGCAATACTAGCTGGCTATGCTCCTCAGAGAAAAACACCTCACCTATAAGACAGCTGCGGCAATTCCGGATTGGATCGTCGGAGGGCGCAGCAGCACCGCCCCGGCTCACACATTTATGCCGGACTTTGACGGCAGCTCTTAGTCTCGCAGTTGATCTGCGGGCGAGAGGCAGCATCCCTGATTCAGGGCGCGGCGAGGATACAGGGCTGATGACCAGAAGCCGGTTTCTGGTCCAGACGCATATTCTTGTTGCTATATCTGACGGTGGCGGCTGCAGGGGAGTTCGGGTTATGGCGCACCCCCTGTCTGAAGACAGCGGGCGACACAGACGTTCTCGAAGCGGTGACTCCACCTCATGATGGCTGTGCCAGTGTCTTCGGGATGCTGACTGGGTCTCTCTGGTTGGGACTGCCAGGCTCGGATGAAGCATAGCTTGTCTGAGGGCTCGCCGTGGTTCATCCCAAGCAAAGTGACAGCCTCTTTCCTGGACAGTCTTCGATCTAGTGGCATTTCCGTTGCGAGCCTTGCGAGGCAGGATCCATTTGGCCTGGCCCGAATGGTTGTTGTCGGGGTATCTAAGAAACGCATTGACTCTAGTGACAGTCTGGCAGAAAAGTACCATGTCTGCGAAGGCCTTGACTCCATAGTAGTCAAGAACAAGAGAGAAGAGATCCATCAAGGCCCGCTCGCCAAGGAAGGCCGTTCACTGTCAAGGTCGCATTGGAGCAAATAAGGCGATTCATCATCGATCCGCCATGCTAGAGGAAAGGCCAAGAAGTCAGATGAAGTCAGATTCGTAGTCGACCTCGCGAAGGCCGAGAGGAGTCTATATCGCGGAGTGAACTAGTTGCCCATTCTGGGATGATGCTACAAGAGCGGTCTCATCCACAGATGTGTTAGGTCCCTGTGCAATTTCAAACAATCAAGAGTGTTAGCAAGGAGTCAGGGTACCAGAGGGGATGAAGACCGCCGAAACCGAGGGGGGAGGGCAGCGACGGCGGGCGGGGACGGGGGAGACCGGCCAGCGATCTCCCGCATGGGTCGCACAAGCCAGACCTTATTCACCGTTGACGTGTTGCAAGATCGACGAGCGGACTAGTGTGATCAGCACACCAAAAAACAGCGAGGGTCGAGAGGGGCGACGAACCACGGTAATGGTGATGCATTAAAGGTTGCAGTGAAGAATCTCCGAAGGCTGTTATGAGTTAACGCACGGGAGATGGGTCTGGGAGCTATAGCAGGTGCGACTCTGCTCTGCTATTCATCTGTCGGCGCATGCGAGGCTCCTTTGGTTGTTGCGGTTATGTCATCGGGCCAAAACTTGACAGGAGATGGGCAGGGAAGGAGGAAGGCTGTAAGTCGGGAGAGGATCCACAGTCGTCCCAAGTCTGCACGAAAGAAGCCTCCTGCAATTAGCCTTCGTGAAACCAGAGCAGGGGTGCCAGTTCCAGGATGTCGGACAACATACCATCAGATGATCAGATGGAAGAATCGGGGGTGAGTGGGTGTAGTTCATGAGGGAAAGGGCAGGCGTGTGCAGCCCAAACAATCAGGGGACAGCACGTGACTTGGGGTCTTTTCGGTGAAAACGGAGGACTGGCGCAAGGGGTGAAGCCTGAAGGGGTCGTAGGGGTGAAGTGATGGAGGGTGGAAACACTACATAGTATGAAAGTTGATTGGACGGTGGAGAACCCGCAGAGTCCAGAAGCCCTGGAATATGCTAGGGATATCTGGTCAAGAAGCGAAAAGCCACAGTCTATCCGTCAGGTACAGAGAAGGGAGTTAGGATGAGGCTGAAGTTTTCCACTTGGGAAAATCAGCTGAAACAGGAACAACCAGGTCAAGGAGGACAACCATGTTTGGGATGAAGAGGGCGTGGATGGGGTCCCAGGAGAAAGGCGCTGGCATCTTCAAACGGCCAAGTGGGACTTAGCCGCCATATTTTACAAGCAGCAGCACAACACAGCCCCTCCCGATTGGCTGTAATTCTCCGATGACAACGGCGGTCACGTCCGATTGATCCTCGAACCCCCGCGAAAATCATGCGCCATCTCTCCCCCCGGTCCACTCTAGCGCCTCCGTAGTGGCATCCCCGGCCCCCGACTCCATCCCATCCAACTTCCCCCTTCTTCGGGTACTCAAAGTGAACCTCAACTCCTCCACCGACTTGCCCCTGAGCCTCCATTCGACATCTCCTGCCCCCAAGCCGGCTCCCTGAAGTTTGATCCAATCCAGCGGAGTTCTTCTTTTCAAGTCCGATGCTATTGGGTCAAAACATTGGACGGCGAGCAGATTTCGATACCGCCTGGTCCTACTATTTCCCCCCCGCTTACACCCCTGAGCAGAGAAGTTTTTCTTGCTCAGGAACCACTCCCTGAACCCACCTCCCAGCTCCCTTACTCTACCCACTGTTTCTTTCCCTCCAAGCTGGGGGCCTCCTGCCTTGTTTGGATGTTTAGAACTTCGGAATGTTCTCGTTCGGGTGGGCCTTCCAGACACGGCTCGGAGAAAATAGCAGGAGGACGGCAGGACAGAAACGGACGCTTGTAGATCACAGGAGAACTAATGGGAGATCACTGTTGCTGCTGCACAGTATCGCAACGACACCACGGAGCCATTGCTGGTGATTATTTTGATCTACAGATACCGTTGCATTCTTGAACAACAACTCCTCATCTCCTCATATTCCCATAAACTTGGTTATTGAGCTCCGCTCTTTTATTACAGCTTCTGACAAGAAGACGCGTATCTTTTAACGGTGCCAAGGTGTGATATAGGCTGCAACCCTCGGCCAGATCATCCCGTTATGCATTCACCTCCGTCCCGAGCCCACAGATGTTGACGCCTAGTCACCCCCCCGTCATCCCACTTGCTATACCCAGTCATCCCCGCCAGGAACACGGCCGTTGCATCGCTTTTGGGTGACATCGATGACCGCCAGCCGCACACCTCCTCCTCCCAGCATGTTGGTGATCCTCCCAGGGCGAAAACTCCGTTCGCGCCCCCTCCCCGGCAAAGGCCTCCTCCGCCGAGCCAGCCTGACTGTAGTACGGCTTCGCCATCGCTTTGGGTTAGAAATCGTGAGACGTTCGGTCGGAGAGCGGGTTGTCTGCGGGGCTAGGGTAGGGGGATGAGCTTATCCGTCGTCTGGCGTTTACGATTCCAAGAGAGGGGCAGGCCCGCGAAGTGGAGGGGAGTCTGGTTCAGGAGGTGTAAGCAGGTATCCGATCGGTCGAGTCGAGAGCAACCCCGGTTCCGAGGAGGAGCAAGCATCCATCTCTACTAACATGGCTTTCGAAAGGAAAGAGGCAAAAGGATGTTTACAAGAAGGGCTGGTTTCCCGTCTCTGGCCCGGAGTCTTGTTTCCCATTAGCTTCATCTTTACCAGTTTCTTCCTTTCTTTTCGCTTCTTTCTTTTCCAAGCATCCTGTCATTCTCTTCTCGGTGCTAGTCGCCCATTTCCCTTGAAGGGCCTTGCTTCATTCCATTCCTTCATCACCAACGATCCAAACGAAACCAAACAAGCACGAACATCCAACTTGCGAAACACTTTAGCAACCCGCTATCCTCCCCCACAAACAAAAAGGACATCAGCTGCTTCACGATCCTTTCAGCAAACATGTTGCTCAAATCAGCCGTCCTCGTCTGCCTCCTCGCGGAGCTCGGTCTCGCGAGCCACCACCAACACGCCAACAAGCGTCAGGTGGCACCCTCCCCGATCCTGTCGAGCATCAGCATTCCCCCTCCGCCTCCGTCGAAGGGAACCGGTGTTTCCGGCCTCAGCAGGGGCGGCCCGACGGGCATCTTCCTCAACACCTCGATCCCCGTCGCCACTCCGCAGGTCTCGACCCTGACTGAGGTCGCCACCGTCACCTCCACCCTCGAGAACGACTCGACCGTCACCGAGGTCATCACCACCGAGCGTACCGTCACCGTCTCCGCCCCCGCCGTCATCCAGCAGCCCCAGGTCATCATTATCTCCCAGGTCACCTTCTTCCAGTTCATCTCCGCCCTCGGCGGCGCCCCACCGGCCGTCCAGCTGGGCGAGCAGGGCGGCTTCGTTGTGGGCGGCCGGCAGTTTGGCCAGTTCCAGTCCGCCTGCAGTGCTGCTTGCGGCATACAGTTCACCCAGTGCCAGAGCATCGCCGGTCGGAACTTTGCCATCTCTCAGTGCCAGACCCAGTTCGTCAACTGCCAAAACGCCGCAAAGACCGCCACAGTCACTGTCTCCGTACCCGTGACCGTCACCCAGACCGTCATCCTGCCCAGCGGTCCCGTCTCCGGCGGCAGCAGTATCCCCTCGGCCGTGGTCGAGAATGGCGGCTCCGTCATCGCCACCACCACTCTGCCCCCTGATGCCGGTGCCACCATCGGATCCGGAGGTGTGAGCTTCGTCACCGTGCCCGCCACTCCCGCCGCTCCTCCTTCTCAGACGCCTGCTGCCCCTGAGACTCAGGTCTTGACCACCACCCTCCCGGCTAACCCCGACCGGCCCTCCGCCTCCCCGGTCGTCTCCGTGATCACCATCACCCGCCAGCCCGGATCTGAGCCCTCTGCTACTGGCAGTGCGTCCGAGCAAGCCGGCTCCGTCGAGACCTCTGCCGTCGTTTCTACCCTCCCTCCCAAGAGCGAGGGCGGCGCACCCATTGTCTCCACGATCTTCATCACCAAGACCGGCAGCGTCCCCGTGGCGTCTGGGGCCGTCAGCTCCGTCGATGCCGTCGCCGCCAGCTCCGCCGTCGTCACCACCCTGCCCGCCCAGAGCCCCGGCGGCCAGCCGATTGTCTCCACGATCTTCGTCACCGCCCAACCTCCCGCTCCGTCCAACGAGCCCAGTGTCTCGGAGCAGGGCAGCCAAGTCGTCACCTCCACCATCAAGACTACCCTCCCTCCCAAGAGTGCCGGCGGTCAGCCGATCGTCTCTACGATTTACGTCACCGCCCAGCCTCCCGCTCCGTCGAAAGAGCCCGGTGCCTCGGAGCAGGGCGGCCAAGTCGTCACTTCTGCCATCGAGACTACCATCCCTCCCAAGAGCGCCGGCGGCTCAGCCATCATCAGCACAGTCTACGTCACGGCAACAGTCCCTGGTGGCGTTCCTGCAGCCTCCGCCTCTGCCTCTCGCCCCGCTGAGCCCCCCAGACCCAACGAGCCCAAGACCTCGGTCATCACAATGACTCTGGCCCCTCCCTCCGGCTCCCCCGTCATCTCCCTCGTGACCGTCACAATCCAGCCTACCGTAGCTCCTTCCGGCACTGCCCCAGCCAAGACCGAGGCCGTCACCTCCGCCCTGGTGTCCACTATCCCCGCCGAGGGCACCGTCCCCCCTCGCGTCACCACCGTCTACGTGACGGCGCAGCCTCCCGCCCCTACCTCCGCCCCAGCCCCTCCCCGCGTCATCACTGTCACAGTCGGCTCCCTCACCGGCGTGGTAACCATCAGCGACACAGCCCAGAGCTCCGCCTCCGGCACAACTATCGCCTCGGCCCTCCCCAGCGCCGTCAACGGAGGCAGCGGCGGTATCGGCGGTAGCGTCGGCGACGAGAGCGGCTGCAGCTGTCCCTCGGCCGTCACCGTGACCGTCAGCGCGTGCCCCACCGCCCCCATCACCTCCGTCCTGACCCACACCGTCTCGGTCGTCCCCAAGGCCACTCCGGCCGTAGTCAAGCGCGCTGAGGGCGAGAACAAGCGCGACGCCGTCTACCACCCCCGCCGCCACGGCCATGCCTTTGGCTTTTAGTGAAGGGGTGGTGGTGGTGGTAGTTTGAGTAGAAGAAGAATTAGGATGTGGCGGATGGAAGAAAGATGAGCTTGGCAGAAACGCTAGAGCTTTTCGAGTATGACAATCTTGTTATATATCTCTCCCTCTCTTCTGTCTCAAACTCTCAAAAAAGACAGCATGGGATATCAGTCAAACCACAAAAGAAAAAAAAGATGAAATTGATTGAAAAAAAGAAAATGGACGAAAAAAAAGATCAAGGAAAGGAAAGGTTTTTTTCTGCATATGACACAGATGAGATCGATTGCCTCTAGGCAGACAGCTGTGCTGGATTCTGGCCGGAGCAGACGGAAACGCAAACTTGTTCGGACGATTTTGGTGAAAAGGGTCAAGGATTGGAGTAAGATTCTTTTTGGGGTTTTTGTGATTTTCTTTCTTCTGTTGCATTGTACATGTTCTGTCCGTTTTTAGAATAGATAGAGCCAGGTCCCAACAACGGTCGATATCCCACCAATGTCAACAGGATGCCACAATACCCCCGTTCCAAAGCCCTTCTATCGCCATGTCGTGATGCAAATTACCTCTCCCAAAAAAAAGATTGCGAATATCAGTCCGGCACTATTCATCTGATCCTCCTTCAATTGGGTCGCCGTCATAATCAGGCAGCCCTCGGATATTGGCACGTCCATCCTTAGCCTTCTTCATTCTCGATTTGCCCTTGGGTCTACCCCTTTTCTTGGGTTTGTCATGTATACTCAGGTGCAAGACTGGCCCGGGATCTCGGGTTGATGAACTAACTAGCCTACCGACAAAAGTTTTCGGCTTGGCAAATTGAAATGGCTGACTTGCATTTCCGCTCATGTCAGAGTCAGATGGCTGTGCAATCATTGATGCAGAGTCCATGACTGGTGTTGAGGCAATATCAGATGCTAGAGACTCTGTTCCAGCCTGAGGTATGATTGAGTCTGAATCTTCTGCCCTGATAGTATCTGCGATATCTGTGTGAGTGTCCTCATGGCGACTGTATTCTGGTAAAAAGTCTGCGCGGTCTCTGCGGACGGCCATGTCTGTCTGGCCGATCCTAAATTTTGGAGACTTTGGCGGCGTTGAAATCACATCGTCATCATCTTGGTGATGGAGCGTTCCGTAGGTGATAGATTCTTCGGGGACAAGAGTTGAAATGGGGACCGTAGAGCTTTGAAAGTGGTTGCTAGCAGAGCTGCTTGATGGCCGCAAGTCCCGTGCAGCTTCCTGACATGCCTCTTGGAACGTAGTATCTTCATTATCGTCAACATCCTCGCCGAATATGAAGCTCATCCATTCCAAATTCATGTCTGCTTTTGCTGAGTATAGCACCGGTGCAACATGATTGACATCTGTTTCCAGAATTTGAGGTATGAACATTGGTTTCCCGGCATCTTCGTGCTCTGTATCTGGGGGTCTTGTGCTTTGCTCGTTTAGATTTCGCTCGTTTTGGTTGTGTGTCATTTCCTCCTCGCTATCCGACTCAAACATTGGCGGCAGTTGCCGCGTCACCGTGTCACGGCGACCATCTGAACAGGCTTCTATACGCGCGAGTATGCTGTCCCGAGGGAGTTCATCATTGTCGTGATAAAGGTCGTCTTTCGTAAGGTCAGCTGATAAAGCAGAAGACCAGATCGGCAGCGGAGATGACGATAGCCGGATCTTTTCTATAGAATTTCTTGGTTTACCATCATTTTCGCATCGGAGGCTGAAGTTCTTGGACTGATTAGTATGCATGTTGTTTCGCGCGGTGTTATCGCAGGGAGGGTCCGTAGACGTGCTCATCGGAGAATGGTCGAATCTTGGCCCACGGGCTACTGAGCCGCTGGAATGGAGCATATTGCTGACTCCGGGACTGATATCAACAATTGTGCCATTTCCACCCAAATCCTGCGCGGACGCTGTATCTGGCTGATCATCATCAGACGCCACCATCCTGTGCCAACGCTCGTTTTCACTCCTTTCCCGTGACGCAACGTCTTGCAATAGGTTGAGACCGACTTGACCAACGGTACTCCCAAAGAGATCGGATTTTGGTGTTCCCGATCTCTTACGCAGGACAAGCTGGCTGAACCTTTGAGGCACGGGATGATAAATGATCGAAGGAGAGGATTCAACGAACATCGACCGGCCTTCTTCCTGTAGACGATCAAGCCTACTTGGGTGGCTGGGTGATTTGGACGGTCCTGAGGAACTCGGAGTGTTTCCATGGCTCGCAGCACTTTGGCCATGCCGACGCTGTCTCGAACTTTTAGTCCTGTACACTAGCAGTCTTCCAGTGCTGCGCGATTCTGCAGGGTCAGGGCTCTTCGCAACGTTTCGAGACGAGGGCTGCTGAAAGTATTCCGACCGCCGTAAGTTGCTCGACTGAGTGACAGTCGGGAGAGGGCGAATCCGAGAGCTTCTTTTCGTGGTCTGACTTCCGCCGCCGTATCGAATATCTTCACTGCCAATTCTGATCCTGACGTCTCTGTCTCCGCCCTGCGTGCTGGAGTAGCTCATAGCTTTCCCTTGCAGTGGTCTCCTGCTACTTCCATCCTGCTCCCAGAAAGGGGAAGATTGCCCCTTGGAGTACTTGTTGCGAAAGCCCCAGATCTGACGTCGATCCGAGCTGCCACCTCCTGAAAAATGGATAGGCAGCGACTTCTGGACATTGATGCCAGCCCAGTCGCCTTTTTGCAGCAAGCGGAGTCTCTTCGCATCCAGAAGCTCAGGTCCATCGTCGGCAGGTTTTCGTTTCTTAGCAGCACGCAGTGAAACACGTTTTTGTTGAGTGCCCTGATCTACCGTGAAGAGATTTTCATTCCGCATATGCTGGCGTGGCGACGTATGGGGGCGGCGATCCTGAGAACCGTCACGTTGGTTCTTTTGATGCTGAAGGTGCGGCGAATTTCCTAACGCGACTATCGGGGAGCGCCTTACAGGATGCACAGAAGAGTTTGGCTGACGGGAGAGAAAGGAAATGGGTTCAATACTGGGCTTGGACGGATCGCGATATCCCGAGCGAGCTTTTGCAAAGTACTGCTTCTGCTTAGCCAGCTCCGAATTCCAGCCCTTCCCTCGAGAATGCCGAGCCAGGGCCCCTTCAGTCCAGTTCATGATACGAACACGGCGTGCAGAAGTCGGTTATTGGCGACGATGAACAACGCGGCCTTGGATCGTTTCGTCGGCAGATGGATGAAGCCAAAGAAGCACGGCATGAGTGAACAGACGCTGCTCCAGTACCTTACTTCATTCTTCAGTTTACCTTGGTCGAAAATATCCTCGTGCAAAACGAGCTCCGAGGCAGGGATAAACTTCCCAATTTGAGAACATCTTGCATTGCTGTTTCCTGATATGACTGGCTACCTACCTTACAGATCATGCGATGCTTGGAATTGTTACTCCTGCCTCAGTTGTTCCTGAGGATGAGAAGGAGCACCTGCCAACAACCCAAGCCGGGAAGTTGCGTTTCCTTGCTGCCACACTTGCTGCTTCAACGAAACGACCCCTATTTTGCTGGCACAGTACGAATGCAGCTGTTCCTGCCGCCCGCGCACTGGCGCAAATCCACTCTTTCCCCCAATCTGCAGGTGGAAGAGGGAGGCGGGAAGGGACAGCCACTCGGAGCCTTCCATTGTTGCGTCTCGTTGCTCGCCTTGCCTTGCGCTTTCAGGCACATCGTGGCGCGCTGTGACACATCAAAGTCATCCTCCACTTGGTCCCTTAGTGGTCCTCCATGCAAGTTCCAGAACGCCCTCTCGTCTTACCTCCCACCGCTTGTCCCGGAACGATGCTCCGAAACTAATTACTGACCGCCGTCGGCCGAACACGAGTCTGACTCAATCTGGCTCGCGACAAATGTTGACTGCGCCCTGCTGTGGGCTCGTGTTGCGTTGCCATGCCATGCACACACATCTTCGGCCTCCCCCGAGGAAAACGACAGGTTCCAGAGTAACCAAGTGGCTTGTGAGAAATAAGGCCCGGCTCCCGATTCCGATCCCCACGTCGTAGTGAAAGTTGAGGTCGAGGTCGAGGTCTGACACTTGTCGCGGCCGACGTCATGGAAGCGGTCTTTGCTCCCGGCCTTACTTGGTCGACTTCCTCTGGCAGACCTCCTGAAAGACATCACACCGAGCCCCATGATGGTATCGCCGCCACTCTGGGACGGCTTCCCCCAATCGGCTATTCCAAAGACGTCATTTTGATCTCGTGAGACTTTCGATCGGGGGCCCTGGCATGCCTCGCCCAGGTGCCCCGGCAGTGTTCAGCCAAGTCCCGATCGTGGCGGGTGGCAGCCGACCAATGAGAGAATTACTGTGTGTCAACGCTGACCACTCAGCGACGAGACCGGCGAATTCTCGTTGTTCGTAAAGTTCGGACGATGGGAAATGCCAACTTTTCGCATGCGTTTGAAGGGGAAAAAGTTGACGAGGAAAACCAGCGAGTTCGTGGTTGAAAGCGACAAAGGGTTGAGCTTTGCAGATAGACCGTCGGTCGAGATGGGTCTGGTCCATGGACTGCCGGTGTGGGATGCGGACATTGCCTGTCGTCGGGGTAGCCGACCGCAAAAGTCTTGGGCCGTGGTGGTGCTTCCGTGCCTCCTTTGCCGGCCGCTGCCGCCGTTTCTTGCCCGGTCTCGGCGATCTGGCAGGCGAGCCGATTCTGGAGAGTCCTGGTCAATCAACAAGAGGGACACCATCATCCACCCTGCCCATCCCAGCCGGGCCGGCGCCCAAACCCAACATGGCTGCACCACCCACATTTTCCAAAAATCTCCAACAATGCGGCACTAGCCCTCGGGTCGGACCCAAACAGCAGCTGTACGCTCTGGACGGGGTACTTTTCACTGCACCTCATGTTCGCAGCGTCCCCATGTCACTGCCGCGGCTCTCCACCAAGTAAGCTTGTCAGCTGTCACACACTTCACCGAGGTCAACGACACCTCGTGAAGTTACATATCGTTGCCTGTCAACCGGAGTTGCGAATAGCAAGAGAGGGAAAGATGCTTAGCAGTCGAGGGCACTATGGCCGCGGAGGAGTTTCTTGAGAGATTGACGCCAGTCTTTAAAGAGACCATGGAACCGACACGGCTCCTGAGAGAATTCAATTATTCTGCACATGCGCTTTGGCCAATCAGCGCCCAACGATAAGCCAGCAATGCGAAATGCACCATCCCCCACTAGCGTCCCACACCTTATGCTCTGGAGACACCCGAGATGGAGGTCTCCTGCAGGTCACATCTGGAGATCAAGTTCCATAATGGAATCATCAAAGTTTTACCTGAGATTTGTCTAGGAACGGCAATGGTAGGCGGCTTCCCAGAGTACATTCAGCATACAGCCTGAATCAACCATGGTCGACGACATTGTGCGACGACAAGGTATCCGTATGTTGAGGGGTAATCGTGTACCCGGTGATGGTACGGGGGTTACCACTGGCCGGTGGTCCTACCCTACCGAGAGAAAGAGTTGCGGGGGAGCTCCGGAAGAAGAATGTGTGTGATATGGCCGACTAGAGACCGACTGAACATGCGACGAATGCACAGCTTCCCGTCCCTCCAGCTACCAGCCTTCTTCTCGCGGGCGACTCCAGCTTTGTGCATCCTGCAGTGTCCGAGACGTTTGGGCTGCATATAAGCCAGATATTCACTCAAGTCTTGCAGGGACGGGTCACGGCAGGCCATGTGGACTGGGTATCCCTCCGAAGATAGCTACGACAAGGTCGATTCGTGGAGCAAGAGCTTGGGGGTTGCTTGGGGGTTCGCTGACGAAAACACCACCGAATATTGGCCGGAAGGACAGGTTGGCTAGTGATTCCGAAGGTTTGGACTCAGCAAGATGGCCATTCCGCTGTCGGAGAGAAGATGCGATATGGGGTTTCCCCCGAATCCCCCCAACTGACTCGGGGCTGGTTGTAAACACACCGTCGCTCACAGGATACCGACAAGAAGCCATCGCACTGACCACAGATCCGACCTCTGGAGCGCATCTGGTCCAGAGCCAACATCCCACCCCACCTTTTGCCCCTCGCCGCCGCATTATGGGTCGGCATGCTCGATAGCCTTGTGGTGGGATATGCGACGGCGTTTTCTGATACCAGCCCAATTTGGGAGTCAAGATGACACAGATGTACAGATACCTTTTCAGAATGAATAAGGGTCGCCGGGACATACCCCACCAGGGGTTACAGAAGCGCACAAGGAGACGCACCAAGCCCAAGACAATCAATGTCGAGGGTGGTCGAGATATCACAACTGCGAGGAAGCGGGCAAAATTTTCATGCGACGACAAACTGCACCAAAAGGCGGGAGCTGTGCCCGCAGCCCGTACGACCAGGCGAAGGAAGCAATTCCTCGAGGATTTTTGCCTTTCCTGCGCCGCGGGCAAGCATAGCCATGGCAAGGATTAGAGATAATGATGATAGGAGAATTAGCGCAGGTGCGCACGTCGCCGTGCCGCGAGGAGTTGCGCCGGCGGAACGAGAAGGATTTGTGCGATGAAAAGGACGTTTTGATTCTGGAGCCAGTGAGAGTGAGGGTGCGAGACTCTAAGTGGCTGTATCACAATCCTAGGACCTAGGGTCCTTTGGCGGGGAAAGACTAAAGTCGAGGGAGTGGTCGCCAAGCTGACGAGGTGGGAAAAGTTGAGGTACCTGACGACACCCCCCAAGCAGACCGGAAGAGTACAATGCCTTCCCAAGGAAAATTCCGCGCCAGGAATATGCACGCTGTCGCAATATAGCCATGCGATCGTCGGCGTGGAACCCGAGCAACCAAGTTGCAAGCGACGCTACTTGGCCTCGGGGTATTCAGAACCGCCAGCAAGCCATGTGCGGAGCCCGCACCGGTTCAAGGAGGCGCTCTGGCTAGCCACCGGGCCCCGGGATTTACGAAGACGAGAGTTTGCTGGAATCCAATAGACTCTCCTTTCCGTTCTGGAAGCGAGATTCAGACGAAACGCGGCCTCACGAGTAGTCGGCTGACTACGGATAAGTTACCTACTCATTGAGCGGCCGTTTTTGCGCATCAGAGTTCCAGGACCTCCACTGGCTCTGAAGGGCGGATGCCACAGCCACAGCCACAGCCGTGGTGAGCAGCGCTACTGACAGCGACAGTAACAGCGGCGGCGAGGGCGAAGGCGACGGGCACGGCGGCGGGCGACATTGCACAGAAGCACCTCAAAGTCCAAGGATAGAAACAGCGGACAGCGGACCGAAGGACGTGGGCCTTGTAAATGACATGTTCCGGTACGTGCCCCGCGTTGTGGCGCGGTAGCTTCTGTGGGTGAGAGGTACCTTGAGTCGTTAGTCGCGATACATCTGTCTATCTCTGCCTGGGTCTCTACAGTCCTCTTTCCCGCAGCTATACGTCCACCTCACAACACTCTGTACCTAGAATTCTCCTCATCTCTGTATAATTTCATTCATGGTTATTGTTGGGTCGGCGGTCGCTGCTGCAGCAGCTAGTCGCAGACACTGCCGCAAGGGCGGTCCCGGGCGACATCTGAGTGGCTGGTCAACGGGCTACTGGGTGCACGTCGAAGTCATTGTCACACATTTTCATCAGTGATTTTTCGTACTTATCAGTCTTGGAGACTAGGGTTGACATAACAAAACCACCCAAGTGGAAGCGGAAGAGGAGTTTCCCAGGGGACATTTACGGAGAAGAGGAAGTTGACGATACCTCTAGAGGTGAAAGGTCCGCCCGCCGCATTTCCGTTTCCTACGAAGACATGATGCCGTCGGTTCAGGACCGCGGGGCCGTCTTCAGGCAGTAGGGATACTTGGGAGACCTGTGATAGTCGTGGGCGGGATGGCAGGTGCAGCAGAAAAAAGGCACATAAAGGGTGGGAGGTGTGCGGGTGAAGAGGGTGTTCTGAGTTCGGGCAAAGTACCGCGACTTGGTGGTCGTGGGACGCTGAGAACCGAAGCAGAATTGGCATGTATCTGTGGTCCCTCAAAAGCTGGGCTGGCGGGCGAATGGGAGGGCACAAGTTTCCGGGGCCACACCCCACCAGCCCACCCCTCTCACCCCACTGCAATCGATACCAGAAGCCAGAACCAGCCATACCCCTGCCGCCGTCAAGGGCAGGTAGAAGCAGGCCTTATCTTGGGCTGAATGACCAAAGAGGGACCTCGAGGGACCTGGGCGGGAGCCAGAAGCTGCGCTCTTGTACCGGTTGCACATGAGCTTTCGTCGCCAACATGCCGGTCGTCTGCGAAACGAATGAGGTATCTCGACGGTACCTTGCAGATTGCTGGCAGCACCAGGCAGTTCGCTCGATGCTTTTTTGACTCTTGAAGGCCAGACGACGGGCAGAGGAAAACATAAAACCCTCATCCGCCCGCTTCGACTGCTCTTATCGCACCTGCCACTTACTTTACCAACCCATCCTCTGACTCCTCCCGTTACAATCCCATAGATCATTTGATCTCTACTCTACACCTTGAATTTTTCCTGATCTCGAATTGGACCTTGTTCCCTTTTCCGTTTCAATCACATCACACACAACCGCAAAAATGGTAAGTCCCATACTATACCCCACCACGTCATATCCTCCCTATCGCGACCAGAGAGCGCTCGTTCTTTGCCCCTCGAGTCACGAGAATGGATATTCGCGCACGAAGAAGGAAAGGAGCACGTTTGCTAACATGCGTTTTCCCTCCAGGCGACAGAAGCTGCCTTCACCTCCAGGCCCGACTCTGTGAGATCACACCCACACCCTATGCTGAGCCCGGCGTAGCTGGAGCTTGCTTCCAGCCGTCAGCTTTGCGCATCTCGAATAAGCAATCATGCTGACTCGTCGAATAGCTGGCCAAGTACCTGAAGCTTGACCAGAAGGGCTCAATTATGGCCGAGTACATCTGGATCGACGCCGATGGCGAGACCCGTTCCAAGTCAAGGGTATGTTCTCATCTGCCAACTTGTTCTTCTTTTTCCTTTGGCTTTTCTGTGTTCTCCCCGGGCGTGTTGCGGTGCTTCAGACGTTCTACCTAGCCCGCGTTTCCCCCGCGGGATGGTACTCGCTCAGCTCTTTCCTGTTGCGATGCGACACATTTTGAGCTGGTTCATGCCTCCTCTCCTACGTCTGTGTCGACGGTTGCAGCAACAGGAAAGCTGGGGCAGCGGGTCGCCGTGCTCTGGACTCATCCCCCTCGGGACGTCTCCGAGTTCCGGCTGGAAATAGCAGGCAAAGGCTGCGGGCGAGCGAGCGGCAAGAAAGGCGGCGACGACATGCACTGGGGCTTGGCGGGGGTCAAAACACACACCACCTGCCCCTCCAGTGCGCGTGTCTGGTGGTGGGTGGTACGTACCTGTTCGGGTCTGGGTCTCATTTCTCGAGGCCACGGCCCAGACTGGCTGATAGGCTTCGATCACGACTCGACCCTGCAAAGAACCCCACCACCGTCCGCCTGGCTCCAAGACTTTTGCCTCGCCTTCAGCTGCAAGGTTCATCGCCGCGGCTCGGCTATTGGAGGTCTTGCAGGTCGCTGCTGCAACGTCCGCCCCTCATTCTGGCCGTCGGCGCGTTTTTGGTGAGCTGTCTGGCCAGCCGCCGGCCGAGACGGTTGCTATGCTCCACGCAAGGCCCAAGGTTCCCAATGGGGCCACTGGAGTAGCTCCGCCTGGCATCGTCAGCCTGACGGCAGAGCGTGGCGCTTGATGTTAGCCTCAAAGGCCAAGATGGCCCACCAGCTTGCTTGCGCACGCCTCTATTCACATTTACATTATCTTGCCAGACAAAATGACCACGAAGCTAACAAATATGCCTCCCTAGACCCTCAAGGAGAAGGAGTACACCCCCGAGGACCTTCCTATGTGGAACTTTGACGGTTCCTCCACCAACCAGGCCCCTGGCGACAACTCTGATGTCTACCTGAAGCCTGTCGCTGTCTTCCCCGACCCTTTCCGTGGATCTCCCAACATCCTCGTCCTTGCCGAGTGCTGGAACGCCGACGGCACCCCCAACAAGTACAACTACAGACATGAGTGCGCCAAGTTGATGGAGGCTCACGCCGCCCACGAGCCCTGGTTCGGTCTCGAGCAGGAGTACACTCTGCTCGACCTTAGCAACCGCCCCTTCGGCTGGCCCGCTAACGGCTTCCCTGCCCCCCAGGGACCCTACTACTGCGGTGTTGGCGCCGGCAAGGTCGTCCAGCGCGACATTGTCGACGCCCACTACAAGGCATGCTTGTACTCTGGCGTCAAGATCTCCGGCACCAACGCCGAGGTCATGCCCGCCCAGTGGGAGTTCCAAGTCGGTCCCTGCACGGGCATTGAGATGGGTGATCACCTCTGGCTCGCTCGCTTCCTCCTGGCCCGCATTGCTGAGGAGTTCGGCGCCAAGGTCTCTGTTGAGCCCAAGCCCATCCCTGGCGACTGGAACGGTGCCGGTCTCCACTCCAACTTCTCCTCCAAGGAGATGCGTGTTGAGGGTGGCATGAAGTACATTGAGGCCGCCATCAAGAAGCTCGAGGGTCGCCACAAGGAGCACATTGCCGTCTACGGCGAGGGCAACGAGAAGCGTCTTACTGGCCGCCACGAGACGGGCTCCATCGACCAGTTCTCTTACGGAGTCGCCAACCGTGGCGCTTCCATCCGTATCCCCAGAGAGTGTGCCCAAAAGGGCTATGGCTACTTTGAGGATCGTCGCCCCGCCTCAAACGCCGACCCTTACAGAATCACTGGTACGTTCCTCCAATCGCAAAGACATCTGACAATGCGACAGTATGCTAACCGACCATGCAGGTATTCTGATGGAGACTATTTACGGTACTGCCGAGTAAGGCGGAGAAGGAAAAAAGAAAGGATGGTATACCCTAGTTCAAACGACTACAGGTTGTTATGAATATGCTTTTATCAGCGTGTCGCATAGGTCAGACAAGGTTATTACGGGTCAATGAGGATTCACAAGGTTCAAAAATAAATAAAACACATTCCCATACTACCTTAGGTTGCAAAGAAATTGTGACAAAGAGCTCCACTAGCTCTGCCGACTTTGCGTACTCTCATGAGAACGCAAAACGTCCTCAGCCCTGCACAGAGGAATTAGGGAAAGTAGCTAAAACGTCATAATCCTCCGTTTTCGCAAACCTCATTTCATCCTTGCCGTCTCAAGGTCCTATTATGACCGTTTCTCATAGTCGCCTTTCGGACTTCCCCGTTGCGATGTCGTTGGTTTTGACCAAGTTCTTTTCTTTCGGGAAAACGCGCGGTTTCACGGGAGGAAATATTGGGTTCGCCCATGCTTAAAGTTTTATGAGGATTTAGCAGGGGCTAGGGGGGGGAAAGACCTGGTTTTAAAGTTTTTGATGCCCAGCCGTGCCAGCCTCTTGTGAGGAGTTGAAAGATTAGACGAAAGGGCGTCACTATGTGCAACTAAGTCCCGCCCGGGACTCTGTTTTCACGGGTGACACGATCTCCATCTGATGAGGGGAAAAAAAAAGTGTCCAGGTGAGGTGAAGGTGTGTGAGCCTTAGGCTGAGCTGCTGATATTGATCTGAAGAGCAAGGCAGACGTGACCTTGTTTTTGTTTAATGTGAGAGCCTTTCTTACAAGGGTGAGACAAATTCTTTACCCAGGGCGGTGAGAAATATCTTGGGATGAAGGTTTCTTTGTGATACATGTATGGTGGATAAACGGTTTGCCAGCAGTGGTTACCAGCCAGCCTCAATTTTCTGAAGCTGACGCAGCCTCTGAGGTTGAAGTCGGAAAATCGGGGGGGAATTAATTGCCGATGTATGTACCTACCTATGTGTTTGTCTGATGTTGGCTACGAGGATATCATAGAGAGGCTGGTAGAGGAAGGGAACAGGCGCCCGGCGAACGGATGGGATTGCGCGCCGATGATGAATGCATTTTTGAGCATACCTATCGAGACGGGATGGGGATGGTTGCTTGACCGGGGTGTGTCTGGTCACGGGTATCCGGGGCGAGAAGAAGCAGAAACCTGTAAGTGTGGGACCCATGAAATCCACGGCAGGCTCATTGCAATCGCATTGGGCTAGAATCATGGCTAGAAGTACTCAAGTCACACTTGATGGAGTGAAGTCAGGCGATGCTTGAGCTAATGGTAGCTACTCTACGGATACATTGGATGAGTTTTGCCAGATGGACGTTTGTGTGGAGGTAGAACTGAGATGGCAACAGCGAGTTGACATTCCAGGCATTAGCATCTGAGCTGTCGCATCACATCATGTACTCTACATTTCGGTCAGACATCTCGGTGAGGCAGATCTCACTCCCAAGAATTATTTCCAACAGCTACCCACCAGCTAGCTTGACAGCTCTTTAGTCTGGTCTGACTTGGAGTGCCTAGGTGAAGTTCCGAAAGCTTGAAGTTCCGGGCCCCGCGTCTTATCTTATCGCCAACGTGGGGTATCCACTAAGCCCAACCAAGACTAGCCGCCAGGTAAGAAATTCTCAATTGAGAATCTTTTTTTTTTATTTTATTTTGCGTATCGGCATTTTCAACTCCAAAAAATTACTACCAGCGTCCTTCACGACGATACCATCAACTTTTGCGCTTCACCGCAACAACAAGCTCGCCCACGCCCGCAATAACCCTCTGTACCTCTCTCAACTATACAACCGCAACAGCCTCCGGGAATTTGCTACAATAATATCACAATGGCAGCTACCGTGGGACCCCTCCCGCAGGTGAAGCTGCCCTCGGGCCCGTCCCCTGTGACGGCCGAGCAGCGATACTGGAAGTCCTTCAAGAACCAGCTCCAGATCCCCTCGCCGACGTCCTATCCGATCACCCACATCTCTTCGACTTCCTCCGATGGTCTCTTCGCCGTCACCACCGGCACCCGCGTCCAGCTCTACTCCTCCCGCACCCGCAAGCTCGAAAAGACAATCACCCGCTTCGCCGACGTCGCCCGCTCCGGCTCCCTGCGCCGCGACGGCCGCGTCCTCGTCGCCGGAGAGGACACGGGGCGCATGCAGGTGTTCGACACCCACTCGCGCTCCATCCTCAAGACGTGGACGAAGCACCGCCAGCCTGTCTGGGCCACGCGCTTCTCCGGCGCCCAGCCCACGACACTGCTGTCCGCCTCCGACGACAAGACGGTCCGCCTCTGGGACCTCACCGCCAACGACCCGCTCAATATCTTTGTCGGCCACTCCGACTACGTCCGCTGCGCAGAGTTCTTCCCCGCCTCCTCCCCCTCGGGCGCCGGCAACGTCATCGTCTCAGGCTCCTACGACTCCACCGTCAAGATCTGGGACCCGAGAATAGGCTCCAACGCGGCCGTCATGACCTTCAAGCACGCCGCCCCCGTCGAGTCCGTCCTCCCGCTCTCTTCCGGCACAACCCTCCTCGCCTCCTCGGGCCCCAACGTCTCCGTCCTGGACCTCGTGGCTGCCCGTCCCATCCACCAAATCGCCAACCACCAAAAGACCGTCACCTCCCTCAGCCTCGCCTCCAATGGGACCCGCCTCGTCACGGGAGGCCTCGACGGCCACGTCAAGGTCTTTGAGACGACCGGCTGGAATGTCGTCTCCTCGACAAAGTACCCCTCGCCCATCCTCTCCCTCCGCGTGCTCCCGGCCTCCGACTCGGCCGACCACGCGGACCGCCACCTCGTCGTGGGCATGCAGTCCGGCGTCCTCTCCATCCGCACGCGCCTCACGGGCCCCGAGGCCACCCGCCAAAAGGAGCGCGATCGCGAGATGGCCGCCCTCCTCGCCGGCACCCTCGACGAGCACGACAAGGCCGCCAAGAGCAAGAAGCGCAAGGCTTCGGCGATGCGCCGCCTCGAGAGCCTGGGCGAGGGCCAGGCCGAGGTCATTGTCGCGCAGGACGCGCGCGCCGGCCGCGTTGCCAAGGAAAAGGCGTGGGAGAAGGCGCTCCGCCACGGGCGATACGCGAGCGCGCTGGACCAGGCGCTGGACCCGCGGGGTAAAGACCACTCGCCGCTGGCGGTGCTGACGCTTCTGCTGGCGCTGCGGCACCGGTCCGCGGTGCGGGAGGCGCTCGAGGGACGCGACGAGAGGACGGTGCAGCCGGTGCTCAAGTGGACGTGCGACCACATCATTGACCCGCGGTACGTGAGCGTCTGCGTCGAGGTCGGGATGGTGCTGGTGGAGCTGTACGCGCAGTACGCGGCCGACAGCGCCGAGCTCTTCCAGGGCTTTAAGGCGCTCAAGAGGAAGGTCACGAACGAGGTTGACAGGGCGCAGACGGCGTCTTCTGTTGGGGGCATGGTGGAGAGTTTGATTTTGGGGTCTGCTTGAGTTTTGTTTATCCGTGTCACGAGTTGTTTTGTTTCTTTTGCTTTCTTTGATGGAGGTGGGTGGGTTTTATACCCTGTTGTCTTTTTTTTTTTTTTTTTCAAACGTGGCATCTCTGAGACTATCTGTTCAAGTCGCGAGAGTTTGAATGCTGGACGAAGTGACCTAAACTCGATGGGCTCTTGAGTAGCTTGGGGAGGGAATGAGAAAGGGAACGACCACGACGACTTCGATGGCTAGACTTCCGTCGTCATGTATACTGCCAGGGGCTAGGAGAAGGAGATAAAAGCAAGAAGAGGAAGAAGACGTTCAAAGAAAGGTGAAAAAGGGGGTTCATGATGCCGGCCCTGTCTCGAAAGAGATCTGGGACGTCGATTATGGACAGCGGGCTGGATCATCCTTGGTCAACTAATGCATTGCGATGGCGTTGGGGATCGAAAAAAAAAGTAGGAAGGGGGTTTTTTTAAATGAAGATAATTGTGTGGCGTAGAATGGCTACACATAGACCTTGATAAAGACCTGATTTAGCCTCTCTTGTAAAAGGCGATTCGGCTATGCAGAAATCGGGACGTCGTTTGGTCTCTGATCCGAGCTATAACATGTCATTTCGCCTTGAATCGACTTAGGCTTGTGACCATTGTGAAGTCATTCTGAAAATGCCACAAATAGGCTGAAACTGACTGTGCAGGACTACGCATTTTGGCGAGTTCTCTTTCTGTGTACCTCATGGAAGGAATATAGGCAGAAGATAACAGCAGTAGTAGGTGTTGCGCAATGAAAAGGTCTTGTCTCTCAAGAGACCAGCATAGGTGGTATCGACGACAAAGAAGCAGAAGCCTCAGATGTGAACCTATTTGGGGGTTGGGGGGCAGGCTGTTGGTTGTGGAACGAGAATTCTTTCGCTTTCGATCTGTCTTTGCTGCTCTTGGGTTGTCCAAGAGCGATCTTGTGTGGGAATGAGGATCCTGCGGATGAGACGACGGCAATGATGTGATCTTGAAAGCCTAAAGTGGCAACTGTATAACTCGTGATGTATCTGTCGTCGCAAGTCATTGAGAGGCTCTGCTACCTATCTGCATTTGACCGCAGCACCGCATTGGGTCTGGACACAAGTGCAAGCTTCAGCTAGGTGCCATGAGCTCTAATTAGGTACATGTAGTACTTTGAGAAAGACGTACGAGCTCGTTGGGAATGTTGCGCACAGTGAGTACACTGAAAAAAATGCGAGGCTCTCGCTGCTGACCATGAATCCAGCAACGCGTAACCAGAGGCCATCAAAAGCCCCTTCATTCTCAATCGTATCATGCGGATGCCGTATTCTTGGCCATCTTCCACAGTGAGCTCATGTGTCCCAAAATGAAGTGTTATGGTAAGCACGGTTTGGTCTAATTCAATCGCGCACAGCTTCGGGCCAAGGCGTTTTCTAGGCAGCTAAGCGGTTCAAGTTTAAAGTCAAGAAAGTATGATACTGTGCAGACAAGTTAAATACATAGGCAGTTGGCTTTTGAGGCTTCATTCTGGCACCTCCAATGATTATGTGGCCAGCAAGAGAGCTCTATATGTGGAAGACAAGGATGGTGGGTATTTGAGAAAAGGGAACCGCGGATTTAGACTCGGATTGCCGACGAAATCAATCGCTCCAATTAACAAGGCTCCCGAGAAGCTAAGCTGCATCACAGTCTTTCATGAATCGTAAGTAGCTGGTTTGATGCAAGTGGCACGTGGCATCAACCGACCCCGTCAAGACTCTCAAAGTTCGTCTCTTGTTCCTCTTGTGCCGCTGTCCCGAGGGGAAAGTTTCCGAGGGGTAAGCTTTCTAGGAGAATATTTCCAAACAAGATGCAACTCGTCCGCTAGCCCGATCTAGTATCTCGACCTGGATCATCCCATGCCGTTCGCTGATAAGTTCGCTTCACATAACAACCTAAGTCACGATACTACGCCTAGAATAGAGAAGGGCTGAACTCTCCCATCACACACGCGGCTAGCAGCCCCCAAGAGTTGGCAGACAAATGCAAAGTCCGGGGCGGCAGTGCCCCCGTTTAAGAGCTGGCCTGCCATACCGTCCCGTCGCGGTCGGCCTTGGCGATGCTCAACACCACCCAATTTCTCGCCTGTGCGAGATGCTCGAACCCCAGGCTCTCAATGACTAGACGCCAATGACACAGTCTGCACGCGTGAAAGGTACCCACTCTCTTTTCCCCATATCCAGGCCAGGGATAGCATCGCTCAACATACACACGATGGCCGTGAACATGTTGAGCTCGTCGTCGCTGCCGTTGACGAATTCTGGCGGTGTGCCCAACACCATCAACAACACCTCCGATGCCTTCGAAGCGACGCCCAGCCTTCCGTATTTTGAACACGCTTGGTCGGTACTTAGCATAATTTGCGTGTTCAACGTGTTTCTGGGGCTGTTAATCATTGGAATTACGTCCTTTTCCAAGCTCACGGCCGTGCCCATTATCTCATCCGCCGCCGGCGCTATCGCGAATGGACTCTACTTCTATGCTTACTACGATAAGCCATACCCTCTCGCAAAGAGGGCAGCAGCGTCAGCTATTGGCGATATCTTCTGGCTCGTAGGAAACTTTGGCCCTCTTCCCTTTTGCATAGAATCAAAGTGTCGTACGGATTTGTTGCTGACGGTAAGTCTACAGATACAAGAAGCGGGCATGCCCTTTTATAGCTTCATCATCCTCAACAGGCTGCTAAGGGGGAAAAAACGAAAATTCTTTCACACTGTGTTCTGGTCGGCTCTCATTCTTGTCACTGCTGTGAAAGTCATGGTCATTTACTACCGTCTCCTATGCATCTTGAGGGAAGATAACAGCCTGTCAGGCATCATTATCAGAATACACATTGCCTACTTTGGTTTAATCGCAGTCAGCGAGTGTGTCAGCGCCTACTTTCTCCTTCGCATCTTCGCCGAAGTCAGAAAGTCGTCAAATGAGGCAGGACTCCGAACGAGCTTCATGCGCTACCTGATGCGCAGCACAGAGATCCGCGTCGCTTCGCTGGCCGTGGCGGCGGCGATACGGGTTGTCACGCACTCCCTGAACGTGTGGCAGAGTAGCTCGGCCACGAGATACCTTGATCGAGTTGCTTATGCACTGGAGTGCTTCTTCCCGATTATTATGTAGTGAGTTGATCAAACTTTTCACGTGAGACGGGCTCTGGAGTGACTGACCTCTTGCGCGATAGTGTTGACTTGCTGGCATCCAAGCTAGAATTTACTACCCAAACAAATGATCCTTCTTTCGCAAGTAATAGGCGACTGAGGGGCCCGACCTCGACCGAAAAGACTGCCGATTAGTAGCGTATTACAGACTGCTAGTTGTCAGCGTGCGCTGATGGCTTCATAATACACGGAATATACTTGATTAAGCGAAAGTCCATGCCTCCCTCACTTCTCTTAAGAAAAGGGGGAACTCTTTTGTGTGAACACCTCTTTCTGAAGCGTCGAGTCTAGGTGCGTCTTGGTCGCTGATCACTGAATCGTGTCTGAATGGCCTCGGCCAAAGTTCGCCTATCGTCATAGCAGAATATCCACAGAATCTATCCCGTTCAGGCTTGGCTACGCGTGCAAAGTAGAGGACTTCCATGTTTTTCTACATGCTTACATGTAACTCTTCACCTCCATGGGATCAAAATACTGGTCTGGTCAAGGTCGAACGCGAGACACCCGCCGTCCTTTCCAGTGTTGCCCTTATTATGCGCCGCTAATCGACGAGTTGGAAATGAAGTGACGGGTTGCAACCTAGCTAATGGCAGCCGGTAGCCGAAGAGGCGCATAGCCGTCGGCCTTATTTACAAAGGTAGGTAATATTCTCAAGACGAGCAGTGCCATTAGAGATTATGTCCACGATGAGGGTGAACATGACACTACCGTCTTTTAGTTTTGGTTTATGATCATGGTCGACACAACCAACTACTTCATATAAAAGCCTCTACATCGTGTACATACAGATGTACAATGACAAATTCATGCGTGTGGTCACTCAATAGTTTGTCTAATGTGTCTCCAACTGTCGTGACCCGCTCATGAAGCGAGGATGTATCGGTTTCGGGCGCTGAGGTAGGCCAGATGATAGATTCCAGGTCGCACATGTGAACCCTGCAAACTGCAAACCAGGATCGCAGCAAGGCGTTTTTCAAGATTTGGGAGTGAGGTTCTGCACTTTTCCCTGGGAGGCGCCCCCAGTCCAATGCCTCTGAAGAGACTGGCGCAGAAGATCGAGGGCGAGCGAATGAGTGACCTGGGTCCATAAATACCGGGTACGGTGAAATCGCCGTCCCATCCCCTTACAAGAGTCTGTTGGTTATCGGCAAAATGAACATCTTTTTGTTGCTTCTTGTGCTTTATTTCGCACGAAATACCTTCGCTGATGAGACTGAGTTTATATATCCTGCGTTTGCTCCCGGTGTTGATATTCCGACATTCGAAGGAGGCCAAAATGCCATATTCAACTGGACGACAGATGCCGACAAGCTTGACTTGCTTTTATGGACAAACAAACTCGATCGACCGATTTCACTCGGAAGTCAGTTTGCTTCAATGTTCACCAGATTGCTTAACATTGCATTGAAGGCTAACCGTTAATCTTACAGAGGGTATCTCGTCGAGCTTTTTCGTTTGGACCGTGGACTATCACGCCTTTTTCAACACCGACCCCGAACCCAACTCTTTCTATCATCTTTGCCTTTATTTCAATGGCTCCACAAAAGTTTCAGCCCGATCTGGAAATTTCAATATTATACAACCATCAGTGAGGTCATCCGTGTCCACTTCAACTCCAACACTCTGGACTGCACTTTCGACCTTCTCATCGAGCAGTCCTTCAGACACAGCAGATCATGGTCCTGCGACAACAGCTTCCGGCACCGAAGGCCTCGGTGCAGGTGTCATAGCCGGCATCGTCGTCGGGACAATCTTGGGGATAGGCCTGTCCGTCTGTGTAGGAGTCCTACTGGCGAGGAGAAGATACCGGGCAAACAAAGATCCTAGCGACCAGGGAACTAGTCAGGAAGGAAGTGCTGTCTTTCCGAACGCCACCCCGACTGCCGAATGCCATTCGACTTGTCTGCAAGGCACATCAGGAGGCGGGACCCTTTCTCAGTCACCCCCACCAGTTGAGCTTGGAGAGGGTAGACACACATTCAAAGACCAAAAGCTTCTTCGGTCGGGTTCGCCGTATGAGCTTGGGGAGGGTATACCCTGCGAAACAGATGTTGCAAGTCGCTGATATACTTACTACTTATGGGTTGGAGTTTGCTAATACATGGTTGGCTATGGCGCGTCGCAAAGGGCATCTAAAAGGATTGAGATATGATAGGCTATTGATAAGCGTTGATAGTAGATGTGGAATTTCTGTGTTGAGCAGTACAATATGATTCCTGATCACAAGTCTCCATCCTGAGGTTAAGATGCTGAAGACTTTAGAAAGGCAGCTCGCGCTCAATATATTTTTCTCTCCAAGCTGGCTTTTGGTACCCTTCCAAGTTCAAGTTGGTTTGGTGAGCGATCGGAAGATCAATATCGGAGTTTTGATTTACAACGAACTGGTTACCTAATCCAAAGTCTTGTACTTTTGCGGCCGTGAAGTGTGACAACTACGTCACAAAGCTGTGGGCAACCCGGTCCGCCGATCAGAACGGCTGCGAGATCAACCTGTTGGAAGCCGATAGTTCCAATGAATAACACTCACAGTGCGCATTTCAAGATAAACGGCACGATTTTTTAGCTCTTCATAGGAGGAAGCCCTTGTCAAAATTCTCTCGCCGTATGACTCAATTCTTGCATGGTAGTCTGGCAGCAAGCGGGGGTACCTGTCAAGGTGACCGAGGGGTCAAGCTCATAAGATTTACGAATATTCGGTGAAAAGATCATCTCCGTCTTATTCTTGCAATTGGATATTTTCGCGAATAGCCAGTCTCCCGTTGCCTCGCCGCTTCTAAAGTTCTCTGGACTAGCAATTGAACGCCCAAAATGCCTGACAAGCATATTCTCATCCTGGGAAGCGGCCTGGTTGCCAAGCCATGTGTCGAATATCTCCTTCGCAACGAGAAGAATAAATTGACAATCGGTCTCTCCATTCACCTTCTTTTCATGTCATTCTCAGGTGGCTGATACTCTTGCAATAGCTTCCCGGACCCTTTCGGCAGCCGAAGCTTTGGCTTTAAACCACCCTCGAGCCAGCGCTATTGCTCTGGACGTGGCGTCTCCAGAACTCGATGGTCATGTGGCATCTCATGACCTGGTCATTTCCCTCGTCCCGTTCATACATCACCCGACTGTCATCAAAGCTGGTATACGAGGCATAACCCATGTCGTGACCACCAGCTACGTGTCTCCGGCAATGAGGGAACTAGAGTCCGAGGTAAAGGCTGCCGGGATTACGGTGTTGAATGAAGTTGGCCTCGACCCTGGTAGGACACACACATTACCTCCGGCTGTTAAGAACTTTGAGCTCATACAAACCCTTAGGTATTGATCACCTCTACGCTATTCGCATCATTGATGAAGTCCACAGCAAAGGAGGAAAGGTACAAGCAGCCGAAAGACTACCCCCTCGCTAGTGTATGTAAGACTGATGTAGGGAAAATTATGGCAGATCAAGGAGTTCCATTCCTACTGCGGCGGCGTCCCAGCCCCAGAGTGCTCCGATAACCCCCTTCGCTTCAAATTCTCCTGGTCACCCCGAGGTGCCCTCCTTTCGCAGCTCAATTCGGCGTCTTTCCTTCAGGATGGCCAAGTAATTGATATTCCCCGCGAAGAGCTCATGGGGCAAGCCAAGCCGTACCACGTGATGGACGGATACTCTTTTGTAGCGTATCCAAACCGCGACTCGGTCCCGTTTCGAGAGTTTTACAACATACCGGAAGCCGAGACGGTCGTTCGTGGGTCCTTGCGGTATGAAGGAAACCCGGCCTTTGTGGCGACTTTGATGAAACTAGGCTTGTTGGATACGCAGCCACGGGAATGGCTGGAGAAGAACGGTGATGTGTTGATATTGCGCGAGGTTTTTGGACGGGCAGTCGGTGCTGCCGGGGCTGATGAAGAGTAAGTCAGCCGAGCAAAAGAAGCCCCTAGTAGGTTCCTTCCATGGTTGCTGATGCATCAAAGGGATTTGATCGCGCGTATTGATCAGCTGTGCGACTTCTCGAACATCGCCGAGAGAGAGAGAATCATTGCCGGTCTACGATGGATCGGTCTGTTCTCCGATAAACCGGCAACCTTCCGTGGGAACCTCCTGGACACGCTTTGTGTGGAGCTCGAAGGCCTCATGAGCTACCAGTCCGGTGAGAGGGATCTGGTCATGCTCCAGCACAAATTCGTCGTTGATTGGGAAGCTGGTAAACAAGTGAGTGTGGACACCATGCATCAAACACTTCATATGAGTTGGGACTACTTTGCTGATGTCCTGTGTGAACAGGAGATAATCACATCAACGCTGGAGCTTTTCGGAGAACCGAATGGCAGTTCTGCCATGGCTAGAACCGTAGGTGTGACCTGCGGCATTGCTACCCAGCTACTGCTCAATGGCGAGCCTGCTCTGAATGATCCGGGTGTATTGGCACCATACACCTCAGAAATCTGCGACCCAATCCGCAACGCGCTGGAGAAGGAGGGTATCAAACTGGTAGAAAAGACACTCTGACTGAACCAATGGCCGTGAGCAGTTTTCAAGGCTGAGCGAGACACCCTTAGACAGCTACAAGTATAGACAGGTACTCTACGTCGCACTGAGAGGAATGAAGGGTTAATCTGTCTGTTTTCCATTTCATTCCATGCTAGCTTCGCCAAACCCAAACATTTTGACACTATTCCTCCAAGCCGCCTCAGCGACCTCCTCCACACTCAGCCCTTTCAGCCCTGCTACGACAAAAGCAACCCTGTCCATAGCACAGCTCTCATTCCTCCCCTTCACCATGAGCCCCAGCTCGAACTTGTCCTTCTTCTTGCTCTGCGGCAACGCCGGCGCGTTATCGAGATATCTCTTTGCAACCTCCGAGCCCGCCGGTATCTCACCCCACGGCGCGTCCGTCTCGATTTGTAGGCGCTCCAACGGAATGTCGCGCACCATTTCCAAGCTTTCTCTGTCCTGGAAACTGAAGCCATTCACGCTGACGTCGAACCCGAGCTCTACCAAGGTTCCCATCTGGGCCGAGGTGCCCACAAAGGAATGGACCAGGCCGCGGCGGGGGAGGCTGGGGATATACGGCTTGATGGTCTCCACGAAGTCATCGTAGGCGGCGCGACAGTGGAGAAATAGGGGCAAATCCAGCTTTTCCTCGACAAACAGATCCAGCTGACGCTTGAAGGTGCGCATCTGCGCTTCCTTGGACGCATGGTTCAGGCGGTCGTAGTCGAGGCCCAACTCGCCAAACGCGGCCAACGGCGATGATCCGTCTTTGGATGCGGAAATTAGGGCTTGTCGGACTGTCTGCGCCAGCTTCTTGAAATGGGCATCCTCGCCACCGTCTTCCTCGGCGTCGGGCTCCGCGGCGTGATACGGATGGATGCCAATTGTCACGAAACACGTCCCCGACGGTCGCGACTTCGCGATGGAGAGGTTCGTGGCCGCGTCGCTGAGGGACATGCCCGTGAGCATCACCTTGTCGACGCCTGCGGCCAAGGCGCGATCGAGGACGGCATCGAAATCTGGTTGATGGTATTGCTTGCCCCTGTAGAAGCCCGCAAAATCTTTTGCTGTCGCCGTTACCGCGACCTATCGCTGGCGGTCAGACTTGGCGTTGGGACTTGATGCAAGAAGCACATGTAGTTCGCGGTGGCTTAGAAGTCCTGAACTCACATCTGCAAATCGAAGCTTGGTCTTGGCCTTGGGCGGCGCATTTGCCGGGAAGCCGGCCAGCAAGTCCGACGTCATAGCTCTGCTGTCTCCTTCTGGAAAACTGCTGGGCTACGTTACGAATTTGTCTCTCCGTACTTGGGGTTCTTTCTTTGCGTGATACAAATACATTGATTTCTTTAGTTGGCCTGCAAGGAGTCTTGGTCTCTCAAAGTTTCCTCCTTCTTCAATCCGCTTCGGGGGTAGATGTGCTAGTGGATCTGATGGCTTGGCGGGGCCGGTCTCGGCCGGGCCGGCCTTCGGATCTGGAAATTGGTCTGGGCTGATCCAGGTCTTAGAGAAAACATAAGCATCGTGATACTGAAACTCCGAGCGCCTGGCTCACCGGGATATTGATAGTTGCTTTATAGGAGTGTCTCTCACACCAACATCAAAATGTCCCTCTCTTAACTCACGTTCATATTGATTATCCATCTCACCCATCTTCTCATTACTTGATCAGTCCAAAACGAACCACAATATTGAGAAACTATTGAACGAGGGTACGATTAGAGTGTGATGACTTTCAGTGACTCAGGCGAGATCGTAAAGTCAGGGTAAGTATGCCATGTGTAACAAAGGTGGCATTTTAGATTCGCTCTCAAGAATGTGGTACCTAATTCGCAGCGCGCCATAGTGCCAAAAGACCTGAGCCGTTGACACAGAATTTCAATACTATGATTATTAAGATATGTACATTAGTAGGTAGACACGAGTCGAATTGGCAATGGAATCCTGTTAATTGAAGCTGACCCTCAAAGACAGCGCGCTCACAAATTGCTACACAGGCAATGATCCCGCTTCAAGCCAGCTCCTTCTCAAGTGAATCAGCCATCAACCCCAGCGTGTCAAATTTCCAGTCATATACCTCGCGATCCCTATTACCCATCACCGCACCAGGCCGCACAATCCAAGATGACTTGATACCAGCTTCCTGGGCCGGGTGGTGATCATGGAACTGGCTCTGCGCCGTCTGCAGCACCTGCTGCCTCTCGACCCCAAACTTCTCCTTCACCTCACGGAGCATGTACTCAAAGTTGCGTTGGTCGGGCTTATACGAACCCACATCCTGCGCCGTGATGACGAGGTCGAACGGCACGCCCGCGAGGGGTCCCGCGTTGCTGAGCGCGAAGGAGGCGCGGTCGACGTTGGAGAGGACAACGAGCTTGTAGTGCGTCCCGAGGCGGCGGAGGGCGTCGACCGTGTCCGGGAATGCGGGCCAGTCGCCGACGGAGTTGCCAAAGGCCTTTGAGGCCTCGGCGGACGGGGCGGACGCTAGACCGAGTTTGGCGGCGATCTGGGGGTGGATCGCTGTGAGGAGCTGCGAGTAGGGGAGGCCAGGGGTTGCGGACTGCTGCTTGACTTCGCATTCGTGGTAGGCGTCGAGGAGTTGCTTGCGGGAGAAGTCGGTGCGCTTGTTGTCGTCCAGGAGGGGTTGCAGGGCTGTCAGCACGCCCGTCTCCCAGTCGATCAAGGTGCCGTAGACGTCGAACGTCAAAACGCGGAAGTCCTTGAGGCTAGCCATTTTGTCAAAGTTTGCTATCGTACTCGTGGATGGGACTTCGTCGACAGTTCTAATCTTTCAGATGTAATTGTGCGGGGTTCGATCTGATCGGCGATCTATAATCGAAGATAAGCTGCTGAACTCGGGGAACGGAGACAGGACTTTTTAATCATCTATTCAGCGAATCTCGCAGGGCGTCTATATTTACAACAGAATCCAACATTATTTACTCAAAGGGTTCCATCTGCGAGAATGAAGCTGTCGACAAGTAGCCTCCACATCGGAAGGGCGCACGATGTCAATCGGAGCGTGTAGGCACGGCCCCCGCGCCGTCCTGGTCGCATTCCGGCCCGATTGGACGATCGCGTGGAGTGGAGTCGCGGCACCGGCCCGGTGACCGGATGCAACCCGGTATCGCATCCTTTGCCGTCGTGTAAGACCGTAAGATGTCTAGACCAGGGGACGGAGAGTTTCTCGACCACATTTCGAATGGTCCTTGACCAGCTACTTCTCCCATCGGGATGAGACTGCTATCCAAGAAATTTTGCGGCATGCGTCCTGGGACTTTAAGTGGTCTCCGGCCGCGAGGGGATCTTACGGGAGCATTGCATAATAACAAGGGAATTGGTGCTAGAAAAAGTTTCCAGATCGAATGGCGTCGCCAACATCGCACAGGTTGTTCCTTTGAAACTCAATGGAGCATCTGGCGCCACCAACCTTAGGGATTTGTTCTACGCGATTTCTGTTCCAATGCCAAGGCAAGACCCCAAACTCAGAGCCAAGTCCACCACTGCCATGTCAAATTCCCATCACTCCTTCCCAACCCCCGCCAACGTCCCAGTCCGCCCTCGCGACCCCCAACACCAACGGCTTCTCTACAAACACTGGTAATACCACGGATTCAAGACACTGCAGCTACTCCCAGCCGCACACTTCGTAGCGCCAACATAACTCGACCCGCCGCACTGCCCATACTTGGTCTGCGTCGGCTCCAGAGCGGGAGGGGCTGTGGTGAAAGTGCCGCGCGAAGACGCCGCCGATGAGCTCGTTGTCGAGCGGATGCTCGATGTCGTGGACGGAGGAGGGGGCGGAACCCAGACTGTGATGGTCTCGATGATGGTATCGATATCCGTGACTGTGACTATTTGGGTTATCCAGCTGGAGACGGTGATCGTTACGGTGGCGGCTCTGGGCGAAGGAGGGAATGGAGGTTGGGTAGTTGGGGCTGTTGCCGTTGTGAATTGCGTCGCTAGGCTTGCGGCACTTGACGAGGACCGGAGCGAAGGAAGCTGTGCGAGAACCGGGTTGGACGCGAGGAGCGCTGTGGTGAGGATGCTGATTAGATGCATCGCGTGGAATTTCTCTTGTCGACTACTGCGTGGCTACTGTTTGGATTTGGCCTGGCTTCGGAAGCGCCATGCAGTCCGCGAAGCATGGCGGGTTGGATTGGTAGTATATAGAGCATTCTCGAGACTTGATTCCTGGCGAGGTTTCGGGCAGATAATACATCATTTCTGGCAATACTGGCAACCTACTATGGAAGAAGGATGAGGTTGGTGGAAGAAGCTGGTTGAGTGGGTGCTGCAGCCTACCTACGAAAGATCCCTCCCCAGCTTGGCAGGCGACTTTATCCACGTTGAATATAGACTCTGGTATATTGGCGGGATGGTCAATGAAAACTCCCGGCATGATAACATTGAGAGGCATCCTGTGTCTTCCTTTTCGGGACGCGGAGTTGTATGGTCACCTGTGCAGCCGCCATTTTCGTTTTCCAAGACCAATATAGCCAACCCATGTCTAGAGAACCATTCCACTTATGATAAGCTCTTAAGGATGGGCAACAATATCGACATGCGACCGTTGATAGTGCATTTTAGCCTGAACGCGATAGGAAAGCATCCGTAAGCCTATTTATCGTGCAATTTGGCTCAATTGTCTAATTCGTATACTCACTAAATGGTTCTGCTCGTTCGTCGAGATTGCCGGGAAGACAAGATTAGATACGAATGCATCAAATGAAAACGCGTTATTCCGTTACACTGGCCTTCTTGTCTCAGCGAGTGAAATCAATTCGTAGGTTTCGCTGCGACGGATTTATTTTACGAGTTTTGACAGTGAGATGCACTTGATGGTGCACCTGTGTTGATGAACGAAACCAAAGGATCAAGGAAACGTCAGACATTTAGACTCTTAATTCCACAAACCCGTTCCCTCAGTAAGTGCGCCGAATTTCTTGCACTCAAAACTCACACATTACACAGACCAACAGTCGAACATTGGCAAGCCCCTGTAAGTTGGACCCTGCGGCTCAATCAACCCACAAACTCTGGCTTAGTCTTGACGTCGCACGAGCGAAAGCATAGCTCATCGAGCACAAGCTTAGAGGTCATTGAGACGAACGCCGGCGAAGAGCTAAAAATACGTTACAATGGGCAGTAAAAAAGGCTTGCGACCACTGCTTAGCCCGGCCCGAAAGTGAATCGCAGCCGCAGTCCATCCGGACTACTTTGAGCCTGCTCAAGTACGCACACCCAAGCTTTCAATTCTCGCTGTGAGCCTCAATCCGGAAAGCGGCGCGGAAGCCTCGAAAAGGGTCGCATCTACCTGCTGGGTTACGGTCCGGGGTGTATTCCCCGTCAGGTCCTTGGCACGGCGTCGCATTGTTCGGTGTGCAATGCTATGCTGCCCGCATTATCGTACGATTGAAGGGTGGCCAACCTCAAAGCCTCGTCTTGTCGCCATATTCGGGTTTGGTTGAATAACAGAGGGACGGCGACTTCTGGCACTCCTGCTGACAGCCAACTCCTCTTCGTAGGATTCAGGGATCGACCATCCTGCGCGAGGAGAGGACTTATAATGATCTTCGGGCTAATGCGATGACTGGCCGCAAAGGCTCGTGTTCGGTCATCAAGTATTTTAGGGACAATCTAGTTCCTCGTTGGCCCTTTCTTGATATCAAGAATGCAGAATAGCGTTGCGGTCGGTATAGTCGGAACCTATGTGATTCGGCTGGAAAATCATCGTGCACACCACTTGAAAGCAAATGGAGGGCTGTAACGTCGAAATGATGACTTGTTTCTGATTACTGTTCACCGGCAGTTCGAGTACCGACAAATCCGGAGCTGACGGTGACGATCGCAGCAGCCTTGTGTTCCAAAAATCCGGGACCAACAGAAAAGGCAAGGTTCCAGGGTTCATCGTAATCGTTGAAGAACTCGATATCATAGATATATTAAAAACCCTGATTAGCAATGACTGGCAGTCGTCCACCATCCCCGCATGCTCGCCTTGAAGCAACGAGCAGCGATCGACATGATCTACGCCGCTTAGCTGCCAGAAATCACCGGCGCCTTACCTTACCCACCAGGGTTCATCCATGGAGGAAGCTGAATATGCCAGGAAGCCACGAGGGTAGGTCCCATTCCAGCATGTTCGGGAACGAAGATGGCGACGAGACGGACCTGCAGAAACTGCAGCCTAGCTCCGTCACTGGATCTCGCAGCGGATTGATCCATTATCGAGAAGTGACTAGCGAATGATAGCCATCAGAATCCTCGTTCCAAAAAGGGCGCGCAGCGCAGAGAGAAACAATAAATTCGATCAAGGTCATTACGACGCATATAGCGACGTCCGACGGTGATTCGTGGTCACAGGTGGCGGGATTGTTGCGGGCGTGTGAGGCGGACCGTCATGGGGTTGCCGCCGTCCGCCTCACTTTGCCTATCTCCTGCAGGCTCACCACCCCCAACCTGTAAGGTGGAACACACCCAGATGGATGGATTCCCACCCTTGTGAGAAGCGACACAGCAAAAGGCCGTATGTGGCGTCTGTCCTTGCATGCAGGCATTGTAGAGGCAGGTTCTGACGACTGAGAAGCCGAAGCGGTGAGGATACCGACAAGAGCAGCACCGAAAAGGCAAGACAAAGTGCTCCTTTTGTCTTGCTTGGTGCAATAGTATGCCTTGGGAAGTCGTAATTTCAACTCTGTCGCAGCATACGAGGATTGGCGCGCCCGGATCATCGCACTGTTGTTGGCGAAGATAAATACCTTCTTCGCCCTCCTGATCGCCGGTATCTCAGGATGATTTGCGCCATCTTGTCCATCCAGCGTGCTCGGGTAGACAGCTCATATCCCTCATGTTAAAGCATCTTCCATGTCTTCGTCAATAGAGATGAACAGATACTGGATTCCCCGGTTGGACATCCACAAGAAGATCATCACTCAAGAGCTTCCTTATTATCTCGGGCCGGATGCAACGGTCAGACCGTACACAAATGAGGTGTGAATATCTCATTCACGATGGCTGAGACGCCTCTCACAGCATCTACAGGGAGAAGATGGATTCCTCATCACCACTCCGGGCCGTTGCCTGACAGATGTGAGCTTGTCGCATAGTTCTCTTTTTCCTTCGTGCTCATCCATCATGCACATTTTGCTGATCATTATTTCTGCGTGCAGGAGCAAATCGATGATATCTGCAGGAAATCCAAGGACGTGTGGGAGCGCCAGGCGGCCATCAGAGCACAAGAGGCAGACAAGCCCCTCAAAAGACCGTTACATCAGCCGGTGGTGATATCCCAAGGGTCAAACGACTCGTCACGGGGGAGACACGATGCGCACCGAAGCCACGAGCAGCATCGACGTAACGACAACAGGCGGCGCGAGTGAAGCCGAGTGGTTCGGTGGAGCCGACTGTTGTGAAGGAGAGATCTCGCATTGGGCCAAATTTTGGATCTAGTCGTTGAACACTAAGGCGTTGCAGGCGGCCGGGTTAGCCCTCTCATGCATACAGAAGGAATTTGTGGGATTCGGTGATTCGAGGCATGCGCAAAAGGTCGTGTCTCTGGTGAGGGGAATCGATTTGTGTGGCCTGGTGGTCGCAGCGACCGGTGGACCCGACCGAACACTCGTTATTTTGACTGGTTGGGCGTCAAGCGAAACGAAGCAGTATAACCAAGTCTGTTTGATTGGGACGAGAAGAGTATGTGTCCCAAAACCATCCAGCAATAGTCCGCCATCTGGTAATTTTGGTGGTCCAATGGCAGCTAGAAAGTCTTTGGGGTCCTTTGCATACAGCTCCCATTAGGTATGTGTATGCGGAATCGTTGCAGAAGGCGCGCATCAGAGTGCAGCGCCAGCGAAGGCGACCAGCTAGCCTTCCCTCAACCTGATACCCGATTGGCGCATGTCATTCCTCTCCAAAATATCCGTAGACAAAATGCATTTTCAACGGACCCATTTGTCGTTGCAGGCTAGTAGCCCACGTATGCAGGCCGAAAATGTTTGGTCAATTAAACCCTTGATAGCATGGCGTGGCTGACATTGTACTCGGACCGTGCTCCGGCGCAAATGCTGCAGGAGTCAATCTTCAGTCGCAAGGTAAGATCTCTTATCCAAGTCTGTTGGTTCGTGGCATACGCGACGAATTAAAAGAGACAAGGTAGCCTGGTTGCGGTGGTCAGCATGACACGTTGCCTACATCGTGACCAAGGCCAATATCCGCGTCTTTTCAGGTCAGGCGGCGGCTTTTGGTCGTATATGGTGTGCCTCGTCTTTCCAAATAGTAGCCCATGGATTCATCCAGACTCCAGGTCACTCCGTTGTGAACGAAGCCTCGTATCGCTGAAGATTGAGAGGGCCAGCGGACCAGAGCATCAATGCCTGCACGGCCGCTTTACGTGGTTCACGGGTCGTCCCTTTGGCCCGCGTTCCCGGAGGAGCAGGCGTGCGATAGCCAATCACGTTCACCCATTCGCCGATGCTCGTCTGACTTGAAGTCATGGTACCGAGCAAGAGTTTAACGTCGACCAATACAACAACATCGGAACCCTTGGGAAAGCCGTGCTCTAGCGTAAGCACTGCCGCGTGCGTCGAGTACGCAGTGACACTAAAACTTGTTTAGTACGACTGAAAACAATTGATGGATGCGAAGAGCAGACATATTTTATCAAGAATAGAAGTGGGCAAGAATTGTCGCGACATACCAGCCGAGAAATCTGACCTTGTCGCCGTGTGGCCGTGTCGGCAAGTCTGACAGAAGACATAGCTGAGAAGGAGGCGGGCCACTAGACATGGCTGAGGCCGTTGTTAATCCCTCTAGTCTCGTTTGATACCTTGCATTACTCAGTAATGTGGTCGAAAGGCAAAGCCAGTGAGATGGCGGGTGAAGTAAACGTGACGACGGTCATCTGAGGTTGACAAACGGCTTGTGTCTGAGAGACGTTGTGTACATCAAGGTAATTAATAGGGATTTGGCTTCACAACTCGTCGTGTACTACCGGGCTGACAGCTGTGGCCGTCTGCACTGTTGCAAGATGGAAGTGTGCACGTTAAGATATCGATGATAAGATACGGCTTATCTGGACCCGAGGCCACCAACCTGGAAGGTCGTCGAGGCCGAGAGTCACGCGACGTCTCACATGATCGGCTGAACCGCGGCTAAATCAGGCGGCCGCTGTTGCTGGGCAGAACCGCCGTCATCGCTTGTCCACTAAACGGTATCGCTAAGCCAGTCGGGAGCTTGCATCAAACCTACCTACCTAGTACCGACTATCTGCCTGGTTCTATCTCTCAGCCTTCTATCTATCAACTGGGCGACAACTCGACTTGAAAGAGCCGCGGAATTTCGTCGCATGATACCAAGTTACTGGCAATTCCGCCTATCAGTACGCATTCGCTAAATTTGCGGATCGTTGACGACGACGAGTGCCCGCTTGCTTCCCGTTTCGGTACCCCGCCATCAAACTTCGGTTGAGTGCCACGCAACCCCGGAATACGGCTGCCTTCGAGCGATCGCTGCCTGCGCACAACCTTATAAACGACCGGAATACTTTCTATCTGCTCAGCTCGTTTTCGAAGTTCACCGAAACCTAAACAAATCTCATCATGTCTGGCGTCTGGGGCTGGTTTGGCGGCGGCGGCGGCGGTGCCAAGAAGAAGAATGATGCTAAAGATGCAATCCTCGGCCTCCGGGTCCAGCTTGATATGCTGCAAAAGAGAGAGAAACATCTTCAGACCCTGATGGATGAGCAAGACACTATTGCAAGGAAGAATGTCAGCACAAACAAGAACGGTAAGTTATCTGGTCAAACGAAGGTCACCGGGGAATGGATCCTGACGAGACATCGTGATAGCCGCGAAGGCTGCCTTGCGTCGCAAGAAGGGCCACGAACACAGCCTTGAGCAGACGATTTCTCAAATTACGACACTCGAGTCCCAAATCAACGCTATCGAGTCGGCGAACATCAACCGCGAGACGCTGTTGGCGATGGAGAAGGCTGGCCAGGCCATGAAGGGAATCCATGGCAAGCTCACAGTTGACAAGGTGGACCAGACAATGTACGTCCCCGAGTTTGAAGCAAGTATGAAGGAACGATACTGACTACAAAAATAGGGAGGATCTCCGCGAACAGAATGCGCTTAGCGAGGAAATCGTCAACGCTATCACAACGGGCCAGACCGACAACATCATCGATGAGGATCTGGAAGATGAGCTTGATCAAATGCAACAGGAGGCTTTGGACGAGCAAATGGTGGGCACTGGCACGGTACCGGTATCAGATCGCGTCCATCAAATGCCTGCCGCGGCGAACGGACCAAGTAAGGAATCTCCTCCCTCCAAGACTGTGAAAAAGACGAGATACTAATGAGACAAACCAGTCAAAGGCAAGGCGCAAGCTGCCGAAGAGGATGACGAGGAGGCCGAGCTGCGCAAGTTGCAGGCGGAGATGGCTATGTAATGGTGTTGGGTGTGAGGCGATCCTGCGGGGATGGCCGAGAACGATGGCATAGCATTCCTGGTTCGGGATGGAGCTTCTAGAGGCTTGCATGAGAATTGCGGCGCAACGGGATAAGCAAGTCGGACTTCACAGCTGCCAGAGAAGTGGATACTGCACGCCACACTCGACACACGAACATGCTCACCACTGACATCGACGACGACGATGACGACGACAACTTCGAAGCGGCCCTCGTTCACATGTTTCTCAGCTACCTGCCCTTCTTTCTCAGACTTGTCTACTGGCGTTGGCGTTTTGGGTTACGTGGTTGCCATTCGATTGGAATCTCGCGGTTGTGGAGGCTGATGGGAGGGAGTTTGACGAGCTTTTCTGGTTTGCTGGAGTGGCGCTTTTTACAGTCTGCAAGTACTACGTACACCTCACTTTTTTCATAGAAGATATATTGATTGTTGTTGAGAAGCTATGGCGAGTGCGTCACGGGGCTCCGTATGCAACGTGCTCGCTGGCGCCTCTCTCTTCGTGAAGGGCTACTTGCGGACTAATGCGTTGGAAATGCTACTGTAATGCAGCGGTATCAAGTCCGGTGAGCAAACGGGTGAGACTGTCTCGCCGGCCCATCGGAGGTACCAAGTTCTCTGTCTCAAGGGCCCCACCTGACCGGGACCGGGACAGGAGCCAGCTCTCACGTGTCTCGGCACACCGCCAGTCGCCAGAAGTGACCGATCGCGAGCCGGAGTGCTCAGGGCCCACGATCACTCTCCCACGGTGCGGTGTTGAGGTAGCGGGCGTCGATGTTGCGGAGGACTCGGCTGCCTCTCCCGACTCGAGTCACGACTAGCTATCTGTATTGTAGTGTATAGACCGGATCCTTGAAGCGAATCCGGCTTGTGGGCTCGATCATCGTAAGAGATCAAATGAGGCTTTCTTACACCGTCAATGCAAGCTCGGAGAGCGGGCACCCGGAACCCTCTATTTTGTCTTGTGGATGGAGGCGTCAAAAATTGGGGCGGTTGGGCTGCTAGGAGAGCCTTCGAAAGCCCAGGACGCTGAGGGCAGAAAGCGCTGGAAGAGTGGATTCTTTTTTGAGATGCTTTGGAAGTATTTCCCGACATGCTCATTGCCAATTAGCCGCGATATTGGCAGGTGACGGGGACACCGATACATGCTTCCTATCGGGCTCCACCATCGTTGATTATTCGAGCACCTAAGAGCAGGCTTCTCAAAGACGGAACCTTGAAATGCGTCTACTTAAGAGTAAAGCCTCAAGGTCGGTCGTTGGTTGTTCTACAAGGGTACCGGACTTACATCAGGGGAGGCAGGCATCAATGGCCGCGGTGGGCCAGGGCCACAGGTGTTGGCGCCTGTTCAAACCCTGCACACCGAAGTTCCCAGCGGTGAGGTAGCACTGTAGCAGCATCTTTCCCAACCCGCTGGCTGTGACGTGACAGCGATCAGTGCTTCCTTCCGGAAGGAAATGAAACCATATTCCTGGCAAAAGCTCGGGTTAGATGCCAACTCAGCTTTCTTCACTTTCTTTTCCGCCTCCCTGCAAACATTTCATGGATGGGAGCCCTTTCGCATAAACAACAAAACAATCGACGATCATCGACATAAGCCATGTCCACCACACTTCTGCGCCGGTTGTAGTCCACGACGTCAATCAACAGCTGGCTTCACTTATGACCATGTACCTGACAGTTATTTGACGTTCCTGGTAATATCAATATACGAATCAGCCTCGGAATCGCGATGGCTTCCCACTCAACCTCGATGTCTCGTCTCGTCATCCCAGCTGTTGCCAACTTGTTCTCCCCATCGGCCATCGGTCATCGATCATCGGTCATCAGGTCCGCCCAATACCACCAGCCATGCTCTTTGCCGTCCTCTCGGCGCCCAACCGCCGACTCGTGCGTGGCCCATCGATTCTTCCTACTGTGCCCAGTGGCATGTCGTCGGACCAAGTCGGGTTCTCGCAGGGCACCAATCGCACCGGCGGCATCACTGCAGCGGAGCACAACCTATTGACGCACCTGCTCGGGCCAGACTGGGCTACTGCACCTCTCAGACACTGACCTCGGGAGGAGCCATGCCATGTCATCCCGTCCCATCCCATATCGACATCGGCCCAACCTCCGCTAACCTCACCAACTTATTCTCACCAAACCTTTCGCCCGAACACTCCATTTCACCGTTGCATACGGATAGATGACACAGCAGATAGTCCCACGGAAACACCGTTGCTTACATGGTCACGACAATGCTGAGTTCCTCGAATCGCACGTCCAAATCTCTCCTTATGTCCTCGCAGACAGCCGAATCACAAAGCCCGCTACAAGCCGTCACCCAACCCAACCCCACCACTCCTCTGCTGGTGCCACTGTCGCTGTCACTGCAGTCACATCCGCCCCTCCCGCCAGCCGTCGTCCGGACCTTTGCTGCATGGATCTTCAGAGACGAGCCTCAGCCAGGCGAGCCACGTTGCACCTCGCTGACCGGGGGTTTAATGGCTGATGAGAAACAAACTGCTCTCGTCCACCATTGACATACCAGCCGCCGGTGAGCGTATGTGGAAGCAGATTTTCAGTCAGCAGGTGCACCAGCATAACGTCTCTAGACGCCGTCTAACTGTATCTGGCCAACCCGCGGCTTCTCCCTTGTCCACCCTCGAAAAACACGAATGGCGGAAAGAAGGTTAGGTGTACCCTCCCTTATGGTCCAGGAACTTCTCTTCCATCGGCAATCGTTTCCTTTTGTCTCGACAGGCACGTTGAGGACCTGTGCTTACAAGGATATGCCTGGCTCTAGTGGACCGGCCCATCGACCTTCCCTGCTCCGATTGCCCGATTCGTGCGAGTGCACTGGGCCAGAAATCAACGACCAGCGCAGCCAGCAATTATTAGCTCACAGTCGCTGAGTGGAGGGATGCTTGACACTTGTGACTTGACACCTCATCGAACCCAAAAAAAATTCCCTCGTTTTCAGAAGAATCTTGGAGACCCTAAGCCACTCTGAGCCCTCTTGGCCCAAGCATCCTACGTCCGTTCAACCTCTTCAGTACCACTCACCCATCATCGACGGCTGAGGATTTTGGTTGGACAGGCATTGTACGTTGGTCTCGGGATGTCCTAGTCTCTGATAGAGTCTCGTCGCAAAGGCTGGCCCAGGTGCTTCTATTCCCCATAGCCTACGCATCAATATTGGCTTCTGTGGGCAAATGTCAAGCGACGGGCTCATCCCATGCAATGGACTTGAACGGCATGGCGTTTGGAGTATGTGATCTTGAGGCCCAGGTTCGGCCCTACGAAACTACCAAAAGGGATAAGACCAGAAAAAGTAAACCACATATCCTGGGAAAAAATCATCGACATTCATGCCCGGCCTCGTTGAGCCCGTGCCGTTATACGGGTTGGCCGGTCGCTTCCAATCGCATCGTCGTTGGGCCGCCATCAACCCTCCTCCATGTCTCCTTGTCCGTCTGATGTCCCAACTCCAGGTCCGTTTCTCTGCCTTGCCTCTAGTCACATCATTTTTCACATCACTCAAGCTCCCGAGTCCCAGAAGCCGCCGTCCCCAGTCCAACCCAATTGCGACGTGGCGCCAGTGGTTCTCCCGCCTCACTTGAGCCAATGGCTCTCAAGCAAGCACGACAGTGATCACTTGGGTTCCGAGACTGCCAGAATTTGTCTCCGGTCGTGGGGACAGCGTGGGGTAAGCCTGCGTCAGGGACCCCTTACTCCCGCACCTTGAACCCTGCCACCGGCCAGTGATGCTTGTGATGTTTGGCACTGCTAGGAAAGCTCCCCCCTGCCACTCGAGAATCTACTTTTCTTCCCACAGCTTAGCCCAATTGTGTCTTCCCAGGATTGCCATAGTCGGGACGCATCTCGTCACTCTTGGTCCCTTATTTCCCAGCTCTATCCATTGTAAAGCCGAGACAAGAAACCTGTTGCTTCCTTGTCATAACTGCCCCATTGCACTTTTGTCTGTTGTTTATACCACAACACTGTCTCACAGGCGACAAGATACCTCTCTATACATCCTTTCGAGTCTCGCGATACCAGCCCAAGAGACTAGAACTTCTTAATTCGGCTTGGGCACCGCACTACAACAAGAATATTGAGAACTTGTCAAAAAAAAAAAAAAAACTCCCAATCTCATCTCTCGCCAAAGACAGCCGTCCACGTGCGCCACAAACAACATCAGACCATCTTCCCGGATCAGCATTGATCAGCTTATGCGAAACAAGGACCCCCATAATCAACAAGTCCCGGAAGCATGAATTCGAAAGAACCAGTCGACTACTGCCCCTACCGGCAGAACCTTGATTGGAGCCATGTCCAAACCCAAGACTTCTCCAACGTCAAGTATTTCCAACCATCAGATTCGGAACTGGAAAATGGTAAGTCACGTTAGATTGCGCTTTGAATATCGCATTGCCGCCTAACCCCCTCATCTTACAGAAGGCGACGTATATGCCAATGGCGTGACGTATCCCTCACAACCTGCACAGGGCAGCAGCAGCAGCAAAAAGAGCAAGAAGAAGACCAAGAAGGACAAGAAGCCGGAGCAACATACTTTTGATGAGCCACTGGCTGCCACCCCTGAACTTCCCACACCAGAACCGCCTCAAGATAACGGTTTAGCCGAATACGAGTGGCCGACAACAAAAAAGGACAAGAAGAAGAAAAAGAAGGGCAAAAAGGAGGAAGCTTTTACCCCCGCGCCTCCCCCGCCGCCGCCTCCCCATCCCGTCGAACCTGAGCCCGAACCGGAAGCTGAAATTGAGCCTGAGCCTGAGCTTTTGCCTGAACCGATAAAAGAGGAAGAACTCGTTGCAGAGGAGGCACCTGTGCCTCCGACGAAGACGAAAGAATCCTCAAAAAAGGACAAGAAGGACAAGAAGAAAGAAAAGAAGAAGAAAAAGGGCAAGAGTGGGAAAGACGCCGGACCAGAGCCAGTTGAGAGCTCAAGATCGATTCCCCCTCCGCCGCCTCCACCCCCAGTAGAGGACGCAAAGCCGCCAAAGATGGAGAATGCCCCCGCTGTGCTTCCCGAGGCTGCCATTGAGGCCGAGGAGCAACCACCAGCTGTTGAGGCGGTAGCTGAGCCCGCAGCTGACCGGAGTCTCGATGACTCCGAGGACGCAGAAAAGCTGTCTGTGGACATCTCGCCAGCGGCCGTCGACATCGTTGCTGAAGCAACGGAGTCTGCAGCCGCCAACACCGATGGAGCTGCTGCTGCTGAAGCTCCTGCTGAAGTTCCTGCTGAAGCCCCTGCTGCCGCGCTGGAGGAAGACAGCCAAGACATCATGGACGATGGCCCAGCCGTGGATGACGCCTTGGCTGCCAAACTAGTAGAAGCGACATCTGAGGTAGCAGGAGCAGCGCCTGAAGCTCTCGCCGAGGAGGTCCCAGCTGACGAGTCCTCGGCACCGGAAATAGAGCCCGTTGTAGCGGAGCCTCAAGCTGAGAACACACCACCGACCGAACCTGTTACCGGGGCTCCCGAGGCCCAGGCGGAAGCTGAATCGGAAAAGGAGGCGAATGACAAGCCTGAAGATCCTACCGACACGCCTACCGAGACAGCCCCCGAGCCAGCGGCGGAGATTCCAGTAGATGCCAAACTCGAGGAGTTCGAAGATGGAGCACTGGCTCCCACAACCGAGGCAGTCGACGAAGACAAGCCTGAGGAGTCTGCACTACCAGATCGAGCTCCTGACGCCCCCGCTGATACGGAACCTGAGGGTTCTGCACCGACAGAGGAGCCCGCCAGTGACCCTTCAGCAGAACCTGCTTCGGAAGAGACTGAGGCAGTGGTGGATGCCTCATTTGAAGTCGAGTCGGAAAATGCTGCTCCCGTCGTGGAAGAGGCAGCTGGTGACGCTCCAGCTGAAACACAGTCCGACGAAACCGCACCAGCTCAGGAAGAGCCAGCCGCAGAAGCCTCAGCAGAAGTTTCGGGTCCTGCAGATGAGCCAGTCGCCGAGACCCCCGAGGAGTCGAAGCCAGAGGACACCGCAACCGTAGAGCTTGCGGTAGAAGCGCCAATTGACTCCGAGCCTGCAGAGGAGACTCCAAGTGAGCCAGCTGCTGAGACCTCGGAGGAGTCTGCGGCAGATGTTACTGCCGATGCTCCAGTAGAAGCCAAGGCGGGAGAGTCCGCGCCCGCAGACGAACCGGCAGCTGCCGAAGTCAAGCCTGAGGAGCCCGCCACTGAGGAGGCACCTACAGAGGGTTTGCCCGAAGAATCTGCCGCTCCTGATGCTCCTGCGGCCGAAGAGATTTCCGAGGCCAAGACCGAAGATGCCCCCTCCACAGAAGCACCGGTTGCCGAAGCCGCGGTTGACGAAGTAACGGATGAACTAGCCCCAGCTGAGTCTTCAGTTGAGCCTCCAATCGAGATTGTAGAAGAGCCGAATTCTCAGGAGTCAATGCTGGAGAAGGCATCAGATGAGTCTGCGTCGACAGAAGCAACTTCAGTCCCATCAGAAATCGCATCTGAGGTCGTCAAGGAGGCCGAAACAGACGACCCTACCCAAATAGATGCTGATGCCACCAATGCCGCCGATGCCGCCGATGCTCCACCTGATGTAGCTGCAGATACTCCGGCAGCTGAGGAAGCGGTACTGCCAGAAGATGTCTCCGTAGGAACTGCAGTCGAGACACCAGCTGTGGAGGATGCCACTGAATCCACAATTGTCGAGACGGACTCCTCTTCAGATGATGCTGCGAAGCCCGAAGAGGCCGAGACAGCTCCTGGCGCCTCGGAGGAAGCACCACACCCTGACGCTCCGGTCGGCGCACCCGAGTCTGCGGAGGTCCCGGCTGAGACGACAGACGCTCTCGCCGAAGAAGCTGAAAGTGAAGATCCTGCTTCCACTGAGCCAGCAGAGGTCAAGGAAGAGGCAGCACCTGGCGAGGCCGAATCCGCGGCAACACCCGAGGATGCAGTGGCTGCCGATGCAGCTGCTGAAGAGTCAAAGCCTGACGACGCCACGGCAGAGGCAGACCCAGCAGCATCTCAAGAGGAAGGTCCTGCGGCTGGTGAAGACGCACCAGCTCCAGTTGATGCAGATAACAAGCCTGCTGAGCCCATCGCTGCAACCGAAGTAGCCGAAGAGCAGCCTATCACGGCAGACGAGGAAGCCGACTCAGCAGGTCAAACAGCAGAAGCCGAGGCCGACCCAGCAGCCGCTGAAGCTGCCGAGGCAACGGTCGAAGCAGAAGCTGATCCTGCGGATGCGTCTGAGCCTGCCGCTGAGACCACAAAGACTGACGATACCGAGCCTCCCAAGGAAGTTGAGCCTGAAGTGGACACTGAAGCCTCCAAGGAGGCTGAAGTCGAGACTCCCACGGAGGCTGCAGAGAATGGCGAACACCCCAAAGAGACAGAGCCCGAAGTCACGGGTGAAGCAACGCCTGACTCTCCTGAGACGACCGAAGTCATTGCCAATGAGACAAGAGAGACCGAGCTTGCCTCTGCTCAGGACGAATCTGCTGCTCCCAAGGAAGAGGACGGTCCTCCAGCGGAATCTGAGATGGAGGCTCCGGAGACTGCGAAGGCGGAAGAAGTTGAAGCTGCGAACGCCGAACCGTATGCTCCTGAGGTGGCCGAAGCTGAAGCTGAAGCCTCCGAGGAAGCTGCCACAGAGACTGCGCCGGACGCTGCTGCTCCAGAAGCTGATCCTGTTACGGCTCCCGATGTCGATGCCGAGAACGAATCTGCTACAGTACCTGTGTCAGGGATTGAAGCTCCTGCTGAAGCCGCTGCGGAAACTTCTCCCGAGGATACTCCTGAAGTCGCTCCTGAGGCTACTTCTGAAGAAGCCCCTGAAGTTGAACCCGAGACAGCGGCAGCTGAAGTTGAAGCTGATGTCACTGAGGAAGCTAAAGCTGAGGTTGCTGCTGAGCCTGACATTGCTCCTGAGGCTACACCAGCCGAAGCCGATTCTACTACAGCCGAGCCCATGGCACCAAAGGAGGAAGAAGTTGCCACCACACCAGAGGATAATCCAGAGGAAACTCCAGAGGACACCAAGAAAGCCGATGTCGAAATCCAAGACGCCACTGCTGCAGACGATACAGTTGTCTCAACTGAAGGTATGGACTGTTACGAAATCATTAGTGACGGCAAAGAATTCAATTTCACCGTGGCCTCTCTCTCCCCCGGAACCAAGGATACTAAAGAAGAAACAGAACATGCGACTGAGGCCGAAGCCAAGCCCGAGGACGTGAAGCCCGAAGAGACAATTCCTGATCCTATCCTGGAAGAGCCAGTTGCCGCCGTCGTCGAAGTTGAGAACGAGCCAGAAGCTCCCGAGGAGACCCCAGCCGAGACACCGGCAGATGTCGCTGAGATCGAAGCCATTCCTGAGGAGTCAAAGACCGATGTCGTCGAGACCGAAGCTGCATCAGAGGCCGAGGATTTCACCCCCACTACTGACGATGCCAAAGAGAACGCCGCCGACCCAGAGCCCGAGGTCGCCGCGGAGACCACGGTCGCGGAACCAGAGGCAACTACTGTAGATGAGGATTCTCAGCCTGAATCCTCGGCTGAGGCAGAATCGGCATCAACTCCTGAGGCCAACGACACCACCCCGGCTGCAGACCCGGCCCCAGAGACCAATGAACCTGAGGTGGAGACCGCTGTAGATGCAGACGGACAAGAGCCTGAGCCACCAACTGAGGGAGCTGCAGAGCCTGATGCCGAGGTCGTCACCGAACCTTCTGCTCCTGCGTCGGATGAAGCTGTTCAGGAGGAGACTGCAGAGACGGTCACAGATGCTGCCAACGCTCAACTCGAGAATGATGCTGCTTCTGAGCCTGAAGCTCAGCCCGAGGAGCCCGGGGCGGCTGATGTCGATGAGCCCGCGCTCGAACCAGAGGCTGTCACAGATGACAAGGAACTGGACGACAAGGTCGAGAGCGATGCTGAGGCCAAGGAGTCTGAGGCCAAGGATGCTGAGGCTAAGGATGCTGAACCTGAAGCACCAGCCGCAGAGCCTGAGGTCGAGACGGCGCAGGCTAATACAGCGCCCGCGGCGGAGGAAATCAAGGAGGCTGATCCTGAGCCAAGCGTCGAGCAAGTAGACGCCGAAGCTGCGGCTGTTCTTGAAGCTTCTCCTGACGCGCAAGAAGTCGAGCCTGCTGCTGAAGAGGCCAAGGAGTCTGAGCCTTCGGCTGAAGCTGAGACCGTCGCTGAAGCAGAGCCTGCTGCCGATTCCAAAGATCCCGAGCCTGTCGCGGCCGAGACAGAGGAGGCAGCGCCGGTTGTGGAGACGGCAGCTGAGGAGGTCAGGGACGCTGATGCTGAGCCTGCCGCCGAGACTGCCGAGTCTCAGCCCGCTGTGGAAGCTGAGCCAGCTTCTGATGTCGAGGAGGCGGGGCTCGAGACCGATGCCGCTGCTGAAGCGGGAGTCAAGGAACCTGAGGCTGATGCTGCCCCTGAAGTAGAGGATGCTCTCGAGGCAGAGGCTGCTCCCGACGCAGAGGCTGCTCCCGACGCAGAGGCTGCTCCCGACGCAGAGGCTGCTCCCGACGCAGAAGCTGCGCCTGAAGTCGAAGCTATCGTTGAGGCACCTGAGCCTGCACCTGCACCTCCTGCTGAGGAAGCTGAAGCTCCCGAAGCCGAGGTAGAAGTGGCAGAACTAAAAGAAATAGAGCCTGCTGCTGAGGTGGATACTGCTGCAGAGGCGGCCGACTCTGCACCTGAGTCTGAATCCAAAGAGTCGGAGCCCGAGCCCGACTCGGCCGATGCCGTTCCAGCTGAAGGCGCTCCCGACATTGCCGAAGTGGTTCCAGAGCCAGAGGCTCCGGCAGCGACTGAGGAAGCCAAAGAACCTGAAACGGCCTCTGAGGAAGTTGCTGCGGCAGAAGAAGTCAACGACTCTGAGTCCCAAGCTGAAGTCGTCGAAGAGGCGAGCGATGCTGCCGCTGAGCCATCTACCGTTCCAGCAGAGGCCGTTCCGGAAGCCGAGGTGGCGCAATCCGACCCACCCGCTGCAGCTGGAGAACCGGACGAGATGGATCCTGCGCCCGAAGTCAAGGAAGCGGAGGCGGAAGCGAAGGCGGCCACTGAGCCACCTTCGGAAGAGACAAAGGAGCCTGAACTCGCTGAAGTTGTAGAAGAGGCGATTCACGCTGCCGCAATTGTGGATGCACCGGCGCCAGAACCCGAGCCTGCTCAGGAGACGGAGGTACCGGAAGCCGCCGAAGTAGCGGCCGCAGCCGAATCAGTTGAAGAGTCTCCGCCTGCTGAAGAGCCCGCACCAGCTGAAGAGCCCGTCCCAGCTGAGGAGCCCGCACCGGCTGAGGACCCTGTACCAGCTGAGCCAGAAGTACCAGTCGAATCACCTACTTCTGCTGAAGATCCTGCGCCTGCTGAGCCAGAAGCGCCTGCTGAGCCAGCTGTAGAGCCTGTATCAGTGGAAGAGCCTGCAGCGGCTGAGGAGTCTGCAGCGGCTGAGGAGTCTGCAGCGGCTGAGGAGCCCGCACCGGCCGAGCCAGATGAGTCTTCTGAAGCAGCTGTAGAGTCTGTACCAGTTGGAGAGCCTGTTGCCGCTGAACCGGAACCACCAGCCGAACCAGTCGAAGAGCCTGCACCTGCTGAGCCAGAGCCGCCGGCCGAGGCAGATATTGAAGCGCCCGCGGCGGCTGAGACTGAAGAGCCCACAGCAGAAGTTGCAGCATCTGCAGCGGTGGTTGCCGCCGCCGCAGTAGCTACGGGAGCAGCGGTGGCGATGGCAGTAGAGGGCAAGCAGACGCGGTCTTTGGATGCTGAGGAAAGCAAGGATACGGTGGGACCGATTGCCTCTGATGCAAGAGAGGCAGATAAATCAGGTGAGACTTCCCCTCCTTCCTCTAATCCCGATTCCCCCGATGGAGAGGCACGGGAAGGACAGGATGGCCAAGATCCCAAGGACATCGAACCGGAATCCGTCGCGGAGCCTGTCGAGAGCGACACACCGGAACCGGAATATTTGGAACCTTTGGATGACGAGACGGCAACACCCGCTGAATCTACCGGAGGGGAAGCCCTGGAAGATCCAGCTGCTGAGGTTCAGGAGAGCCAAGATCCGGTTGAGGAGGAACCTGCCGTTGAGGAAGCGGCCCTACCGCCGTCAGATGATCCATTACCCGTCGCTGATGAAGCATCAACACCACCTTCTGCCGAAGATCTTTGCCCCGATGAAACCGAATCGCCAGCTCAAGGCGCTACAGAAGTCACTGCAGACGAAACGCCGATTGAGCAGCATTCGGAGGAATCGGAGGAACCGGGCCCGGTAGAGAACACCACTGTCGAGACTGAGCCTACCGAACCAGAATCCGATATACTTGCAAAAGAGGGATCCATTGATGAAGAACCTGCTCCCGCAGATATGCCATCAGAGGATGCAATTCCCGCAGAAGAGGCAGAAGAGGCCGAACCTGCCCCTGAAGAGTCGATTTCAACTCCGCCAGATGAAGCAGGCACCGAGGAGCCCACCTCAGCAGAAACTTCACCTGAAGATCCTGCAGCAGAAAATTCGGCCATGGAGGAGCCAATCTCTGAAGACACCCTTGCGGCCGAGGCTATTCCCGAGACAGCAGTAGAAGAGCCTTCACCCGTCGACACCAGCCCTGAAGAAGCCTTTGTACCAGAGGAAGCCATTCCCGCAGAGCCTGAGCAAGTCGAAGACTCATCAAGAGAGATCGAGGCCGCTGCCGAAGAGGCCCCAGAAGATCCAGTGCAAGTGGAACCAACTTCAGAAGACGCAGTCTCCGCGGGAGCTGAACCCGATCAGCCTGCTTCGCCTGAAGAAGAGGAAGCAGAGCCAGAGGAGCCAGACCAGACGCTAGAGGTTCCAGCCGAACCTGTTTCTGAAGCAGCAATCTCTGAAGAGCCTACTACTGAGCTTGCATCAGAAGTGATCCCCGAAGAGCCCGTCATGGAGGATGCCCCTGCTGAAGACTCGACGCTTGAGCAGCCCGCAACAGCGGAGTCGGCACCTTCGGACAATGCTGCCCCTGAAGCCACACAAGAAGACCCTGCAGCGACTGAGGTATCTCCTGAAGAGTGCGCGGTTCCGGGGCCAGTAACTGAGGAGCCCGCCGGCCCTTCGCCAATAGAGGCTGAGGAACCTTTCGAAGAGACACCAGCTGCTACCGATGTATCCGCCCCAGAGCCTCTTGTCAACCCTGAAGACGCTTATGAAGACACTGCTGCAGAGCAACCTGCTGAGCCCGAGGCAGCCAAGGAGCAATCCACGGAAGATCCTTCACCGAGTCCAGAGGCGGGTGACGGTGGGCCTGAGGAAGCAGCACAGATACTGGGAGACAACACGGAGCCTGTCGACAATGACGACTCAATTGACGAGGACACACTCATCACAGGAGTTGCTGCCACTGGTGTTGCTGCTATAGCGGGCTTAGTTACTGTCAATGCTTTCAACAACTCGGACGACGATGCTCCGGCTAGGGACGCTCCTGATACTACTGCAGCAGATTCCATGTCACGTCGCAGCTCATCAGACAAATTGACGCAGACTTTGGAGAACATTTCGATTCCAGGCGCAATCACCATGGCGGAACAAAAGGACTCAGATGTGGACGCCAACTTCAGCCCCGTACAGCGAGATGGATTCTCGGACTCTGGAACGCAAACAGACAGCTCGGTATGGGGGTTCCGGCCCTCGACCCCCGCCATGGTTCTCCCCGAGCTTTCCATGTCGCCGGTCGCCAAGGACAGGGCAAGAGCCCTCAGACGGCAGCGCAAGGTCTCTATCAAGCAAGCAGAAGAACTTGTGGCGGCTGCTGTAGTGATCTACGCCACAGCTGAAGCCCTTCGTCTACCACTGAGTCCAACATCACAGAGCAGCTCGCAACTTGTCAAGGCAATGCCCAGCTGGGAGCAGCAAATTAAGCTGAAACCGAAAAGAGCCTTTTTCTCGAGGGTTCTACCTGGCCTTCTTTCCAGACGCAGGAGTACTACCACTACGGGAGCGGATCAAACTAGCAGATTTGATACTAACTATTTTACAGAAAAGAAGGAAGCAGACCGCGAGAGGCACCGGCGACGACGCCATTCCTCGACCCATCATCCTGCATCATTCAGCAGCCGTAGCCGAGGCGAGAACGAGAGCAGAGAACATGAAAGTATCAGACGTCATTCGCACACGTCACATCACTCAAGTCGACGACACCAAAGCGACAGCGAGCGGTCTGTCCGATCCGGCGACTCTGTCCCTCGGACCCCGCCAGGTCATTCCCAGAGACCAGACAGCGGTTACTCTGGGAGCCCTCAGGAAATTTCCCAGCACCGTCGTCGCAGCGATCGTGGCGAAGGGGGTGGACGCAGCGAGCACAGTGAGAGGACAGAGAAAAGCGGGAGAAGTGGGCGAAGCCACCACCGCACTGAGCGAACGCCTGAGGAGCAGGCTGCTCATGATCGACGCAAAGAGGAACATGACCGACGCAAAGAGGAACATGACCGACGCAAAGAGGAACGTGACCGACGCAAGGAGGAACTACGACTTCCCAAAGAGAAAGAGCGTGAACAAGATGCCGAGTATAACAGGGATAGTTATAGGCACCGCGAGAAGAAACACGATCATGAACGCCAGCGTGAGCGAAACCCTGAGAACGAGAAAAGAGAGCGTTCGCGTCACAAGGGCAAAGAGCCCGAGACAATCGCCAAGCCCGAGGAGACGCCCGAACGCAGCCATCGCCGCTCTCGTCGTCACAGCACCTCTGAGCATCACCGCCCGGACCTCACTCTCAGCAAGAGAGAATCCATGGAGCCTACACCAGAGAAGCCCAGGAGATTCTTCAGTGTCAGGAATGCCGAAGGTACGACTGGATCCAAATTCCCTGCCCAGGACCCCCCAGCGCCGGCCGCAGCAAAGGATTACATGCCAATGGATTACGATGCAGGACGCCAAGAGTCTACGCCAACACGCGACGCTCTCAGACGATCAAGCACAACGCGGGTCAAGCACAGGCACAGAGATAGATCTGAAGGCGGCGGCGGTGCCAAATTGCAAAAGGCCCGCGAAGACGTCACCGAAGAAGCTCACAAGGCTGCCGAGAAGGCTGGACGGGCTGCTGCAAGGACTAAGAGGACTGAAACCGAGAGGGCCGAGACAGCCGAGAGCGCTGATAAGCCTAGGTCGAAGCACTCGGACGACTCTCGGCGCCGCGCCCGCAAGGAGGCGAGGAAGGATGTCGAGAAGGACAAAGAGAGGGAGAGGGAGAGGGAGAAGGACAAGTCAAAGGGGATCAAGGGCGTGTTCAAGCGGCTCTTTAACTAATGACTTGCGTGTGTGTAATGATTCTATGACGACGATTGTACGCGGACTATGTGTTTTACGGAAAGAGGATTAGACTGCATGATTTCCGAGTTTTATGATTATTTGGGAGAGGCACCGTGGAAAAGGCTGGATGAACTCATATTTTACTGTTTAATCGCTTCACGAATAATGTATCTGGGGAACGAATTTCAAATGTCTGATGAGCGCTGGTTACTGAATTTACGCCTCGTGCACGTCTTTGAATCGTGCGAGCAAGTGTTGTTTGGCAGCGGTTGCTAATCAAGTAAAAAGCCGCGGATAGGACGGATGGTAGAAAGTTGGGACGCGCCGTGGTCACTTGACGAACATGACCTTTTGTGAGTCGCTCGTCGCTTTTTTTCGAGAGAATCCCGGGTTGGGTTCGTTGCTTTCGCAATGGTCGGTTGACATGTAGTCTCCATTCGTTGGGGCCATGCGGGATGTGGGTTCTGAATGTGGGGTTTCCATTTGCCCGGTAGTAATCCCCAGCCGAGTGAGATGGTGGAACTACAACTCACCCCGCGCTAAGCGTGGCTTTTGCTGTTAAGCTGAAGTTCTGAACTATTGAAGTTGAGTTTTAACGTAAAATGGGCAATCGAAACTATTGAACATTTTTGATTTGACTATCTGGCTTGGATTCAATATTATAGGTAGGTATTTCTTTCGTTGTTGGACACCAACCGCATGGATACAATTCTCAGGGGGGTGGAGAGGGCCGGGGTCCGGATTGTGGGTTTCCGCCCCGCGTTCCTAACGTCTTAGTAGAATGTACCTACCTAGATCGCGTAACCTATCTCTTAAACCCCAGGTGGAAATGAGGAAAAGATCTATATTCGAACGAATTTGCAAGCAGAAGTTTCCCTCCCATGCGTCCCTTGCGGATTGTCTTCCTACCCGTCCCATACTTTCTTTTGTTCTGTCCTCTTTGGCCTCTTCCGCGCTGCTCCGCGAAATCTCAACAAAGTCCGGATTCGGCGGGGGCGCGCCTTCCGGGTCAAGGGGTCTTCCCCGCCCGTCCCCCGCGTTCCCGAACGGCCCGCTAGCGCCCACAAGGAGAAAGCATGGCCAGTGCGCTTTTTAATTTTCTTTTCTTCTTTTTCTTTTTTACCCTTTCCCAGTATCCGACAACCTTTTCCTTGGAAATAGTCAGATGATATTCAAGACAAAGGAAGAACACGAAACCAAATATGATGAAGGCATTGAGTCAATTTGAAGAAAGTCGTTGGCAAAGTGCTTGTTTTAACCAAACCCCCCTGTCTGTGATTCGAGCGGTAATGCCCATTTTCCCGGGAAGGGCGGAGCGCGAATGGTCCCGGAATGTGGGTTCCCAACGACGTCCGTTCTGTCGTTGACCCCCCGCCGCGTTATCTCTACTGTCTCCCCTTTTTCATCTTCTACTATTTCTTTCTCTCTGCCTCTCTACCTCTCCGCCTCTGTCCTTTGGCGTAGAGACGCGAAGGAAGCGCCTGCCACGCTCCGTCTGTTCCTGTTTGACGCTCCTGTGAGCTAGGTTGAGAGAGTCGCGTTCTCGGGTGGAAACAAAATGCAATTGAATCTTGGAAAGAAGAGGATAGTGTGCCATGAAGGCCTTAGTGCCTTGATAGAAGGAGATGCGTTTGGCGGTCCGGAATATAAGTTCCGTAAATCCCAGGCAATGAATGCTCCCCCAATCAGAAAGACGCTTCAACAAGCTTTGATGGAGTGACCACTGATGGAACCTTTATTTACGGATGATTCGGTTGTTATCCAATCCGTTGGGTCCATCTCAGCTCACGTAAACTACCTTACGTACGTGTCCTCCCCCGGTGGACTCCCGACCCCTCGGTTGCTGCCGCCAGGACCGAGAAGAAAAATGATTGCGTCTCTCCAAGGGTTCAAAGACAGGGCTCTTTCTATACCCACATGAAGAGTGGCTGAAGTCCTAAATCAGCTGTGAAGCGAGCATGGGGTATGGTTTTCTGTGAGTTTTCTCCGGTTATCCTGGCCTGTCTGGGTAGAGGAAAGAGTCATGCGGGAAACTTAATCAGCGGGCACTTACACGACGGACCCCGGTTGACATCGGAGAAACAACCCCGATTCGGGTGGTCCCGTTGCCCATCTGCTTTAGATTCCCCTGCCCTCGAGTTCTCGCATTTTGTATTAGGTATCCCGCGAGCATTTACGCGAGGGCAGGGCAGGGCGGGCAGGCCGTCCGGCCGAGACGTCAGCGGATTCCCTTTTCCGAGGAGCTGGAAGATCAACCAAGATTCTGCCCACGCAAGGTTCATCCGATCAGGTACCATCGAAATCCTTGTTCGACATATTCCCATTGGACCACTTGAGACGTATCTCCCAGCGTGTCATCATGTAAAGCAATCTATGTATGCTTCTCTCTCTCCCTTGTCTTGTAGATTGAGTGTTTCCATTCAAGTATTCCCGCAGGCACTGCCGTCAAAAACCGAAGTGTGGATGTAGAGAAGAGAGGCTTCCATATCAGGAACCGAATTGACGTGGCGCCCTCGTCTTGGATTGTCTCTAGGCTGTCCCATCTCTTCTTAGCGCCGTTTGCTGAGCCCGCAGGCGGCTGAAGCGGGAATATGTAATCCCTTCTTGGCTATCGAATGCTTTTATTTGACCGTTGTTGGGAATGCGAGCTGCCTGCCGCATGTCATATTCATGCCTGGACTTAGTAGGGGGTAATGAACGGTGTGGCGTACGGGTATCTACTCGGCCCGCTAAGCCTTAAATGAAGGGCCGCGCCTTTCGGTGCGGTCGAATCTTGTTCGAACGGTCAGGCGTCTCCGCAAGGGGAACGAGTGCGAGGGTAGGGGGAGGGGTGGTCAGACAGTGCCGCCTCTTCAGCCTTTGGTGACCGGCCATTGCGATGTCGAATTGGGGACTCTCAAGATGCATCCTATTCGCTGCCAAGAGCTCTGCGGGCGGTCCCGCCACCCCGTGAGGCCGAGGGCTTGTGTAAGTCTATTGTATTCGGCCTGGACCGGATCATCATCAGACCCCTTCCTTCAGCTCCCCCACCCTCAAACCCATATCGAGCTTTGCCCTGGACGTGAACGCGTGTACACAACGGAGAGCCAGCCTTGTTTAAGGTAGAGCAGTCGCAGCATGTTGCCGGCGTGAACTGCCATGAGCTGTCAGTTTCCGGTGTGACTTCCTGCGTCTCTTGGCAGCATAAGGGTTGTCCGCATGGCGAGAACGGCGGATGGGAGAGGCGGGTCCACTCAGAGATTCCGCCTATCCAGTCTCAAAGAGCCTGGGGATAGCGGGGCAAGACTGAAGTATCGTCTAGACGAAGAGATGGGGTCAATGGCAAATTGGAGCTGCTGGTCGATACTTGAGATGTTTTTTGGTGCTGTAGGAGGACTTTCGAATAATTGGCACTAGCCGCCCGAACCTCGAGCCAAATTTTTTGGAGCAAGGGTTTTGTCTACTTCGGCATTGTCAGAGAACCATCCGCGAGCGTCTTCGTGATATCCAATGTAACTTATTTATGCGTCTTCGTACCGCATTTCTTGTCATCAATTTTGATACTAGGCGAAAGGGACGAATAGAGAACCATCAACTTGTGTGCTGCCGCGGACAACTTGTCATTGGCGAACCCCGGTGGTCAATGCTCAGTCCGCTTTCCTATTGGAAAGCTGAAAAGTGGTCGATTTTCCATTCTTCTACTTGACGCATGCGGCTCGTGCGGATGTCCCCGTAAAGTTTAAAAAGGATAAAAAGACTATAGCGCATAGAGGAAGCGGGGTGCACTCACGCCAAGAGTATGGTATACGGGGCGGAGTGTCTCGGTGAACCCTCTTGCCCGAGGCCGAGAGTCGGCAAAATCGGTGGCATGACCGCCGGAACACACGGACCAAGCTCTTGACGACCGAAAAGCCACCATGATGGCATGCGGAAGTTGCCTTGCGGAACCGTTCTGTGATGGCAAGCGCTTCACGTTTGAATACCTTATTGTGATGGAGAAACTCAAGAGGTTGCTTAAATGGTCAGCTGCAGGTAGACGACTTGTGCGCGTGTCAGGAATCCGATGCATGGCATCCATCCAAGGGAACCCGCGGTAAAAGCTGATGACCACATTGGGAATTGCGTCTAGACCATCTTTGTCTAGTTCGATCACGGAGGCAGTGCTTGATGTCCCGTGCAGGTAGTCGTCGGCCAGTAGCATCATACCAGTGGATCAAGGGTGCAGGTTCGGCATAGGTCTTGAAAAGATGGCAAGCCGGAGCCTAAGGATTAAGCATATACTTGCTTTTTGGACCTCGCAGCTCCTCCGGGAGATTCGGGAGCAACCAGTAAGGTGCACACATACTAAAGAACGACGGGTGGTGACCCGGAGAGCTGAACTCTCGAAAAAGATTATCTCGAAGGGGGGTATAGAGGGGTAGAGGCGAAATTTGATGCGAGCGACTTCGGCAGCACCGTGATAGGGAGGTTGGAGATGCCAAGACTTTCTTGTCTATTCCAGCCATAGGAGACCACCAAAAACGGGGAGTCGGCGATGGCGGAGAAAATTCCGGAAGTCGGTAGTATCTCTCCAGGGATCACGTTATTTGGTGAAGCTATGTTCTGTTCTGGTCCTAGATAAATGGCCGGTTTCGAGGTAGATAGTAGAGTGTCGTTCCGTCGAATAGGTGAACCGGCGATGTTGTCGTAGCATTGTGAAATCCGCGTGCTGCTTCCCGTGAGTGTTGCCACGACGAGGTTTGGCCTGGGAGAAAGTTGCAGCCGTCGGTCGTTGTCGTCGTCGACGTCGTCGAAATGGCGGCTCAGGTAGCTCCTGGCCCCGGTGGGCTAAGACCGTCCGGTAGTAGTGCCATGCAATGCGGGAACCGGCATATGTTTAGCGCTGTGCACTATCCGCTAACGTATCCATGCGGGGGCCACGTTGGTGGGTTCTAAAAGAGGTACGAAGTTGTAGCCAGAGATGAGGCTTGCGCGGCCATGCAGGGGCGAGAAGGGGGTGGGGACAGACCCAGTATAAGGGGGTTCGGCTATTGAGGCACTGGTTTGTCTTCATGCTCTTCTTACTTGCATATTGAAACCTGTCAACCTACACTACACGAGGCTAGCATCTCACTCCGTCAGGTGACTGTCTCGTCTGTCTGAGTCTCTCTACCTATCTCCATATCTTCATATCTTCATATCTCCACCACTCACTCATGGCCGGCCGCCCCTCTCCTGTCTTGTGTCTACGATATACCTACACCCTAGTCTTCCTGCGTGACCATTGACATCATTTCCCTTGAACTCATCCCCGCAGGGAGCCAGGAATTGCGTACGCAATCGCAGTCCGATGGTGCTTCCCGCGAATAGCGCTTACGCCCGCTACGGAGACTTGACGGGAGCTTCTTCTAATCAAGCATACTTTGCTCGCTTGAAAGATGATAACGAGATTTCATTCAGAGTCTATTTACGATCAGGAGAATAGTTGTGCTGATCCGTCACACCAGAAGCGCTCACTCTCGGTTCTCTGCTGCCTTTTTGCCTTGAAAGCTGCTTATAGGACCTGAGGTAGTCTGCAACAGCCCCTCCCGCACCGTCGATAATCGAGATCCTGCGGCTGAACCTAAATTCGGAACAGATTTTGCTTTTTTGTTCCATGTCCGTATTCCGTCACCATCGCTTGGGCCTCTCCTTCTCTGTCCCGAATCTTCGCGATGTGCTTTTGATCAGCCAACGTCCGCCACTGCGAATGATATTCAACCCCACGATAGGGGCTTTCAACGTAGTGCCACGATAGGGGCTGCCACTGAGCACACGTGGAACTGGGAGAATATGCGGCGTTACCGTTACAATGAGTCCGAGAACTCCGGAAAAGCGTGTCTCAAAGACAGCTTTGCGCGGGGGAGCTGACGCGCTGCAGCTAGGACCTGCAAACATCAAACAATCTCCACCGCTGCTGGAGGCTTGATGTTGCCTTTTTCGAGTCAGAGGCTCAAGAAGACTTACAAAAGACATCGGCCACCTTTTTTTTCCCCTTTCGCGTGTCTCTCTCTCTTCCTTCTCCGTGTCCCAGCGAGGCTGCAACCTCGTTGTATGTGCCAGTCAGTCTTGGCTCTTGGCTCTTGGGACTAGCAAGGTTGGCTAAACTCTTCTCCCTACCACCGGGCACTCTGCCCTCCACCCCACACAATAACTCTCCTTTTGCCTTTTTGACACGCCCATGCCATGTCGAATGGTTTCCGTTTTTTGACGCCGTTGCATTGGAAGACGTTGACTTCGGCCACAATGGGGCCCCGGCGGCTTCAAGGATGGGATACCCTTGCCAAAACGCGTCTGTTCGTCCAGCCATACGTAGCGGGGCAACGCCACAGATTCAGACGTTAATTAGATGAATAGCTGTTTGCGACTTTCAGCTATATCCCATCATCTCTTACTACCGGCCCAATTAGACACTTCTCACCGTCCATGTTTCCACCTGACCTAGTTACGCTAACCGCCAACGGCTCTCCCGTGTAATGCTTGGCATTTCGTTCTGTCTCATTGGGCAGCCAAGGTGGGAATATCCCCCTCCTCGTTCAGACACGATGAGGCTCATACACTCTAGGGTTCTTAGTGATGAGGGTCCTTTTTAGTCAAACTGTGATCCGAAATAGGCATGGTCCATCTCAAGGACATCTCTCCAGCCCTGATCGCCGTCGAGCACCCACGGACGGAGATGGGAGACGTCAATGCCATTCCATGTTTCGTTCGCTTCGTTCGGATGGCTACCATTGCAGAAGAAACGACGGCGAGCACGAGGTTCGGTCTGGTCTGGTGGCACTCTGTTGTATCCGTACCCGCTGGCTTAATGCAGCCACACAAGCACGGATTCGATAATCCTACCTGTCTGCTGGACCTAGACGTCAGCCCACGTTCGAGCTTTGACGTGGAAAAGAAACTGATTGACCGGGGAAAGGGTCGTAGGCGACTTCTCTGCGAATCGCCTAAAATGTAGACAGACTTGACGATCAACGATGAATCTCCATCCTGTCCCACGCTCACCGGTGTCCTACTTGTTTAGCCGCCTGAACTTCAGAAGAGGGCATCATGCGCCAAGAGGTATGGAGACATTTGCTCTGCCTCCTTCGGTAAGGCCGCAATCCCAACGGTCATGTTCACCTGAATGGCGCCTATATGCAGGCTTTTATGATCCATGTACGACATCCATATCAACTGGACTCAGGGGAGGGGGGGAGAGTTAGTCGAAGGTCAGTCAGAGTGGCCCACCTGAATAAGGGAGTCAACACGCGACGATGATTCTCGGCAGCTGAAAGCGAGGAAGTGAGCACGGCGTGGGTCCTTGGACTTGACAGGAGACCCTCCTTTCTCCCAACGCTGATTTTCCACGTGAATTCTATCCTCGTATAGGCACAGTGTTCAATAGTTGCTGGCCAAGCCTGGACTTCGTCCACCGGAGTCGTTGTCACGGCCGAGCGGCCGATTAACTGACGACACTCTCTTCCTCTTCACATCTCACCAACCTCCCTGGTCGATGAGCGATGTGCCTCCCATGTGGGACGCCATCTCTTCGAGTCAAGGATGGTCGGCATGTGGCACCGAACTGGGCCCTCAGAGCGCAGCATCGAAGGGAACGCTGGAAGTTGGGATTGCGAATTTACGTTCGGGGGTATCTTGTTCTAGCCAAGACGACATCAAGCTGGCGAGAGACCCTCTATTCGGCGGCGAAGCTGTTCGCGATGGCTCCGAAGCTCGTGTTCAATTTCTATAAGATGAGGCAAACTGCCCGTCTCTGGAGGAAATTTGTCTCTTGCACCATCACTCGCTTCCTCAAGAACGGTCTTCCTTCCATCATCTCATCTGCCTCCATTCGTTTTCGAGGCATTTTCTCACATCACTTGTTCATATTAACTTACAATCATTTCCTACACCTTGTTCTGTAACTACATTGTTTCCCGCCATGTACAAATCCTCACTTTTAGGATGCTTCGCGCTCCTGTTCCCTGCCTTGATCTCTGGCGCCCCTTCATTTGCTGGCCTGGGCACGGTCGAGAAGCGTCAAGACTGCGTCTTTGACTCGGCTCTCAACCCCTCCTGCTGGGATGGCACCCACGATCTCTCAACCAACTGGTACGAGGAGGCTCCCCACACCGGAGTAGTCCGCGAGTACTGGTTCGATGTCACCAACTCCACCATGGCTCCTGACGGCGTCGAACGCATGGTGCTGTCCATCAATGGAACTGTCCCTGGACCTACCATCATTGCTGATTGGGGTGACACCGTTGGTATGTTTTTTTTTGACATCAAGAAGCTGCTGAAAACCTCCAAGGTCGCTAACATACCTCTCTCAGTGGTCCACGTCAAGAACTCACTCCAGAACAACGGCACCAGCATTCATTTCCACGGTATCCGCCAGAACTACACTAACGAGGCCGACGGTGTTGCCTCCATCACCCAGTGCCCCAATGCTCCCGGCGACTCCATCACTTACACCTTCCACGCTTCCCAGTACGGCACGTCCTGGTACCATAGTCACTTTGCTCTCCAAGCCTGGTAAGACCAATTCCCAAATCTCATAAGCCTCGACACAAAATCTAACATGCCCGGCCACAGGAACGGTGTCTTTGGCGGAATGATCGTCCATGGTCCCGCCTCAGCCCCCTATGATGAAGACCTCGGCACAATCGTCCTGAGCGACTGGTTTCACCGCACCACCGACGAGCTCTATAACGAGGCCGCCACCGCCGGCGCGCCCGGCGCGCAGACAGGCCTGATCAACGGTACAGGAATGTACAACGGCGGCGGCTCCCGCTTCAACACAGCCTTCGAGGCCGGCAAGTCCTACCGCATGCGCCTCGTCAACGCCGCCATCGACACCCACTGGAAGTTTATGATTGACAACCACACCCTCGAGATCATCGCGGCCGACTTTGTCCCTATCAACCCCTACAACGCTACCGCCGTCTCTATTGGCATTGGCCAGCGCTATGACGTCATCGTCCGCGCGGACCAGGCTTCCAGCGACTACTGGCTCCGCGCCATCCCCCAGCTCACCTGTAGCGCAAACGAGAACACGCTCGACATCAAGGGCATCGTCCGCTACGACTCGTCTTCTACCGCCGACCCCACGAGCGAGGCGCACACCTACGAGGACGACTGTCTCGACGAGAGCATGTCCACCCTCGTGCCCGTTGTCGCTCTCGAGGCCGGCCAGCAGACCTACGACGACACCCTCACCATCGGTCTCCAGACCATCAGCAGCCAGTTTAAATGGACTCTGAACAACAATACCTTCCTCTCCGACTGGGACTACCCTAGTAAGCCTTTTTTTCCCATTTTACACATCTGCAACAGAGTTTCTTGCGTAACAACACGGCACTAACATCAAAAACAGCCGTCGAACAGGTACTGGAGGGCAACGACACCTACTCCGTCCAGCAGAACATTGTCCACCTCGACCAGGCCAACGTCTGGGTCCACTTCATCATCCAGAACCCCATCGGCCTCGCCCACCCCATCCACCTCCACGGCCACGACTTCTGGGTCCTCGCCCAGGGCACGGGCACCTACGACTCCTCCATCGCGCTGCAGACCGTCAACGCGCCCCGCCGCGACGTCGCCATGCTCCCCGGCTCCGGCTACCTCGTCATGGGCTTCTACACTGACAACCCGGGCGTCTGGCTGATGCACTGCCACGTTAGTTTACCACCACACCCTCCCCTTTTGTACACAAAATCATTCATACTGACCCTCCCCCCTTTACAGATTGGCTGGCACACTTCCCTCGGCTTCGCGCTCCAGCTCATCGAGCGTCCCAACGAGATCGCAGCCATCACCAATGCCGACACCCTCAACAACACCTGCGCCAACTGGAGAACCTATGCTGAGGCAGAATCCGTTCACCAGGAGGACTCTGGTGTCTAAGTCCTGGTTTCTTCCCGAGACCACTCATTGCACAAACACATTGCCACCCACGGCCTTCAACACCTTTACATGTATTAGCGGCAGATAACGCCATGAAATGTCTCCTATGTCAGATCTCTTCGCTCTTTTGGTATTTTTATTACCTGGGAGCACGCTATGCAGTCATTTTGTACATCCGTTTTCTAATTTTGTATATATCATCATAAAATAAAGGTTGCAGCCCCACGAATGCTCCAATTGCAGATCAAACAGTATGTGACATTTTTCCTTCATTCTAGTGGGATAAAACTATTGAATTACAGTTTTTTTGGTTTGAAGAATTGTTGGGCCGGCGCTCTAGATTCCCTCGGCGATGTTACCGCCAGTCGTCCGGAGCCGCGGAGCCGCAAGTCTGGGCCGAAAGCTTGGTCCTTCCATCTTGAGAAAGTGCCGAGCCGGCGAGTGGGGGGCAATGTCCTTGGTGATTTGTGGGGACATTTGTTTCCGTTCGGTGCCGCGCCGGCCAGGTGCCGGCTTCAGTAGAACACCCATGTGCACCTGCGGCCGGTCCAATCATGAAATGGCCACCTTGAAAGCCTTGTCCTCATTTTTTTTAAACCCTCACCCATCTAATTTTGCCAAGGTGCCGATTCCATGGGAAATTGGTTCAGTTGATGTTTTTAAGAAGGCGACTTGGCGTGAACGAATCATGACAGAATGACAGAGCAAGCTTCCCTATTCTTGAACGGCGCGGCATAGCAAGTTGTCAGCATGACCTAAACAATAGGTGCCGTCATCGCTCCGAACTCGAGGTTCCCCCTTTTCAACGCAATCGTTCGACATCCGGCAATTTGTTTCCGTAAGTGCGGAGTACTCCGCTCAACCCAGGCCATGTGTCTCAACCCCCCTCCCCCAGTTCCCCCGCATCATCGCCTCCGACCCCGGATTTTGGGTGGTCATTGATTGGATACGTGACGCTTTTCCGTCTGTGGGAGGGGGAGAGACGAACGAGCCGTTTTTCAAGCTTAAAAGGGGCTATTGTCTTTTCTGTTTCTAGACATTTATTCCGAACGCGAGAACGATAAGGTCTTGGGTCTAGCAAGCGTGTGGAATGATGTAAAAAGGCAATGAGTGATCGTTGCCGAGTAGTTGGGCAAGGCTTCGGTAGCATCTTTGCAGATTTTCTTGCCTCCCCCCCCCCCCCCCCCCCCCCCCCCCCCCCCCTTTTTTCTCTCCCCCCTTCTTTTATTTTACTAAATTTTATTCCCCTAAATAACTATTTTTTCTTCCCCCCTCTCCCCCAGAGCTGTGTCTGCATAAACTACACTCTACCCGCCCCCCCCCCCCCCCCCCCCCCCAGTTTACCGGTCTTTTTAAGTGCACCAATTATTTAGTTTTAAACTATTTTACTGTCCAGAATGAATTGCTTTGCTACAGCTTCATACGCAAGAGGTCGGTATCATCAATCAGCTGTCATCGACTACCGCGCTGGTCTTGTTTTGGGGATGCGGGGGGGAGGGTCTTGATTAAAGGGGAGCTAGGAGTGCTAATGGAAGGATCTTCATCACTCAAGTCAGGAAGCAGCATTGCCGCTCCTAAATTGTGAATGGCTGGGAATATGTAACCCCAAGGAGGGGTGGACGGTGATTATCCCGACTTGGGGAAAAGCTGGGACGAAACCACCCATGCGAGCACTCTCTCCTAATTCCGATGCGGGAAGCCATGTGCCACAGCTTGGGGGGACGCGGAGTTAAAAAGAAGCTGGTCCGCTTCCATGATTGTATCTGCATCACTCAACTACTTGCTGGGAAACGAAGTTGATATCAGACGTACCCAGCGCCACCAAGTCGACGTTACCATATAGCCGATAGCACTTGATCCGTGCAGGCGATTGCCCAGTTCCCACAAGGGCTTATAACCCGACTCGGCTTCCATAGACATTTTTTTCGGCACAGCACAGCAATCACGGGCGGGTGTAGACAACATGGCAGACGGGAAGCAGTCCGAGGTGGACCACACCTCGCTACATCGTGAGCACCGCGCTGGCGACCTGGAAGATCCGCCAAAGCTCTCGGTCGAGGCCGATGCCGAGCGGCGCGGTCTGCAACCGCCGCCCATCGTAGCCGCCATGTCGTACGAGTACCGCCTCGAACTCGAGAAGAAGCTGAAGCGCAAGGTGGACATCCGTCTGCTGCCCATGATTGTCGTGATGTATATTCTGTGAGTTGCACTGAGGGGGTTTTATCCTCCTTATCGCAAATGATGCGCTTCGCGAGTTCTTATCGAGATAGACTGCTGACCTATGGGTTGAAAAGGAACTATATTGACAGAAATAACATCGCTGCGGCGCGTCTGGCGGGCTTGGAAAGAGATCTCAATCTCGACCCCAACTCGAATCAGTTCCAGACGGCTGTGAGCATCTTGTTCGTCGGGTACCTTCTCATGCAGGTGCCCTCGAACCTTTTCCTCAACAAGATTGGAAAGCCTGCGCTATACCTACCAACATGCGTAAGTGTGAACATCCATTCAATTCACCTCAACCAACATTCAAAGATCCGTCATAATCGCTGACCATGCGGGCTTCTAGATGATCATCTGGGGCGTCATATCCGCCTCCACAGCAGCATGCCGCAACTACGCCGGCCTCCTCGTGATCCGCTTCGTCCTAGGCTTCGTCGAGGCGGCCTACTTCCCCGGCTGCCTCTACTACCTCTCCTGCTGGTACACGCGCGAGGAGCTCGGCCTGCGCACGACGATCCTGTACACCGGCTCCCTCATCTCGGGCGCCTTCTCCGGGCTCATCTCGGCGGGCATCACGGGCAACATGGACGGCGCGCGGGGGCTCGGCGCTTGGCAGTGGCTTTTCCTCATCGAGGGCGTCGTGACCGTCGCCATCGCCTTCGCGGCCTTCTTCGTCCTGCCCAACTTTCCTAGGACGACGGCGTGGCTGACTGAGGAGGAGACTGCGCTCGCGGTATGGCGACTCGAGGAGGACATTGGCGAGGACGACTGGAAGAACAGCGGGGAGCAGACGTTTTGGCACGGGTTCAAGACGGCGCTGGAGGATGTCAAGACGTGGATTCTGGTAAAGGATACTTCTCCCCCTCATTACACCACTCACCATGCACTGACATACTTTATCCAAGTTGGTCCTCATCTTCTGCATCGTCGCCTCGGCATCCATCACAAACTTCTTCCCCACCGTCGTCCAGACCCTGGGCTACAACTCGGTCATCTCCCTCCTCCTGACCTGCCCGCCCTACGTCCTCTGCGTCATCACGACCTGCATCAACGCCTGGCACGCCGACCGCACGGGCGAGCGCTACTTCCACATCGTCGTGCCCCTCTGCGTCGCCATGGCGGCCTTCATCCTCGGCGCCGCCACCCACGCGACCGCCCCGCGCTACGTCGCCATGATGCTCCTCGTCCCGGGCGTCTACACCGGCTACACCACGGCGCTGGCCTGGATCAGCAACACTCTGCCGCGCCCTCCCGCCAAGAGGGCCGCCGCGCTGGCCTTTATCAACGCCGTCAGCAACTGCAGTAGTATTTACGCCAGTTACCTGTACCCCAAGAAGGACAGCCCCCAATACACGGCGGCGTTTATACACAATTGCGTCGCCTGCTTTGTGGCAGTCTGCGCGGCGACGGTGTTGAGGTTCGTTTTGGTCGGGTTGAATCGCAAGTTGGAGAGGGGAGAGCACGTCGAGGGGGCTATCAATGCTGCGCCGGGAGAGGCGGCGGCGCATGGTTTCCGGTTCAAGATATGAGCAGTCGGGTTTCAGTTTGTCGACATGGTTCGTGTTTATGGTTCAAAAAACCGAGTTTTAAATCATGGAAGTCAGTCTCTCCAATAGATCAAATTCCTGCCTCCTCTGAGAAGACACCTCAGAACTAGTTACCTGATTTAACATGGCGCAGCAACTGCAACTGTCAATAGCCCGGCTAGAAGATTGGAAGTCCCAATCTCGTAAGCCTTTGCTACCAGGATCATTCCGGCCGACTTTGACAAAACAATCTAGATGTAACTTTTCGCTGGAGGAAGAGATGGCTTTAGGCATGTCTTCCACCGCGGCTCCGACATCGTTCATCGTCAAGATGAGGCCAACACATTCGACACCAGCGAAGATGCCCGGAGGCGAGCGGCTTTGCTGCCTCCGACAGTCAAGTCGACGGCCTCCCACGGCTTTATGTCCTTAACCCGAGGCTCAGATCCATGGTCTCTAGAATCGTGTTGCCTGCTGAGGACGTGTGTACCATAGAGTCGCTGGCGGCCAAGCCTATTCAGACTGCCCCAATGATCTTCGTAACTAAGGAGCAAATTGGGACATTGGGGCTAGAGACGCAAGCTGCACCGACTCATAATTGGAAGACACAATCTCAAGTCAAGGTGCATCCAGTCAATGAAGCTTGCAAGATATTGGAAAAAAGTGGAATAAGACCAGCCGGCCCTTTGGCACTATTATCTTGAGGGTTCAAACTGCGAGTGCTAGTCGGACGACAATGAGCTGACAATGAGCTGAGAGCGCTCAGAGAACGATTCCTAAAGGTATGTGGGTAGCAGTCTATGTATCCGTGTGTAACTCCAAAGGATCTTTCTGTTTCAGGCTTCCTGGAGTTGCGTCGAAGGGCATCGCCGGTGTCCCTTATCACTTAAGCTGTTGAACCAATCGCAGATCGGACACCTACGCAGGCCGCGACTGTGCGACAACATTAATCGAACGAGCGGTGTCAATCAAAAATGACTACAATGATATATATTTACTAAAGTGCAGTTTCAGAATCTGCAAGTATGCTGGAGATACGTCGTCAAAGAATATCGAGGCTTGGCGGTGCGCGAGAGCCTGAAAAGCAATGCTTGATCTCGATGGCCTCACACGCTTATATTGCAAGGTCAGTTGAGGACAGAAGCATGTGATTGCCCAATCATCTTGACAACCAAGCGACATCTGCAGCCCAGAGTGAAGAAGGCCGGATCGGATGCGACAAGCGCAGCTCGAAAAAACTACAAATGCTGAAACACTTTCATGGCATATACATTCTACCAATGGGTAGTCACAGAAACGCTGTCCTTTTCTTCTTTCGCCCTTCTTTTGAGAGGGGAAGAGGTCTTAATTGAGTTGGATGCAGAAGAGCCGGCTGATGCGGATTCAAGCTCTCATCCCTGCGCTCATCCCGGATTGCTTACTTCTAACTCCGTTCTAGAAGGACGGGTCATCTTTCTCAAATCTTGACTAAGGGGTTCAAGTTTTCTAGGCACGGAGTCTAAAATCCGGCTTGGCCACGCTCACAATCGTGAATTCGGATCAGACCCACGTTTCGGGGTGTCAGTTCGCAGTTATAGACTTCACAGCCGACGGGATGAGCCGCCTGTTTGGCTCACTTTGGTGTGTGACGGAAGAGGCAATGCTGGATTGGGTCATGAGAACTGGACGCGAGAGCATAACTAGGAAGACGAACCGAGAACATGGGACGACGAATCCAAGTCGGTTGCTGGGACAGGATGGGAACGTCCAAAAATAATTACAATTCCAATTTCCCATTCTAGACTTTCCCAAGGCTGCTCTACTACAACTGCCGCCACCTTTTTCACCGTATCCTTTTCGACCGTGCTACAATGCCACACTGGTGCCGTTGAAACAATCCCCGAGTTTCGGACCTTTTGTCCGGCAGCGGCCGCGGGTACGGCGTTACAGTGAGAACAACAGTGCTGAAGATTGTCGTTTCGGGGTCTTTTTTCTTTCAGGCCGCAAACTCCAAAGGGCCCCCTTCCCTGCAAAGGCCTACCTTAACATTGTCCTACCACGCGGGACAGTTCCTCGTGTGTACCCAACTTGTCCCAATAAATCCAATTATGGCTTGCCTTATATACCCCTCTGTCTCTCAACTGCCATTCCATCTAGGCCAAGGTGACGGAGGACGTGCAACATGTCACTTGAACAAACAGACTTTCTTCTAAAAATCTAATCATCCCTCAAGGCTCCTACGCGCCCGTTGACGACATCCAAATTCGCTCTCACTCGCACACACTTGAACTAACTAACGCACTACTCATCTGGCAGACTGTCACTGAGGCGCTCGCGTCTCCCTGTCTCTCTCGGCATCTACCCCGGGGCTTCTCATGCGAAGAACAAACTCCACTAGCGCCAGTCCCCCAATCCACATCCTGCTACGTGCCACCGTCACTTATCGACCTACCTCTCTCGGTAACCACCCCAACGCGAGGCACCTAGGCATTACGTACAGGATCATCATATATTCATCCGTAACCTGGGCCTATCCTATTATTGACTGCTCCCCGACTGCCGGCATATTATCCCCCGTCGACTAAACCACCACTCAACGTGTTCCCTCTTCGTCGGCTAGATTTCCCGAAAACCTGGACCCGGGCCTGGGGGTGGGCGGCTATCTGTCTGTTCTACACATCCCACTCTCCGAGTTCGCTGCACCTCACGCCCTTTTGAATGACGCAATCTACATTTTCAGAGGATCTCGTGCAATCATTCGCTTCTTTAAAGATTGAGATAGAATCGCATTTATCTCATCAGTTTGGCTACGCTCCAAAGGACCTTTCCCCCGCCATCTCATCATCACCTCTCTACTTTATCGGTTATCGCGCTCGGTAACCCCGCACCCGCGCGCGCGACTCACCATGCCCCTCACCAGCAGGTCCCTCCACTCGGCGCAAGCAAGCGAGTTTGTAAAGTTCGCCAGCCGACGGAGTGTCGTCCACAGCACAAAGGGAATCGTATCTTGTACGCAGCCATTGGCCGCAAAATGTGGCATTGAGATCCTTCATGCCGGCGGCAATGCCGCAGTACGTCCACCTCATTCTCCTGAGCCAATATGTCTGTGATGAAGACTAACAGCAAGTGATCAGGACGCCGCCGTCGCAGTTGGTTAGTCGTCTATGAACCCAATGTTTCCTCGAAATGAGTGATCATCATGTGAAATGGATTCGGATTGCTAATGACCGTACCCTGTTTCCAGCGGCCGGACTGAACATGACAGAGCCATGCTCCACGGGCATCGGCGGCGACATGTTCATCCTCTTCTACGACGCCGCCACCAAAAAGGTATCAGCCATGAACGGCTCCGGTCGCTCGGCCCAAAAGTCCACTCTGGAGACCATCCGCAAGGACCTCGGCATCAAGGAGGGCGCGTCGGGCAAGATTCCCATGAAAAGCGTCCACGCCGTGACCGTCCCCGGTGCCGCCTCGGGCTGGGTCGACACCATCGAGCGCTTCGGCAGCGGCAACGTCTCCCTTGAGCGGGTGCTTTCCCCTGCCATCGAGCTCGGAGAGACAGGATTCCCCGTCTCGGAGCTGACGAGCCACTACGTACGTTCTCAACTTTTTTTTTCTTCTTTTCATTGCCTTATGTCTTCCTCTGTCGGTTTGTTGAGATGAGATTGGCTGAAACCCTTCAATGTAGTGGAACACGGCAGAGCACCTGATCAGAGAGGCCTCTCCCAACTTCGCAGAGATGCTGAAGAAGGACCCCAAAGCGGCAGACGGCGTGCGAGCGCCCAACCCCGGCGAGATCATGAAGAACCCCACCCTGGCCCAAACCTTCCGTACCCTCGCAAAGGAGGGCAAGAAGGGCTTCTACACGGGGCGCATCGCCGAGGAGCTCGTCAAGGTCGTCAAGGATCTCGGTGGCCACCTGGAGCTTGAGGATTTAGCTCATCACCTCGAGCTGGGAAGCGAACCTGTCGACCCAATCTCACTCAAATTCAAGCCGGCCCTCAAGAAGGGGGCCAATGACGACGGCGGCGACGGCGCCGTCGAAGTCTGGGAGCACCCGCCCAACGGCCAGGGGATCGTCGCCCTCATGGCCCTCGGCATCATCCAAGAACTCCAAGACTCGGGCGTCGTCCCCGCCTGGTCCGCAGAGGACCACAACACGGCGCCCTACCTCCACGCCATCATCGAGGCCCTCCGCCTCGGCTTCACCGACGCGAGCTGGTACGTCACGGACCCCAACGTCGTCTCCGTGCCCTCGGCCGGCCTCATCTCGCGCGAGTATTCGGCCGCCCGCGCCAAGCTGTTCGACCCCAACCAAGCCATGCAGAAGCTCCACGTCGGGGAACCCCCCAAGCACGTCTCCCCGGCCCTCCAGAGCAGCGACACCGTCTACTTCTCCGTCTCGGACGCGCACGGCAATGCCGCGTCCTTTATCAACAGCAACTACGGCGGCTTCGGCACCTGCATCATCCCAAAGGGCTGCGGCTTCACGCTGCAGAACCGCGGCGCCAACTTTAGCCTCGACGCGGACCATCCCAACAGGCTGGAGCCGCGGAAGCGCCCTTACCACACAATCATCCCCGGTATGGTAACGAACGCGGCCGACGGGTCTCTGCACAGCGCTTTTGGCGTCATGGGCGGGTTCATGCAACCCCAGGGCCACGTGCAGGTCCTCCTTGGCCAGCTAGTCGCAGGCCTCACGCCGCAGCAGACGCTCGACGCGCCGCGCGTGTGCATCGTCGCGGGCCTGCCCGAGAGGGACGCCGACTTTGACTGGACGGTCAGCGTGGAGGAGGGCATGCCGGAGGAGACGGTGGAGGGTCTGCGGAAGCTCGGACACAAGGTCGAGGTCATCACCGGCTCCGAGAGGGGAACGTTTGGCCGCGGGCAGATCATCAGACACACCATCGATCCGGTCGAGGGAACGGGCGTTTGGTCTGCGGGAAGTGACCCGCGTGGTGACGGTGCGGCGTTCCCGGCGCTGTGAGGTGCTGGGAGTTTCCCAAGGTATGTCATAGGTTGAATATTTTTTGGCCGTGGCGTGGGAACCTGGAGGGGAAATGGGCGTGAAGGCAACCATGGATCAAGGGAAGGCACGATCGCCGCCACATCCAACCCAAAGCCACCAGCACCTTCCTGCCCAAACTTGCTCAAAGGTATATGCCCCTAAAAAAAAGAGAGATCTCCCATCACAAGTTCAGCGATAATGCAGACCTTCCTCACCAGTTGGTCTAGTTGGTAAAAGCTGGTTAGCCGCATATAGGGAATCACAAATACTACCATACCACCGAGGTTCGAGTCCCCCTATCACCTTGTGTACGACAGGCTCGGGTAGCGCGGGGTCCTTCGGGATTGTGCGTCGAACAGAATTATTTTGTCTTTTTAATTTTTGGTCGAGTAAAAGAAATTGTATTCATGGGTGAAACGAGGCTCTACTATCGGAGTTTGCTGCTTGGCTGTGGTGGTTTTCGGTCCGTGATGGCTTCATTTGATTGCATGTGGGGGCGTTCTTCGCAGAACTCCTATGGTCATCTGTTCAATGTGATTTTCGGCTTTGCAAAAAGGGTAAAGGATTAAAATTTTTTTGGGTCTTTGCCAATAAATACCACTCTATTTCCTCCGACCACGACCCACGCATGGCTTGCCTTTCCTTTGGTATGATACAGTTGTACAGTCCCAACGCTTTCTAGCATTGGACATCTAGCTTCCCCTTCTCTTACTCCTTCTTCTCGCCCTCGACCTCGGCAAGGACCTTCTTCTCCTCGAGAAGCTTGGCCAGCTCGCCGTTCTGGTGCATGGAGACGAGGATGTCGCAGCCGCCGACAAACTCCTTGTCGACGTAGAGTTGGGGGATCGTGGGCCAGTCAGAAAACTCCTTGATGCCTGTCACATAAAAGTCAGCTCTTCGTTCCATTAACAAGTCCAGTATGTGTATATGTGTGTCGCATACCTTGACGCAGCTCGGGGTCGGCCAGGACGTTGAAGGCGGCAAACTTGGAGGGGTCGACGCCCTGGAGGCCGAGGATCTGGATCGAGGCGCGAGAGAAGCCGCACTGGGGGGTCTCGGGGGTTCCCTTCATGAAGAGCACGACGGGCGCGGAGCCAACGGCGTTCTCAATCGCCTGCTTCGTCTCGTCGGAGATGAGGCGGTGCTGGGTGAGGAAGGGGAGAGGGGCCCGGAAGGCGATCGGGCGCGCGGCCGGCCGGACGGCTTGCCTTGCGAAGTTCTGCGAGAGTACAGGGTCGTTTAGCGATTGCGATGTTGAGTTTGGCAGTCTCGCCCGCATGGGACCCTTGAGACTTTGGGTTGGACGGTTTTCGAACTTACTGAGCGGAGGAACGTCCTTGAGAACATTTTGGGCTGTGGGGTGGTGTGTGGGAGGAGTGGTCAACAGGGGAGCAGTTGATGAGAAATGCGAAAATGTCATGGGATCGCGGAATGGGTGATGTAATCCAGCGTGTGGTCCTCGGTGAAGGAGCTTGGGCATTGGCTCACCGAGATCACCGAAGTCGCACCCCATGTGGGCTGTACCGAGCGCCAATCAATGCACGGCAAATGTCATCTCTCAGCTCAAACTCATCTTATCGATTTCATGCCCTGTCATCTCATTTTCACATGGAGTATGCCACCCATCTCTTTTTCTTACCTAGGCCCCGTCGCCTCCCAACGTCACGCAACCTGGACCCTCAGGGAACGGGACCCAAGGCAGGCAGCTTAGAAGCACCAATAACACGATTCTACAGTATACACATTCGTGGCACACGCAAAGTTCCCGCTCACAGAATGGACATTATTGACTCGGCGCCTGCCAAAAGCATCTAAGAACAGATTCAGAGTCTGCTGAGGGCATTGCTACCGTAGAAGACGGCGTCAAATCGAATTTCCTCATGTAGAGCCACCGGTCAATCGGAACTCACACTCAGTGGCGGTGAAAATACTGTAGCTGCGGGGCGTTCTGAACCAACCTGTTCGTAATCATGGGCATCGTCCATCCCCGCTGTAAGCTGCTCTCACACATGGTGCCCTGACTTCTCTTTCTATTCTATTTCATATTTTATTGAACAAGTGAGCCAAGAAGGCAACTGGCAATGTGTGTAGAGTCAGCCATACTTCAGACGCGAATCTACCAGGGGCCAACCTGATCCAACTGCCCTCTGGCAATGGCGATATGCACACAAAAGTGACACAGTTTACAGCCCAAGCCTCGTTTCCGTCACCTTAACTATATCCTCCCACGACATCATCGCACCACTCCCAGTATCCCCGCACGCGAGTGTCTTCTCGATCGGTCTTAACACCTCAAACCACGACCACTCCTCTTCCAGCACCTTGACTTGCTTCGCCGTGATGGGATGCGCATACATGGCCGAGTTCATCGCGGTAGCTACGAGGATCTTCTTCTTCCGGCCATCGATGAGTCCGTCTGCATCCCATGCCCGGATGACGCTCGTCTGCGGAAGCATTTAGCACGAGGGGGAAGAGCGCATGATGAAAATCATGATGGAAAGCTCACCAAGAGGTTATCCGAGAAGCCGTTGACTACTTTGGCCAATGTATTTGCCGAAAGCGGAGCGACGAGCATCAAATCGGCCCCTAGTAAACAAGAAGTACAAGTTAATGAGAAAAGAAGCAAGTTAAACTCCCGGCCAGACCCTTGGCTTACATCGTCGCAACTCAATGTGCAGAATCGACGCACCGCGCCGCCAGGGCTGCACCCACTCATCCGCATCCAAGTGTATACCTTCCACGTTAGGAAGCGCTCTTATTGCGGCAAGCGAGGGCTGTTCTGCGGTCGAACCGTTCAGGAACTCCGTTGCCGAGGCCGTAAGGATGACTCTGATGGCGAGGTTCTTGTGATGGCCGAGGGCCTTGATGATGTTGGGAATTTTGATGGTGGCGACCGAGCCGCTGGCGCACAACAGGAGATGGGTCTTCCCGTCGGAGCGGGACGCCGCGACTGCTGCGGCCGGGTCATCGGAGGCGCCGACTTGAGACATCTGGATGATGCTACATGCTGGTTTAGCTCGTGAGTCATATTTCGGAATGCTGAGGTCGAGTATTTTCCCCCGACAATCAATGGCAACTCTTCGTTGGGAGCAGAAGTCTACTATGCCATGCCACCCGCGACTAAGATGGAAGGGGACTGATGAGATAGCGAAGGTGTAATGAGGGCTCAAGGGTTCATCAAGATGCGCCCCACTCTCAACGAGGAGGAAGACTCACATATAAAGACCGATCGAACGTAGAGCTTTGTGAAAAATGCTACCCCGTATTTGATCACAGAAGACAGCTTTCTCTGGGAGATTTTCCGCGATAATTCGTCAATTTTGATGTTAAGTAGGTGAGATGAAGCACATGCTACCGGAGATGGGAGATGTAAGTTGAGGCGGTTCGGCGTCCTAGCTATTCTTAGTAATCATTCGGAGGCGGTTGTGGGACTGGCCGGCCCCGCCACCGAGCCGGAACGATCTTGGATATTACATGCACAAGAGCAGCAATTAAATATGAATGTTCCACACACCCTAAGAAGGTGCGTTAGTTCTGAAGTCGATTTCATGCAGGCATTTATACTCAAGGCTTGCGCATAGAAATTCTGCTGCAACTTCACTAGACTATTCATGTAAGAGGGAACGATGCAATACCGCGCTCAGGTCTCCAGACTCTGCCTCATCGCTGGCAATGTAGTTGACACACATTGATTGATTAAGAACTACCTTACTGTAAGTATTACCTCACGATCACCGGCGAACTGAAATTGTATTACGCCACTTCGCAGACGAGTCAACCCAAAGAGGTGCAGAAACGGATGAACCAGAGTGATTAGCTAATGAGGCTCGACAGGCAGCACAGATCTCATTGGCCAATCATGATCAGACCCACGATCCCGGACGTTTTGCGGGGTCCTAAATTTTTTTGCAGGTCCAACGGAAAGTACAAGCCCATGTCCAGCAAAAAAAAAAAAAAGAAGTCCAGTCTTGTACGGTCGAAACACGCATATTCCAAGCGAGCCACGAACAAAAGTATCATGGCGGCGAGCAGCAGCACATCTTCTTCTCTGACGTCGAACACACTCACATTTGCGCCCGGAATGGCTGCTCAGCTCCCGATCGGCGGCGTCGCCGACGTGAAAGCCCTCTTCGACAACCTGGACGCTCAGAACCGACACGCCTTTCTCCAACCGCCACCCGCGATCCCGTCCGCCTCACTACAGGTTGTCAAGGACACGCTCGATGCTTTCGCCGGCCAGATCAGTGACGAACAGCTGCGGCTGCTGAAGGAGGCGACCAAGAAGCGCAAGCGGGCCGATGGCAGCGGCGCGGGGCCCGATGTCCTCAAGATTCGCAAGGTCCACGTCGACGGGTTCGAGACGAGCCAGGTTTGGCAGCAGGCCCGCCGTATTATTCAGAGCGCCTTGAGCCACTCCAAGGAGACGCTGCAGGAGCTCGAGGACCGGAACGAGGTCGTCACAAATGAAGACAACGGGTCGGAGAGCTCCATTCTCTCTTTCGAGACAGCTTCCGAAAATGTTGACGATGAGGACGGCTCCAGTGACGAGGAAGAGTCGTCAGGCTCTGACCTCGAGAGCGCGGAAGAGGACTCTGACGCGGAGGAGCTTGAAGGTTCAGATGTTGAAGGTCTCACGGGTGATCTTGAAGACATGGACGAAGACGAAGACGAGGAGGACGGCGAGGAAGATGACGAGGAAGAAGAGGACGACGAGGAGGAATATGTCGAGGACCCCAACGGACTCAACGATGGTTTCTTCTCAATCGATGCCTTCAACAAGCAAACCCAATGGTTCGAGGAGCAGGATGCGCGAGGAGACCCCAACACAGACGCCAACAGTGACGACGAAGATATTGACTGGAACGCCGATCCCATGGCGCCATCAAGCAAGTCTAGCTCGTCAAAAAACAAAGACATTGACATGGGAGACGATGCCGGCTCGGACGAGGAGGATGACGAAGAGGAAGGGCCGACATTTGGCGACATGGACCTCAACGCCCCCGAAGGTGCCAGCGACGACGAGGACATGGACGACGCTATGGGCGAGGAGGAGGAATTCAACGCGAACGGCATCTACTTCAAGGACTTCTTCGCACCACCGGCGAGGAAAGCATCCAAGGACGGCAAATACAAGAAGAACAAGTCCGTGCGATTCGCGCCCAAGGCGGTGCAGGATGAGGACGTCGAGCGCGCCATGGCGGACGTCAAGAAGGACCTGTTTGACGACGACTCTGACCACGGAGACGACTCGGACGACGCCCTGTCAGATGTCTCCGCGGGTGACCCGCGATCGCGCCGGTCCGCGCACGAGAGGCGCCAGGCGAAGCTCGCGGAGGAGATTCGCAAGCTCGAGGCCGAGTCGGTCGCCAAGCGCCAGTGGACGCTGACAGGCGAGGCGTCGGCCGCCGAGCGTCCGATGAACTCCCTCCTGGAGGAAGACATGTCGTTTGAGCACCTGGGAAAACCCGTGCCCATCATCACGGCCGAGGTCAGCGAGAGCATCGAGGACCTCATCAAGCGGAGGATCCTGGCGCAGGACTTTGACGAGGTCCTCCGCCGGCGACCCGGCGCCGAGAACGTGCCTGAGGGCACGCGCCGGGGCCTCATTGAGCTCGATGACTCTAAATCTGGCAAGGGCCTGGCAGAGATTTACGAGGAGGAGCACATCAAGAACACGGACCCGGACAACTACGTCAGCAAGTCGGACGAGAAGCTGGCCAAGGAGGAGGCGGAGATTGAGCGGATGTGGAAGGACCTCAGCGCCAAGTTGGACTCGCTCAGCAACTGGCACTACAAGCCCAAGGCGGCGGCACCGTCGCTGACGGTGGTGTCGGACGCGGCGACCATCGCCATGGAGGACGCGCAGCCGGCGACAGCGCAGGGAGTCAGCGGCGGGCAGAGCATGATTGCGCCGCAGGAGGTGTACAAGGCCGGCAAGGAGACGGCGGAGAAGGGCGAGGTGGTGCTCGGCAAGAGCGGGTTACCGATGGCGCGGGAGGAGATGACGCGGGAGGACAAGGTGCGCCGGCGCAGGCGGGAGAAGGAGCGGATCCGCAAGGCGGGCGGGACGGACAAGAAGCCGCTCAGCAAGAAGGCGCAGATGCAGAAGGACACAATGGCGGATCTCAAGAAGGGCGGGGTCAAGGTCATCAACCGCAAGGGCGAGGTTGTTGGGCTCGACGGGAACAAGGCCAAGGCGGAGGTCAAGGCGACGAGCAGCAGCTTCAAGTTGTAGAAGTCGGTATCGGAGAGCGGTGGGGGTCGCAAAGTTACGAGGAAAAGCAAGTCGTAGTCGTCGTCGAGGTGTGGATTAGAGGAAGCAACTTTCCGGGACCGGCGTTGCGGCTCACGGGATATTGGAACCGACGGCTGGAGAAAGATCACAAAACTCCAGCGAGTAATTTTCTCATGTATCACAAGGCATCCATTACCCGGTCTATGGGAACGAATAAAAAGTTTGGCTTTTCATGGCAAACATGTTGAGTCCATAAAGTACGGAGAGATTAGTGTGCAATGACCCGTAGTTCTCGTCGCGCGCGCGCGTGTGCAAGGAGCTCTGGAGTCCGCAGACGGCCGGATGAGATGACAAACACAAACGGCCCATATGGCCAGTAGCCTTACTCTAGGAAGCAATCAGACCCGATCCCGGTAGAATCTGCTTGATCAGGGTTCCAAAGCATAGTGCCGAAGAACTCCGAATGGCGAGAGGGGAAAAGGTTGCACTCTGCAGAATGGGACCCCGCGAAAGGGGAGAGTGAAGAGTCCAAAGGGACTGGACTGGACTGGACTTGACGGCAGGGATGAACCGCCAAGGATGTAGGTAGTTTTGACCAATAGCATTGCGGAGAATGCACCTTTGTCAGTTTGGTCAGCGGTCATTCCCACTGTGCATTGTCCGCGGCGCCGGCCGTCCTGTATTGTCCAGGTCTGTCCAGTCCCTCTCCCCAGATATTCGTACACAGTACGACTCCTACCGCCCACACTTGAAAAAAAACACTAAGAGAAAAAATTGCCATTTAGATTTTCCGGCGAGTACCTTATCCCCATAAGAAATAGAAATGAAAAGATGGTAAGGCGATTGTTTACTTGTTGGAAATAAGTATTGCAGACTCGCTGGTTGGGCAATTTGTCCCCATGATATCTGTAATGCAGCGTCAGCATTCCAGGTTGTTTCCTAACCCCCCTTGTCCCGTCCTGCTTCCTCTATGTCATGCTTGTGACTGTGAGTGTCAACTTTTATTGCTAGATGAGGGCGGGGTGTTAGCCGCCGCTTTCGGACCCCCAATAATCGACGGCAAGTATTTGTACTTGATTGCATTGGATACCTACCCTACCTACCCTTTTCAACACTCTTTGCCGTAAACGTAAGCAATAGAGAGATCTGATAAACATCTGTAGCAAAATCTTGCATCTCCCCTTCCCCATCATCCTCTTATTACTGCCTTCCCCCCTCCCCTTGCGCGCTCCCTCTCTCCGAAGGAACAACCCAACCGCGACCGCCCGACGAGAACAACCTACTGGCCCCCCGCTGATTCAATAAGAACCTACGCAATACCGTGTGACAACCTTGCCAGATTACAGTGTCCACCCCGCCAACCCCTCACCCTCTGCACGCTTATCAAGCACCGTCATCCTACAGTAGGCTTCCTCTCCCGCTATACAGTTGTGCATTTTTTCCTCCTTCCAGTCATTGACTAATCCAAGCAGGAACTTCCTCAATCAATTCCACCCGCCAGCAAAAAGGACGCAAACCCCATATACAACACGACCCCCCTCTCCTCCTCCAGTTCTCCGTTCTCCAGCCGACAAATCCCAAAGTAGGGAATCACCAAAATCATTTCAATTCGTTTCCCGAGTCACCATCTCCCCAAAATGGCGCCCTCCTTCGTGACCCTCGACACGACCCCCGACTTCGACTTCACCCCCTCCACCACAACCACAACCACGATGCAGCCCGCAAGCCGCACCCTCCTCCTCGCGCCCCCCTCCATTGCATCCCACCCGCACAAGCTCCAAACCCTCCTCGCCTCCCACGACCGCGCCACAACAGACCTCCAGATGCTCGACCGTCTCTCTGCCCGCCTCGTCGCCTTGCCCCCCTCCGCCTACGACACCGTCCTCATCCTCACAGACGCAGACGGCTCCCGCGTCGAATCAACCGCCCTCCTCGCCGCCGACCGCGGCGCAGTCCTCTCCGCCGTCGCAGACGCCCTCAAGCCGGGAGCCCACGTCAAAGCCCAGGACGGCGGCAACCTCGCCAACGACCCCACCGTCGCGCGCGAGGCTGTCCTCGCCGGCCTGGTTTCCGCTGCTGTCGGTGGCGGTTTCACGAAGCCGGATTACGGCGAAGATCAGGTCGTCTCATTGAGCTTTGGGAAGAAGAAAAAGAATAATGCTGCTGCTGCTCCTGCACCGGTTTCAAATGGTGGTGCCGTTTCCTTGAGCAACGGAGCCATCTCGCTCAACAGCAAGCCGTCCACCGCACCTCCCGTCTCCGCGCCCCCCGCCGGCGTGGGCTTTGTCGACTTCAGCGATGACCTCGACATGGATGATGGCGACGACGACGATCTCATCGACGAGGATACCCTCCTCACAGACGCAGACCTTTCCCGCCCCATCAACATCCGTACGTCTCCCCCTCAACTTTCTCTCTCTTCCATGAAGCCAAGAAACCAAATAAAAAACTTAAAAAAAAACTTGAACTGACATCCAAAAACCAGCCCCCGAATGCGCCCCCAAAGCAGGCAAACGCCGCCGCGCCTGCAAAGACTGCACCTGCGGCCTAGCAGAGCGTCTCGCAGCCGAAGACGACGCCGCCCGCGCCTCCGCCGACAAAGCCCTCGCCGCTGTGAAGCTCGGCGCAGACGACCTCGCAGAGGTCGACTTCACCGTTCAGGGCAAAGTCGGCTCCTGCGGAAACTGCGCCCTCGGCGACGCCTTCCGCTGCGACGGGTGCCCGTACATTGGTCTCCCGCCCTTCAAGCCCGGCGAGGAGGTGCGGATTCTCAACAATGATATCCAATTGTAAAACGGGCCCCTCTTTCACAATCTCTCTCTATTCTCTCTATGCTCTTTCTTTCCGCAAAGAGAAGAAGAAGGCAATATTTGGACACTACAGACAACGACTGGCGTTACGATGTCATGGTATGGGAGGAGCCTGGTACATACATATATCCATCTGCAAGATGCATTTTCAACGGTGGGAGGAATCAATCATTGGGAGGTGGTTTTTTTTTGGGGCGACAAAGTAAAATTGGTACTTGTAAAAGGCGCTTCATTTGCGAGAAGCGGTGTTTAGGCGTACGAGAGAAAGAATAGTCTGCTTTGGACAGGAGGCACGATACAAATCATTGGCAAAGGACGAGCACCATTCGCAATGGGAATTGTGGATGCATCATCAGGTATCAGGCCGTAGCCAAACCAAAATAGCAAATGCTCCCTACGGAACAAAATCTTCTTGCTCTATCCTTCCTTATCCAGACAATACACAAAACTCCGTTCCGTGCTTGACCATAGTTTCGATTCTGCCCCTCTGAAAAAATAACCCTCGCTAAACTTTCCATGCATTGCTTGAAGGAGGAGCATCAACAGTTACTAAGCCGACGTCCCCTCCCGTCGTGAAACTGTCGTCGATTCTTCACCGCACTGAGCGGCTGCCGTCTGCTCTTGAGGGTTTCTCGTGAGCCTCATCATCGCTATCCCCTCCGACGCTGTAGCGGTCCTTATCCATCTCTGTCGTCGGTGTTGTCACGTGCAAATCGTCCAATTCGCTCTCGTCAAAGTCGCCCGTCTCAACGTCGCGACCAGTCCTCCGGTCACGGAATCCCTCGAGACCACGCGCGGCGCCTCTTTGAGTGGTAGGAGGAGTGTTACCCATGATACCAGAGTAGCCCCTGCGCTTGCGGCGCTCCTTCCACACGTACCAGCCCCAAGCACTGGCTGCAATGGTGACAATTATGAGGACAATCTCGCCCGATCGGTAGTACGCCTTCCACTTGGCATCGTCCAGCTTCTTCTGCGTTTCCTCTTCGTCGGAAGTGCTATTGCCAATATTACCGACCGAAGTGGCAGGGCCGGTCTCGCCATCGAGACGGGAGTCGGTGGGCGTGCCGCCAACAGAGCTGATATCAACCTTCATGACACGGTCCAGCATGTCGCGACTTCGGCGAGCGTAGTCGAAAGGCACCATGTGAGAAGAGTTGTAGAAGAGAATGTACGTGAGGTTGCGGGCCTCCTGCCAGAACCCGGCAGCCTCACCCTCGACGGTCCAGTCGCGGCGAGGAGCCCAGTTGCCAGGAGTAAGCTCGAAACCCTTGCCGCCATTCCATTCCATATCGCCAATCATCTGTTCGGTTCCCATGTGGTTGCAAATAAGATCCTCGGCTCCAGAGAAGAGAACAACGGGTACCTCCTTGAGAAGATCGGGAAGGAAATCTCTTGACGGCGCTGACTTTGGAGCTCTGAACGCGGCACCTACGGCACCGTTGCATTCCTTCCAGCCGGTGTTTTTTTGCGGGTTAATATGCAGGGCGTTTACTACTTCGGTTTTGCGCAAGTAGGGGGTGACGTTGACCAAGTCTGGGGGCCAGTTCATGCCGCAGGAAGGGTAGGTGTCGCGGAGACGAATGTCGTACATGTTGATGCACTCGCGTTCGCCCTTGGAGTTGACCTTGGCCGTCTGTTCGAGAAGGCTCTGCAGGACAGCCTCGCACTCGGAGAAATCGACAGTGTTTGTGACGGCCAGCGAGGTGCGGCAAATGCGCCATTGCTGCTCCAACTTCAAGGCGATGGGTGATCCCGTCTCGATAAGTTTCTTCTCGTATGCGTATTTAAGGTAGGCATCGTACTGCTCCTTGGGAGAGATCCATGCATTACCCATGATGAGGCCCTTGAGCTGCCAAATGTGCTTTGTGCCAGGCTTCTTGTTTCTCTCGAGGATGTGCTTCGCAATATAAGGAATATGCTGGCCGGCATAAGATTCACCGGCGATGTAGAGCTGTTCGTTTGTTAACCCAGTCCAAACTCGTCGTCTTAGTTCAGTATACTCACGTCGTCATGCTCGTACTCGGGGAACATGGCAAACCACTTTTCGAGGAATGCAACAAACTGGTCGGCCATCTCGGGAAGCTCGTGCAGGTAGCTATCGGTATCGACATAGCTGAAGCCAGTGCCAACGGGGTTATCGACAAAGAGCAGGTTGGCAAATTCGTTCCATGAGCCGTTATTATACTCGAGGTTGTCCTTATCCTTGACTCGGTAGGGACCGATTTCCATCAGAGCACCATCCTCGGAACTGCATCCTGGACCGCCGTTCAGCCAGATGACGGTGCGCTGCTTATTGGCAATGTGCTGATTCTGGAAATGCCAGAAGAATAGGTTTCCGTTATGTTCGGGAGTTACTTCGACGTGGCTGTGATGAAACGCGCGTCAGCTTTGGATAGCTCTGGAGTTTGCGAATGCATCGTCATTTGCCCCCAGGGTATCCGAGGGGGAGGATGCAGCATGCGCGGCAGCATCGGAGGACAACGTACCCAGCGTGCATCTTGATGAAAGGTTCCTTGGGTGCGCCGGGCAGTTCGTGGACAAAGTAATCGGCGGCGCTCTGGGCAGCGACGGCGGGTGTCCAAGATGCGAGCGCAAGAAGCAGCGCTGGCACCATCGAGAGGATAGCCATGATGGGGGAAGTGTTTGGCCTCCCCGAGGCTGCCTGGGCTGGATTAGAGATACCGTTACGGATGTATTTCAACCCGCGATTTCATAGAGACGTCGTCTTCCCCCAACTATGAAAAGGACAAGAAAGAAAAAATCCACAATCCGCAGCAGACGGAAGTGTTTACAAATTAGAGTAAATTGTTTCGAAGGGAGGGCGGAGGATGGCGAGGGAGATGGGACAGGGAGGAGAGGAAAAGAAAGGTGAAGAGGATGATGCGCAATGGTCGAGGTGTAGTTCGTTTGAATTGTCCAGGACCCGTGGACCCCAAGGCGAGGACGGAAGTTGCAGTTCAGATCTGAAATGTGTACTCTCCGTGCCTTCCTCTCCCGAGTCTCCCCCCAGTCGATTCCTCCTCACACCCCCCCGGCCGCGCGCTTCAGGTCCTCAGGCTGACAAGAGGTGTCTGGTGTTACCCCTGCCCGCTGTTCCGGCTACCTACCAAAATAGGCTGGCGCGAGTGGAGGGCGAGTGGAGGGCGAGCGGAGGGCGAGCGAGCGTGGCACAGACCTGGAAGGAATTGGGGTTCACCTATCCTGTTCTCGCCCAGCGGATAGTAGTGCAGCCGAATGGTGCCGCAGGGACGGAGATTCTGCTCTGAGCCTGTCGCAAGTCTTTGAACAGGGGCTGCTCTTAGCAGTCCAGTGTGTGTGAAGTTGGTGGCTTCCTCAGCCACCCCAGGGGCTGGAGTCCAAGGGAGTCTGCCGCGCATGCGTGGCGTCCGCTAGGATTAGTCGGGCGCCCAACGGACCGCTCGTTTTCATTGTCAACCGCAGTTCCGCTGCTTTTCGGCTTACTGATTGATTATACTGCGAATCAAAGTGCCAATCATTCGACAATGAACAGAAGCGAGTCTGTACGACGATGAGATGAACTCTCAGTCCAGCATAGTGCCAGCCAGAGAGCAGAGACCTCCTTCATCTTTCCTTGCTTGGCTTCGTCGATCGAACCCCCCTTTTCTATTTATTTTGCTTCTTCTCCCATTCTTTACAACTGTCAGACCGGGAGCAACCCGGATCAAATGCTCAGGAGCGTCAGGATATCGGCCGGGTTACATGTAGACAGCATACGCGTGGAAATCCTAGGGATCCGAAGCACAGATCGCCCGGATTACGGGGTCGGTGATCTGGCTTACCAAAGACGGAGACGGGAACAAAATGTATGCGCGCAATGCGTACCTCCATCTTTTAGAGCACCTCCAACCTGAGACAACAAACCGCCCTGTCCGCACCTCGTCTTCTGTCGTCGGTCCCGTTTTAATATTTGCTTGATGAATGATGAGGACCCTGAGCAGAACGGAAGGGATTTTCTTCACCGACCGCTCCCGGCTCCGGTACTGAGCTGGCATGTTCTACAGAGTCTATGCATCTCCACGATTACAACAGCAACGGGACCGCACCGTGGGCACAGCCGTTGCCAAGTGAAAGCCATTTATGGGGAATCTGCGGAACAGCCACAAGTCACTGTAAAAGTGAATTATTGGTACTTGAGTAGAGGTCATAGAGACCAAAGGAGGCTTAAGAGGCGCACATGCTAGGGCAGAACTAGGAACGACAAGCATTGTACTCTGCCGCGAAAAGGGTGCCCGCGATGGCTTGAAGCCCAAGTGCCAAGTGGAGAGTGTCCAGCAGCAAGCGCCAGATCTGATCCAGGGCAAACTCTCAAATCAGTGACTCCAAAACAACCGTTTGACCACAAATTTCCGCCGCCCAATTTCACCTTGCTCCCCCATTTGCGCTATTACGCGGCCAGGCCATTCCACTTGAAGCGAGGAAACAAAGCAGCCCCCGGTGTCACAAAATCAGAACAAGACAAAAGAGACGGACCAAAATGCCAGGCAAGACGTACATTGTCGAGCACCTCGACCCCGAGCTGGGCCCCTGGTCCGAACTCGAGTACATCGCCATCGCCAGAGAAACCCACGCCGCCGCCGGCACCTTTCTCCTCTCCTCCCTGCCCTCCGGCTTCGTCGCCCCGGACAAGCTGCAGCAGGTCCCGGCCTTCAAGGCCGAGAACCGGGGCGTCGAGGAGCTCTACGCCGCCGACAAGTCCCGCGTGTGCCTGCTCGACCCCTCCGCCGCCAGCGACCTCAGCCCCGAAGACGGTGAAAAATTCGACGCCTTCCTTTTTGGTGGCATTTTGGGTATGTCGCCTCTCTGATGCACATTAATCTCACCATGTTTTTTTAGACTTTTGCTGACCATTTTCACTCAAGGTGATGACCCCCCGAGAGGTAACTAGTTCAATTTTGCCACAATTCGTGACGTTGGTTACATGAACGTTTCTCATTTGACTGACCCTCCCCAACCCTTGTAGACCGCACCTCCGAGTTGAGGAAGAAGGGTTTCGAAGGCAGGCGCCTGGGTCCCACCCAGATGACGACTGACACGGCAGTCCGCGTCACGAGAATCGTCGTCGAGGAGAAGAGTACGTGCAAACCCCCGGTATCGCATATTCATTGAATGCTCAAAGACAATAGCGCCTCTGGATAAGATTCCCTACGTCACATACCCCGAGCTCAAGTTCAGTGAGCATGAGAGCACCGAGATGCCCTTCAAGTACGTCACGGACAAGGACGGTCAACCCATTATGCCAGAGGTGAATTTTATTCCATTCCCTTCCCAAAGTCACATGAAATGAGGTATAAATGAGCCTAACAACGTTCCAGGGCATGGTTGATCTCATCAAGAAGGATGCCGATAAGGCGATTGATGACCTCTTTTAAGATACCACTGCCAATTGACCTCGAATGACCATCAAAAAAAAAAAAAAAAAAGTTTGCATACTGCGTTAGCGCGCCTTCACCAGGTCCCCGTCGTGACTCGGATTTGCTTGGACTTTTACTCATCAAGGCCGGCCGGCATTGACCCGAGGTGAACGAGCCGAGCCGCACAGCAAGTCTTAATCTCGGCCACGGTGTGCCTATCTCACGACCAGGACCCAAATCTCGGGCAGCTTGCCGGCCACCGGGCGGACGGTCCGGCCGGCTTGTTCTTAACCCCGCGCAGGAGATCGGCCGCCATCAGACTCCGGGTTGTGAGGCTTCATCTGGTTGGCCCATAGCATCTCGTATCTGAATGAGCCTCTAGTAAGTTTGCTGCCCTGCATAACAGTTGAGTTCCAGCTAAGCTATTCTTCTCCTACATCTCTTCGTGTTTCCCTGGCTCCAATGCTACCGGCAAAAAAACGTCGCCATGTAACCATCTTCTTGCAAGGAACGATTCCACGTCGTCCTTATCTCTCCGACTTTCCCTTTTCGGCCATTCATAGTACTCACCCAAGCTCAAGGTTGTATCCTTGCTCACTTAAGCTTCAAATCCCAGTTCCTTTATCCATTTATATCTCAATGTCGCCTTCACCTCTGCCAAGAGCTGTTTTGCCAAGAATTCTTCACAACCTCACCTACCCAAACCCATCTAGCATACGGAAATACCAAACATGTCCCACCCCCAGACAACCTTCCGCCAAACAACCTTCACCAGCCCCTCACTCCTCCTCACCCGCCGCCGCACCGTCTGCCGCACTACAGTCCACGCCCAGCTGGACCAACTCCGCGTAAATGGCCAGTACGACTGCTTCAAGCTTGGCTGGCACCCCATCTACGACGACAAGTCGCGCTGGCCCGCGCCCCTCCACCTCTTCTGGGACAGCGACGTCGCAAAGTGGATAGAGGGCGCCTGTTATTTTCTCGTGGACGAGTACGATGTCGAGGTCGACGCCGCCGTCCGGGAGCTCGTCGCCATGATCCGCGGTGCGCAACACGCGGACGGCTACCTCAACGTTCACTTTTCCGTCGTGGAGCCGGGGAAACGGTGGACGAATATCCGTGATATGCATGAAATGTAGACACCCTTCCATTTTCAATTACTCTGCTACTTCCCCCCCCCTCTCAAATCTCTTCCCAACAAGACTCACAATGGTGTAAACTAGGTACAACGCCGGCCACCTCATCGAAGCTGCAGTAGCACACAGACAATATTACAGAAACGACCTGCTCATGGAACCCATCGAAAAGTACATATCCCACATCCACCGCCGTTTCGGACCGGGAAAGGACCAGTTGAGAGCCTACCCAGGCCACCCGGAAATCGAGCTGGCCCTCTTACGGTGCTACGCCGCGACGGGCAACCAGGAAGCCTACGACCTTGCCCGCTTCTTCCTCGAGGAGCGCGGGAACCCGACGGGCCAGGACGGCAAGCACTTTTACGACTGGGAGATGGAGCAACGCGACGAGCCGCGCTGGAAACGGCCCAACTCGTTCCCCATGGACAGGTCCTACTGGTTCTGCCAGGCCCACGCCCCGATCCTCGAGCAGGCGTCCGTCGAGGGCCACGCCGTCCGCGTTATGTACCTCCTCACCGCTGCCGCCGACCTCCTGAGCCTTTCCCAGACGAACGGCACCGCCGCCGCGGGAGCATCAGCAGCAGGTTCGACCCGACCCCTCGCCGCCGCCCCAGAGTGGCTGTCCGCCCTTCGACGCCTCTGGTCCAACATAGTCGACAAGAAAATGTACCTCACCGGCGGCGTCGGCGCCGTAGCGCAGTGGGAGGGCTTCGGCATCGACTACTTTCTCCCCCAGGGCCCCGATGAGGGCGGCTGCTACGCCGAAACATGCGCCTCCGTCGGCCTCATGATGCTGGCGGAGCGCCTCCTGCACGCGGACGCGGATCCGGCGCCAAACGGTCGCTACGCCGACGTCATGGAGCTATGTCTGTACAACAACGTCATGACGGCCATGAGCGCCGACGGCAAGGCCTTTACGTATGAGAACCAGCTCGCGAGCTGCGAGGCTGCGCGGAGCGAGAGGGAGGACTGGTTTGTGTGCGCTTGTTGCCCACCCAATGTGACGCGGCTGTTTGGGAGCCTGGGCGGGTATCTATGGGATTACGGGAGTGCAAGTGGCAAAGGCGAGGGGGCGAAGCGAGAGGCGTTTGTCACTGTGCACCTGTACACAAGCGCAGAGGTCAAGTTCCCGGTAGGAGAGGGCAAGGCGGAGAAGGAGATATCATTTTCGCAAAAGTCCAACTGGCCGTGGGAGGGCAACATCCTCTTTCAGCTCAAAGGCGCAGAATCTCTCGATACGACAATACGACTGCGTATCCCAGCGTGGTCGGCACAGGGCGGCCACGTCCTCACGCCCACGCCGCCCGCGGGGACGGTGGCGCTGGAAAAAGGGGGCTACCTCCGCCTCGACGCGTCGTACACGGCCTCGAACCCGGTCTTCTCGCTCAACGTCGGCGGCAGCAGCGGCTTCGCGCCGCGATACATTGCGCCCCATCCGTACACGAATCAGCACACGCTCAGCCTGGCGAGGGGCCCGATCGTATACTGCGTCGAGGACGCCGATCACCCGTGGGAGGGCAACCACTTCAAGGACTTGGGGATCAAGAGGGGGACACCGGTGGGGGAGGAGTGGAGGGTCGACGCGAAGAGCGGGGAGGGGTACTTCGCCTTGAGAACTACGGGCTGGGAACGGTCGCCGGAGGCTCTGGAAAGGGGCGAAGAAGGAGTGCAGAGGGACCTGGTGTTTGTGCCGTTTTACTTTCGGTCGAATAGGGGCGGGAGGGGACAGATGAGGGTCGGGTTGAGAGATGATGGGAGGTGAGGTAGGAGATGAAATTGTCTGCGAGGTAAGGTAATATTTTGCAACGATAGGTGTCCAAAGGCGATTTGTTGCATGTAGCCCAGCCAAACTTCCGTTTAGAGAATGACCTGACGAGTCGGGCCAGTCCACATCGGCCACGCGGCCCGTAAGGTGGCAGTAAATTACGGCGCAGCGCATGGAGTGAAAGTGAAGTCGGTTTCCCACGAGACTCCCATTCAATCACAGTCCCACCCGCACCGGCCTTGCCTACCTCCTGTGTGTCCTTTGTTCTTCGCTCCTTTCCACCTCTACGTCCCTCCTTCCTTCTAAGAGGCAGGCTACCAAGACCATCCCAACGCCGTTCCGGTTACCAGCACCCGCTCGTAAGTATAACCAGGGCCCCTCTGCCGAAGGTGCTGGACAGAGCGGTACCACCACTAAACCAAATACTCCAATGAGGTAGAAGTGCTGGCTACCAAGGGGCGCGTTGTTCGATTCCGGGCAGGGGTGTGAAGTTAATTATGGTATTCCTACTTTTAGGCTGGATGCTTGATGAGATGTGCGTGTTATACTGGTATGAACTCATTTACACTATGGAAAGTCATGACTAGTGATTGCAAATTGCTGTAAGATCTATACGGTCATCTTGCACATCCTCGAAATACACTTCCTCGCCTCGGCCAGCTTATGTCCGAGCTAGGAACCAGCCATCGGTGGGGGAAGTCAGTCCTTCGATTGCCATCTTGCCATAGACGGTACACAAGTGCTCGTGCAAAGGGGCAAATGAAAGTCGCAGGAGAAAACCCGACTCATCAATCATGGAAACTCACAATTCCTGACTTCACACAAAGCACGATCAACACTGGAGGTATTGTCATTCGTAGACAATGAAGCAACTAGTGTACATCGATGGCGTTGACCAGGTTTTATCAAACCTGACAAGCGAGGGGTACAGATATTGCCCGCGCTGATAGTCATCGTGAAAACCCCCGCCCAATCCTGTTATGCATGTTCTCAAGACCCGTCCCTATTCCATGATCCACGGTTTCGTTGATGCAAATGCTAGACCCAGTCCCTGATAATGCTATGCCGAAAACAAGAAAAAAAAGACATCCGCCCTGTTCCCTGGGCCATCCCCTCCCCACTCCATTCCATGAGATAATTCCGAGTTCCTGTTTCGCCTCTCCTATTCGGCGAGTATTACAAAAAAAGTGGGGGTCCATGTTCCCCAATCCAGCCATATAGACTTAGAGCTGGACATGTACATAAATCCGCATGGTGTTGCGAAATTTAGTTGTCGTGTCTGAAAGTGCACTTCTCGCCTCTAGCGCACTTGCCCTGCTGCCAAAAGCTGCAAGGCTTGGTTCCGATGAGAGCACGATTGACAGGGCGATGGGGAGCGAGCGTGGCGCCGCCCGGAGCGTTGCCCTTGCGGTTTTTACCCTGCTTACCCCCCTTTCCTTCGCGCTCGCGATCACGACCGCGGTCCCTATCCCGCTCACGTCCACCGTGTTGCTCGAATTCGTCCCTGGTGTCTCGGTCGCTGTAGTCTACCAGCTGGCGCTGAAGGTGAGGAGGCTTGTACGAGCTCGTTTCGTGGTCAGGCGGAGACTGTGGAACAGCCGGGGGAGGCGGTGCTTGCTGCTGCTGAGGCTGTTGCTGGAGCTGCGCCAGCATCATCAACTGCTGGTAACCAGTGTCTGACGGGTTGAGCCCATATGCATTGCCTTGAGACCCCGGCTGCTGTTGTCCCATCTGGGCGAGCATCGCTTGAAGCTGGGAGTCACCCAACTGTGCAGGTTGTGTCGCGGGCGCCGGGGTTGGAGCTGGTAGAGCTGGTTGCTGGGGTTGCCCGCCCTGTAGCATGGCCATATACTGGGCATATTGTTGCTGTTGCTGATAATAAGCTGCCCACTGCTGTTCTTGGGTTTCAGGCGCGGCGGGCTGCTGAGTCTGTGCCTCGTTCTGAGGCGCATTGCGAGCTGCATCCTCTGCGTCCTTCTTGGCTCTCGCCGTTGAGTCCTTCTGGTATCCAGCCCACCACTCTCTCGTTCTCTCCTGATTGTTTGCCAGGTATGCTGGTGGACTAGTGGCCGGGTATGGCAGTCCTCGTAATGTCTCAGCTGCCTCCTCAACCTGGTCGGCGGCTGCTTGAACAGCTGGGTCCGGATAATCGTAGCGTCGATGAGTCTGCGGAGCAGCCGAGTTGAATGGGTTGGCGTCCTGCCAGGTCTTCACCTCGTCTGAGGTGAGAATGCTGTGTACTTTGTCGTCGAAAGGAAGCGCCGGAACAAGCTGCATCTCGGCTGCGGGAGGGATAACTGGCTGCGCATTCTCCTTGGGCGGCGTCATGTTGTACGGTTCGGGCTCGACTGCTGGGGCGATTGGCTTGAGGTTGCCTAGAATAGAGTTGAGCTTTGCACCCGGGTCATCCTTGGCATCGAGGCGCTTGCGAGCATAGTACTGTGCCGCTTCCCACCCGAATGTCTGTGTCTCCTTCCAGCGCTTGTGGATCTCGTCGTATTTCGGCTCACCCTGCGGTAGCTGGTAGACTTTGCCCTCAGAATCGCTCATGACTGTCGCAAACTCAGGGGCTGGAGATTTTGGCGTAGGCGGAATATCTGAAACGTCCATATAGGTAACCATCAGTTCCTTCTTCTCTCGTTCCTCTATGAACTTTTGCTCCTCCGTATGGAGAGTCAGGTTACCACCACGAGTGACGTAGGACTTGTTACGAATGTCTTCGGGGATTCCAGAAAGGTCGACGAGAGTTGGCCTGGCCCAAGGCTTCTCTGGCAGTTCGTCGTCCTCATCGTCGTCCTCATTGTAGTTACGCTGCTTTAGCATCATTCCCTCAGACCGATCATCCGCTGCGTCCTTGGTCATATTGTCCTCGCCTTCTGCGACCTCTTTGGTGAAAATACGAATCTCCACCAGCTCCTCGGGGGGCTTGAAGCTGACACGTAGATGGCGGCGGGCCTCTTTGCGAAGCCGCTTTGCCTTCTGCTCGGGTGTCTCTGAGATATCTTTTTTGCTCGAATCTTTCGCCTGTGTTGAAGGACCGTCCTGCTTGGGCGCGGTGATGGAGTCGAGTAGAGAAGCGATGCTGGACAACGAAGAACCGCTAGAGACGGCCGTCTTGACAGCAGACACCCTCGACTCGGGTTTCACAGCGGATGCTGCTGGCTTCTTGTCAACATCCATAGGCGTGGTTGTGTTTGGTCCTTCGAATTTTGAAGGCTCGACCTTGGGAGGGTCTCTTGTCGTGACTGGCTTTGGAGCCCGGATTTTGCTGGCAAGGGTAGACGTTTGCGCTGGACGCTTCGCGCCAGCACCAAACTTGGACTGTAGAGTCCCAGCAACCGGCTTCGCACCCAGTTTGTTGCCCAACACGCTACTTGTTGACTCGACGGCTAGCTTCTTGGTGACGCGAGAATCACTTTCCTCATCGCGGACTCTCTTGGCAGGAGAGCCATCAGCAGGCTTAGCGGCCGGCTTAAGGACTTTGCTGATAGGGGCTGCTGACGATGTCTTCTTGATCTCGACCGCATTGACTGGTTCTGTGTCTTTCTTGATCCTCGATGCTATCGTACGAACCAAGTCCTTGACCTCAGCATCGCCCTTCTCAGCAAGGCGCTTTCGCACGTTCTCAAAGTTGACAGCTTCTGTGACCTTCTTGAACATGCTGATGTTTGACATGAAGCGAAGAAGAGCCTTGGGTAGAGGTCCACTGAGATCACCAGCCTTTATGGCGCCTATCAACATGTTCACCAGACTCAATATGCCCTTTTGATGACTGCCAAAGTTCTCCAGCACGGCCTCATCGCCGTGCTTAGCTGCCGCTTCGCAAACTCGAGTGAAGGTTTCCTTCTTGACGTCCAACTTTTTATTCCACTCCGCAATTTCTTTCTCAGGCTTGTTATCTTTTGCTGCGTGGTCGGCCTCCTGCTTCAAGCGGACCGCTTCCGATCTCAGCTTGATGAAAAATTCACCCAGAGATTGAACAGCACCAGCAATGAGCGCATTCGTTCTGGTCGCGGAAGGATCAATGTAAACAATGCCGAGGATGTCCCAAACAGCACCCTCAATAGGATCTGCGGGCCGCTTCTCAGGACGAATGGGCTTCTTTCGTTCCTCCTCCTCCTCCTTTCTAGCCTTTCTCTGGGCTTTGGATTTGGCTGCTTCATCGGCCTTAAGTTGCTCCTGGAATGCGAACGGGTAGTCGGCGTATTTGGGTCGCCGGAGGCCTAGGCTCGTCATCTCACGTTGATACTGCTCGATGAGAGGCCTTGCCTCCGCCTCGCGATCATCGGGCTTTCCGACAAAGTTTGGGGACGGCCTATAATTCTCCATGAATCTGCCTTGAATCTCACAGGGAAGGTCGGGGCGGAGTTCGGGCAAGATGCGTCTGCCATTGGGCGATGACAAAGCAACTAGTGGCGCGAGTCGGTCATAGCTCTTGGGCGGGATCAACTTAGTCGTACCAGAGGTAACAAGAAATGAGGCTCCGGGAATGGGAGGAAACTGCTTCTTGGACGCGGCGTTGCGTTTCTTGAACTGTGCTTGGAGAGCCATCTCTTCTTCAGTACTCGAGGGCAAGACCAGCGTTTCCCCATCCTCTCCCTTTTTAACGGTGGCATCGCCAGGGGAGTCGGCTTGTTCAGGCTCGGGCTCTTTCTTCACAACACGCTTGCGCTTCTTCAGCGACACTGGCTCAGGTTGGAGGGCGGGGTCAATGATGGGCGTTCCGGGTTGAGAAACTGGTGCTGCAGCGATGAGCAGCGGTTGCGATGGCTGCAACGTATGTTGTTGATGATTATGCTGCTGCAGCTGCGGCTGCGGTTGAGGCTGCTGCGGTTGAACTTGACGAGCTGGTGAAGGAACTGATTTGGCCTGGTGTGCAGGTTGGTGCTGGGGCTGTGGAGATTGCCGAGCAGCTGAGTCTTGACCTGGCATCTGCCTTGCGGCAACGGCCTGAAATGGCGGTCTTGCTACAGGCTGAGCATAGGACATCTGCTGGGGAACGAACTTGTCCTGCTGGTATTGCGGCGCCTGGCTTTGCTGGAAAGGTGGCGGCGGAGTCTGAGTGGAAAATCCCTGGCTGTTGTTCTGTTGACGAGGCGGCTGCGCCTGGAAGGGATGAGGTGATTGAGAAAATACTCTCTCAGGCTGAGCCTGATGTTGTTGAGGTGACTGGACGTAGCCTTGAGGAGCTGGAGAGAAAGACTGAGGAACAGAGTCGAAGCGCTGCTGTAGCTGCGCCTGTGATTGGTGACCATGCTGAGGCATGAGTTGCGCCTCAGCATACTGGGAAACATTTCCATTGAACAGTTGGTTGGCTTGGCCGTTGTACTGGAACTGTTGCTGTGAGAACTCAGGTGTGTGACCATGGTTGAGGCCGTCGATGTTTGCAGTGAAATCGGCTTTGCCTGGCCGGCCATATAAGTCTTGTGGAAATTCACCTAGACTGGCCAAGGGGTCTTCTTGGCCAGCGTCTGTGTATGAATTGTCCAGCGCGAATTGGCCATTATGGAAGTTGCCATGGTTCAATGTTGACATGCCATTGTGATCGTTGGCGACGACGGCATGACCTTGATGCGGTGAAGCATAGAGATTATTCTCGTTGGCGTTACCTCCACGTGGGGCTAGTTGTGGAAAGGCACTCTGGTTAGGGATTTGATGCTGCCAATTTTGGGTGGCATCGAATTGGTTGGATCCATCAGGGAACGCATAGGAGCCCGACCATATGTTATTGTGGCTTTGGGCAGAATCAGCCTGGCCATTTTGCTGCCAGTTCTGCATTGTATCGGCCTCTTCCTCCTTGATGGAAGAAGACGCACGTGAAGAATGAGGAAGTTAGGAAATCCTCATGCGATCATTGGTGGAGAGCACTGCACAGCTACAGCCAATTAGCATCTGTCCGATGGAGGTGCACTACGTTTGGCACGCGGTCTAGCTTGACCGTGCAGCAGGGTGATCAGACGAGTTAGGGGGGAAAGCTCGACGCTGATTGGGGCTGCCAGGGATGGAAGCGTTTGGGGTCTGGGAAAAAGAAACTCTCCCAAGAGGTGGGGTGGAGATAAGAGTTTGGGAGAAGTTAAGGTTCGTTGGGAGGCAGAGATTCTTCAAAGGTACTCCTCCTAGCCACAACGGTTGCCGAGGAACATGAAAAGAAGAAAAATTGGGTCTGTTCGGCTAATTGCCGGCCAAGGGCTTGCAGCTTACCTTGATGAGGCAGCGGGTGAGGGCAGGAGGCACTAGTCTGAATGCGTCGAAGCGGCAGGGATTGTGGTGTGGTGAATGCGCCGAAGACACTGAATTCTGATCTCTGGGGAATGATGGAGGACGATCGTGTTGTCTCTTCCTTTGGGAGAACTGTAAAAATGGTCAGCAATCAGGAACGGCATTGGGCAAGACAAGGCTGCGTGTATGGCTTGTGTATTGAGTGTCGGTGCGAGAATGACTTGTATGAATGCAGTCGTCTGCGACCACTTGGTCCGCAATCCAGTAAGATCTGGTGGATGGTGCAACTGAAAGGGAATCCTGGAAGTGCGAGTGGTGCGGGATCGCAAGCGAAGCCAACTTCTGAGAGACACTTATAGAAACCGATGAGGTCGCCCTCTTCCGGAGTTGAAGGGGTATGGCATTGACGTGATTGTTGGTATTTACTCCTGGGTGCGCAATTGACGGGTAAAGCAGGCTTGATTTGCAGTAGAAAATGATCCCGTGCTGGTGGATGATTGATTCGGCTTCAATGGAAGACGTGCTTTCTCATTGTCTCTGTTTTCCAGTGTGGTTGTCTGTCTCTTAGCCGACGGCGAGTGGTGAATGCGAGCTGAGCGAGGGCGGCCATCAGGTGTCGGGTGGTCCCTTGTTTCCAGTGGGCTTCATCCTGCCGACCGTTCGCTGTGGTGGAGGTCCAAGGCCCGAGACAGCGCACCTCGAGGAGGGGAGGGTGAGATGCACTGCCCATAGACCCGCCTCTACACCCAATCCAGCATCTCGTATGTCTGCAACTCGCGCAGCAAGTCTTGGATGGCGAAGTCGTAGTGAGTGAAATTGATGGAAGCGAAGATGAAGATGAAGAGGAGAGCCACGCTCTGCAGCATCGACAAGTGTCTCTGAGGAACTGAGTCGTCTGAAATGCCCGGTCTGCTTGCTCTTGGCCCTTATGCTTCCCCTTTGCATAGGGATGTACCAGCCGATTCCCGCCGCGCCGCGAAACAAGGCGTTCTGCTTTGCAAAACATTTTAAACATGAGTTTTACTCGTGTCCTTGTCCACATTTCCACGCGCGTTGTGTCTGCGTCTGCCCCTGATCTGATCCGACTTTGCAAATTTATCGCTGCAGAAGTCCAGTGCGGGTTGATTTCGAACGCCAGTGCTTCATCAAGAATTTTCACTCAAACAAACATTGCCATGTCTGCGTCTCCTTTGGAAAGTGGATGATATGACGGAATGATGGTGATGAAAATCGCGCTCATCATGATGGCGGTGTGTTGGGTGGATAAGTGGTGATTTGGGGAAAGGGGAGTGGTAGAGGAGGGCGGGAAAGGGAACGAATGTGAGGTTGGCTTGGGGGGAGAAGTTTATCATACCCTGCAGTTCTTGTCTCTCTCTCTCTGCTCAGCGCAAGTTATGTTGCGTTCTGAGAAGAGCTGGCTTCGCGACCTTAACGTGGTTCGCAGCGTGGATTGATGGGGGTCGCGCAGATTACAACATGACCGTCGACTGCCCAAAGAGAAGAGCGAGCGAAGACTGTCACAGAAAAAAAGAAGGGAACGAAATGGAACGATCGCCGTAGATCTGGGAGACGACAATCAAGCAGGCAAGTTAAGTGCCTCGTGCCGCCAACAATAGTTCCAGAAAATGAAGATCCAGAGTCGCTCAGAGTCGTCGCCAGAGGCCCTTCCGACGCGTCTTCCTGTCGATTATTTTCCGTGTGGTTGGCGATGACTTGTTTTGCTGATGATGAAGGAGGAAGAAGCAGGACGAGTTGTCGTTGCGGAGGAGGAAAAGATGGTCATTGTTCCGCGGTGGCCAGTCCAAAGGGAGGCGGGAAGGTCACTTTGTGGCCGCACTTTTTAGGCATGACTGTGGTGTGGGTCCGAGCCAGATGGGGCTAACACTCTCCAGGTCGGAAGGGGCCACCACGGACCTGACCTGCCTTGGCTGTGACTTGGATAGGGCCCCTTGTGCCTTCCAAGTTCCGCGCTGCACCTTACAATGGTATGAGCCACAGGCCACCTCAGGCTCATTCTCTCAGTGCGCAGTCCGCTGTGACTTGGCTGACCCAGCACTGCTTCAGAAGCCCAGTCGTCTGGGTTTCTTCACTAACAATTGCAGCCCAGCTTCCGTCCAGTCTGGCCCCCTCATCGCCCGTCGGAACACGGAGGTTCAATAATGCCGGCCCATGACATCGTGCCCGGCAGGTACCAAGGTATCCACCCAACACAAGCACAGGTCGGCGGAATCATCCAGGAAATGTGGCTCGACGGCACTTTGAGGACACCGATGCTGGAGCTGTGTACGTACCTCTGTCTGTCGCAACAGCAAGTCGCCAACCTCGATTGCTCAGCGCAACCAAAGTGTACAATTCATTCAACGGCTTAGCTTAAACGTTTGATAGCTATCCTCTGTTCTGGCTCTCATTTGTATAATCCATCAACACGCCTCCTGCGGCAGTAACAGCTCTTCCAAGCTAGCTAGAGCTGCAAAGCTCCCCCCCACCATCGCCATGGCAGCGAAGGGCCACTCACTGCGCGATCGCCAGATCTGTACGTCGCATAATCTCTTGCGCTCATGTTCTAAGAAGAGACTCGAAGCTAATAAGATATGAAGCCGCCTTAAAGAAGCTCCTCAGCCTGAACGACTCCTACACCGAGAACGATACCGAGAACACGCAAAGCAACGGTGGCGCACTTGGACCGACGGGCGCAATCATTACGTCGGATGGCGAACCCCTGTGGAAGGTCCTCGTTTTCGACGACCTCGGCCGCGATGTCATCAGCAGTGTTCTCCGAGTCAGCGATCTACGAGGGTTGGGAATCACGATGCACATGTACGGCCACTCATCTCGAGAGCCTAGCAACCTACTGACATGAAATTAGGCACATTGGAGCATCCAGGCATGCTATCCCCGACGTACCAGTCATCTACCTCCTCGAACCTACGGCGCAGAACCTCCAACACATTACCAACGACCTCCAAAAGGGACTTTACACTCCCGCATACCTGAACTTCTTATCCTCCATACCTCGACCGCTGCTCGAAGACTTTGCGGAGCAGACGATAACCGCCGGCACATCGGACAACATTGCCAGACTAATGGATCAGTATCTGAACTTTATCGTTGCCGAGCCGGATCTTTTCAATCTGGGTATGCAACGAGACCACACATACTGGGCTCTGAACAGCGCAACAACGAACGACGAAGAGCTGGACAGGGTTGTGGACAGGATTATTAGCGGCCTTTTCAGCGTCATCGTCACCATGGGTGTCATCCCCATTATTCGATGCCCGAAGGGCGCTGCCGCGGAAATGATCTCTGCTAAGCTGGACCGGAAGCTCCGCGATCATATTCTCAATTCCAAAGAAAACCTCTTCTCTTCAAGTGCCCGCCCAGCGTCGGCAGGAACGCCACAGTCACGCCCTGTCCTTATCATTCTCGACCGAAACGTCGATTTAATACCCATGCTATCCCATTCTTGGACCTACCAATCACTGGTCCACGATGTTTTGAATATGAAGTTGAACCGAATCACGATAGAGACGCCCATAGACGAGAACAACCCTGCCAAGGGAAATACCAAGAAGGCCTACGACTTGACAGCGAGCGATTTCTTCTGGGCCAAGAACGCAGCTGTGCCGTTCCCTCAAGTAGCGGAGGACATCGACGCTGAATTGACAAGATACAAGGAGGACGCGGCAGCAGTCACCAAGAAGACGGGAGTGACAGACCTGGAGGACCTGCAGAATGATACCAGCGCCAGCGCGCAACACCTGAAGGCGGCCATCACCCTCCTACCAGAACTACGCGAGCGCAAGGCTGTGCTCGACATGCACATGAACATCTTGGCAGCGCTATTGACGGGCATCAAGAACCGCCAACTCGACAACTTCTTCCAAGTCGAAGAGGGCGCCGCGAAGCAGACCAAGGCTCAAATCCTGGAGCTCATCAAGGACACCGCAAAGGGTGACGAGCCCATTGACAAGCTGAGACTATTCGTCATTTGGTACCTCAGCACCGAACAAGACGTCAGCCGAGCGGAATGGGAAGGCTTCGAGAAAGCTCTCACAGAGTGCGGCGCAGACACGACCTCTCTCCCCTATATCCGACAGTAAGTCACACCATCTGACGTGAAACTGCAGACCTCCTACTAACCATCCCCGCTCTCAGAGTCCGCGCCACCACCAAGATGACCCAGCTCACCACAATCTCCAACCCGACGATGAACCAGGCCGGCTCCTCTGACATCTTTGGCCGCTTCTCCTCCATCTCCAACCGCCTCACCGACCGCCTCAAGGAGAGCGGCGTCCCCACCGGCCTCTCCTCCAACTTTGAGTCCCTCATCGGCGGCATCAAGAACTTCTTGCCCGCCAACCGCGACCTGACCATCACCAAGATTGTCGAGTCCATCATGGACCCCTCCACCGCCGCGAGCTCCGCCATCGCAAAGACGGAAAACTATCTCTACTTTGACCCCCGCTCCGCCAACGCCCGCGGCACCATGCCCCCACCCAGCGCCATCCGTGCCGGCGCCGGCGGCGCTGGCTCCTCTGCGCCGGGCGGTCTTCCCGGCCAGGCTACCGCCGGTACGGGCGCCAGCTTCGGTCAGCGTCGCCAGGGCTTCTCCGAGGCCGTCGTCTTCACCGTCGGCGGCGGCAGCATGGACGAGTACGGGAATCTGCAGGAGTGGGTCGAGCGGACGGGCGGCGACCGCGCGAGGAGGAGGGTGGTCTATGGCAGCACAGAGATTCTCAACGCCGACGAGTTTATCAAGCAGGAGCTCGAGAGGCTCGGTAAGGAGGTGGCCTCGTAGAGCTGCGGTCATCGTCGCAGGACTGGAGATGGTCTCTTTCTATTGAAGAGTCTCGTTGCACTCGCTCTCCAGGAGTATTATTTCGCCGCACAGCCACCGCGGCTAGTTAAAAATGAGAGGTTTTTGTTCTTTTAAACAAAAGCAGTAAATATGATTCCCAAATTTGTTACAGCCATACTCACACACCTACCTACCTAGTAGTACCCGTGCGTGACCTCCACTTGTTTCAACACGATTCGAAAAGATGTGTACAATAAGGAAACAGTTTGACTTCATCCATGTCCGTATGCTCGGCGATATTATCGAAAAGGAAAAGTTCGTTCAGTCCATCTACAGCCACCTCAATCCTGGGGGCTGGGTCGAGTTCAGCGAATGGATCGCCATTC